TTGTCCGCCCTTAGTGCGTAAGTAGTAACCTATTCTACGCTAGCCTCGAGCGACACCATTATATTTACTACTGCTATATTTTAGTCGAATCGGCCCGAGCTTATTATATTACTTTACCTTCGATCTACTAACTCGTATTGTAGGGTTCCTATTACATGACGTTTATATACTATAACATAATCCGCGGCAATAACCGTAAAGTATAGCTAGGAAGCATTTAAAACATTGCTATAGCTAAACAATGATGATTTTAAAAAAGCTAAGGCTACTATCGAACTAGACTCTATAGGACTTAACGACATCGAAGATTAGACTACTCGAGCTTAAGCGAGAAGAAAGCTTACGGACAAGTTTGTCGAAGACAATAAGGAATAGCTTCTAGAAAGCCTCTAGGAATGGACTAAGGGATGCGTTAAGCAACAAATAGACTAGGTAATACATAACCGTAACTGTAACCAAAAGGGAAAGAGAAGAGGCATAAAACATGAGCTTTTAATAGAGGATAACTACACCTAAGGAGATATAAAAGATAATGCAGTCCTAGATAATGGCGATTACGGTATAGAAGCCGTCGAGCTATTAGCGACGTCTTCTATAACTTCCTACCTATCCGAAACGTAAGGTAATATAACACCTACGGTCGATAGTAACTTGTTACCTAGAAACCTTTAAAACTACATTATTCGACTTAACAAGTTAGCCGATAGAGAGCGGACTACGTTAAAAAGGGTCTCGCTCTAGTTATGTTGTAACCTAGGCAATGGCCCTAAAGTTATATAGTTATCCTTTACTAATATTGGTATGTTAAGTTTTAGAAGGCTTAAGCAATACGTAAGGCCGTCTAATAGCGAGTCTATCGTTTACTAACCTATTAGTGATTCTACCGGTTTTGTAGAAATTTAAGACGACGAGGACTTCGTAATAGCGATTTAAACTCTTACTAGCAACGTTCTGCCGCTAACTAGCGACCTAGTAATATACGTAATGTAGCGTAACGGTATGTGTTTTTTTCTTTATAACTAAAACTTATGCTAACGAGAAAAGCTACTATAGGATTAATACCTTTGTCCTATAGCTTCGCCGAGAAGTGGAAACGAGTACTAGAAAAACCTAGTCTAGCAGATGCGCTATGTAATCTCGTTAGCGAATCTAACCTTCTAAAGCGTAAACACGACGAAGCCTTCCTAGACGGGGATGATTAAGATAGCCGCTAGAGATAGACGAAGATCGACGAATACACGGTAATTATTAATAGGGAAAGAATAGTAATGATAATGGCGGAGACTCCTCTTCGTATAGATAAACCTAAGTCGGAAAGTTCGGACCTTATAAGGGAAGAGCAAATAGTTAACCTTAGGGAGGACGAAGATAACACTACCTACGATTTAATAAGCGACGACGAAGTCGAAATCATAAGCAAAATTCGTGTTCTAATAGCCGAGGAAAAGGTTGCATAGATTCTAGAAGAGATGAATGCCGATTTAGACTTGTATGTGTTTCTTATATCTACGTATTAACATAACTAACAATATAGCAGGGCAGGAAGCTTTCTAGCTTAGGTCGCATATACTCAATTTATAGTAGACAACATTATAGAATATTATCAATTTTTTAATTATGACGAGCCGACAAGAAAAGTATAGGGTATAGGGTAGGAGATGACCGTTCCTAGAATCCTTATAGCACGAAGAGATAGGAACAACATTAGCATTAAGGGATATTAACACTTTGCCGCCTAGTAGATGCTTACACACGAGATGAAATTCGAATATAGTAGCATACTAGGCGACGAAATGGGATTCGGCAAGACCCTTACTATAATCTATATGATTATGCTATACTACCTACTTATCGAGAATTAGGAGGAAGTCCGACGATTTAGGGAACTAGAACATTCTAGAGAAGGAGAACACCTACGTCCTAGCTAAGTAGGAAAATGTAGCAGAAGCTAGTATTATAGCTTTTAATGCTCGTGCGAGCAGGGGAGTCTTACTACATATACGCTTACTGTGCACGGTGTAACTCTTATCGTTTCTATTCCGGCTATCATTAGCTTATAGTAGGACGAATTTGTTAGATAGGTTAATTAGGACGTTGCACCGCTACGGGTAGTTACTATACACGAGAGTAGAAAAGGAGCCGAGGCTTAGTCGTAAGACGATAGTATAAAGTTCCGACCCTTATTTGCATATAATATCGAGGAGCTCGATAAGCTTAATAGCTTCGAACTATTAAGATCCGACCTTCCCTACTAGCACGACACTAATATCGAATCTGCAATAGGGATACTTTAACTACTTGCCTAGCATACTTAACATGCTCTTATTATAATTAGCATATAGTCGTGTGCAAAGTCTAGAATTATAGATAAGTTATAGATCATTTTACGTCCGTTCCCGTCTCCTCTATAGCAGTACACATGTAAGGACAAAACCATCTGTCCTAAACTAACTAGAAGTAGAATATGCTAATTAGCGACGCACAAAATCTAGCTTACTAGAACGTCTAAAATCGAATAGGCGCTATCTATCTAGCTATCGAGGGTATTAGTTAACGAATCTTACCTAATAAAGAGTCTAGACCACTCGTTCATTATAAGGCTTACCGAGCAGGTTAAGCGACAGAAGGAATAGTACGGCACGTCGCTTTATCTATAGCCTATATCTAGTACTCCTTATTCGAGTAGTCCGAATGATCTTAGGCCTTATATAAAGTTTAGCGACGCTAAGTTATATAGGACATATTTAAAGCATTCCGACAGCTTTAAACGCTTAACTAAGAGGCGACGCGATAGTAGTACGCTAACCGCTAAGGAATTAGCGACACTCGAGCAGGACTTTAAGTCTATTACTACAATCTTAGAGACCTATATAATTCGTAGGGACAACGATACTAAAGACAAAGATAGCACTATACTAGTTAAACTCCCCCCTTTAAGTACTATAGAAGTCGAGGTTAAGATAACAAACATAAGGCTCCTTAACGAAGCGCTTAATAGGATAAAGTCGACATACTTAGACGCTAGCACTACTAGCGACGGTTAACTAGATAAGAATATAGAATAGAAGATAGTAGGAAGCATACGTCTATGTCGCATCTTCCTATCATTCCCGTAGCTGTCTATAATAGATAGGCTAGATTTTAAGATGCATTCGTCTAAATATATTACTAAGAAAGGGTACTAGACCTCGGACAAAACTCCCTACGATACTAACCTCTAATAGATATACGACTTAAGTAAGAAGTTCTAGAGGCTCGTAGAGCTTATCGGCACTTTTAGCTAGAGACCGATATTCAATCCGAGACGCCCTCTAGACAAGACTAATACTAGGACTTATCGCGAAAAGCTTATCTTATGTTTAGCCGATCTAGTTACATGCCTAGTAGCCTTTAAGGTAATTTAGAATTATGAAATAGAAACATAAGCACTAACGATTTATAGTTACTTAAAACTAGAAAGTACGGATACCGTCTAGAGGAGGTAGAAGCAATTCGCGTAGGTTAGAATTACTAGGAGCGTACTAATATTATAGAACGCTTCTAACAAAAGCTGCTTACAAAACATAGAGAGGCTTATACCTACGGACCTAACGTCGGCGTCTTAGTTCTTAGCTCGCGTGTTAGCAGTATAGGGCTCACTTTAATAGGTGCATACTAGATGGTTATCTTCGAACCTTATTCTAACGTTGCTATAGACGAACAAACCGTTAAGCGCTTTTATCGTATCGGTTAGAAGAATGATTATACGCTGTATAGAATGATAGGGGACTAGAGAAACATAGAGAGGAATGTTCTCGATAAGAAAGAGGATAAGAAGATAGTAACTAAAATGTTTATAACATTTAAGGGTAGAGATATAGAGATGGACAGTACTAGTGTTACTTGATAGACACCTTGCCCTATAAAATTCTAACATTCCCTATCTACTCTATTATAAACCTCATCTCCGGCCGCGCTAGCAGCTAGCTCTAGCTAGAATTTAAGCTTTAACTAAGCTCTTTTCCAAGAAATTAGTAGGAATACGAACCATTCGTAGGTCAAAGTCGGCAGCGACGGCTAGGAGATGAAGCGCTCGCCACGAAGACGCGTGTTCGTAGTAAGAGACACTCTAGAGACCTATTACTATAGTGAGTATTAACACGTCCCTTAAAAATACCGCAGCAGCGTTAGAATCCTATTAGAACATGATTTTGGTGTCTCCTTCTATCTTTAGCATGATGAGCGTTATGGCTATTATGACTATATTATGATCTCGCAAGCTACAGACCCTAATCATGTTCTATCCTAACCGCTAGCGAAGCTACTAATGCTGCTATAAAGATGCACAATCATTCTTGTGATCGAGAGACTGTCCATTAGGAGTGTGTTAAGTAGCTGCTCTCACGGGCAAACTTGAACATCTAAAAAGGCTTGTATATTATAACACAAATACATCACTAAGATACGACCGCTGCAGAGATGACATTCGCATGCGACTGCATGCTTAGAGGATCATGTCGACACGATATCATGATCATCATCACGTCGCTGTCCATCAGGATGAACGCGACGTTCTTATCTCATTAATCAGACAGCTCGAACATGAGTCGCGCGGAGAGGGCACGGACGAAATCGCGAGAACTCGTTCGAGCGTCTGAGACCCGGGCGGAGGAGCCAATCACTCGCCGATTCGCTCCTCGGCCCTCTGCTCTCCACGGCCTGCTGCCCCAAAAGGCCTCACCTCAACACTGGACATTGAATATTTTCACTTTTCAACACTTGACCTGTTGGCAGTCATACACTTCAGCTCACGTAATTATTGTTTCTGAACCTGTTTGTATACATCAAAGTATCTGTGCATCTTGAAACGGCAGATCTCAATCTGTCTGCTTCGGCCGATCTCCGTATCTTGCGCTCCAATCTCAACTCCTGTCACAGCCCTGTCTGAAGGCATCCAATTTCAACTCTCTTCGATATGCCTTCTCGGAAAGATATCGTATCCGGGAGGCCTGATGTATGATTTAGACATATTCGTCCCCTTTCATCCATCCAAGTTGCCTGTCATCAAGTCAGCATTACTCCTCTTCGACTTGATACTATCCATGTTCAAACTCACTTCCACATATGCAGCTTATCCCAGTCCTTGGTAAAACTCTTGACCTTGCCATTCTCAATCTCAAAGATGGCTGCCGCACTCCATTTGGCTTTATTGCCAGTCTTTTCAATGCCTTTGTGAGGCTCACCACAGTGGCTACCCTCAGCTGTGTATCTCAACAGCACATGTCCATCTTTCGCAAACACTTGATCGTAACAAACAATGTGCAAGTCTGCGATACTGGCCATAACATGTGAATGACTCTCTGCATATTCTTGCGGAGACTTGACTCCTGGGAATGTGGTGGGTGCCCAGAACCAGGCATCATCTGCGCAGAGGTGTTCGACTGACTTGCTGCCTTTGTTCTCCGAAGGCGAGTACGCGATTCTCATGTACTCTTTTGCGATAGAAACGTTTTTCTCTTCTTCTGGACTCTGCTTTGTGGTCATGCGAGCAGGTGGCATCTTGTTATTGGATCCATTGGACGGCATTTTGGTGGCTTTTGGTCAATTAATTGTTTGGTGATTTCTGTGAAATTTGTCAAGGCATTCAGAGGGACATTGATTATCAGAGGGCGATATTATGATGTCTTGCTGCATGACGGTGATGCTGGTCATGACATCAAGGTGTCCTTCTCCGCACCCGTCTCCAACTTCCATTTCTGCCAGACAAACAGTTACCGGTTTATCAGACATCTTGAAGTCTAACAATTGATCTAGGACTTTGTGAGAGGTTGTAGTTGAGTATGAGAAGAGAAGAAAAGTATATTTTCAAGGACGTATCCAAGTTGTATGCAATAAAAGCCTTACCGAACGAAAGGGGATATCAAACAAAATCCATTAACCGACCCATTCGTGAAACGCCATACCATTAACGAACGCTTGTGTGGCTACAGATTATCGGAAAGCAATGCTGATCTCCTCGGGGAGGTCTTGATCGGCTTGAGGACTCTGAGCAGGTGTCAACCAGGGTGCGTCTTCGGCCTCGGGTGCCGTCAGGTTCTTGGCGGCTCTCTTGTTGACATAGTCTTTGCCAGGACTGTCCCACGCGAAATCAAGGTATTCGGCCAAATGCTCTTGGATACCATCGGCCATGATCTGAACACCGTGCTTGCGGTTCTGACTCCACTCATGGTCTCTCTTCCAGCGACCGGCGAGCTTGACAGTCTCCTCACCACCCTCGAGACCGTCAAGGATACTGCGCCAGACTGACATTGTCTTTTCCAGTTCGCCAGCATTACTGACACCCATGACACTCACACCGAGTTTCTGGCCGCCGACCTGCTGGTTTGACTCGCGAGTCCATGGGACGCCAGATGCTGGGTCACCTCTTGAGCCGACACTCGCACCTTGCGTCAACCAAGATTCCAGCGCGTAGCGGATGGCAATAACTTCGAGTCGTTCTCCATGGCGGTCGCAAAAGTCGCTCGCACGACGGACCGCTGCTCTGACACCAGGACCAGCAGGGTGCCAGTCTCCTTGGCCGGCTACAGGAGGTCCTGCGCGACGCAGGAGACCCATGCCAAGGGGTGAAGCGTTGGGAACGACGTCAACACCAGCAGCACGCAGACGTGCAATACCGTTTGTTGCAAGTGTAGTGTTTTGCAATGTAAAGTTTGCGTATGACATGACAGCGTCGAGAGGCTCGCCAGTCTCGCGAAGAACACGCTCGGCGAGCGAACAGAGCAGAGGAACAGGGTATCCAGAGATACCGATGTAGCGAAGTGTGCCCTCCTCATCGCGAATGCGACGCAACTCTTTAATGGCTCCGATGACCTCGTCTTCGCTTACGAATTCGACATCGTGGCAGTAAACAATGTCCAGGTAGTCGGTGCGGAGTCTTTGCAGACTGCGGGCAACGCTTTGGCGGACCCACTCAGGTGAGTAATCGAACTCGTCTCCAGCAATGCGACCGCACTTGGTAATGTAGAAGAGATCGGATCGGGGAACGTGGGAGCGGACAAATTCTGTGTCGAGGGCTGCACCGAGTAGCTCCTCACTGGGTCCATAGTAAGGACTAGTGTCGAATGCTCTGATACCGAACTCGAGTGCTTCCTGCACCAATCCGACGGTATCCAGCTTGTTCACATCGTTGTATTGGGAGTTGAAAACAGCACAACCGAAGACGAGCGGTGGCAGAAGTGAGGAGAGTTGCTGGGCAGGCTTGCCCTTGGTCACGATTGAGGCCATCGGCGATCGAGATGTCGAGCGTGTGTGCGAGAGGGCGAGGAGTTGAATCTGTGTAGCTTCGGAGTTGTGGTCCGTAATGTTTCGTCGATGAATTCTTTGCAAAGCAGGGAGTGGGAGTGAGTTAGAGAACAAAGAGAGGACTGTGAGTAGAAAGCTGAAGGGGAAGAGGGACAGCAACGGCACTAAGAGAAAACAGTTGAGGGAGAGAAAGCGTCCTAGCTCCAGGTCCATGATATCTACACTACAATTTTTGGGCTCTCGGAGCCGGCGCAACTTACGATCTTCCAAGGCGCGTGCACAAGACACGACAGCGCGATCGCGACAGATAACCTTGAGTGTGCTTGGCCCAATCATCGTAGTCTTCTCCGCCATGTTGGTGCTCGATTCGTTCTAGGCTCGAATCACGTCAGATCTGGAATTTTGCAAGGCAGCCACTCGAAACCGGAAACGGCAGCGCGAACCATCCGTAAGCGATCGGTTGATCAGGGACTTCTCAGGGCTTGATCCATCAGATAAGATAAAGAGACCCACCCTCTCTCGGCCGTCAATGTTGAGGATTGTGAATTGACACGGATGACGTTCGAGGAAGGATGCAGTGAAGGAGAAACCTCGACAGTCGACCGATGTGGTCGCTCGACGAGGTTTATATAATCAGCGGATATGATGTTGATGATGAAAGTGAAGTGTTTAGACATGAGTTGGTGAATTCATTGTGAAGAAGCGCTCGCTGGTGCCTGAGTCGTCCGAGCGGAAGAAGCCGCGAGACGATTCTACCCATATCAGAGGCGACAACAACCTCTATTCACACCTCCTCCTTCGTGCGCAACATCATTTGCGTATCACCACATACACCTTGCAACACAGTAGCCGACTCTTCAAGATGGCTGAACAGGGCAAGTACTACGAGATGTATCGCAATGCGAGGTATGCGCAGTCAACATTCGTGTGATGATTACAAACCCGTGCTGAGAGAATGATGCGCATAGCATCGGCGGAACGCTCGCAGATACGCTCGACGATCTTATCAGCAGTCGTCGTATCGAGCCTCAGCTTGCCATCAAGATTATGACCAACTTTGATCAGGTCATCGCCCAAGTGCTCGGTGAGAAGGTCAAGGCAAGAATGAGCTTCAAGGTAAGGGATTTCTTCATCTGCTTCTGCGCAATACTAACTCAAGCCGAAGGGTCATCTTGATACCTACCGTTTCTGTGACGACGTTTGGACCTTCATTCTCAAGGATGTCAAGTTCAAGCTCGACAACTCTTCGACGATCGAGGTTGAGAAGGTCAGAATCGTCAGCTTGCTGAACGCCAACTCTCCTCACAACACTGGAAAGAAGTAGCACTCTGGAAGCAGGCTGCCAACCGGCATGATGACATTTGATATTTGGGATCACGGCGTACAAGGCGCATCAGAGGGATGCTGAGGAATCATAATTCATACCCAATTTCAGACAGAGACGATCAAATTGAAGACAGACATTATCACTCACCAGTTCTATGCCAATGCACACGCGAATCAACTCTTGAACAAACTCGCTTTTCCAAATAGCATGTCTTATACTGTGTTAATAATGCGGTAAGAGAGGGTCGGCCGAGGGTTCGCTCACCGCCTTGGACGCTTGGACCAGGCCGGTTCTGGCAGTGCGGAGAGTTTTAGCAGCGACCCGAAAAAGTTACTCGCCGGCCATACCATCTTTTTGCGCCCGAGTCCCTCTCGACCGTCCACTTCACAACACCTCAACCCTACTGCCGCCTAAGCAGTCGTCTCTCACCAAGCGAAACTTCTACCAATCGAATACCCATTTGCCGAGCGAATCCTCCCCCGCCGACTCAACACCCATTCGCCATCCGCAATCACCACCACTGAAACCCACCCATCACCGCAACCACCACAAATATGCCTGCCCCTACCGCTCTGCAGAGAGCCGACCCTGAGGAGATCGCTCAGAACTTGCACGATACACCCGTCGTCGCCAACAACGAGGACGATGAGATGCTCATCAGCACCACCGACGCACCTGCCGTCCAGGCCGCCGACCAGACCGAGCAAGACACAGCCATGACCGTCGACTCGCAACCCCTCTTCGCCGCTGAGAAGACCACCAACCAGCAACACCGCAGCGAGAGCCGCAAGGTCCCAGTCCCTCCTCACCGCTGGACTCCTCTCAAGAGCAGTTGGCCTAAGATTTACCCTCCTCTGGTCGAACACCTTAAGCTACAAGTCAGAGTAAACGTAAGTCACATCTGGAGGAACAAACACCATACCAACACCATGAAACATCCAAGAGGACCGTCTCGAGTCTGTTCAAATCGAAGCAGACACTACTCTGCATCAGCACACCCTGTTCATGGAAAGAGTCTATGGCATACAAACCTTTTGAGGCAGATGATTCGTGAAGCTGAAGGCTTCCGGAGATCAGCAGACTGTCCCCGAGACCTAGACCGGATTGAGATGAGATTCTGTCAAGGATTGTGATTGCAATTCTTTCAAAATCCAGCGTCGGTCGAGGGCTTTTAGACTTGCATCTCTTCTCCGGCAACCTCGGCTCTACGTACCAGCTTGTCACAGAAGGCTTAGATGCCAGAATGCCTTCTTTGGGACGGCTGCGCTGATTCAGAGCGGGTACAGTCAACGATTGATTGGACCTGGAGATTCGAAGTCCAACAGTGTGGCATACCGAAGGTCGACTTGAGAACGATGTGCTAGTCACGTCCTCGAGAGACCGTGCCACATCATGTTTTCAATGAATTGCACTGACCATACCTCATGTATAGATGAAGTCAAAGGCTGTAGAGCTTCGTACATCCCGCATCACCACAGACACCGGCGCAATCCAGAAAGGTAAGCTCATAATCCCACGTCCCACGAGTCATCGGTACCAAAGAGGGATGGATGTTTCGTTGAGAGTTCGTCAAACACAACGAGCTTTCGACTGGATTCTCATCCTAGACGGTCTCCGCTTTGCAACACAAGAACTGTGCTAACTGTAGAATTATCATAGGCCAAGATTTCATCCATGCTTTCTGTCTTGGTTTCGATCTTGATGATGCCATTGCTCTGCTGAGACTGGATGGTAAGCTGCCACTCCATACCCTCAGATCATGAATGAGTTCCTGACACGCTACCACAGATCTCTACATTGAGACATTCGAAATCAAAGATGTTAAGGTCAGTCAAGTCAAGAAATGCAACCACCCTGAGACCATGCTAACATCGACTCGCAGACTCTGCAAGGAGGTTAGTCAAAGCCCCCGATTCTTCTTCTTCTTTTTCTGTTTTTACTTTCTTCTTCTTCTTTCTTCTTCGTCTTTTTGACAACGTACTGACACCTATACCTAGAACATTTGGGACGTGCAATCGGTCGCATTGCAGGAAAAGACGGCAAGACCAAGCACGCTATCGAGAACGCAAGCAAGACCCGCGTGGTACTCGCAGATTCGAAGATTCACATCTTGGGTGGTATGTTGATATCGAGACAATGTATCTCGCAGCATCACGCTGACTATCTCTACAGGATTCAAGAACATCCACATGGCACGTACCGCCATTGTTTCCCTCATTCTGGGTAGCCCGCCTGCCAAGGTCTACGGCAACCTCAGAACTGTCGCCTCGAGAATGAAGGAGCGCTTCTAATCGCAGCAACAATCTTCACAAGTAAGATCGAGGACGACAAGCATGCAGTCAGGAGAAAACGTGGGTGCTTTTGGGAATGATGATTGTTTCCCACTCCGCAAGACGAGCAACGGCGTTGGTGGATAGGGGGTGTACCTTTTTTCGACAAAAAATGGGTAAAAAGGCATATGGGCATGGCGTTTCAATTTTATATCAAGAGCTTGCTAATCATACGCATGCGAAGAATCGGAAACATCTCAAATCACGACCGCTTTTTGAAAACTCTGGATTACGACTTTCTTCGATACACTTGAAATCCTCCATGAAGTAACCACGGACTTCTGTAGCGTCCCCTTGTGTGAAGCCTCGATGTTTACAGATGCCACACACTTCTGTTTTGTGCATCTTGCGGCAGTATCATTTGTCTCGGTGTCTCGTTCTGATCTTTCCAACATGACTCGTTCTAGGTCAATTGTTACCAGTTGACCACATAGCGATGCCCCAGGACTATGAAGTTTTACTCTTCACCTTGATGCGTCTCTTGAAAGCACGTACGCCACTTTGAAGATGACCACACCATCTAAGCTTCCGTTTCACATATGTTCCACCAGAGATCCGCCGCATCATCTATCAGTTCATTCTCGACGATGCCAGGAACTCGGACTTGAATATGTGGTACGGTGGCAGGAATCTTAACAATGCTATCTGCCCTTTACTTCGAGTATCACGCCAAGTTCGGAAACAGTGATCTCGGCGGCATTACCTGGGATGAAACTCTGTGCTCAGATGCAAGATAGAGAACTCGGTGGACCTGATAGCTGGTATGGAGTAGTCATCCCTAGCTATCTCAACCATGCTACTCCTTTCAACAGGAAGAAAATTTGCAAGAACATAAAGCACTGGACGGAGTTCCTGAATAACGAAAAGAAGTAACGCATGCCAGGGGTCAACACGTTGATTACCTTCGGGAGACCTGTCTTCGAGACTTTCTTCCTGCATGACAGGGATTTCAACAAGCACATGGTCCACGGTCATCCATCTCCAGTTGCGCATCGCAAGGACTGCAAACCTGGTCAGCAGAGAGAGCGCTCGACAGGAAGCCTATAGATCCAGGAGTCGCCATAAACACCATGTTTGCCGCCTCCCTTCACTTAAGCTGTGAGCTCGACGACAAGGCTGACTACGATATCTGGGGACAGTCGGCTCAAGGTTGGGACGCATGCAAAGACACCATTGTGCTTAGATTTGACCAAAAGCCATTGTGTCCAAAGTACGTCGAAGCATTATGCGCTTGGTGTCGCGATGACGTCCAGCCTTTGATGCTGAAGGTCAAGGAGTTTGGTGGCTCAGACAGTTTGAAGAAGGAGGTCGTCGCTCAGATCACTCAGGAAAAATTTGAGGCTTTCAAGGACAAGTACGAGAAGGAGGGCAGAATCGCAAAGTATTGAAGGCATCCAAAAAGAGGAGCGAGGAGGGGTGAATCATGAGCTATCTGACGGGTGATGGGTAATGGGAGAATGACAGTCTGATTCTGGCATGAAGTCGGGGAAAGGGGTTCTCTCGAGCTTGAGTCTCGCCAGTGCAGCGTTATTTTGGAAGCTTCCTTCCAAAATCAAGCCTGCATCCAAGAAGAGCGTGTGGGTTAGTCGTACTCAATGGAAATACTTCACAGTATCGTACCTTTCACAGTGACACGCAGCTTTCGGTGAGAGATAGCCTGACTCACTCAAGTACCTTGCAAGCATCGCTTTCTCTTTCACAAGCTCGCAGCCTATTTGCGCGCATCTGCAATTCCGGACCAAGTGAACACAGAAAGGTTTCCGGCTTTCACTCAGCCGTCCTCACTCGCAGCCCATCTCTCTGTTTCGCTTCGCTCCGCACCATCAACTCCAACACAAGGCTGTGCAACTTAAACACTCTTACACTCCTACCATTCCTTCCTCATCCCAATCACGGCACTCCACTTCGTCCGCACATCACTGGGTTGTTCTTCAATCTACATCCTCGTTCCACTCTAACGTTTGATCCAGTCTCATCATGGCTTCCACAAACGACACCGGTCTCACCAACGCCGTGCGCATCAACTGTAGTATAAGTCAGAAGATACACGGTAGACCTATCTTTGAGAGCGTCACTGTCACGGACAGAGTGGTTGAGACGATGATGTCTGCTTGGATGCTCAACGGCCAGTCCTCTCCGATTGCACGTCGCATCGGAACACCTCTTCGCGCGTACGTCGAACATCAGCATGCCAGGGATGCAGATGTCCATATGGATTGGACATACGCTGTCTATCTCCATCTGTGCTGCGAACTCGACACAGAGGAGGACTCTGACATCTGGGGATGGGCTCCAGACTGCTGGAAGCTCAACACTATCAGCGATGCATACGTCATAAGAGAAGACGGCCAACCACTATGTCCCAGATACCTTGAGGCGCTCTGCGTTTGGATTTTCCACGAGCTGTACAACGAATTCGAGGAAGCCATGGAAGAGCGTTACACCGTGCCGGTCGACAACAGAAAGAAGGTCCTCGCCCTGATCACCAAGGAGAACTTCGAGACTTACAGAGAAAAGTTCGACAGAGAAGGTCTGGCTGCAGACTACAAGTGGAAGCCGGTATCAAAGATGATGCAGGCATACCTTCAGGCACAGGCTGAAGGTGTCGGAGGGAAGGAGCAAGCTTGAGCTGTTCCGAAAGCGGCATATTTTATCAGATTACTCAATCTCCGATACAGCCGACATCGGACAGCTACTCCGCTGGATCTGGAAGTTTGTCACTTCCCCGTCATCGATACTCTCCTACAAAGCTAATTAAGAAGCAGGTTACCAGACATGCGACTTGCAGTGAACAAGAGCTCTCAGTGGTTGACTCAAGGAAGAAGACAGACATCTGCGTCGCTACAGGCGGGCATTATGCGAAAGAAGGACATGAAGAAGAGGCAGATGGCTCAATGTGACAAACTATGGATCGGGGAAGGAGGGGTAGATTGATGTACAGGAGGGTGACTACCTTCGATCGCCCAGTACTCAGACACACCTCGGTCACATCTTCCTCTTACAACTCAGTCCAACTCATCTCATCTCAACTCAAGTTCTTACCTCCATCCTCATCATCTGTGACCGTGACAACAATGACAAAACCAGCGCTATCGTTCGAGCGCAAAGACTCGGCCATTGAGTTGGATGACCGTTTCGAGAAGACCTCCTTCCTTACCCTCCCAGCTGAGATACGTACCCAAATCTGGAAGCTGGTCTTCAACCCTGAACAAAGCTATCAAGATGCATTTTCATGTCCAAGATGCACCGACGCGCCCCAAGCACTTCAAGAACACTATTGGGCCTCCTCCTACCTCCAACCCCTTCTAACCTGCCGTCAATTTTACCAAGACGCACATCTCCTTGCCTTCTCGAGAACGACTTTTGTGATTCGAAACCCATATACCGTTCTCGACATTGCAGGCCGTATAAATTCCACCCTCCGCCCTACTCAAATCTCTTCTCTTCGCAGTATAGCCATCATATCCGAAGCCCGCCATTTCCGCCAAATGCATCACTGGAGAACTCACGCTTTTGGTATTCCCGCGCTGAACCTCGAGGATATGACTATTATCCTACATCGCTCTTCATACTGGCATTACCTCTTCGATTTCAATGTCATGATGACACAAATGCTGCGAGATTTCAACGGTGTTAAGAAAATCTGCTTTATACGCAATTATGCTAGAGTGAAGCCGCATTTCCATACTTGGTTTAATAGGTTTGTGGGGGCGATGATGAGATTGGATAGGAATGAGAGGTTTGCGAAGAGGGAGTGTAGGGTTGAGAAGACGTGGTGGAATTGGGAGTTTGATGGGAGTAAGCAGACGGCTACGTTGATTAAGGCGAGGGCGAAAGATGCAGAGTTGGATGTCGAGGCGTATGATCAGCTTATGGCGCCCATGATGGAGTGGTTGAAGGAGAGTATGGAGGTGGAAGAGTATGATCCTGATCCCGGGTCGAGACTTGGAGTTTGGTGAAGCTTGAAAGTTTGCGTACTTGTAGCTGTTCCTCCAACTTGGTCTTGGTATGAATCTCGATATCCATGTTTAGTTTCGATAAGGATGCATGTCATGTACCGTAGAATTTCGTTTATAACAGCCCCTTTTGTGGCAAGAGCCCCCACCACCAAAATCTTGGTGAAAGGTCATTTTTCAGAAACACTATTTTTGCTATAGCAGCATGCTTTTCGAACCGAAGTTATACAGTAAGCTCAGGTGCAGAGGTAGCAAGTTGACTGTAGGTGAAACATTCGGAGCACACGGGGGTCGATGAAGCCCCTTAGTCGCAAATATGACTAGAGAATTATACGAGGTGGCAGGGCGTGGGCCGCGTGGCGTAGCCGCGCCGCCACGATGCCATGAAGAGCCCCAAACATCATGGCCGTTTAGTCTAGTGGTTATGACGTTCCCTGTAAGTTCTGCTTTGTTGAGGTGATCTAAAAGGGGGGGAGGTCCAAAGGCTTATATCATCATCATCAGTTGCACTCAGCTGCCACCGGTGTAGATTCGTTTGTCCAGAACGTACAAAAAGGTCTGTCCAAAGGAGTGGAGAGTCAGAGCTGTGATTAAGCTGTACAAGAACAAAAAAAAAGGAATTTGACCATTGTGGGGGTCGAACCCACGACCTTTCGGAAGAGTGCCAAGCCATATGCGTCAGACTTGGTGATGGCATCGGGAAACGCTGACGTCACAGCAAGATGCCAACTCTGCTGTGATTGACATGTAGGTCTCTACAGAACAGTGCCTCTGACGGCTACTTGCTACTTTGCTAGCAGAAAAGTAGGGGATGATCTCTAACGCGAGCATGCGGGTCCGCCTCTGCTACTGCGCACATTTCTCCCAATACGTAACTGCTCACTCTTCTGTCTTGCATTTACTGCGTCCTCAACAAATCCGTCCCGACTCACAGCCAGAATACTTCCCGAAGGCATGATCCCATGAGTTTGCCTAGTCTGGTCTCGCCACTTTCCGTCTTCCAAGCTGCGAAACCATCAACACTGGTTCCTTTCACGACAAGGAAATTTGATGCAAACGAGCGAGCATGCCGCAAATGCTCTGCTAGACAAGCTCACCACGGGAACTCACCTCATCAGCCGTCAGCCGGTACAGGTTTCGATTTGGTTCCTGTCTTACCAGACAACTCTGGATTTTCTTTCATGCATTAGATCTGCAGATCAAACACCTGGGAATCTATTGTCGCTGGCCAAACCTCAAAATGACAATTCGTAATCTCTTCAATGCTTCGGGTGGACCACTGGCACAAGCAAGTTCAAAACAAAGACATCCCAGACTGCAACTTCCGGAACCTAAACAAGACATGGAAAGCATACATAGTCATGTTTGACTCGTTGTCTTTGTGTGTGGCTCCTTTGCGTTTCTCCTAATTCTGGCCCAACGGCAGAGACTGTTTGCTCGTCTCACCGGTGCCGACTCGTTGGTTCACGCTCAATCTTTTCCCTTTGCTGGAGAACTAGCTCTACGACAAGTCAAAGCTCTTTCGGCATGCATAGAGACAGATAGAAGCCTCCGGCGGCAACTAGCATAAAATCCGGAGTGAGTGGGTGAGTGAGCGGCGGCTATATAAGCGTGTCCTGCCGTCTTTTTCCCTTCCATCTACTCCTCCTCCATCTTGGATTGTCACAATTTTCCTACGCTCCCAAGCTTTCACCATGGACCTGAGCGTTTCTGGCACAGGCGACGCTTCAGTAGCAGACCCGTACGGCAGCCAGTCTCTGCAAACTCAGTTGGGTACGTCCATCATCCCTGTATACTGCCCTAACTCCTGCTTTTCGTGCTTGCAACTCATCCCCTACTCCCTCCCCGTGTGCTGAATTGTGTCACATCAACTCTCTTGCCGCGGCGATGTACGTTGAAACACCTGTCTGAATGCACGATGTTTTTGAGCAGGACTGCTTCGTCCACAGAGAGCGGTGCCCCAGAAGTCTCTCTCTGGACCTCGCTCTGGTTTCAAAAATCGTTGTGCATTTCTACAGCTCCACGCGTGACAAAGTTTAGCACTCGGGGAGGTCATTTCAAGCACTTTTGATACATGTCTTGCTTTACGGCAGAGTACACTGCTTGATTCCGGTCCTAGTCTTTTCACCTAAAGTTGTCTTTCTCTTTTCTATACCTTTTACCGTGCTGGGGTACGTAATAGTAAGACTGATCCTTGGGTACAGATACTGCAACACTTGCCGAGGACATTGTTGTCATACTCGATGCTACAGCTTTCCAGCAACCTTCGGTCCCCATAGTTCGAGGCGCGACCGACCAACCTCAGGCGGCATCCAAGCTGACAACCCTGAGCTTCGAGCTCCCACCTCGTACCATCAGCTCACCTCTTGATGAACGTTTCGTCAAACGCCTTACACGCGTCCGATCAGACAAGCAGCAAACATCGCAGCCGGTCAGACAAGCTCTTGACGCGCTCAAATCTGACGTGTTCGCTTTCATCAAATCTCAGTTGAAGCTCCGCAATATCGGCACTCACGGTATGGAACAACGTTATCTGAACTGGTGCTTGCCTAGGATCCTCGACCGCCAAATCTGGGAAGGAATCATGGAGGATTGTCTCTTCATCACTCCAGCTGAACTGGAGCAGGTATTGGACTTACGTGACGTTGAGCAGGTTTACCTAGCGCAGCCTACTGGTGCGACGAGCTTTTACCTGCGCACGTTTACCTTCAAGGTTCATGAGCTACTCCAGGTTCTACAGGAGCTGTCTGCAGAGGGCTACGATTACAACCGCAAGCTGTTTCTTTGGTAGGTGGCTTCCATTCCTTGTGTGCTACCTCCCCGTGTGCAGAACTTTGTCACGCGCATGCTGCAGAAATGCACAATGTTTTTAAGATCAGTGCAGCCGTCCACTGAGAGTGCGACAGTTGAGAACTCTCTACGGACGGCCGGACCGATGTTGAAAACATTGTGCATTTCTACAGTCCAAGCGGCCCTAGGCGTGGCCGTGAGATGGCTAGACGTGACAGATTTTAGCACATGGGGAGGTATCTCAATCAACTTCGCAACCAAGTGACGTGCTAATTGCTTGCGAATGGCAGGACCGCTCGGCTGAAGGGAGTCGACCCATTTACTCTCATCTACGTCAGATACGCTGGAATGACCACATACGTACCCTGGATGCGTCATCTGGACGACATTACCAGCGAGGCTGGATCTTTCGCTATTGCATTCATTCAAAAGACACTTTTGTCTTTTCCGGCCGTGATTCAAGGTACTATCGTCCAGGAAGTTCATGATGCGCGAGTCGACTTTGCTGTTGACCAGACCCTGCTCAACGTCAGAGAGCAAGCTCTCATCAGTCTCCTCGATTCCGGCGCTTTAAATACTGAAGCTGGAGGGGCCTTCAATCATGATCCGTCTACTGAAGACGAGATCATGTTCGCTACATTGAGAACTCGTGTCACTGCCCAAATCACATCCTCCACAAAGGCTTGCACTCCGGCCATACTCCAGCAAGTTCAGGATCTTGCCGGTGACATCCAGCAGTATGCGAACGATGACCCAGTGTCGACGGGCACGCATGTCTTCACATTTGCTAATGTCCATCGCGATGCTATTATCGATGGCATGACCCCATCATTGACTCATAGGGGCATGACACCTTTCTTGACAATGGGTTCCGATGTTCCTTTGACCACCTTCAAGAAACCCAAGACGTATTTCCTCGAGGCGAGCTGTTCAGCACACCTCTCAGCCACTACCTGGAACTATTTTGGTGCTTGGGAGGAGGGCCTCGATCGCTTCGATGGTAGCTACATTTCGCGTTTGGTCAAAGGCCATCATGTTCCCTTCATTGACCTGTACCCTTGGCCAAAGCGAGACCCCGCAACCACAACTTCTGCCATGGAATATGTCCGTCGTTACTTCGGTATCGCCAACCCTCTCGTGGTCCTTTGTCACGGCGAACTTGTAAGTACATCCTGGCTCGCTATTGTGCTCTTGTCTTTCTGACCACATCCTAGGTCTCCAATGTTGCACTTGGCAATCTACGACATTCCAAAGGTCTACAGCATGATGACCTCACTGGCGCGATAGGCCAAGTCTATCTTCGCAACCATATGTCGCTCTCCAAGCAAGATCGTGACTCAGGCTTCTATGTCGCCGTTCCGTCCCTCCATCCTGGATCAATTGGGTACCGTGGAACTTCTGTTGGGGTCACCAAATCCATCTTCTTGATGGCCTCGATGGTTGGCTGGCTCGCATACCACGAGGCTCTCATTCGTTCCAATTCTACCGATACCAAGAAGGTCATTTGTGAGGAGATCATCTCTGCCGTCAATGCAAAGACTGGTGCCGACACTCCCTTCGAAAAGCGTCTTACAGCCCTGAAGGCAGAGCTAGCCAAGGAGCTTGTCATAAGGCGTCGCAACTACGTGGACGCCGCCACCAAGGCAGCCAGAACGGCCGAGATCAAGACTGCGGCCAAGTTGCTGACACTTGAGAGGCGTACTCAAGCACCTCGAGCATCTGGACTGGATTCTACTGCACTTACAGTCAAGTATGTTCTCTACTCCGGCAGAAAGGGCGTCATCATGGCTACCCCGACTACCATCTGGGCTCAGGCAAGAAAAGAATTGGATGTTGTTCTACAATCTGGTTTCTCCTTCAGTCTACCCCAGTCACATGAGCGTACACAGGAAGTTGAGAGAGTTTTCAACAAGCATGTCGCCAGTCTTCAAGTCTCCGCCGCGGCCAGTGGAGATAAGAGCAAGTTCATCAACTTCGCTAAGTCATACAAGGTCCCTCAGGGCGGTAGTTTCTATCTCTCTGCCGCCAGTGTTGAGGACACTGTAAAGGATCTGCCTAACTTGATTCGTTGCTTCTTGCCCGACCATGTCTCTGACCCATACGACGCCAAGTGGTCTCGTGTATTCAATCTGAACATGCAAACTCTTGCGATCGCCGCCCTGAGAAAGTGGGTCACGGAAGCCATCTCTGGTGCCACCAATGACCAGCAGGCGGCAGTTTCTGTGGCCGCCAAGTGGTTCAGTCACATGCAGAAGGATCCCGCTGTGTTTGCTCTACTCGGAAAACCCGCTTCTTCAGGCAGTGCACCTTCAAGCAATATCTTCACTACGACTGATGATCTCAATGGCGCCGAGATCACCATCAAGGCTCACTGGGCCAATTTTGACGCCACTGTCGTCAAGCACAGCTTTTCTTGGATGACTTCGGACGGCACAACAGTGAGCATGGACAACATTCCCATGCCACGTACAGTCATGCCACAGACTGACAGCGACAAGCGCTTCATCTTCTTCGTCCCTGAAGGCGTTGATATCAAAGACCAGCATGGTAACTCTATCGATGCCTACGAACTGAAGGGTCAGAAGCAGGCGGGTAAGCAAGTTGGAAAGCAAAAGATGTCAGTCTATCCCACTGTGCCCATCGCCACTATTGTCGCCTCCCTCGGCAATCATCCCAACGGCAAGTACTTCCTGGAGTTATGGGAGTCTCAGACCGGAACTACGGTTGACGATGCTTTGGACTCCTCATTTGTTGGACAATCCAGTGTTGGCGATGGTGGAAGCATTATTCCGGCCAGCTACTTCACAGGCGGACTCTCTCGTCCTCTGCCAGTCTGTCTCATGTACAATGCGAATGCCAAGAAGGCTATCCGTGATATCCTTCCGGTTTACCCAGGCGATGCACTCTGGCTTCTTCACGAATTCTGGACAGAGTGCTACCCTGAGGGCGGTGAGGTCAAGTTGACCAACCCCTCCGAAGACACCAGTGGAGAGTCAGCACACAGTAAGCTCATCGCCTTCCTCCAAAGACCTCTCTACCGCCAACATCCGTTCGCCAGAGACTTGCGTGCCATGGTCAGCCTCTCACACAACGGCGGAGATGATAAGAAGAAGGCTACTACGACTTTGAAGAGTGCAGCTGACGTTTTGCGTGGCCTGAGTAAGGCTGCTACAAACAGCACCATGCGTGTCCCGGCTACTAGCGGTCAAGGGTCAATGGTCATTGGAGTGACCAGATTCTTTATCAATGCGACCGCTCCTGATAACGTGATTGTCGCCTTTCCGCCTCCTAAACTTGTGCCTGACGATCTCGGGATCATCAACGAGGCTGATGAAACGGAGGATGTTGATGAAGATGACGCGGAAGATGGCAATTTTGCTGAATCCAGCTCTGCCGCTGAGGCTAGAGGCAGCAAGAGAGGACGAGATGAACAGGATTTGGATGACGAGCCACAGTCTCAGCGACCTCGCCACTGAGCTGCTGCAGTCTTCTCCACCAGCGTGGCAGCGCCTCGTCGTTTGACCTTTTTCCTTCTCTTTTTCCTTGGTACACTTGACTCTATCAACCGCCCCCATGGATTCACAATGGAGTACTAGATACAACTTGAATTAAATCAGATTGCTCTCCTTTTTTGCGTGTTTCCGGTCCATTCACATGTGGTTCAACTCTAGAATAGAAAACTGGACCAGTGGACAATCTCTACTATCGCACTTGACTTCATCCCCCATCGGTAAATCAGCACAACTCCTACACACCCTGTCCATATCCATTTTCTTCTGATGCGCCGCTTGCAATTTCGCTCTTAGGATGGAAAGCGTTAATGCCGGTGTCTTCGCACACTTGGCGCAAAGAGGTAGGATGATTTGACCGGGTATGGGAGCTACGGGGGCGAGCTTGACGCGGCAGACTACGCAGGTNCGCGGACGTTGGCGCCGACCAAGTTGAATATACGCTCTAAAGGTGAGATCAAGTTCTTGGAGATGTATTCGTAGTCAATGATCGCAGGATTTCTCAGAGCGCCATAAATTCTGTCGTCCATCACGAAACAGTGATTTCTGTTCTTTGTATCTGTAAGTTTGTCACTTTTGTTCTTCTCTTGCGGAGCTACATGGAGTTGCGCCTAACACGACATTGCACAGTCTGCGCTAAATCAGAGTTGTGTCTAGAAACGACTCATCTCTGTGGAAGCTGTGCTGCTTTTTTATCGCCTCATGCAGTTCTGCAATTTATGTAAATGGGCATCTTGTTGCGGCGAGAGAGAGATGGCAGTGATCAATTTCTGAGGTGACTGATAGTATGAAAACTTCAACAGCTTTAAGAAACAAAAGGGCCACGCGCCGACCAGCTTGCTGGTCGGTCGGCATACATCAAACCTAACCAAAACTAACTAAAAATTTAGATCGCGTCTCCTGGCAATAACAAGCTCGCCGTTCTCGACAATGGGCCGCTGTGTAGTGGGCAAAAAGTGAGTCTGATCGGCATGGGGGTCGAACCCATGACCTTCTCCGTGTTACGACTATGCAAGAGCATGTAATGTAAAGGAGACGCGATCTAAAGTTTTAGTTAGTTTTGGTTAGGTTTGATGTATGTTGATAATTTACTCACAACCACTACGCCAGCCAACCGGATCTTGAAGAAATTGGCAATTTTACTATTAGATAATACTTCACACAAGAGCGTTTGACTTTAATCATGATCCCAGAGCCTCTACTCGCAATCATTCAAGAGTCATTCAAGTCGAGCAAGTTGGCTTGTTGAGCAGGATTAGGTAGCATAAAAGGTCGAGACGTGGGGGCGAAAATCCGTTGAAAAATGCCTCAACAAGTGAACCCCGAGGATTGGCCGTGCATATCGAGTACAGGGAGTCTTCCCTCGAGCTCGGGGAGCATAGGGAGTGGTTGAAGTATAATAAAGGATAGTTAATAAGTGATATAATCAAGAAAATAGAGAACAATGTTCTGAATGAAATTTTTGGGCCAAGTCTGAAAAAACAGTCTCGAATCTTGAGAGTTCACAAGCACAAAAAACATCAAAAGACGTTCTTTTCCAAAATGCATTGCTGTCTGCAATAAGACATGAGAACAAACTTAACTGAATTGATGTTGGAGTTGGAAATGCATTGGCTTCTTGAGGTTCTTGTACTAAGACATGATAACGCTACTTGTACGAAGACTTACTGAGTTGCTTGTCAATAAACACTAGAGCCGTGAACTGTGAGCACAATGTTGAGTAGGCATCAAAAATCTCATGGTGGAAAGGATTATACCAAACAGGGCTGGACGTCGAGAGTGTCAGGCTTTCCCGCAGCCCGCCCGGGCGCCTGCCACCAACTCAACTCCACCTCTTTCTGAGCTGCCTGACCACAACCACAATGATGCTGGGTGTTGTTGATTGGCATGAAGATCTAGCAGCTGTTTTCAATCTTGCATCTTGCAAAAACAATAATTCGCAGTAAGAGACAGTTTCTTAGCACCTTCAATTAGGGTAATTCTCGGATCGACTTTTGCCCTGGTACAATGTGCCCCAAGTGCAGTGTTCAGTAAAAGAGGTCAATGTCCAGATCTGATGGCGTACGAGATAATTGATCAATCCAAGAACACGCAGGACGTTGCTGAAGAGATCTGTCAAGTTCGGTTCTTGTTCCCGAAACTTCCTTGCGATCAAACACCGAGAAGTGGAAAATATTGTCGAAATGATTCTCATTGGGGTTACTGTACTCCACGAGCGCGGAGATACAGATAGAGACTCGACAACTACCATAACAATAGCTGTTATGTCTTCCGATGTCCATTAAGACGTTGCTGCGCTGCCAGATGATTGTATTCAAGTATAGCATTGATAATAGCCAAGCGAGCAGGGTGATACAGGCGACGAAACTCACGCCAAGAATTTCGCTTGATCCGAACAGCTGACTTGATCGAGTCCAGACCTGGGATATCTGATTCGAAAGCTCATCGAGCATTGCGTACATATATCAGCTGGACTCCCACAGGTTTTTTTTTTTCCAACCTCTTCGCTGCTACGGATCGTCCTTGTGACTCGAGACGCGGTGCTGAGATCCAGGGTGGAAGTGGAGCATGGGCCATTCTTGGTGCCCCGCACGAAGTGACCTCGGTCAGCAAACCCCCAGTCACGGTCAGGACGACTTGACTAGGAACACGCTTCGCATGGCTTCCTTCAGGTAATATGAGGAAGTCTCGAACCATGACGTTAACCTCGTAGACTCAATGCTGCTCCGTACGTGGGAGTATTCGCACCATTAGCCCCGCAGCTGACCTTCCCGTTCTGCCCTGTTTAGTGCCCTATCCCGATAGAGTTCGGTAAGAGGGGCTTCGTCGGCCATGGCCATATTGACCATATTAGTAGTATAATCCCCGAACCATGCCATGCTCTTCCCTCATTCTTGGTGTGAATCCCCAAATCGGGGTGTTGTCACGCAATGTCGGTAGGCAGGAAGCTGGGATGCCAGGTGAGGCCTTGCTGAATCAACAAATGCATCGGAGCCGTCACTGACTGGAGGCTGGAGCAAGACTTGTCGAGATAAACATCTCAAGTGGTACAGACATGACCTGATATCTCCTACAATCCTTCTTCGCTGATTAATTGCTTTCCTCTGGTTAGCGACAAAGCAGAGCCCACATGTTCGAGGTGTGCTCAAGCTGGGATTGAATGCATTCGTAGTGTTAATCTCCGATTCAAACACGATGGTCTTTCAAGGTAAGACGCGCTTTCCCAATGGCTTGTCAAGGCCTTTGCCCTGCATCATTGTCGGTATGCATGCGCTGTTGCTGCATCCTGAATTCTGTTTTCTGCTTGTATCATGTTTCACGAACGGCAATCTGCTCTTTCTGAATCAACTTCGATGGCCGACTCTGATAGCTCTTGCTCTGCCAAAATCTTCTTGACCCGTCCCGCTTTCACATCATCTGAGAAAAATTGACCCTCTCTCAGGAAATTCTCCTCTGCCCCGTCACCTGGAGGCACTACCAAACCAAATCGCGACGATGGAGAACACAACTGGGTCCGTGTACCGCGAAAGCTCAGCTTTATCAACCAAACACGTGAAGTCATGGCAACATACGGTCAGGGAACAGAACACGAAGGACATCAACTGAACGAAGAAGTTCTCGAAGATGATACGCCAGATGAAAATACATCTCAGCATCATGGTTCTACTGTTGGCACCGCCTCCGCTTCAGGTACCAATCCTGCTACGAACAATTCCCCTGCTCCCAGTCAAGTCGTCGTGCCATCGCCTCAGACACTGCAGCCACCAGCAACCTTCCAATCTCCACCAGTACAAGATGTCGAGATGCATGATGAGAGCTTTCCAGAGCTGCACCATCACCTTCAACACCACCATATCAACGCCGAGACCCACACTTCGCCTTCTATCGCCGGTGTCATGCAAGCCACTGAAGACGAAATCATGCAAGCCGTAGAAAATCTCTCGCCTGGATTATTCCATGACTTCGCGGTCCTTTCGCCCACCCAGACGAGGCAATCATACGCATCACCGGACAAGACCGACATGACCCCAAGTGTCTTCTATGACGAGTCGACTCCGTTCACCCCTTCCGGTATACCCATCGCATATGCAAGCCCAGGAGTGCTATATACAGAGAGACCAATCTGGCCTCTGAAAAGTTCTCAAGAAGCACACCTCATGCGCTTCTTCGTCGACAGGATCGCGCCTGCTATAGATCTATGTGACAGGGATCGGCATTTCGCTCTTGTTGTACCGCAACGCGCATCGCAATGCCCAATTCTGCTCAATGCGGTATTTGCAGCTTCTGCAAGACATCTGTCCACCATATCCGACTTTGATCCTATCGTCTCCAACAAATACAACCAAGAATGTCTCAAACATTTGATCCCCAAACTCAGCGATGCCGAAGCTATCACAGATGAGAACCTTCTTGCAGCGACAGTGATATTGCGCCACCTCGAAGAGCTCGAAAGTAGGTGAACTATCCTAGCAGACACGACCCAAAAGTAGACGGCCTACTAACGAGCACGTGCAGTATCTATGTCAGGCTCCGACGTTGAGAATCATCTACTAGGAACACACCTTTTGATGAGTGCGCAAGAACATCATCGTGCCCTCGCTGGTGGACTCCGAAAAGCCGTATACTGGTTCGGCCTCAGGCAGGAAATCTACGTCTCCTTCGTCAAACAACGACCAATTCATGACTCCTTCAAGAGATGCACCATGGATGTCCCGCTCAACCCTATCGACGATTTTGACTGGGCCAACAGCATTATCGCGCGAACTGGTGAGGTCATACAATTCTGTTTTGACGAAAGGGAACATTCTACCACGAACTACGATCACATCGTCCAACACTTTGATGCCTGGTTCATCCAGAAGCCAGATTCGTATATGCCCATCTATGCGGTGGAAGCCAATCCGTCCAAAGTATTTCCCGAACTCTGGTATCTGAACGATGCGGTTATTACAGGATTGCAACACTACCATCTGGGTCGAGCACTACTCGCTGTATACAACCCGAGGATACCAAGGTGATCGAATCCATCTATTGATCATGTCGTTTGTGTACTGATTGCTACTCAACAGACTCGGTGTTGCACATAGAAACGCCTTGAAGGAGGTTGGAGTAGGTCGATTGTGATCACATAACTATCAAACTGGAGCTGATCGATGTACAGGAAGTGTTGAAAGACCAAATCAAGATCATCTGCGGTATAGCACTATCAAACCACTCCATCTCGGCGAGCTATGTGTAAGTGAAGACGTCAAATGTTACAAAGAACGGAGCTGACTTATGCAGGCACGCATCTATGATGATTGCAATGGGCGGCGACCGCTTTACAGAACGTCGAGAGCAGGAAGGTCTCTACGAGATCTTGATTAAAGCACAAAAAGAGTACGCTTGGCCAAATCAATCTGTGTATGTGACAATTGTATCTTTGCTCGCATGTGGTTCGCTGACAAGTAACAGACAGGAGCATCTCAAAGAAGTTTGGGGCTGGCAATCTGGCACCACTGAATGATGCATAAAATACTTCGTTGACTTTGTGGGCTCGGCGTAGTCATCAGCTCGAATCCAGCGTCGGTCTCTCTGGTACTGAAGGCCTCGAGCCTTCGTTCCTTAGCACGTGTGCTTAGCCCTAATGATCCGCAGCTTGTAAAGCAGGCGCTGTGGAAAACGAAGTAAGACAGGACTACCTCACAGGAACGAAGTCCTCGCTCAAGACCAGACATTTCCCTATATACCGACAATCTCTTTTGCTTGAACGCACAATATCATTCCGGAGACTCGGTCCACACCCACACCCACACCCTCATCTGATCTCTGACCTCTGATGGTCGACTTCTGGTTGCAATCCTTATGACTCGAGGACTTGCGGATTTCAACGGACTGCATTTATCGAGAACAAGGTTCTTGATTGACTATCGGAAAAAACCTTTCACGATACGAGTTTTCCAACGAACACAGCACGACAAGACATGTGCGGAGAGAATTTGGTGCAAGTTTTCATATGTTACCTATATTGATTTGAGTTCGTTCGGTCAATTGAGCCCGAAGCCTCTGGCTGAACTGCAAGTTCAGCTTCGAAGCGTCGCAACCAACGACGTGGCGGAACTTTTCGTTGACCTTCAGCGGCTGTTCAACCTTGCAACAGGGCAGGCCTGTCACGACTTTTCCAATCTCGACCATATATTTACGTGCTGATTGCGACGGCAAGATCTATAGAGTTCGTGTTATCGATCATGCGCTGCCGTGTCACCTTCGCAGGCGAGAGGGCCAGAATGAGCAAACAGAGCGGTCGTCGTAATCTAGATATGTCTATTCAAATTCTCCAACGATGAGAGACACTTCGTCGTCAATATTCGCTAGATCTCAAGAGACCACTACAAAGCCGTTTGGTTGCCTCACACATTCCACGCGATGGGGAAACTTCGGGCCACGTGTATGAGGCTTGATCAATATGTACCGCGACGCCTTCTGCATCACCCCTAACTCCCAGCTCAACGGCTTTCGCTTCCCGTCGACGCCATGCAACACCTTTTTGCGCCCCAAAGCCTTGCGATACTTCTTCCATGATATAAAGTTGTATGGAAGTGTGTCGAGCATGTTGCGACTCCATAGTCAAGAATTCTAGTCCACTCGGCAGATGCTTGCTTCAGTATGCAGATAAATCATAGGTCTTAGAGTGACACCCGGCCAGAACAGCTCGTTGTCGGGGCGGTCTATCGATTCACAACGTTTTATCAACGTCGAGATTATGGAGGTATGTATGGAGGCGTACAGGGATGCTTAAGTAGAAAATCTACTTCCTCGCCATTTCGTTCTGTTCTGCGTGTGTTTCATCAATCTTTCATACGTTCGTTCATACCTTTCGTCCAAGATGCGCAACATCTCTAGCATTTCTACCTTGGCCCTGCTGCTGGTTTCGGCAGTGGCTGGTAGTGTATCACCTTCTGTCGACAGCACTGAAGTTGAGCGCGCTGTGGAGTGCCAACCTGGATCTGGATCTTGCAATGTTGAGCTCGTGGACAGAGCTGTAACCAGCTCAAAATCATCAAGTTCTACACACAAGACAACTTCGACCAAGAAATCATCCTCCACCAAGAAGTCCAGCTCTACCAAGAAGTCAAGCTCGACCAAGAAGTCTTCATCGACGGCCAAGACCACTGCAAAGACTACCCTCAAGACTCAAGTCAAGATTGTAACGACCAAGTCTTCTACAGTCACTTCCTCTTCGAAGAAGCCTACAACATCATCGACTGTAAAGACCACCGCAAAGACCTCAAGCTCAAGCAAACCTGTTTCTTCGAGCTCGAAGTCAAGCTCCAAGGTCTCTTCCTCATCAATCAAGCCGACCACTGTTGCCAAGCCTGTCTCTACGACCAAGGCCGCAGTTGTCAGCATCAAGACCACCTCTAGCAGCTCGAGCTCGAAGAAGATATCCTCGACAAGCAGCAGCAGTAGCAAGAAGATTACTTCGAGCTCCAGCTCCTTGGTAAGATGCATCGGCAGATTCTGATTTCAGCAGTATACTAACATGATATGCAGAAGCCTACTTCCTCTTCTTCAGTCATCAAGACTAGCAGCACCAGCAGCACTTCTTCAAAGGCAACTTCGACATCAGTCAAGCCCTCATCAACGACCTCGTCAGTAACCATCTCGTCTTCTAGCCCTCTTAGCACATCCATCACTGCTGCGGTATCAACCTCTACCCAGCTTGCACTTCCCTTGTCTATTCAGCTGTCTTCGTCGAGCTCCCTGGTTAGCTCCGCTGCAGCATCTTCTACCATTGCTGCCGCCGCTGCTGCTTCATCGAGCAGTGACTCATCTTCGTCGATTAGCAGTAGCTCATCCTCGTTGATCAGCAGCAGCAGCTCGTCGTCTCTGATTAGCAGCAGCTCGTCAGTAGCTAGCAGCTCTTCGTTTTCGTCGAACAGTAGCTCGGCAGCAGCAACCAGCTCAGCTTCTCTCAGTAGCAGCTCAGTGGTCAGCAGCTCGTCGATCAGCAGCAGCTCTTCTTCATTGATCAGCACTAGCTCTTCGGCAGCTGTCAGCTCGTCCTCGTTGATTAGCAGCAGCTCGGCAGTCTCTACCTCGAGCAGTTCCGTCGCCTTTTCTTCGAGCAGCTCTGTCGCTGACGCAGCTGCCACTGCTGCCTCATCATCGAGCAGCTCTGCTCTTCCGTCTTCCTCGACATCTTCCTCTGCTTCTATCACATCATCTTCATCATCCACCCAACCTTCCTCAACCAGCACACTCACATCTTCCTCCAGCAGCAAAATCGCCTCTACCACCTCGATCAAGCCAACCACTAGCTCTTCCAGCAGTGTCAAGCCCACAACCTCTTCCACCAGTAGCAGTGTAAAGCCCACCACTAGCTCCACAAGCAGCAGTGTCAAGCCCACCACCAGCTCCACATCCTCCACCCCCACCACCGCTTCATCCTCTTCATCCTCATCTTCCACCTCCTCCGCCGCCGCAACAACCAGCAGCAAGACTTCTTCCTCTTCTTCTTCCACCTCTTCCGCCGCAGCAACTTCCTCAGCAGCAGCATGCAAGCGCAGAAGAAGAAAGATCAGAAGAAACGCCGCCGCCGCCGTCGAAACCCCCTCAGCTCCTCTGATGAAGATTGAAGATTTGCCGGCCGGTGCTGTGCAAATGATGGACATGATGAACTAAGTGCTAAGCCAAGAAAAAGGCTTTTCGTTGATCGAAAATGCTTTGTGGGTTTTGTTCTCATTTGATTTTTTCTGAATTGGAGACTGTTAATTTGTAAAGATGTGTTGAGGTTGAGAGATAAGATAGATATATATCATTGTGTGTTAATTTTGATACTATTTGTTTACTTTTTTTGTACGTTATAGGATCCACTTCTTGTCGTGCCATCTCTCCTTTTGTCAAATTTTGTGAGGCACACACACCCTCCTTCCTTTCGAGATATCGGCCATCTTCTCTTCTGGGTGATCTGTCAAGTCATGGCTTCATTCTCTTAGCTTGCATCACAGTCATCATCTCATCATTCCCACAAGCACCATACACGAGATACGAAGCACGAACGACATGGTAATGAGTAAAAGATTTCATGAGAATAAGAAGTAGATATAAAAGGCCGTCATGGAGAATCATAAAGTTCGTTGTGCACTCTCAGAGCGCAACAGAAGAGAAAAAAGACCATTGTTGTGGCCGTGGGAAGGAGCGATCGAGAGAAGGTAGAGAGCATGCAGCAGGTACGTCGGTCGAACCTGCGTTCCAATCGTTTTTGTGCGATTGGTAAGAACGACCCAGCCGTCTCGACTAGTAGCTCTTGTGGACAATGCCAAGTTGAGCCGATGGCTCAGCCTCTGCTCTGGGGCTTTCCAACATCGTCAGGTGAGAAGTACGCAGACTCAGTCTTGCCCTCCTCGATATCATGTCTTCCTCTTCTCTGCCCCAGCTGTTCAGCCGGTGCTTGCATTGTATCCTCAATCCCTTGCTTTTTCGGAGCCGCCTCGATAGCTTCAAGCTCAACAGGCGGACTCAATTGCGTATCGTCGAGCTCGAAATACTGATTCTGCGGCGATATGGGATCTTGCGGTATGTGCGAGATAGGACGTTGGTGGTTCTCGTAGTGGCCGAAGTAGTCGGGTTGATTGTGGATGGGTGAGTGGACGGGTGTGACGATGGGGCTGTTATTGTTGTATGGGCGTGACTGCTCGAACCAAGAGACGCGACGTTGTTCGTCTGGTGATGGAATGCTTGCGAGCTGAGGAGAGCCGTTTGCGAAAATGGAGTCGCGGGTGAACCATGAGTGACCGATGCTGGGGGGATTGTTGATGCTAGGCGCATTGCCTACGCTTGGTGGATTGCTGACGCTGGCTGGTCGACTGCCGCTCGGGCTAACGTTGAATGCCTGAGTGGTAGATGTCAGGTGTTGTTCTGGTGATGTCTGTCAGTATGTTTGAAATGCCATGTTTGAACTGGTATCTGAGCGTACCGGCCGTGTCTGGTCTCTCAGGAGCGGGCTGTTGGGGGCGATCATCGACCTCAATCCCTTCTGCATGTTCTGGGGAGTAGATGGTCCTTTGTTGAGTGTCTTCTTCTTCAACCGGGGAGGGCATAGACGGAGACCCTACTCCCCGCCATACATTGGGATCCGAATAGAAATATCCATCTTCGTTGATGTAAGGTCCCTCCTTGGGTGGTTGTTCGATCTTACGCGCCCGCCGTTTGCGCTTCAAACACCACAGAATGCCGATTAAGACAAGAGCGATACCAGCTATACCTCCGACTACTCCACCAGCTATCGCACCAATATTGTCTCCAGAAGATGAGGAAGCAGCTGAGGGCGTAGTTGTCGCCGCTGCCGTAGAGGTAGCAGCGGCGGTAGCAGAAGTCGTTATGAAAGCTGAAGCCACGGCTTCATCGGTGCTTAGACTTGCAGCAGTCAAGTCTTGCGTCGGACATCCGCTCGAGCAAGGGTTGCTCTTGCAGCAACCCATGAAAGCTGGATCGGTTCCAGCACATGTGTACCAATTACTATCGGCATCGCATGTTTGGTCCGGAAATGTGCCGTATTCGGCAGTGTCGAAACTCGCCGGTCTGAGGTTTTTGGTTGGACAGCTTGTGGTCTCGTCGCAAGGATCGATGCTGCCAGTACAGCATCCAACGAACCTGGAGCCAGTCGTGCAAGCGTACCAGGATCCACCACTGGGACAAGAAGGGTCGAATGATTGGCGCGGCCAAAGATCGCGATCATAGATCAGCGCCATTGAAATGGTGTAAGATGGGTTCCGAAAAGAGTGACTGGAAAAGGAAGAAGTGCAGAAGGCATTGACGTACTGCGACCTACCTATATACTTTACGGCCGCCCACCAGTACGCGCAAAACCAAATGCCTGAGACTTTCCGAATTAATTGCTGGAGGTACGTGCAACCATCAAGGCCCTGGTTCCCGAGACGATGAAGACTGCTCGAAGACGCAATGTGAGCCTGGCTTTACCGTACGGCCCGTACCATGGCTTCTAGGGCTAGTGATGGTGTGCATGGAAGCTATATTTTGACCACCATGAGGTGTCTGGGGCTTGCTGTGTCGGGGCAGGATGATCCGGTGTAAGAACTGGCTTGCAGGCACGACAGCCACTGGCCATGTTTGTCCACTTGGAGGACTTGATCGCGATAGACAAGACATGGAGAGTCACTAGAGAGGAAAGGCGGATGGCTTCGCGAAAATTGACGACGTGTGTTGCGCGTTTCAGAAATGTGGACAGACCAGCTGCTTTGCTGCTGTTCAGCTTGTCAACAAATCTCCCTTTACCGAGCCATATTACCTATAAGCCGGTTCGCATGACGAAAGAGCGGGAGGTCATCAAGATCTGTAGATGCTCGGCTTTGTGCACCAATCGTGGTAATCACCATCTTGAATATGCTGCGATGAGATGCCGATGAGGGATCGGTTCAGGAATCAAACTTGGAGGTAGACAAGGCAGCCCAAACAGCCGGAGGTCCTTTGATGAGGCTGCAAAGCCAGCCACCCCGCACTGTGCTTGGACAAACATTCACGCCCGTCTGAGGCGACGATTTTCGAGTGAACACCGTTGTTTGTGGATCTGCACGCGGATGAAAGTCGAGAATGGCTTTCCTTGTTCTGTTCCAATCATGAGAGACAGATGTCTAGTCTGGCCTTGAACTTTGACCTTATCTTCAGAACTGGACGAAGAGGGCTGTTTCACCTGCAAGTCCTTCTAGTCATGACAGTACACCGACTTTTTTCCAGACTTGCAGATGCTAGTCATATGTACGGGAGCGTAGAGGAACCCTGGCGTGTCTGGAGCCAGCAACTCTGAAGCCTCAGAACATGACCTCCCCGTGTGCTAAACTTTGTCACGCGCACCCTGTAGAAATGCACAATGTTTTTAAGATCAGTGCAGCCCTCCGCTGAGAGTGTGATACTCAGCGCCTCTCTGCGGACGACTAGAGAGATCTTGAAACATTGTGCATTTCTACAGACCGAATAACCCCAGGCATGACCGTGGGAGATGGCTAGTAGAAGTGACTGAATTTAGCACACGGGGAGGGACCAACGCCAACATCCCAAACTTTCCGAAAAGTTCTCTATACCAATTTCGAATCTAGAGAACTTAGTTATCAGCCGTTTGTAAACACATCAATAAGCTGAGTGGCGCAGCGGAAGCGCGCCGGGCTCATAACCCGGAGGACCTTGGATCGAAACCAAGCTTAGCTAATGATTTCTTTTTGCAATTTTCCTAAGATCGGGGATTTTTTTTGTCTGAAGTCCAAGATGAAAGGCTCTCTTTAGAGACGTTTGAACTACACACGACGTCGCTGAAAGCTCTTTTACGATACTAAGCAGTGCTTGCGGAGAGTCCATTTGATATTGCGACTATCTGTTAGACTATTGCGCAATCTACGGTATCTCTACGGTGGCAGATCTTGCAGAACCCACTACTGCAAGGCACAATACTTTTGCGTTTGCTTGATCTGTCCGTTCAGAGGGCAGTATACTTCTTATTTCACTGGACGTGATTCAATATTGCTAAACATTGTGCCTTTGGACAGGCCTTGAAGCACCGTGACAGGGAGTAAGAAGTCTGGTTCTGGTAAGCTAACTAGCAGCATGTTTATATTACGTATACTGTCAACCATGTATAGACCATCCGCCTGTCAGACACCCGGTGTTTGCAATTTTCCTTTGGTCTGTGTTGGCGGCAGACTAATCAACGAGAGTGTAGGGACGTTGCTCCTGACGGGACCCAGGCCATCGTGTTGAACTTTGGCCGGCTGGTCGTTGCTCACCTGTTCCCACCGTTGTTGAAAAGGCAGGAAGGATGCGAGCAGCACGAGATCTCCGGCTGATTTTGCCCTCTGGTAAGATGCGAGGATGTTGACGTCCAGGGGGTTCTGGGGATACGCAACAGCCATTGTGGCAGCAAAAGTTTCCATCTGGGTGGAGGTCACCTTTGCGGGAGTGTAGCGCAAGGCGGCAAGCATGTTGTTCGCCTCCTGGCTCTGAGTCGAGTTGAGGTTGCTATACTTGTCAACCATGAAGAAGTTATGCTTGGTCTTTAACCAAGGGTGGTCAACGTCTGCCTTGAGCGCGAATTTGGTGCGGGGGGCACTTGTGAACGTGCTGGTCGAAGTGTGTTTTCTCTTCGAAACCTTGCTTGTGGTCTTGGTTGTCTTTGTGACACAGTTTTCGCGACTTGGAGGCTCTTTGAGGACTCTGCCAGCCTCGACATTCCAGACGGAACGGTCAGCCAGGAGTCGCTGCAATCAGAGTTAGCCTCGAACCAAAAACACGACCGCAACCTATTTTACCTTGATTTTGTCAGCCCAAATCATGTGGTTTTGGGGCCCAGCCTTTACAATCTCCGTCAAGATGTTCTTGCTGAGTGTCTTTCGTCCTTCGATCACTTTGTTTCTGCCCCAGCGGGCACTGATACGGCCACTCTTGGCCGTGTGCGGTTGCCACTTGATTTGCAGGCCCGAGCACCACTCGAAATCTGCTGCTTCCCATAGTCCTTCGGTCGTGAAGATGTCTAGGCCAACACTGGCCATGGGCTTCATCAAGTCAGACAGTCTGAGCATAAAGACCTTGCCGATGTCGCCTCTGGTGTGGCCAATCACCAGGAAAGATGCAGTGGTTCTCTGTGATCTTTTTGTTGGACGAGCCAGGCCTGATCTTGTTGTCGGCCTCAAGGGCCAGGATGAGAATGCCGTCATGGTGCCAAGTGTGATGCACCGTAATACCCGGAACACCTTGCTAGTGTAGTCTTACAACATTGGCGATGTTGCGAGTATTACAGTCTAGCTCGTTAATTAAGTAGCTCTCGTCCGCGGGGCCGTCGTGTGTATGCGAGAGCCTTATGCGAGGTATCTAGAAGAGAAGCAAACTACTATTTAGGTAATAGGCTAGGACTTATCTAGTCTACTAATCTAGTACATTAAGGCAATAACTATACGGTAGCCTAGATTAGTAAGCAGCTTACAATTAACTATAATAAGCTCTCTTATAGCTAGTTCCTAATTGTCCCTATTAAAAGATTTAGTAAGTTAGTAAAATTAGTGTAGTTATAGTAGATAAGCTATCGGCTATCTTTACTCTTATTAAGGATAGCTAAGATAGTCTATATGTCCCTTAGTATAAGGAAAAGCTTAACCTTACAATCTATACTTAACCCCTAGGTGATTGTAAGAGTATAAAGGTATGTAGCAACGTATGAAGTCCCGCTAGTGATATGGTCACTAATGGTGAAGACTAATCGATGCCCCGAGTATCGGTGTCTTCGAAAGTAAAGATATACTTGTGTGTGCCAAGCCTCGCTTAGAGGCTTGGGCTTCGTCGTAGAGGCCACCCTGGCCTCTCCGGTAACAGTGATTAAGTTAATTTAAGCTATAATAAGTTACTTATTTGTTTAGGGGTTCTACTATAAGCTATTTAATTTCTATAGTATATCTTCTAGGTCTTATGCATTTTCTATTACTAGGGAAGAGTAGTTTATGTAGATTTATACAAATTATTTTAACTTAGTAAGGATATTGTTTACTAATATACTATACTTAGGGGCAATAACCCTAGCTTTATTACTAAGGCACTATTCCTAGTTAGCATAATTAATAGTAAGTCTCTTAGCTTCTATAGAGCTTTAAATCATATAAACTAGGACATTGCTACTATATAATAAGATAGCGCTATTAACCTATTCCTACTTAGTATAGCTAGATTTAGTAGGGTAACCTTATCTACTTATCTAGCTATTAGCAATATTTAGTAAAGACCTTAAGGAGTTACCCTAGTACCCCCTAAAAGTAGTAATAGCCTCATTAGTAGTATCTAGGATAAAGTCCTAGGGTTATAGTTTAGTCTTAATCTAAGTAAGGAAGATAGGGTCTCCTAGGTAGATTTGACTCTCGATACGTGAAAAACTCTATAAATTTCTTTTGCTAAAGGCCTCTAGATTAAAGCTAGCTTCTACTAAGAAGGTAAGCTGTCTCGAAAGTGGAAACGACGGCTAACTTTAATCTTAATTCCGAACAGGTAGTTAAGATTTATGCAGCAGAAATTTAGATGAAAGAGCATTTAATATTCGTTCCTAATGGAAGGAGAGACTGTTTGTCCTTTCTGTTTATGTATGTCAAGCTCAAAATCAAAGTACTGCTTGAGAGTCTTCCATATGAGCCTCCCTAGCCTGTTGTAACGGCTTGTCAATTTGATCTTGTCTTGTGATTAGAGATGCCTGGACCTCGTTTTCCCTGTCAAGGTTCCCCCAATTCTGAAGCCATTCGAATTTCCATGTCGACATTGACGTGATGAAGTTGGGGTTTGCCGGCTGACATCGTTTGTTGGTCCATTGATTAACGATCACGTACAGCACCACAGATCCTGGCTGCCGAATCTTTCATAATGTGCATCATGATATCATGGTTCAACACGCGTCCGCTCATCCTCATCTCAGTTCTCCAAGCTAACTCCTCCTCACCAATGGGATGAGGAAACTTGACAGGCACGCGAATGCCGTTGGCAACCTGTTCGGCTTGCTTCTTCGCAACCCACTTCTGCTTGAATTGCTCCAGATCCTCGTACCACTGGAGGAACTCAGGTGTGTCAAAGTCTTGAGGATGGAAGGTTGGGGGATTCTCGCCTTTCTTGCGCAATTCGGTGCTCATCTCGTTGGCGCAGTCTTTAGGGATACCGGAGCCGAACATCGTGTTCTCCTCGTTGTATCTTGCCAGATAGGCCTCTTGGTTCTTGTTGACGCAGAAACCAATGACGAGCCAGTCCTTGAGGACGTTTAGGTGTGTAGTGTCAAGGTTGACATGCTTACCGTCCTCGCTTCCGACTCCAGTACCATAGGCGAGAGCTGGTCCCTTGAACAGCTGATGAGTGGTACCATCACACAGATGGTTAACAGCTCTGTTCAGCGATGCGCCGTCGAACATGGAAGTGTCGCGAACTCGAACGGTGATTCTGAGAGCAAGCTTCTTGCCAGTCTTTGGGTCTTGAGGAAAGCCCATGGCGTTAGTCTGGGCGTGCTTCGTGGAGCCGAAGCTAGGGTCGAAGTAATTGCCGACGACTGGGCACTGTACTTTTCCGGGTCTGATGGGCATCCAGCGAAATTCAGGCTTGGAGGCTTCGAAGGGGAAAGTAATAACGCGCATCATGTTCGGACCAGGAGGTTCGCGAGCGGCCTTGAAGGAGCGGCACAAAAGCTTGTGAACTTTCCAATCGTCCTTCTGACAGACGGGACCGCAGTAATAGATGTTCTCGCAACTGCCACAGAGTTTGCCAGGCTCAGAGCAGACAGCGCAGTGGTTGTTGATAGGCGCCATGGTGGCGTGAGTCATTGTGATGTGATTGTGATGACAATGGTGTGTTGTAGTTGCTAAGATGGTTTGATGTTGGTGAACTGGGAGAAAGTATAACGTTCAGATCTTGTCTATGGGGATGAAGTACAGAAGGAAGAACTTACTGGGTTTTAAGTTGAAAGCAAAACCGATAGTCTGCGATGGAAGGGGAGGAATGTCGGGGTGAAGTCGAGTTTGAAGGTGGAAGAAGGAGAGTGACGAAGAGTAGAGTTGGATGTGGTCAACTCGAAGTGAATGTGGTTATGTGCGTGTTGGCGTGTGTGCATTCGTATGGAATCTTCTTCAAAATCCACTAACCTCACTTATTGTGACCAACACATACACTACCGGAATCCCAGCCTTGATGTAACCCAGTGCAGGTAGCAGAAGGGAATGCTCGAAAGGGACACTGTCAACCATGTAAAGACCACCCGCCTGTCAGACACCAGGAGTTTGTAACTTTCCTTTAGTCTGTGTTGGTGGCAAACCAATCCAATCCGTTTGTAAGACAAACAAAAAAGACCGATGTATTGACGCAACTATACTCTCGAAGGGTTCGCTTTGACTGCTGTTGCTTACAATCAAGCCAAATCTCGACAATCATAAGATGATTAGCAGATACAGCAAGCGGGAGTTCATGAAGGGGCACATATAGAACAAGTAAATTTGATGCAGGGCCAATTCTTTGAGTACTTCAAGATCCTGTGGAAATGGGGGAATAACAGAAAGCAAAGTAACGCCGTGATTATCGTGTTCCCAATGATGGGTAGTCGTGACAGGTACAAACAGTTACATGTCCTCGCGGAAGATGCTGCGGCGCTCGCTGGGTGAGTCGGCAGATTGAGCACCAAGACTTTGTTGGTTCTTGTGATGCGGCTGCTTCTGGACAGAAGCTCCAACAGTGGTGTCGACAGTCGGGCGTGAGCCGTTGTTCTTGAGGCTGCTGCGCTCAGCGGTATTGTCGCCGAATGGGTTGGTTCCGTGCATCTCCTCATCGTATCTGGAGTCGAGTTCGCGTTGACGACTGGCAGCACGCCCTCTTGTCTCTTCGATGCCCCCGACACCAACGCTACCTCCGCCGTATCCATGTCCTCCGTAGGGTCCCGAGTTCATGTCTGGTGAGCCCAAGTCATGCTCTTCGTAGTAGCCATCGCGGTTGACGCCGTAGTCTGCCTCATTGCCGACGCGCGAGTCCCAAGCCTCGTCAGGATCCAGAGGGCCAAACCCACGGTGTCCACCTCTTCCATAACCACCGCTGGGCTCGTATGCTCCTCCTGACGATCTTCCACCACCGACACTGCTCTTCAATGCGCCAACCTTATCCTTGATCCATCCACCGATGCCTCCGGCTGCTGCTGAGGGTGCGACATAGGAGTTTTGTTGTCGTCGGCCGCGCGTGAAGGGGTTGAGAGAGGGAGCGGGAAGGCCCAATCGTCGGGCACGGTATTGTGTGAAACTATGCGCGTTTCACATGTAAGGATATCTTCTTCGCAAGGACGTCCATCTCTCGAGCTCTTGTACCCGTATCCATGGTCGGATGAGGGTGGAATACGAGACTTACATTATCCATGCGCAACCGCCTATGACGATGAAGACAAAAGCGACGAGGAAGAAGATGCCCCAGCCGGATAGGCCGCGGTCGGGATCGCTTGCCATACTTTCTTGATTTCGTATGTCATGCGATGGGAGATGATTGAAAGGACTGCTGTCGTCTAGCTTGTACTTGTGGTGGAAGGCATGAAACTGGCAAGTCAATGGCTGCTTACTTGGTGAGGCCGCTCTCTGGAAGGGCTCAAGGCAGCCCGCAGCTGTATTGAACGCTATGACGGACGACGAGGGCCGAGCTTCCGTTAGCCGCATTTGTGCAGACATGTGCATTCTTGTGCACGGCGATAACGGCATTAGTATCAATCTCCCAATCTGACACCATTCACCTAAGCGCCTGCCTAATCTTGGTCTTGGTCTTGGTCTTGATCCTGAGCCTTTGCTGACGAGCTTCACATCTCACCGAGATTCAGACAAGACAGCCCACAAACTCTCTCCACTATCCTATATCCTCTTTCCCAACAATTCCCTTCGACGTCCCCTCTGCTCAGGTCACAAAATACTGGCGCGAAACGTTCCAGGTCGCAGCATCTGATCACCAAAATCATGGCATCTGCTCGCCATGTCGTCGTCTCGACGGCCTCAGGAACCGGCCAGGCACAAAAGTTCTATGAAACACAGTTGACGGACACTTTCAAATCTCTTGGTTTCAAGGAAGATGAACACTTCTTTGTCCATCTCACTAAGTCTGAGGATACCATCACGGAACTTACGAGAGATGTCTTTCTTCCCGCTGCAAATAAGGGAGCTGTTCTTTCCATCATCTTGCTTAGTGGAGATGGCGGTGTCGTGGATATTATCAATGCCATCTTGACTTCCTCCCGAGGCCCGGACTTTGCTTGCCCGGAAATCACACTGCTACCACTAGGCACTGGAAACGCACTCGCGAACTCGCTGGGTGTCACAGCAGACGATAGCATGGGGTTGACGACATTGATGCAAGGAAAATCGCGACCACTACCAATCCTTCGAACCACTTTCTCTCCAGGCTCAAGACTACTCGTCCACGAGGGCAGCGAAGAAGCCGAACTCCACAGCTACAACGGCAAGCCGACCATTTGGGGAGCTGTGGTGTGTAGTTGGGGTATGCATGCTTCTCTCGTTGCAGATAGTGATACGACCGAGTACCGCAAACATGGCGTCGAACGCTTCCAAATGGCAGCGAAAGCCGCGCTCTACCCAGAGGATGGCTCATCACCTCACAAGTATCGCGGTCGTGTCTCAGTTCTACGCCGATCAGAGTGGCACGAGCTCGATGAGAAAGAACATGCCTATGTCCTTGCAACCTTCGTCTCCAACCTCGAAGAGGGCTTCACCATTTCACCCGCCTCGAAACCTCTTGATGGCAAACTGAGGCTCATTCACTTTGGTCCCATGTCCGGCGATGAAGTGATGAAAGTTATGACAAAGGCATACGATCAAGGCAAACACGTTGAGGACGAAAGAGTGCGCTATGAAGAAATTGATGGCTTGAGAATATCCTTCGACGACTCCGAAGAAGACGGCCGCTGGAGAAGAATTTGTGTTGATGGCAAGATCATCCGAGTCGAGAAGGGTGGCTGGGTCGAAGTCACCAAGGAAGACGCACATGTCCTTGACATCGTGTGCGGCGCTGAGCATGCTTGATTGCGATTGATACCCACAAAGCTAGATCTGACGATTAACGAATACAAACATGCCATTCTCGATTTTCACAACGATTAATCACAAAATAAAGCCCCCATAGCGCTTCAAACCTCTGCTACTATGGACTTCTGTATTACAAGAAGCAAAAAAAAGGACCTCCCAACCCAACTCCCACCAACCGTCTTTATTTCGCTCCGAGCGGGCACGGATCAATTGATGAGAGCCAAATTGCTCAGTCGTAGACGGCCCAGCCTGGGCTCGAACCATTGCGCTGGAGTGATGAACAAGCCACCACACCATTGGACCGCTACAGAGATTGAGTTGGTTTTGGGCTAATATGTAGGTTGTGGTTGAAAGTGAAGGCATGGTTACTTGGGAGGTAAGTGAGTGAACCAAATCCTTACAGTGAGAGAGAGAGAGAGTCAAGTCGTGTGTAATGTTGGATTTCAAGAGAGACTCACAAGTGAAACACATTTCTGTTGAAATCATACCAAACAGCCAATCCTATTCCTAGAAAGCTGTCAAACGTTCAATCAACTCCAAAGTGATTATGGCATGTAAGGGCTGCAATCATGCGGTCGAGAAAACTCAGGGGCTTTGGTCGTTTGTCACTCTTGATCTTCTTGTGATCATGGGTACATGTTGTTCTCAGGTGTGCGTGTTGTATTCTACCTTGTCCTCTCCTAGTGGCACATTCCTGACACTATCGTCGAAGCTGCTTCTTATCTCTGTCTTGTCTTTGTTCCAGATATCGAGTTGATAACGAGAAGGAGCCAGTGAGCAAATATCCACTGTGTACCGAAACTATTCTCTGAAACACAAGTGTGCTTGTACGCGGCATAGAGCATGAGATGGGAGATTCCAAGTGAAGAAAAAGGAGGATAGAATGTGTTTCAATCGCTTATTCTATCTTTCCTGGGCCTGACTACCTGGTATGAATCGCATCCTGCTTCTTATTTGCTCTTCCTGTGTATGTTCTTTTGTCCCCTCATTTCTCTGACCTAGCCAAGCTTCCCTTTCCTTCTTTTTTCAAGCACTGCTTTTGGCTTTTAGCCTGTTCTACCCCTTCATCTAGAGATGCTTCAACTCAAAGCCCTTGTCTTTGCACCAGGCGTAGAATCTAGCTCTGGTGATCGTGTCCAGCATCTTTCCTTGCAGCTCCTTGATGTTTTCCTTGTGCTCTATGACCTTCTTGTCGTCTTTGGTACAGGCTTTCTTGAGTTCAAGTTCAGCGAGACACTGTTGATGAGTATCAGCGAACGAGGGGCGCAGGTCGTCTTTGATCCAGGCGCAGAATGCTTCGAGGTAGCTTGAGAAGATCGGAAGTCCATCTTGACGGATCACAGCTACGGTTCCAATCGTCTTGGCCCTGAATCTGTAATGGAATCAGTATGTGTTCGGACAAAGTGTTGATATAGACGAGTAGGGTGTGCTTACCTTTCGGGGATCTCGCCGAAAGATTCAGAGTGCTTGGTCTCGAGGTTCAGCATAAGGAGACCGATGATGGAATTCGCACCTTCTGCTGATGCTGCAGATTCGTGTGGCTTGTCTTTCTCAGAGCGCAGCATAAGGGTGAGAGGCATGCCGAACAACCGTGCTACGGTAGAATCGGGTCCGAGAGTGCAGAGGGCACCATGGTTGGTAGGAGGAATTTCGAGACCCGAGAAGCGCTTTGTGGATGTACTGTTGTCGATGATGGCATCTCCTTGGATGAGCGCACCCAGAAGGCGCTCATTTCCATGGATGACCAAGATGTAGTCCATGATGGCTCGGAGGTCGGTCGGGTCGGCATCATTCCATTCGAGGAACTCTTCTGTATCGCTGTCGTCGCCGTACTCAATGTCTTCCTCATCACTGCCTTCGGCTTTGTCTTCCTCAGAATCGCTGTCATCGAACTCGCTGGGGTCGGCCTCGCTGTCACCATAATCCCTGACGACACGTCCGGTAGACTTGGACCTTATTCCACTACTTGAGCAGTAAGCAATGGCGGGTCCCTTGAAGTACGAACAAGTCTTGCCGCTCAGAGAATAGATGGATTGGTTCATGCCGAGGCTCTCACGGAAGTGCATGTGACATTGAAGCAATATGTCGTGGCGCAACTCTGTTCGTTGAAGCGGGTTCTCATCAATGCTGACTGGCCAGAACTGCTCGCCGGAGAAGAATGTCTCTCTGATAGCACCAAGGCTGGGGTGGTGGCCAGACATAGGTAGCCAGACAAATTTAGGCTTGTCGGAGTCGACAGGAAAGTAGATAGCGCGGCGTTTTTGGCTGTCGGGACGCTGCTGGAAGTTTTCGAAAGATGCGCAGAGAGTGCGGTGAAGGGGCCAGTCGAACTTCTGGCATTCTTTGCTGCAGTAGTAAGAACGGCCACAACGAGAACAGGCCTTGCCAGGACGAGGGCAGACTGCACACCGCTTTTTGTCATGTGGTTGCATGGTTTGTGAGATGGTGTTGTTCGGTAACGAAGGAGATCTGGTGATGGAATATCTGGAAGAAAAGAGAAGGCGTGCCTAGCTGTGTTGTGATGGGGATAAGAGGCGATTGGCTGTCGTTGAGCGAGGATGTAGTAAGAAAGTTGAGAAGCAGAAAAAGACCATCTAGCAGTGCGGCGAAGAAGGCACCCAAGTTCCTCTCAAAGAGTGAAACTCAACGTGAGATCGAAGCAAACGCACAGCAGCAAACGCGCGAGTTATGACAAACGAGAGGGAAATAGCACCAATGATCACTGAGAGCGACAAGGCACTATGGAACTATTGATGCATGCATTGCTTACTGACCGAAGTTTCAATCACTCGCTTTCACTTCACTTATCTGTTCCTCCCTTGATCATGCCGTTACCTCCATCTGCATCATGAGCCACCCATCCGAAACGGCGACACCACACGCGAGCGTGTCATCTTCGAGTATCCCCTGCCATCATTTAGAAGTGCTCCAAATTCAATCCCTCCTTCTCACACCAGCCATAGAACCTCTTTCTCGTGATGCGAGCCAGCATCTTCTGGCGCAAGTCAAGGCAGAAGTCTGCCCGCTTCTTCCATCCCTCACTATCGGCGGCAGGGTCAACATTCAATTCTTCAGCAATTGACAGGCGAGCATCGGTGAACAGTGGTAGTAGATCATGCTCCACCCAATTGCAAAATGCCTCCAACTGAGCAGTCTCCAGCGGTCTACCATCCTTGCGAACCACTATGGCGTCACCTAGACTCTTCTTGATGTAACGTTCAGGGATCTCAGCGAAGTGGGAGGCATCTGAATTCTTGTTCTCCAGGTCCATCAGTAGAAGGCCTGCAGTCGAGTTGTAAGAGTCGGAGGGCATATCTGAACGAGCTGCTTTGATAATCTCTTCATATTCCTTCGACGCGGTCGCATCTGCAGGGATTTTGAACATGATCATAAGAGGCATACCGAAGACATAGGCGATCTGAGACTCAAGGCTAAGAGGCACTTTGGTTACACCAGGAAGACTTTGCAAAGTGGCTGAATCGAAGCGACGGCCACGTTTGCTCGACTCTCCATGGCTGAAGATGACGCTGCCGTGAAACGGTTTGCCAGGCTCGAGCGGTCCCATGATCCAGTTGTTGATGGATCCGAGATCTGTAGTGTCGAGGTCTGTGCACACAATTGTCTCTTGACCAGCTGCATTCATCTTCATTTCTGATCCATAAGCAAGGACAGGGCCTTTCCAAGATGTGCAAGTTTCGTCGTTTAGTCTGGAGAGACTCTGATTGACCGCAGAGCCATCAGAAGCGGAATTTGCGCGGTAGACCAGCACAATCTGTGGGTTGAGCTTCTTCATGTAGACCAAGTCCTCATCGATTGTGATTCTTTCTATGCTGCAGTTCGAGTTTTTGAAACACTTCTTCTTGATTCGCTCAAAATCAGGTTGGTTGGAAAGCCGATCCGTCTCTATCCATACGAAGCGTGCCTCGCTTTTGACGGGAAAGAAGATGGCACGGCGCATGTTCGAGTTGGGACGGCGTTGAAAGTGCTGGTAAGTCTTGCAAAGGGTGCGGTGGACAGGATAATCCACTGTCTGACATTCCCTGCTACAGTAATGGGAACAATTGCAGACAGAACATGCTTTGCCGGGATGAGGAGGGCAGATGACGCATTGGTGCCTATCGTGTGGTTCCATCATGATAATGCGGTGTTGCTGAATGCGTGGTCCGACTGTTGACTGAGTGTGTCCAAGAAATAGGCCGAGGAGTGGAGTGCTACAAAGGGAACGCGGAAAAGGTCAGAATAGGACGGATTCGTTTGCTTATAGAGGAAAGGCTAGTTCCTCCTGTCATCGCCAGAGCTTTCTTCTCGATCCTGCGTGTAGATAAGAACAAATGATTCCGGTTCCAGGGCCATCTCTGCAACCACGTCTACGTTTTAATGCAACATCAGCTGAAAGAAAAAACCATTCGTGTTTCAAGAAACAAGGGTACCAGTCGCAAGAACATCCATCACGCTACGCACGAATCAGGGAGAAGGTGTTGTGCAAGAAACAAAACAAAAGTGGTATTGTACGTTGAAAAACAAAACTGCCGTAGCTCAAGACCGGTCACCGTCCAAGCCTCTTTATTCTAGTTGGGAATGAAACAAGGCATGAGAATGTTATGATACACATGAGGAAATGGGGTAAAAGGAAAAAGGGTGAAGATCCAGCGTCACCCCTCGTCCGTTGCGAAGAAATACATTAATGATCTCGGCTTACAGGAAGAGGAGCGAAGCAAGGAAAGCACCAAAAGTTGCGGCACCCGAGGAGACGACCATGGACGATGCAGCACCAGAGCTGGTGGCAGCGGCCTGAGAGCCAGTGGCAGTAGCGGAGCCAGAGCTGGTACGGCTGGCACTGGAGCTACCACCAGTGCTGCTGCTCTGGCTACCAGTAGCTGAGGCGGTTCCAGTGGGGGTAGAAGGAGTGTAGTTTCCAGCAAGACCAGGGCGGTTGCTGTCCTGCTCATCAAGAACAGTGAGCTCGAGGTCGTTGATCTGTTGGCCGTTGTAGTCGTAGACAGTGGCGGGCATGGCAGTGTTGGTGACGGACACAGTCTTTCCCTGGTTGGGCTTGGACAGACCGTTGTTGATCATGTCATCAACACCATCGGGACGAGCGGGAAGGTTCCAGCTGTTGTAGAAGGTGCTCTCGGTGATGAGCGAAGGGTCGCAAGCGGGAGCCTTACGGCCAGTAGCAGTGCTGTTTGCGGAAGTGAGGAGGTTCTCATCGAGCTTGGCGTACTGAGTGGCCAGGTAGTTGTAGTCCTCACGCAGGTGGACCTCGTCGGCGCTGGTGATGTTGACAAGGCCGTAGTCGTTCTCACCCTGGGTGTACTCGTAGACCAGACCACCAGACATGACGCTCATCTCCTCGCCGTACAGAACAGGCACGTTGGTGAAAGTGCGGGGCTTGACGAGGTTGCAGCCGTACTCGGAGAAGAAGACGGGGATGCTGGTGTTACCGAACTGGTCGACAAGCTTGTTGTAACCGGACTGCTCGAATGTCGAATCTCCACACCATTCATAATCATTCAGGCCGAAAAAGTCAATCTTTGAAGATGTCGAGTTAGACAGCTCACAACCAAGGTACTCCCAAGTGTCGCTGAGCGATGAAGCAACATCGGCAGCCGAGTAACCAACGCCAATCTCTCTGTCGACGTTCTTTGCGATGTAGTCCTTCATGTCGCGGGTGACAGCGCGGATGTAGGCAGGAGCCATGCGGGCGCTCTCCTCGTTGATGATTTCATTTCCAGAGAAGAATCCAAGAAGGTTGGGGTAAGGTGCAAAGGCCTCAATGATGCTGAAGACGTGGGTAAGATAATCGCTAGTGTAGGTTGTCCAAGGGGCAGTGCGATCAATGTATGAACCGTAGTTTCCGTTGTTCACGTCGAGAAGCATGTAGATACCGGCAGCGTTGAAGACGGAAGCGCACTCGTCGTGGTTGAGATCGGCGATCAGGTTGTAAACTCTGATAGTGTTGACACCAAGGCGTTGCATAAGAATCGCATCTCTCAAGCAAGCATCACCATCACTCAGAGGATCGCTAGTGTCGCTGACTCCAGATGAACCGCCGGGTTGGTAGCTACATGACCGTTAGATATGCGCCTTGACAGATATGGCGTCATGATCAATACTCACTCAACACCAACAATGGAGAAGCGGTTCTTGCTCGACCCGGTGATAAAGTTGGAGCCCTGGACAGTAAGAGGCTGAACTGCTGCGGCAAAGGATGAGAATAGCGAGGCCGCTGCCAGAGTGGCGCCCGAAACAGATGTCTACGTTTAGAGTCAGCATACGCGTCTTTGAGATAGTGGCATTGCGCTTGTATTGCGCCTTGATGAAATTACCGTCTTCATGATGATGTTGGAGAAATTTGGGATGATTTTTCGAAAGCGAACGTGAGGTAAACACCGGAGGAAAGAGCGACTATTAAAGAGGAAAGTCCCAGCCTTCTCACCAAGTCAACACAGCAAACGTGAATCCAAAACCTTGCTATTCTTGAAAAAGTGGGAGTACGAGGCTAAAGAAGTATCCGGGCCGCGGCGCCTCTTGGAGCAATCGAAACCAAGCGGCTTCCTCTGATTGGACGGGAGATTACATTTCACTCTGAGACAGATTGCACGGACCTCTGCCGAGCCAATGCCGACCGGATCGTCGAAGAATATTCGCAGGCATATGCAGATACTCGTATTGCTGGTCACATCTACTTCCAGAAAATCCCTATCGTCAACATGGGCACTGTAACCTTCACCAATGCTTCGGCTACCACGGTTGACGGCAAGCTTGTTGATGCCTGGAATGCGAGAAACAATGTCATCGATCTCGTACAGGATGGCCATAAACTTCTCGCCAGTACCATTGAGGACTCTTTTATCAGCGTCTCCTATGTCGGGAAGGGGCGGACATGAGCAGCAAAAGGGAGCAAGCGGTCAGATCCTCAGTATCCAGAAGGAATGTGAAGTAGGAAGGAAAAAAGCAATTGGCTTAAGGACTACAACAACAGGAGGGTGATCAGAAGGTATTGATTTAGTAACAATGGAAAGACTTTACAAAACACTTATCACTTGCGTACCTGTTTTCTTGTTGATGTCCTGTTCCGTCAAATGGCAAAGCGTGAATAACTCTCATCGATGACTCGACAGAGCAAATTTGAGTACTATACAGATGAGTCTGCAGAGTCAACACATACATATATAAGTGACATGATACGGAAAAGCTTTCTTCTCTGTCGACCTTACAAAGATTTCTGATTTATCTTCTAACAAAGCAAATCTATCAAGTCATCATGAATATCCTTGCCGCCTGCCTTGTTGGCTTGTCTTTTGCCAGCACCGCCTTCAGTGCTCCCATTGCTGCTCCGTACGATCGAGCTTTGATCTCTGACGCCTCCATTCTTACTGCAAGAGATCCAAATGGCACTGCTCTTGGGTCAAAGAGAACCTCCTCAGCCTGGTCTGGCGGTGTGATCGAAGGTCTTGACCTGAAGACTGTGACTGGAACATTCATACTCCCAACAATTACCGACACCACACATTTCGACCTCAACGGGAACCAGACGTTTGGCATTTGGGTAGGCATCGATGGAAGTGCCGGGGAGGGCTGTGGAGGTCTCCTTCAAGCAGGTGTCTTCCTCGACACCTTCGCTGGCCTAGCCACTTACAAACCCTTCTACGAATGGATTTCGGATCTTCCGATCCATGAACATGCCCAACTCAACCTCTCGGGCGGCGACAGTGTGACCGTTACAGTGACCGCCACGTCTGATACCAGCGGTTCCGCCCTGATCGAAAACAACAGCAAAGGCACCGCTTTCTTTCTCCCATATGCCAATCAGACAAAGCTATGCCAGCCCTATACCGCTGATTGGATCGTGGAGAGACCAAGGGCTCATTTTCCAGGTTTTGACAACTTTCACCTAACACCGCTTGTCGATTTCGGGACTATTACGTTTACAGGTGCTTCAGCTACCACTACTGATGGACGTCAAATCGATGCTTCAGATGCCAGACTTCAGCTTATGGACATGGATATCTCTGGAGGCGATCTTCGTCTTACTAATGCCACCATGGATGCTTCCTCTATTGTCGTTACTTATGTGGGAAATGGAAAGATATAGTCAAGAGTCTGGGAAAGGGATTAGGAACTCGGCGATGGAAGCGATGCGTGCACTAGAAAGAAAAGGAGGGGCTGTGATGGATGCTGTGTCCCTACCTAGATGATAATACGGTCAGATTTTGCAATTCTCATCAGTTTAAACTTGATGCTTGTTTGTCTCTTTTTGCAATGGTGCATACGACAACGTACTACCGAATCTGGAGGCTACCCGTGATGATGCTAAGATTGGTTTAACAGCTACACGCGTAACAAAGTTCAGCACAACACGGGGAGGAGTATACAATAGCCGCCAGGCTCTTCTCAACCATAATCTTAGCTAGTGGGTACCGTAGCACACTCCGGAGCTCTTTGACCTGAGGTTGAACCGACAATGAATAGTGAACAATGACCCACTTCTATCGCCACAACAATGTGAGTATCTTCCTCCAGGTAACGATTGAGTGCTTCGAAAAGTGAATTGCTTCGATAATGACTCTCTTGAAGCGCTTTGGAAACTCTCCCCTCAGAGGTCACCAGTCGAGCTTTTTTTTGGCCCCATAAGGTCACGGTCTTTACAGTTCTCCATTGCTCATGGTCCAGATCAATGGGTTTTGAACACTGTGGCGAAGGACAGCTCTTGCAGAACGTTCGAACGGAGAGCAATGCTCAGACAAGGTCGAAAGGACGTTTGGAGCCGGGAGTAGATTGTGGAGTTGCGCGGGAGAGCAAGTCATTCACGATGCGAGATGAGAGTGCAGCGCGAGCAGACTCCTCTTGAGCATAGTCTATCTCGATGGCGCTAGGCTGAGGTGTCTGAAGCGGTTCAATAGGCTCAACAGACTGGACTGGCTGAGTGGACAGCTTGACCATAGCCTGGGCAACGCGAGAACGCGAAGGAGGAACAAAATCTGGCGTGATCATACGACACAGACGAAGGATGTGAGGGTGCTTGTTGGGCTCGAAAGCATCGAAAGGCAAGCTGCCGTGGAAGATAGCTTGCATGACAGTATCGTCCAGATCGGATTTGAGAGACTCCTGGTTGGCAACCTCGGCAGCAGCATGGCTTGTTTTTGACAGCAAGGGCTGCTCGATGCGCTGCTCAATCTTCGTCTTGAGCTCATCAGGGAGTTGTTTCAACTCTTTGTCCCCAGCATTAGAGGACTCATCATCGAGTAGAGTCTGCAGATAGGTCGAATAGGGCTCACAAGCAGCGAGGTGAGCAACTTTGCGGGCGACTATGTTTCTTGCCACTTTCTTATCATTACAGTGTCTGCAGATGGCCATTGGGGTTTTGGCGCCATCTTCGAGGGCTTCGAATTGACGAGAGATGTAACCTTGTTGCGGAGGCATGATTGGATGTGAAGTGTTGATGTAGAGTAGACGAGGTTAGCATCAAGAAGCCTTCACTGTCGGATGCGAAGGAGTCGATCTCGCGTCTTGGATGCACCTGCACCGCGTTTGAGAATGGAAGCTCGGACCCGACTTTCACAAATTATGTCATCAGTGGATTGTTGTGCAAAAGTGCATGATATGACGATGATTGCTACAAAGTCCGACTTTCCGAGCTCGACCAAGTGAATATTGCCGTCCTTCGAATCACTTCTACGCCCTCGATCAGACGTCGCCTTTCACTAGATCAAGGCTCCAACTCCGTCCCTTCCACAACAGTCTCAACTCCACAACTCGAGTCTTCGCAACAACCACAACTCAACAATCAGTGGCAACTTTCAGCCATCAACACCAGCAACCATGGACGACGAACTGATTGCCAACTTTACCGCCATCACCTCAGCAACTCCTGAACGCGCCCGCCAGTACCTCACCTTGACCGATAGCAACCTTGAACAGGCCATCCAACTCTTCTTCGACAGCGATGGTGCCGACATGGGCGCCGCCATGCCACAGCAATCCACCCAGCCCGCTGCCCAACCAGCATCACGCCGATACAACGAGGACGACAACGGTGTTGTTACGATAGACTCAGACGACGATGACGCCGCCTACGAGGACGATGAGGCAATGGCAAGACGCTTGCAGCAGGAGGCTTACGGATCCGCCGGCGGTGAAGACGATGTCAGAGCACCCATGGCAAGAACTACTGAGACTCTCGTCGGCCCTGGCTCTAGATGGGGTCCTGCTGGCGATGATGAGGATGACATCAACGCTGCCGTCGCCGAGCAGATGCTGGCACGTCAGAGAAGAGGTTGGTCATTATGCTTGCGACGGCCTCGATAGCCTGCTAATCTTGCAACAGCTAACACACGACCCGGTATCTTCAACCAAGTCTCTGTCTGGGACGATGCGAACCCCGGCTTCGCCACTCCGTCCGACCCAGAAGCCCACCGCCGCAACCTTGCTCGTGCTACTGGAGGCGCCTCCGAACAATCTTCCAAATCAACTCTGCTCGCCGAACTCTTCAGACCTCCCACCGATCTCATCTCGCCACTGTCGTTCCAGGACGCTCGCGACGAAGGAAAGGAAGAAGAAAAATGGATCATCGTCAACGTTCAAGACCCCTCCATCTTCGACTGCCAGGTCTTGAATCGCGACATCTGGAAGAATGCTCAAATCAAGGAGACTGTCCAAGAGAACTTCATCTTCTTGCAATACTCCAAGGACGACCAGCGCGGTACACAATACGTTCAGTACTACTTCCAAAACAGAGACAGCGATGACGCATACCCTCACATCGCCATCGTCGATCCCCGAACTGGTGAGCAAGTGAAGGTCTGGTCAGGCGCCCCCGTCCCAAAAGCCGCCGACTTCCTCATGGATCTGCACGAGTTTCTGGACCGTTACAGCCTGAGTGCTTTCGCAAAGAATCCGGTGGCTACTCGTAAGCCCGAGAAGAAGTCCAAGGACGTTGACAGAATGAGCGAGGAGGAGATGTTGGAGATGGCCATGCAAAACAGCCTGCAACAAGGCGGCGCAGCACTCAAGGACGACGATCCTGATGCTCTTACCAAGGATGACTCGAACAAGGGAAAGAGCGCAGCCGTCGATCCAGACGCCATGGACATCGCCGACACTGGCGTACCAATCCAGAACGCAGAGACAGAACCCTCGTCATCACAGGCAGGTCCTTTCGCCCAGATTGCTTCCGACAGACCTCACACCGAACCCACAACGGATTTGGCAGCGACAACTCGCATCCAGTTCAGATATTCTGGTGGAAGACAGGTCAGACGTTTCGGGCTACACGAGGAGGTGCGCCGCATGTACGAGTGGCTCAAGGCATCACCCATCGAAGGCAAGCAAGACTTCGATTTCGAGCTTGTCTTCATGGGCCGCAATCTGATCGAGGCTCTGGATCAGACCATTGAGGAGGCTGGCCTCAAGAACGGCTCCGTGATGATCGAGTTCCTGGAATGAGATGGTCTCGAGATAGTCTGGAGATCCTTGTCGAACGCACCTGCGAGAGAGATGATGGATCCTAACGTAATACGCTGGAGGAAGGGGATATTTCTCACGCAAGCTGCATACATAGACGGCATTGAGGGTACTCTAGCTAATGCATAACGTATAATCATGACAAAACGTATATACCTACCATTGAGTACTGCTTAATCGTGAATGTGCCCGAGTCGCGCGTTAGTTGAGTACGATCGAAGGGTCAATCTCATCATAGGTTTACCACGAGGGGAGCAAAACATAAGATAGGTATGGATTACACTATCAGGAGCAAAAGGATGTCGCAGCCGTGAATCGAACACGGGGCTCGTGCATGGCAAGCACGAATTTTACCACTAAACCACTGCGACTTGATATAGTCGAGCAAAACTTTTGTACAATATGTTCTGCATAAGAATGATGGATCCGGTTCGACGTTGCCTCGGTCATAGTTAGCTGCCTTCCAGACGCGACACGCGTGGACAAGCCGGAGCGAGCTGATCATCGACATCTTTCTTATAACCACGCCAAATAATCGCAATACGTTGGTTGACCGTTTTGCGCGTGTTTTTATTGCTTAGGGCAACAGTGTCGAACGAGTCTGATGATCTAATCCGCGCTCAGCGTCCCAATTCCGCATTTCTATCTCAGCGACGCGCACTTTCGCCATAGCATAGACTTGTCGCAAACTTGATATCTCAGCGCCTAGCGACCATTGCGCCATGTCATCGCCACTGTCAGAAGCTCCTGAAGAGGCTGCGCCTGCCGCCAACGAACCTCGCTCACGCCGCTCCGGACGCGTCTTACGCAAGCCCGAACTCTACATTGAAGAAACACCCGCAGCCTCGAAGCGCAAGCGTGACGCAGGAGACGAAGACCAGGAAGACCAGAATGACGACGAGGAGGAGTCCGAGGAAGACGAGAGCGAACCTGGTGAGGAAGAGCTCCGCGAACAGAAAGCCAAAGCACGCAAGACAAAGGCTGCTGCACCCAAGAAACCTGCTGCGAAGCGCCCAAAAACTAACGGCACGTCGGTCGCATTGCCTGTCAGAGCGGTAGCAAAGAAGGGTCGCTCGAAGAAGGCGAAGGGTGTGGACGAGGCGGCTGCCGAGGAAGCTGGAGGTCTCTACGGTTCGTCCAAATACCTGTACATGTTACGCGCACACAACCTGACACTACCTTGCAGCTGAGGTCTTTGCCCGAGGCAAAACACTGGACGAAGCGGCAGAAGACTGGCTGAAATCTTTCGAGGAACACGAATCACGCGCTGTGGCCGACCTGGTCAACTTCGTTCTCAGATCTGCCGGCTGCGACTTGGAAGTTACGCACGAGGACATTGAAGATCCCGACAATTGTGCCGGCAAGCTCGGCGACTTGCAAGAAGAGTTCCAGGCAGTATGTTGCCCTCCTCGGACCACGCGACTTCTTGCTGACTATTCTATAGCAAAATCTGTCCGAGTATCCCATCATTGCAAAGGGCAAAGGTACCGCCGCATTCAAAGACTCGTTGACCGGCTTCTTCTACACCCTGATCAAAGCCATTCACACGAACCAAGTCCTTTTCAGCAACATCGAACTTATCGAAAACATCCAAGTATGGCTCAGCACCATGTCAGCAGCCCAGAACAGACCCTTCAGACACACTGCCACCGTCGTCTCCCTGGCCGTTATCACCGCCCTTTGCGAAATTGGCAGCGAGCTCGCCGACGAGGCCTCCAAAGCTTTGCGCCATGCCGAGACGCAGAAGAAGAGCAAGAACGCAAACAAGACACGAGTCAGTGAACTGCAGACCTTCTCCAAGCAAGCCAAGGCCAACCAGGAAATACTCGACAACACCGTCAAGGACTGGTTTGACACCATCTATATCCATCGCTACAGAGATGTAGATCCTCATATCCGTGTCGATTGCGCAAAAGCTCTCGGAGACTGGATCGTAGCCTACCCAGACCAGTTCTTCGACGGCCAGCATCTGAGATACCTTGGCTGGGTACTCTCTGATACTAACCACTCGACCCGTCTGGAAGTCATCAAACAGCTTCACAGACTGTATGCCGACAAGGACAAGCTTGGTGGTCTCAAGACTTTTACAGAGCGCTTCAGGGGCCGCATGGTTGAGATGGCCACAAGAGACGCCGAATCGAGTGTGCGAGCCGCGACTGTTGAGTTGCTCGACGACTTGAGGGAAGGTGGTCTGCTCGAGCCCGACGACATTGATGCTATTGGAAGACTGATTTTTGACGCCGAGCCACGAGTGAGGAAGTCCGTGGTTGGGTTCTTCGCCGAGAGCATCAACGACGCTTATGAAGCAAAAGTTGACGCTCTTGGTGGACAAGAGGCCCTGGAAGAGATTCTTGGGGAAGATAACGACTCTTACGACAGCCCATCCCAGGAATGGATCAAGTTCAAATGTCTTGCCGAAGGACTCGATTCATACGATTCGGCCGACGGTCCCTTGCCGCAGAATGTCGAAAAGGGCCCTGGTCAAGGTGGATACCTGCTGCACACTGGCTCAGCTGAATCTCGCTTTTTGGTTGCTGCAGACACACTCAATGAACAGATCGAAGAGGTTCGCGAATGGGAGAAGTTGGCCGGGTATCTCCTTTACGACACTTCAGTGGAAGATCAGAATGGCGATGCTGCAAGTGGAGAGTCACAATTGAAGCAAGAATTGAAGCTCACCGAAAGTGAGGAGGTCATCCTTCTGGAAGTCCTGAACTCATCTGTCAAACAAGCCGTCGCCTCCCTGGTGGAGGTGCTGTCAGACAAGAAGACGAAAAAGACCAAGAAACAAAAGGAAGACGTCGAAGGAATGCAGGAACAGGCAGCACGTCATCTCGCAAACTTGATCCCCCGATTGCTTAAGAAGTTCGGAGAATCACCACAGACGGCTGCAAGTACCCTTCGTCTCGGAAGGGTCCTTAGTCTGGAAGCCTTCCAAGAGTTCAGACAGGACTCCTCCACATACGCAACATTGCTCAATGACTTCAACAAGCAATTCCTATCTCATAGTAACGAGGAAGTGTTGGCGGAGGCCAGTCGAGCTCTGTTACGTGCAAAGAGCTATCATGAGCTCGGTGATGTTCCGGATGAAAGAATTGACACTCTCTGGGAAGACACCATTACCACGTTCTCCACCATCACACAAGACAAAGATCTCGAAACCCGAGGCGGCATGTCCACAACAATTCTCGATGGTATTTCTAGGACGGTGCTACGTCTTGAGAAACTGTCCAGTATTTCTAATCCCGTCGAGTACTTTGAGACCGAACCTACTGTATCGTCCACTGCACGTCCCGAAACTTCGGAGCCTTCCCCGCCTATTGATTTTCTCATTGCCCTCATCAACAGAGCAGCGTCGCCCAAAGGCTCGGACCCAGAGACCGCAGCCCTCGATGACGCAGTTGCTATGCACGCATCACGAACAGTCTGTTTCTACTTCATGTGGCGTATACCCGCATTCATTCAGGCACTTCAGACCACGGCTCTCCCAGATATTGAACTCGAAAATCTTGCCACAAGACGCGACGCATATATCAATGCTCTTGGAGCAGTGCTGAAGTCACGCCCTGTGGCAGACGAGCTGAGCCCTATGGTTGCCGGCATGTTGTTGGACATCCACACCTTGATGGCTCGTCTGCGCCACGTGAACACAGACAAGAATGGGGATGAGTACCTTGTTCTCGCGCTGGAGATGGACGCTGTCTTGCAAAAACGCATTCTCCGTGTCTTTGGTGCCGTCGAATCTACATTCGCCAAGGCCAGTGGAAAGCACGTGGAAGTCGAAGCTGAGAACTCGCAAGCTCAGGAGTCAGAAGACGAGGATGAGGAACCTGCCGACCCCATCGACGAAGATCCCGAGTCCGACCCATCAGATGACGAAGCCGACGTTGATGACGAACAACAGACTCAAGCCTCGCAAGTCAAACGCGTTCAGAAACTGCAGAACAGTCTTCTAGCAGAACAACGACTTTGCGAGTTGTCTGGAAAACTGGTTTTGGCTATCCTGGGCCGCATGGTCAATGCGACAGCCATCAAGCAGAGACTCGAACGCAACAAGACACGCCTTGGTCCCAATTTCAAGGGTGTACTCGAGCACCTGGATACCCAAACGAAGAACAAGAAGGGCAAGGGCAAAATCACCGCTGTGAAGACTGGGGCACAACAGACAAAAGCCAAGCCTGCACCACAACAACAAAAGAGCAAGGAAGTCGTCGTCGAGGACGATTCAGAAGAAGAGGACGAAGAAGCTGTATGTGAAAAGGAAATTATCGAAGATGACGAGATGCCAGATGCCAACGACGAGGGCGGTAATGAAGAAGAGAAAGAGCAAGATGAAGTCGCTGCTGATGCCGAGAGTGTGGCGGGTGACTAGAAGACCACCACTGGCTGTACTCTGGTATGATGGAACTTTCTCTAGTTGTGTTCGTTTTTTGGTTTTCTTTTCTGTACATACCCCCCACCTGACCCCTTTAGCTATTACTCGAAGCTTGTTCTTATCAATCATTACATATGCGCCATATCCTTCAACGTGCCGTTTTCCCTGATTTCCCGAGCGTGGTCGCTCCTTCCCATCGATAGCAATATTGTAGACCCCTTCCTCTCCTGTTCGCTACTCCTCATACTTTGGCAGTGCCTCCAGTTTCTCGCCTCTCATGCCATACTGTGTTTCCTTTCCCTTTTGTCTGTCCGGTCCGCTCCTCCCTTATTCTCTCGAATGCTCCTTCCTCTTTTCGAGTCATGGTCGTCCCTTCCTCTTTTCGAGTCCTGGGTCGTTCCTTCCCCTTCTAAGGTGACTTGGTCGTCCCTTCCTCTTTTCGATCCTTGGTCGTTCCTTCCTCACTTTGTTTTGTTGTTTCGCTCCTGCTTTCTTCTTCTGAGCTCGTTGTTCCCACCTTGTTGGGTTGGTAAATGGTATAATAGGTAATGTAAATATATATATTCAATCTGCCAAACAAACGAGTTTAACTTGACACGCAATGTTCCACGGTGTACTAAAAGGACGAAAGGAAGTAAGTGAGTAAAGTAAAAGCCATTTAGGCATATTGGTCGCTTCTGTCTTTTTTCTTGATCAGGGCTTTTTCTTATTTGAAGAGATGAGATAGACAAGACGACGATGCGAATTTCAGCCCCGGATAGCCCAGCATAGAGGGAAGACAAGATCGAGTCATGGCTCTTCATGGTCAATGAATACGTATTGGTCTCGGTGTTTCCATGCTACTTTACACATTTTACATCAATGTCGATCTTCCCCCGATCTCGGTGCCGGCCTCCCCATCAGCCATCTCGCCGTTCCTTCCTACGACAAACTCTCTGTAGATGCCACTCAATCTCCTCTGATCGGCTTTGGAAATACTGGGTCTGGTCTGCTCCAGACTCTTGACAATATGTCTCCAAGAGATGACCGGTTCTTGCGATCCTGCCTCTTCTTTCTCTGACACTCCATTTGTAGCAGTAGCAGAGGATCCGGCTTTTGAGCGTTTACGTGCTTGTTCCATAGACGCGAGTTTTGCAGATATAGAGGCGCGTTCGGCGAGGGAAGCCGGTGTGGGTTTTGAAGAGGTAGATTTTCCCAAAGTTTCGTCGCCGTAGCGGAAGTAGGTGAAATCACGGTATTTGGATTTCGATCGTGAGGACGAGGAGGATTTGTCGTTGGAGTTGCCGAGGTCTTCTGTGGGTCCGAGGACGTCGTGGATGGCTTCGAGATGGGCGTTGTACATTACTGCTTGTAGATCTGCGCCTGAGTAGCCTTGTGTCTGTCGTGCTATTTCGTGTAGACTTTGGGATTCGTTTGAGGAGTCGAGGATGCTTGACTCGATCTTGAGTTGGCCGGTTACGGCACGAAGGATGTCGAGGCGGTCTTCTGTATTGGGCATGTCGCACAGGAGACTTTTATCCAGGCGACCGGGACGAAGAAGAGCAGGATCGATGAGATCAGGTCGACTGGTGGCAGCGAGGACATACACACCTGAAAGACCCTCTGCACCATCCATCTGAGTAAGCAGCTGGTTGACAACACGATCAGTAACACCTGTGCTATCGTGACCTCTTTTAGGCGCAATACTGTCGAACTCGTCGAAAAAGAGGACACAAGGACGTGCGGCTTCTGCTCTGTCGAACAAATCACGGACACTCTTTTCAGAAGCACCGATGTACTTGTTCAGAATCTCCGGTCCCTTGACTGAGATGAAGTTGAGACCGCACTCGCCTGCTACCGCGGATGCGAGTAACGTCTTACCGCATCCGGGATAGCCATATAGTAGCAGACCAGATCGTAGGCGTAGAGGGCATTGTGCGAAGATTGGAGCATATGTTGTTGGGTACTGCAGCGTCTCCAGCAAAATTTGCCTGGTTTCTTGCAAACCACCAATCGACGACCACGTTGTTGTGGATGTTTGCAAGGTGACGCCACGCAAAGAAGCCGGAGTAAAGCCTTTCAGTGCAGCTGTAAAGTCTTCTCTCGTTAATGAGACTCGTGGATCTTCAGCATCTTCCGATACACTTCGGATAAGAGCTTCGTTTTGTGCCCTCGAGACAAGTGATGTGAGATCTCCAGGCATGTATCCATCTGTCTGTCCAGCGACATCCAGAAAGTCTATTGAAGGATCTACCTCGAATCCTTGTGCACCATTCGTCTGGTCTCCTGACTCCGAACCGCCCATCCAAGCTGCACCATCACTTTGGGACCTAGAGTGCTTCGGTTGTTGTTGGACGTCTCGCTGGCCTACCAGAAGCTCGAGAACTTTGCGTCTGCCATCTTTGTTAGGCGCTTTTAGCGTCAGAATGTCGCGTACAACATGACCTCCGATAACGACGTTGTTGACGGACTCCTTTGCTTGTGCGGTGGCCAATAACACCACCCCAGTATCTCTAGAACAGTACTGCCTTGCGATAGAGCAAAGGAGCTCACTGACTTGTCTGCTACGACCATTATCGTTTCCGACCTGAAGCTCCGTCTCCACAGGGCATAGCTTGTCAATGTCGTCAAGCACGACTAAAGAGCGACCGCCAAGTCTAGCGCCCCATGCTCCAGCGCCAAAGATCTTCTGTAGCTTTTCTTTAATAGTAGACACGCGTGTCTCATCGGTAACGAGAGTCCGGCAGGAGAAATATGTGACGTTGAACAGATGCTCTTTCCGAAGCCTGTTGGCAAGGAGATGTGTGAGAGACGTTTTTCCAGACCCCAGCCCACCGGTGAGCAAAATCGACGACGAATGTAGAAGGTGGCTCTGCAGCTCGGCTGTCAAGGTTTCAATCCCGACCATTTCTGTTGGTGACCTTGGTATCTCATGACCAGGAGTTCCTCGCGTTAGATCTGAAGGCTTTGCAATTTCTGGCTGCACTTCGATTGTCAACTTTCGCTCAGAACCCATCAGCCAATCTGCAGGCTTTTTCAAAGGATGTTCCTCTGTGCTACTAGGTGAAGGGTCAAATCGTAGAATACCGCCTGGCCAAGCATGATCTTTACCCTTACCGGCTTCTGCTGGCAGAATCATACCATCTGTCAGAGGGCCTTCAAGAAGGCCAGAGCCATCTTGACTATCGCCGAAGATAGATTTTAGCTTACGTGAAGCGGCCTCTTTCTCGGCAGCCGATTCACCACCAAATTTCAGACCGTTTGAAAGCGCGGTGCCAAAAGGAAAGACCCGCAGGTTCTTAACGATGACCTCTTTCTCCTTAGACTCTTTCTTTAGGGCTGAAGTTGTTCTTGGTAGCTGTGTAGGAGCAGCCTCAATTCTGACTATACCGCCTACTAGTCCGGAAGAAGCCATCGCTACACGTAGCAAAGAAGACAAAGCGGCGTGTTGACTGTCGGGAGCATCATTCCAGGCGCATAGTCTAGCAACGATCTTAGAAGCGGGCTTCTCGGCGTCCATAGCCTGCTTCTGAGGATCGATGGGCTCCTCCAAGCTTGCTGGCCTAACGATCGAGACCGCGACCCAGGTGACACCTTTTAAGCTCTTGGAAAGTAGATGGTCGCTGTCTATCCATATCCGCAGACCCTTATCATTGTCATTCGCGTCCTCCTCATCGAAGTACTCGGCAGCTATGGCACGATCGACGCCTCTGAGGAAGAGAGGAGGACGTGCAGGAGCTTCGTCTCGTGTAGCAGGGTGTCTCACAGTACTGGCAGTACTTCTTCCTCCGACGCTCTTTCTGCTTGTGCTAGCGACACTCCGAGTGGAGCGGTCTGAGCTTCGGGGTTGGCGAGTCTTGGGCGCAACGATGACTTCGGCGTCAGGCGAGATTTTGACGAACGGTTGGGTCGATGGCGGAGCGGGACTCAACGTTGTGACTAGAATGTTCGCTGAAGAGGTGGGGGTAAGATGTAGCGTCAAAGGGTGTCGTTGCGACTGAGAAGCCGAGAAGGCAGGGTTGGGTAGGGCGCGAACTTGCGACAAGAAGTTCGTCTCTAGGAAGCGGGCGTGCAGCTCGATGATATCCCAGTCGGTCGGCGTCAGGGGCTCGATGTTGACGGTATGCGCCTGTGGAGGATCAATATGCAGATTCACACCAACTTTCATGCCATCGCTTATGCCCAAGACTCTTGCTAGTGTTGAGTCGACCTCGACAGTAGCGATATCCTGATCTTGTCTAGCAGCATTCCCTCTTGTGCCTTGTATGCCATTCCTCGAGACGATTGGAGCCAGTCTGGTCTGACTCTGCATGCCTGTCCATCCTAAGTATATCGAGCGGATCTGTGAGGTTCCATTGGTCTTGTCGGCTGGCGGTGCTGGTTGGCGAAAGCTAAGCTCGACGACTACATTTTGAGCTACCTGCACGCGTTAGCCCCGGATTCTTTCTTGCAGGCCAGAGTGTACTCACTGTGTTAGCATTGACCAGTACCGAAACCAGAGAGGATGGTAGATTGACTAGACAGCTCTTGAGTTGTGGCTGTAGTACAACTTCGGCAGGCGTCGCGCCTTTGCTTCCTTTGGCCGAGAGCTGTGACATGACATATGCGATCGTTCAGAGGCTACGCCGAATAAAAGAGAATTGAAGGCCTGGACAACAGCTTCGCAAGTCAGGACGTCCAATGTTGCTGATCAAGGGTTCGGCTTGCGGCCAACCTGTCAGACAGCCGAGGCTCCATCCCACTTCCGTGATTGGTCGACAACACCCCGCACTCCCCGACCTTCACATGCGTCCAGTGTCGGCCTTTGAATCTTGTGACACCTGGTTGATGCCTGAGGCAGACACTCTCTTGGCCATGACCTTGGACTTGAGTAAAATATTATTTTGCAACTGTACTTGAAAAGAAGAAGAATAGTGCTTGTAACTTCAATATACCTCCCGAATCAACCCTCTTGTCTTTTCCGCACCCTTGACTCCGACAGACACCCAAGCGCCGTCATTATATTTGGATCGAAGCTCTCCAGGAGTCCGATGCAGCCTCATGTTGTGCTCGTATCCTCATCCGACCATCATTCGTCAAAGAAAACGATCCAGCGTTCGTTATCGGCATCACTTCCATCTCAAGAGACGACGTGCATGTGATTGGAATTTTGGGTCCATGTCTGGCATGGAACTAAGTCGTGTCCGGCACCAACTATTGGCAATGTTGCATTTTAGCAGGTCAATGGTTCATTCTCATTCTTCGATCTTTCTCCTTTTGCCCTTGGGTGCAGGATCGAGGGGCGTACGTGAGTATGTTACTGTCCTTGTAACCACTTGTCGGACGCTCATCTTGCTGGTGGTACTGCTCTCAGCCTCCGTTGGTGAATACGTAGCGCTCCAAGGGGTACCGCTCAATGCAGATGCGCTGTGAGGCTCATGGTGAGGGCGGGCACTCATGGGTGATCGGAGGTTGGCGGGTGACATGGGAGAAAGGGGAACCTGAATGCCTCTTGGAAGCTTGGCAGACCGAGGCTTTGCAAAAGGAGAAGGAGGAATGATGACACGAGGTGATTGTGGTCTGATCTTGCGTTTGCTCTCCGAGATCGTGCTAGAGACTGAATGTACTGATTCGGTAGAGCTCGAGATCGCAGATGTGGTAGAAGACTCGGAGCAGGTGGAGTTTGTGCGAGAAAGCGGCGGCTGTACTATCTCTGGTGTGACATCTGGTGAAGTCTCGTCCGTCTCTTCAATGACTTCGCTTGGAACCTTGTCGCTGAAGTGGAACTTCGAGCTTGTTCCGGTGGTAAGTGGACTTGCAAGACCAGTCGACATAGATTTGAGGAAGTCCAAATAAGCCACTGGAGGTGTAACGGGAGTCTTGATGTTCTCTTCCCTCTTTATGAAGCTCGGTGTTCCAGGGAAAGGGCTTTTGACTTCCGATGGATATGAGGCCGAGAGAGGGGTCTGTAGGGTCGGTCTCTTGGGCCGTTTGCCATCATTGGTCTTGGTCTCAACGACCGAGGGAGCAGAGATACTCCGTGCCGCCATGTTCAAACGTTGAGGAAAGAAATGGACAAAGCGAGTGACTTGAGTAGATGAGAGGGGCAGTGCGGACCTGAGTTCCGACCGGACGGGTGAATGTGATTATGAAAGCACAAGAGAGTTGAAAGAAAGAGAGTATATAAGCCGACTTTGTATGCTTACCTGGAAAGTAAGAAGACTGGACGAAACGAGTGCTCTACTCAACACGAAGAACAAAGTCGGCGCGTAAGCCGCAAGGGTCACCGCACGAATCGCCTGGAGAAGGGTTATTTCTGGCATGGATGCTACCGCCTTGTCTAGTCCCGGTCAAGTTAAGGTAGCGATCAAGGTTGCCAATTGGAAGCTCCAGTAACGCGCGGGCTCGGGAATCGTTATGCGCTGCGGGCGCTCATTGGGTCAGGGAGTAGCTAAGCGCCCTGTTCAGTCAGACGCTGTGACAGCCGTCTCAGATTGCATGGTGGCCCGGGAGAAGCTTGCACTCGCAGCCAGGAGCAGCCCATGGTATTTCAGGTACTTGTGAATGGCGCTCGCCCTGATTTGTGAATGTGGAAGATGGTGAATGTGCTGGATTCTTGATTGTGAAGAAGATTGGGCAGTCACCCCGCTTGCTGGCTTTGACTTTTGTCGCTGGCCACGAACCTCTAACCCATGACAACAAATAATGGTATAATACATATCGCTTGAAACCCATAACCAATCAAATGAAGAGGACATACTCTCCTCTCTCGTTCTTTCTGATGCGAAGGTCCTTCCAGAGGTCTTTGTCGCCGTCGTCCTTCTCTCCCCGAGCTTGACGCTCACGATGGTAGCGCTTAAGAGCTTTGTTAATGCTCAAGCCGCTGTCGCTTTCGGGACCCTTGTTGACAAAACTCAAGAACAGCTCTGCTGGAGAGCGGTAAGTGACGAGCTGCTTGTCTTCGCGCGCGTCTGAGGATGTGGACTTCTTGGACGAGCTTTTGACGGATGAAGCTTTCTTGGAATCCTCTTTTTCTGACTTGTCCTTCTTGCTACGCTTCTGGGGACTAAGAGGGCTGGCTGCAGCACCATCCTGGCCGAAATCGGGACCTGACAGCATTCTGTTCAGGCCGCCTGTGAGACCAGTGTGCAGAGCAGGAGTAGGTTCTGACATGTCTTGATCATCTCTCTTGCGCTTCTTGTCGCTCTTGTTCTTTTCATCGCGTTCACGCTTCGAGGCCGGGGTGACGAAGGGCGCAGACTCGATCTTCGCTGGTGTGTCCATGTAGTCGAAAACATTAACACCAGGCGGCAATTCAGCACCGGAAGGAGGAGGAGAGGGTGCTTTCGGCGGAGCATTGGTTTTGGCGACGTCGGTCGAGGGGGCTTCGGGTGCTTTATGAGGGACGAGTGCTTGGTCCTGTTTCTTCTGGTTCTGATTTTGACCCTTGCCCTTCTTCTCGCCTCTGTAGAGATGGCCTTGATACTTCTGAGCCTCAGACATACAGCTGGTATGCGCACGATATTCGGTGCCCTGGAAGTGTACCATGCAGTCGATGCAGGTGAAAGATGCGCCCCAGCACTGATTGGCGTGAGGATCGAGCTTCTTCTTGGTGAGGATGTCACCACATCCCTGAGATGAACATTAGTATGAGAACCAATGTGCATATGTTTCGAATCTCGAAGCGCATACCTCGCATGAAAATGAGACCATGTTTGGCTAACGCGCGGTTGGTAAAGTTATGCTGTATCGCAAAGAGACGGCGGCTGCTAGGTTCGTTACAGGGATGCGCAGAATTCCAGATTTGAGCGACGAGAGTATCGAAACGTCTATAAGCGGCGCAGGCGACAGGCAAAAAGTTCCTGGCGGTTGCGAGACGAATTTGATGATTCAGGAAATTTCCGATTAAAAAGTTGAGTGTATTTTGGTATGCGGAGCTAGCGCGGCTCTTCGCCGATCGGCTTGCCCTTGCGTTTTGTAACGTGTGGGGTACCCGGTCAATCTGCTCTGGAAGGAGAAGAAATGGGTTCGATCAGTTACTCAATGGCTTTGGATTGAAGATTATTCGTAAATGTCTAGCTGAATATAGGGAATTATACCACTCTGGCTTATCCCCCCCGGCCCCATCTACAAGGCTTCAGTCAGCTTTCTTTGGTTGTATACCGTCAAAGAATTGGAACGACTCACCCTTCTTGTTCCAGCTTTAATGGAACGTCTTCCGGTGGGTCGAACTTCTTCCTTGCCTGAGTCGTCTCTTTCTTTTCACCTCCTTCCGGTGCTTCTCCATCTGCACATCCACAGTCGTAAAAGTCGCCGATGTTGGAACAATCAAATATCTCTTTCTTCAACGACTTGTTGACCTCGTTGTGGACATGGCACCCCCAGGCTGCGGCTGTTGATCGTGATGATACTTGTGGCGGGAATTTATCGAGGATTGTTCGGAAGTGACCTGCACATTCGCCGCTGAAAGCTATATGTTAGCTAGAGCTGTAGACTCTGGTTCGAGTATTCATACCAAGGGTATAATCGCTGGAACAAGTGGATGTATGCGTTCAAAGCGGAGCTCTCTTCGGCGGTAGGTTTGTCAGGGAAGCGGGCGAATGTCGTGTGAAAGAGCTTCCATGCTGCGCGCCCGAGTTCTGCTCTGCAAGATGCGTGTTAGCGAGCTGTTGTTTTCATTGTCATGCGACAATCACGGCCTACTTTGCTGTCTCGTTGCCGAGCTTGGGGGCAATCACATGTCCTTTGAGAGTCGAGTCTTGTAGATCGATTCTTGCTGGAGCGACTCCCGCTGGCACCGCGCCCGATCCTCCTGCTAATGGATGCCTGACTCCGACTTCTTGAGACCGAAAGGAAAAGACGAATGTGAAAGCGAGAAAGGCCGAGACGGTGATGAGGATGGCCACAAATCTCCGGCTAGGTCCTGGAGCGACGGGCATGTTGATGGTACTTCTGTTGGATATTAGGTTGGTTTCTATTGTAGCATCATGTAGGTGGAGGAGTATAGTAGAGTATCCGTATGTCAAAGGGGGAGAATAAAATGCCGTTGCGACAATAAAATCGAGGGGCTTCCCCCAAACTTCCGGTCAACAATGCGCAAGGCGTGATGCGTCATCCCACTCAGCGTTGGCCGTCAGAGCTGACACCGCGCAATGCGACAAGCTCATTTCTCGAGCATGAACTCTCAGAGAGCCGTCAACACATCGATCACTTTCATGGAGTGAGGATTTATAATCCAGCCACTTTGGAATTTCAATCGAACAAAGGGGCATGGACACTGTGAGTTGCACGCCTCGACCTGGGGCAACTTTCCTTTCACTTATTACAAGTTTGAGCCAATCCGCAGGCCATCTTTCGTCCATCTGTATCGATGAGAAAAAGGATAAACCTCTTCCATCCGGCCTCTCAAAGCACAGCCCTAGTCATCATTGCTCACGAGTATAGTTCTCTATGGTTGTTTGGAAGATCGATCCCTACTCGAGTAATAGGCAGATACTTCTAGACCATTGGACTCGTTTGCCTAGTTGTTACCTGAACACAATCAGTAGACGTGCGTTCCTTGATATGGCATCAGGTTTAGAATGCTCAAAGCCTTTCGTTTGCATCGGACCTCCGTACTTAAAAGAGCTCTATTCAGTAGCTCCTTAGCACTTGCAGATATGACTTTGACCGCGATACGATGTGAAACCCATCGTTTTCGTGTTACAGCTGACGATCGCGAATGGATGAAAGGTGCCTTCCCGTGTGCTAGAGCTAGGTCGTTTTTGTAGCTACGAGGATGGAGGATGCACAACAATCTTCGAAAGTAGAGCCGAGTCGGAGGATAGATTGTCAAGAGGATGCTCGTTTAAAGTGACGTGCTCATGATCATCGTGCGTTTTGACGGATGTACTCGAGTATAGACGCGGAGCCCACCATTTTAGGCAGATCATGTCGATGAGGCATCTCGGTCCGGGAAGGCTCGGGTCTACTGTGGCATGAACTTCGATTTTCAACCTCCCCCGGCACTAAGGGCCATCAAACCGATCCGATTAGCATTGAGATATTCGGGAGGGACGAAAGGGAATTGTTTCTACGATACAGCGGAATGCCCTGACAATTCTTTCCTCGACATCATCCAGGAGCTTCTGGTTGATGTTTGACTACACTCACCTATAATAATTCACATACATGGCTTCGACGGACTCGCACAACGGAACTTTCGGCAGATGGCGTCCACGAATGCACTTGATTGCGCCACGAGGATGGCTGAATGATCCTTGTGCCCCCGTGTATAATGCGTCGACTGGAAAGTACCATCTCGGCTTCCAATGGAATCCTGACGGATGGGATTGGGGAAACATCGCATGGGGTGCAGCGATATCAGCTGATTTGATCAACTGGGAAGTATCGGAAACTCCATCCATCGCTCCTTCTGCGACAGAGGATAAAGCTGGTGTCTTCACGGGTGCGGTATCACCAATCAATTTACCAAGGAAAGGCTCTCGGGATCATCTAACGTGTTTTTATACATCGGCACAAGGATTCAATATTCACTATAGCCGACCTTACGAGAGAGGCTCTGAACGACTACATGTCGCAACATCTGTTGATGGTGGGATCTCATGGCAGCGCTACCTGCACAATCCTATTCTTTCAGGCCCACCGTCTCACCTTTCGGTCACAGGCTGGAGAGACCCGTACATATTTCGCTGGCCTCGACTCGATCGTACAAGGGGATCTGCACCTGGATCTAACTTGTATGGCATCATTTCTGGTGGTATTCGTAACACCTCTCCTACTATCTTCTTGTACACCATCAATGAAGCGGATCCCACCAAATGGACATTTCTGTCCACCCTTCTGGAGCCTGGCCTGAACTTCTCTCCCACCATACTTGGCGGCGATTTCGGTGTCAACTGGGAAGTCGCGAACATCATCACACTCGAAGACCAAGATCGCAGAGAGTTTGATATCCTCGTCGTTGGTGTCGAAGGCTGCAAGGTCGAGGACGAAACTGCTCTGGCTGGTCCAGCGCCAGTACCACGAGCCGCACGCTCAGGTCGCAGTCAAAGATGGCTTTGTGGAGTTCTGCAAGAATCATATGGAAACAAGACAGCCAGAATGGAACACAATTTCTCTGGTATCTTGGACTGGGGCGTGTTTTATGCCGCAAATTCCTTCTATGACCCGGTATCAAACCAACGCGTCGTGCACGGATGGATACTGGAAGAAGACTTGGGCGACGAGCTTCGCGAAGCGCAGGGATGGAGCGGCTTCATCTCGTTGCCGCGCTCGCTGAGTATGCAGACGATCAAGCATGTTGATGCCACTTGTACGGATGTTCTAGAGAAGGTACCTGGATTCACATACTCTAGCGATGAAAATGGTATCTTTGAGGTTTCGACGATATGCTGTCAACCACACTCGCAACTGCAGACCTTGCGGCGCGGGGAGCCATTATCACTCAATTCCATGGTTGCCCTGCACAGTCTTGACGCTATGGATGCCCCCCGTGCAGACCTCCAGATACCTGGACTGCCTAGTTGGGAGCTCGACATGTCCCTGTCATCCGACGTCGATGTCCAAACCTTTGGCATAGACATTTTCCACTCTCCAGGTCAGTTTTCTGGATTAAGCTGTCTTGATCTCAATTGCTAACACATGCCACAGATCACAAGTCACTCACACGCATCCTCTTCGAACCAGCAAAATCCCTCATCACCATCGATCGCTCACTATCACGCGACCCAGATTCAACAAAATCGATAAGGATTCATCCTGAGGTCGCCCACCATGCTTTCTTGTCCATTCGCGACAAAGACACAAATAACATCAGACCTGAAAATCTGGATATCAAGATCTTCTTCGATGTCAGTGTTCTGGAGGTCTTTGTCAACAGTCGCACTGTCATAACGACGAGAATATATCCCGAGTCAGGAAAATGCTATGGAATATCACCTTTTGTGATTAATGAGAAGGATGTTGAGAGTTGTGCATGTATGGATAGATTCAAGGTCTGGGAGCTTAATGCCACCACTTCAGGTCAAAGAGTGGAGAAGCAGTAATTATCAGGATAGAATCCATAGATGTATACACCAGCCTTGTAGAATGAATTTCGTTTAGCAGACAGTCGGTCAGCCTGCCTTGGTGTTCCAGCGATCAGTCAGAACCATGGCATCTAAGTGCCATCTTCCATTCCGTGAAGTATTCGTTGAGCATCTATAGGAAAACAACCAGTCAAACCGACACAATGAGTTTGTGGGCCTGGTCGCCCTTCGACCTCCCCCTGTGCTAAAATCTGTCACTTCCGGCAATCTCCCACTGCCACGCCTGGAGTCGTCTAGCCTGTAAAAATGCATAATGTCTTTTAGATCGGTATAGTCGTCCGCAGAGAGGTGCTAACTATCACGTTCTTAGTAGAAGCTACCCCTAACAATGCTGAAATGTACAAGGTCCTAAGTGGGTTTTGTGTGGCCGTGGTTGAACATCTTATGATCTGGGTCCTGGAAAGCATTCTTAGTTTCACCGCAGAGTCGTGAAGAGGAGACATCTCAATGTCTACCTCATATCCATCACATCGAGGTCATGTTAAAGGACAAAAGGACTGGAAAACACGATGTCGCGTTGGACCATGAACTTACGCGTTCCGGACGACGTCTTCCGCGCCGATCACCGGAGCCAGGGTGGCACATTTGACCAGCATTTTCGAGAGTCGACAGCATGTTGTGCCACTACAACAACCGAATAGCCGTATGTCCCCGGTCCAAACAGATTGCATCAAATATATCATGGTAACCTATCGAGCTTGAAGTCATAGGTTCAATGGTCAATTGGTAATTGTCAAAAATGCTGAATTCTTGCTGTCATTAGCAAACATGGTTAGCACCTATGTGAATACCAGCTCACAAATCTAATTTTGCAAAACCATCACTAATTTAACAATGAGTGGCAGCATAACAAATACTCTATTTTGACGGTGAATTCTGGACGAAATGACCATATAGGAAACCCCTGGAATGTGAGCGTCTCCAGGACAGCAAGCTTGATCTAGGACATAACTACAGATTGCGTTGATATAGATTCTAGCTCATTAAATCTATGGTTTACGTCTTGCGACTGTTGTCTAGGCCACCGCGCATAGATATGTTTGTTCAATCCAGAAATTCTGCAGATCGAGTCCGATGTCAGCTCCGCTTGATCTCATCCCTGTGTACTGAGCTCTGTCATGCGTGTAACTGCAGATTTGCACAATTTTTACCATGTTGGTAGCATCCACTGAGAGCGTGACAGCCTTGCTAAAGGCGTTCCAGAGATTTCTTGTATGCCCTCTCGTATTGGTTCTCACCAACTCCGACTCGGATCATACCCTCCTGGAAGGTACTAGCCACATGTGCTCCATCAGGGCCAATGATCCGACTGTGGTGTGTCGCTCGTCCTTCAGCTGCACGAGTTGTCCATACTTCTTGACAGAACCATGTCCTCTCACCACTTCCCTGATTTTGCAACATGAGTTGCGAGACAGGACAATGGAAAACCACGGTATGGCTCAAACTTGCCATGTGCGTGAACTTGTCGCTTATCTCGAGATGATTCGCCACGATGAAGAGCGAGTTTCGATCGGACGCGTACAGATGGGCGCATGCGTGTATGTTCGGGTCAGGAGGCAAATCGCCAAGTGAGCGGTAGAGAAAGAGCTGGCGGCGATCGAATGCTGTCAGTGAAGCATTGTACTGTGTCATATCCACTTTGCGACATTCGAGACCAGGAAACGCGTCATTACGGCCTGTTGATTTGCGACGAGCGTTGTACCTGGGCAAGATGAGCTAGAAGAAGTATCAATCGAGCGCACAAGGTCCTACCACGGCACGTCCATCCCGGAAACCTCTTGCCAATCTTCAGGCTTCTTACCACTCAGAACAACCTCATATTGTTTGTCTAGATCGATCTTCTCCTGAACATCTAGGTTGCCTTCCTCGGGCAGTTTGAATGAGCAAGTGCAAGTAAAGCATATTCCTTTGCCTTCGGCCTGGGTGACGTTGACCAAGCGAGTACAATACGACCGGCCGTTTCGGATGGTTTGAACTCGGTAGATGAATGGAATCGAAGAATCACCAGCCAGGACGAAGAACCCGGTGACATTCTGGGCATGAAGTCAGGATGGGTTCGGATCACTGCGCCTCGATGCTTGGTGTTTGGCAACTGACGTGAATTACAAGGCCGGCCTCGACGGTCTTCGCCGCTGCCCAGACGGCTTGGGCGTAGACATGTCCACCGTACGCTCTGCCAGAGCCATTGGGTGAGAAGGGTAAAGCGGTGCTGCGGTAGGTGGTCTCATCCACTTTCTCGAGCGCAATCAAGTCAACGAAGGGGAGATATCCATTGCCATGGCGAGGGGGCCCCATCAGTAATGATCGTACAATTGACAGACCGGAGGACTAAGGCACAAGATCAGAGATTACTCGCTTGGCGGAGGAATTGGCATTTTGGAGAAGCGAGAGAAAGCATGTGATGATGAAGAAATTCTGGAGGTGAAGCGGCAGAGCCGAGGTGGAGTGGAAAGTGGGGGATCACCATGTGGAGAGGAAGTTCACCGTCTCGGTGGCATCTCGGTCGATTCCCCAGAAGCTGGATCTGGAACCCCACTGAGGCTGGAAAAGAGGCTTACCGAAAAAGGCGCCGGTGTTAGACGGAGACATGTTATGGACTTTGATGTCAGTAAGAAGAAGCGATGAAACTTCGGGAGCAGAACAAGATTGCGAGTTTGCAAGTCGAAGCAGATCTTGTGAGCTGGAATAAAGACCGAAGCGGAAGATGAATGTGAGTCCAAAACGTCGTTTCGCTGGTTCGTGGCATTTGGGTTTCGTCAGAGCCAGCCATGCCACGTGCGATGCTCTGAAAGAAGGTACACCGTTGGACAAAGGGGCAGGTCAGATCTGTCAAGAATTTTTGGGTTAAACAAAGAAGTTCCTCGTAAGATTTCTAGCTTGGTTAGTCACGAGGCTGTACGAGGTGAAATCTCTTTGAGGTATTGGTGATGATATGAATAGTGATTTCGTATTCTGAACGTTATCGGAAGGGTATCGGCGAACGAATGAGGAACGACGTTGCCACTTACATTGCTTCGTTAAGGACCTTCTGACAACGTCTGTATATTCTATTGCAATAGATGTTAGAAAAACCATATAATACCAGCAAGTGATGTAGTTGATCATCCCTGAACGCACTCTGACGGGTGTCGGGACTGTATCTCGTCTCCAGAATCGATTTTTGAACAGTAAATTGGTGGAGCTGCGAATCTCGATACAATCGTGCCATGGCGGTCAACGACTGTCCAAGAGCTCGAGACCTTGAGCATGGACTTCCCGTAACATACCTACCGACTCGGCATGCCGAATGGCCTCCCGGACTCGGACACGGTTTCGATTTCACGGCTCTGTCATCAGTATGGCCGACATGCCACCGCCACTAACATCCACATATCCAACGACCAAACGGTTGTGGGAGACCCGGGGCCCCAATATCCCCACTCAAGCTCTCCACCATGGATCTTTGCTCATGATGGAAGCTGCAAGCGTCTTGGTGTTGCAAATTTCTCGCGTGGTCTGACTTGTTTCGACTTCTTGGCCCGGCTAATCATATTGTAGGCGGAGCTGCGCTACCTGCAGGGTGTCACCCAATCCGCAAGTCATTTAGGGCAACCGTCGGCCGAAGAGTCGATTCAAAATATCAATAATTGTGAAGCGGCGGCAAAAAAAGTGATTGTGAATCAGACTGCATCCGCGATGCTGACGGGCGTGCGGGGATGATCGTGAGAACTTGAAGATCTTCAAGCCGTTCCTGGAGAAGCGTTCAAGTCGTTCTTGAATCCACCAATATAAGGGTACTCGCCGGAGAAATGATCGACCAGTCCAGTTTGTATCGATTCCTCCAATCTGGAGAGATGGGGAGAGGGAGGAGCACGGCCCGTATCGCCTACCTAGGTCTTGTAAGTGTATGGTTCAGGTCGTGGCCGGTCGTGTCAGCCGGTAGCAAAGGTGTGATGATAATTGCCACACTGCTTTGCCGTTTAGAATAACGCCATGGCGGCAGCAGCCAAGGAGAAAAATCCATGCTGCGGCCAATCTGGAGTGGATCTTGCATGCTGAACCAAGCCGGCGAAGAGTAACAAGTGTTGCAAAGCATGTCACGCCCAGCGGATGTGCTGTGTGGGCGTCGGCCGAAGAATTCGGTCATGATCGAGCCGCAGGACCTGACCGCGCCTACAGAGAAATTCCAGAATCCTTGAAGTCGTTGTTGGCGGCTATGTAACTTTGTTGAGACATGTTTAGCGAGTGTAACTTTGCAACGTGCAAGGGAGGCACGGGGAAGCGTAAAATTAGCTCTGGGGTCGTGCGAACTCCAGGTTTGTCGGCAGCGGCCGAGAGGTCTCGAGGTGGGCGGTGGCCCTGGCTGAGACTTTTCTTCTCCTTCCAACGACAGTCGCTGCTGTTGAAGAAGTCACCAAATGGCTGTCGCGCATGATGTGCAAAGCCTTGAGGATGCGGCGCATGGGATACAGCGATTGGCTCTTCCCGGACCGTGAGTCTATGAGTGTGCAAGTATTCGCGCTCCCAAGACTGTTCGTCTCCAACCCAAAAATGCCACAATAGTGTTCCAAGAAATACCAAGGAGCGTTTGGCGACATCTGGGGCCTCTGGGCACAACGCGCGGGTTAGCGACACGCACGAGACAGATGGCATCAAAGCAAGGTCAACCTAGAACCGATTTGGGTCAAAGACCGTGCCCGCGTGACTACTGATTTGCCCAGCAGCAAACAATGGAGGGCGCACTAGTGCATGCGATCCTGTGGGGAGCTGGAATGAATAGTTCTCCGGACAACTGCCCAGTGAAGCTCCTGCCCCGGGGTTTGTTGTATATAGGATCGTTGTTTCCTCACCTAGTGCTCACTTTCACTTCTCCATCAGCATCAAGCCTCTGTCTTTCTTTGACCTCCATTGCATCTCCCTTCCACTTTCATTACAAAGAAACACTCTCACTCCATCACAATGGCTCCTACTACGGTGGAGCGCGTTGAGTCGCCTGTCACCGTCAGGGCCTACCTGATGTGTGCATTCGCTGCCTTTGCCGGTATCCTCTTCGGTTACGATTCTGGTTACATCAACGGTGTCATGGGCACTGAGGTCTTCAAGCAGGAGTTTGGAAAGTACACTGGTGTCACTGATGCCAACACCCGTGGCTACAGCATCGCCCCCGGCACTCAATCACTCATCATCTCCATTCTCTCTGCCGGTACCTTCTTCGGTGCCCTCTTCTCTGGTGCCCTTGCCGACTGGATTGGTCGCAGAACCACCATCATCCTCGGATGCGGTGTCTTCTCCGTCGGTGTCATCCTCCAGGTCGCTTCTACCTCAGTCCCTCTCATCGTCGTCGGTCGTCTGATCGCTGGTGTTGGTGTCGGTTTCGTCTCTGCCATCAACATTCTGTACATGTCCGAGGTCGCTCCCCGCAAGGTCCGCGGTGCCATCGTCTCATGCTACCAGTTCGCCATCACCATCGGTCTCATGCTTGCCTCGATCGTCACCTACGCTTGCCGCAACTACTCCAACACCGGTGCCTACCGCATTCCTATCGCCATTCAGTTCGCCTGGGCCATCATCCTCTCCGTCGGTCTCTTCTTGCTCCCCGAGTCTCCTCGTTACTACGTCAAGAAGCAGCAGCTCGACAGAGCCGCCAAGGCTCTCGGCCGTGTTCGTGGCCAGCCTTCCGACAGCGCCTACATTGTTGATGAGCTCGCCGAGATCCAGGCCAACTTCGAGTACGAAATGTCTGTTGGTACTGTCAGCTGGCTCGGTATGTTCTCTGGTGGCATCACCAACCGCAACTCCAACATCCGCAAGGTCTTCATCGGTGTCCTTCTCCAGATGATGCAGCAGTGGACCGGTGTCAACTTCATCTTCTACTTCTCGACCTCTTTCTTCACCTCCATCGGTATCCAGAACGCCTTCCTGATCTCCATGATCACCACCATCGTCAACGTCTGCTCAACTCCCCTGTCCTTCTGGACCATTGAGCGCTTCGGTCGTCGCCCCCTCCTGATCTACGGTGCCATCGGCATGTGCATCTGCGAGTGGATCGTCGGTATCACTGGTACCGCTGATGCCGGTTCCCGTGCATCCCAGATTGTCCTGATTCTCTTCACCTGTATCTACATCTTCTTCTTCGCTTCTACCTGGGGTCCTACAGCTTGGGTTTCGATCGGAGAGATCTTCCCTCTGCCCATCCGTTCCAAGGGTGTCGCCATGTCTACTGCCTCTAACTGGTTCTGGAACTGCATCAGTAAATATTGACTACTCCTCTTTACCAGAACACTTGCTAACTTGTTGAACAGTTGCCGTTATCACTCCTTACCTTGTTGGTGAAGAGGAGGCCAACCTCGGACCTAAGGTCTTCTTCCTCTGGGGTTCCACCTGCGCCGTTTGCATCGTTTTCGCCTACTTCTTCGTCCCCGAGACCAAGGGTCTGTCTCTCGAGCAGGTCGACAAGATGATGGAGGAGGTCTCTGCTCGCAAGTCTGCTGGCTGGGTTCCCCATGACACCTTCGCCCAGGAGATGGGCAAGGACTCTTCCGCCATCGAGGAGATCGTCCACGAGTCCAAGGTTTAAGCCTCCCTAGTGATCGGGTTGGCTTTTGTGTTTCTTGTTCCTATATTGTCTTATAAGCTTTCTAAGCATTCCGCACGAAGTGTCTTTTAATCGAAGTATCACTCCTCTTCATGCTTTCATTCCAAGTGTTGCCTGAACATGATTTTGCAAGCTCATTAGAGTCTTGAACACAATCAAATATTGTGTTCTTTACTCCTTATAGTTCAGCCACACCATTCCCAGTCCCAGTCCCCGTCCAGTCAATCGATGGCATGCATGGCATGCGCAACTAGGCATTCCGACACAGCCCAATTCAAGATCTCTGTAGCCTAAGGCTCTCTTTCTGCAACACCTTGACCATATCAAATCGTACACATGATCTTGATCTTAATGTAAATGCTAACTGCCTCTAACTGGTTCTGCAACTGCATCAGTAAATATTGACTACTCCTCTTTACCAGAACACTTGCTAACTTGTTGAACAGTTGAAGATTTCGGACTTGCCGGTCCTCAGAGTATGAAACACTCAGCAAGCTGAGTGTTTTACACATGAGAAAAAATTTTCGCCTGTCAGCCTTTTCATTGAGCTCGCCGAAAAATAATTGACTTGAGATCCCAAGGGCTTTACGTCTTGCACTCGAAATTTGGCTACTACGCGAACGCACCTGCGGACACATGAACTGCCCAGGTACACCCATCTCCCTCTCCACAGACTGGTTCAAAAACTCCATGGTCCGCAATCTCGACTTCCCTCAAAACTTCTCAAGTGATTGACTTCTTCTAGCAAAGCATTCAGAGTATGCTGGGGGTAACAATTCGTTGGCTTCATCTTACACTTGTGTCAAGGAGTGAGAGGGACAGGCTGAGCATGAGTGTCGTGTAAAGCTCGTTCGGAATGCTCTGGGAATGTTGTAAAGTCTCATTCTACGAGTGCGTTTCGATGATGAGAGGGTGGCTTTCTACAGAGGTAGTTGTTGACGGAATTTCGGTGGTGAAAATGGATCCCGAATTAAAACTCTGCCTTTGCATTAATGCTTCATCTGGGAAGTGTTATCTGTCTGTCGGACTGACGCCGTAAGTCTCGACTACGGCCACGTTCACACAATAAAGCCAAAAAAAAAAAAGAAATCACAGGTCCAATGGCTTGGGGATTTTCACTTACTTTCTCACTCCCTCGTTTCCTTCCTCCTTCACCCCCTTCCTCTTCCTCCAGCCTCCCGATAGTGACCCGACCCCTTTCCACAGGGGTGCTGTACCAAGAGACCAAGTTGTTGCTGGAAGTGTTGGATGAAATGAATTAGCTGATGCAGAGGCTCGAACTCGAGCACATTGGTGTTTGTTGTTGGAGGTAGTGACTGCCGAATTAGGTTAGCTTGAGCGGAGGCGACGGTGATGGTGGTTAAGCCATTAGACCATCTGTGATTTGGATGATGGTGAGGTGAGTTTGTGGAGTTATGGGGGTTGGAAAGTGAAGGTGAGATAAGAGAGACGGAAGTTTTGATTCTCTTGCTAATCGGATCTCCTATACCCTCCTCACGATATTATAGGTACAATTGCAGTGTCTATGAGACTGTATGGGTCTCACTCTACCTCTGCGCCGAGTATGAGACATCCCATCTAACGAGACATCTCAGCTATAAGCTATTCCGCGAGACAGTGAGACCAATAGCCAAACAACCATGCAAAGGTGCTCCGAGATTAGATATAACAGACATTCATATCTCTATCAAAGCTCAAATCAGTTCAACTTTCCATAACCAGAATCAACAATGCCTCGCAACCTCAAAATCATCTGGCTCCGCAACCTCTATTCTAGTCAAATTTGGCAAAAGCCACCGATCGAGCAACTCATTCACAATCACGCTCCCTACTGGGCATCCAAGGCCGAGGTTCGGTAAGTTGAGATCGTCTTGGTGGATAAGGTCGTCGAGTGCTGACTCTTTTAAGTGCTGGATGGCATCAAAGTAGTGACCATATAAGGCATGTGACAGTTGATTACATCGCTGCAGGCTGGAAGGAAACTGTTCATATATACTACTGAGATGTTGGTGAGTAGGATATCTTAATGGACGAAGTCTCATATCCTTCTCCTAATCTCCATGGAGGTGTGACCTCGAGGAAACCAGTGAATGATCTTCGAGTTAGGTACCATCTCCTTCTCCATCTCGAAAACGTTCCTCCGTTCCGCGGAAGTGTTTTGTGCTGGCGGGTTTATTAGGAGAACTTAGTTAGAACGAGCACGTGTTGTATTCTATCCGTGCCTGAAACATGCAACATTTCTAGAATAAAGAGGACGATAACAAAGAAGTACTTGGCCAACAGAAATCTCTTTGTCTTTGGTCAACAAACTTCAACACAATGCCATTGTTCATGCTCGAGTTCAGTATGCCACAACAGGTTCTAGAAGCCCAAGAGATTTCGGTTACAACATCTTGCTATTCCTGGAAAATGATCGAGTCAAGAGCATACAGACCTTCGAACGGATATCTCGGTATGCTGCAAGAGATGATATGACAGCAGTCGAGAACGGCATCAGGTCCAGATCAAACCAAATCCAACTCACCCCCTCGTTCATCGTTGATGAGTGTGTAGCTAATTGATGATGGTGTTCGAGCTTGACAGTGGTCGGTATGGATGTTTAGGTTTCTCTGATTCTTTCTTTGTGAGCTCTGTTGATCTTGGAAAGGATGTGAGAACATTGAAATCGATGGACTTTATTCGAGGGCTGAACATTAGTTCACGTCCCAGATTGGCGGAACTGGAGTAGGAAAGTACGATCGTGTTTCGCGAGAACGTGACTGCATTCTTATAGACTACATAACCAGTTTGCAGCTGGAGTTAGAATGATATTCTGCGACGATTGTTTCTGACGTGATATGCCTCTTGACTTTAACATTTTCAGAGCAATAGAAAATCACATTCAAATCGAAGTAGCCAAACCTGATATGTTAGTCGAGACGCTGTCAAATCTTCTGACATTCTGTCATGATAGAGTTAGCACAGCAACATGCGTCCAGGACGACAAATTACAATCTCCTATTTCTGCTGCCATACTACACTGTTCCACTTACCGTTGACAACCGGCATGACACGTGTTGAACTAGAGGTCTTCTCGGGTTTGTATCACGCAAAGACCTCGAGACAGTAGACGATGCTGGGAAAGCTTCGAGTCTCTTTGTCCAGATCTTCCTTTGTCTCGATTCGACAAAACCCGACACAATCGCATTGTTGAATTTCTTTGTTTCTCCTAACCATGAACTGTGGCCTTCTGAAACGTCAAACAGTTCAGATACTTCTAGCGAACAATGAACTTCTCGAAAAGTAGTCACCAGCTCGACGACCAACCACGTAGACACACCTTCAGAAGTTGACAAAAAGGCCATCGAAGCCTGCATGTAAGCTCTGGTCAAACGCAACCAGCAGCACACTCTCCCTTGCAACAATGACGAGAAGAAAGACTAACCCGATCCCAGTCACTTGGAACCAGGAAGATGCCTATACCAGCACATCCGGAAAACGCGCCCAGCGCCAGCAGATCGAGACGCTCGTCCGATGGAAAGCTCCCCATGGCACAGTCAAGATCGTGATCTAGTAAGTGACTCAGTCGTTTAAGTGATTTTACGGCAGCAAGCATGATGGCTGACTTTCGATATAGTAACGGTTGGCATGATAGTCGTTCGGACTTCATCAATCATGCCACTGCCGACTACTACCTTCGGGACGGTGGGATGGTGCGTTATCATGTCTACCAGTAACGCTTCAACTAATCGACTTGCAAAATTGATGATCGTGAACTCGAATACCGGCGATGAGGCTGCAGGCAGTCACAACACAGGCGACCGAGCTATATCCTCTACGAACCAGGTATGCAATTTGTATGCAGTTTTCGTTTGACGTTGATGTTTCTTTTGCGGCAGGGCCAAAAGGGAAGATAACTGTGGTCGTTTGGATATGCTTAGATAGCGATAATCTATTTACCAGTTATCGAAATTGCCAAAGCCGCCTGACTTTGCCTTCTTCTTTGGTGGTTCGGGCTCCTCCCATTCTCCCACAATTTCGTCATCTTCGGCTGGTGGTGCAGAGGCCGTCTTCAAGTACTTGCCCACACCTGCTGGTGCAGCATCTTCGACCGTGCCGTTACCTCTGATACGCTTTCCAGTCCATGTAGTCTTATCGTCTTCTGTGCCACCTTGGCGTTGGATTTCTTCTTTCGCCTTTTGTGCATCCTCGTTTTGCATGCGCTCCTTCTGGAACTCCTCGAAAGGATCGACGAAGACTACCACGTCTTCCAGAGTGCAGTCGTCAATCGGACGGTTGCCTTCGTCTGTCTTGACAGCTTCCAGACGTGATAATGTATCCGTGCCGCCCACAACTCTGCCGAAGATGGTGTGCTTTTTGTTCAGATGTGGCACAGCGCGATATGTGATGAAGAACTGTGATGAGTTTGTGTCTTTACCCTTGTTGGCCATGGACAGGATACCGCGCGAGTCGTGCACAAGTGAGTTCTCAGTCTCGTCTGCGAAGTTCTTGCCCCAGATAGACTGACCACCTCGGCCTGTGCCTGTCGGATCACCGCCCTGAATCATGAAGTTGCGGATGTTGCGATGGAAGGGAATATTCTTGTAGTAGCCTTTTTGTGCTAGGCGGACAAAGTTCCATACGGCTTTGGGAGCGAGGTCGGTGTGTAGTTCGACGTTGATCTCGCCATGGTTGGTCTGTAGCCGAGCGTAACCCTTGTGCTTGATACGCTTTGGCTTCAGCATATAGTCCTCATCTGATAACAGGGCGCGCTCGTTGCCAGTATGAACAGAGATGCCGGTACTGGTGAATGAGGCAGCAGCTTTTCCAGTCGTGTACTGAGCGGCGTTGTATGGTACAGGCTTGGAAGATCCTGAAGCTGTGTTGGACTTCTTTGCCTCAGCCATGGCTCGTTGTAACGAGTTTCCTTGTGCAGCATTTTGTCTGTCCGCTCTTGCTTTTGCGACAGCCTCCTTGGCTTTGAGAATCTTTGCTGCATTTCCGAGGGCGCTTGAGTTGACACCAGCACTCCTCTCAGCCTCTTGCTCCGGAGTTAAAGTGCTGGCACCTTCTTGGATATATTTGAACGAGCTCAGATCTCTCGACTCGATGTTCTGAGGGTCCTGGAGTGTGATGATATCCTTTCGGCTGAAGTCTTGATCGCTGACCAGATCCTTCCAGTTCTTGGCCTTGATGTTCAGACGTTCGACGGTATCCCATGCAAAGACGTTTCCTGACACTTTCAGAGCGACGATGTGAGTGTTGTCGGTAAAGACCTTGTAGGTGACAGGATCAACGTATTCCCCGTCATCATTCTTCGCAAAGTTGAGCTTGATCAGGTCGGCCGACTTCAAAGGAGCGCCATCGACGGGATTGGTTCCGTGCTTCTTGAGCCATGGGAGGATGTTTGTGAGGTCGAAGATGGTTCCTTCATTGGTGCAGACTGGGTGCTCGAATGGCTGAAGTGATAGAGCGCAAAAGTTGTATGGAAGGCGCTTGAACGCGCCGGGTACACTGCCCTTGGTCACGCCGGAGCCAGCACTGGCTGAGAAGGCAGTATCGGATGCCCACTCGCTGTGGGTGATCTGTGTCGCGACTGATTAGCTCGCGCCTCGATGGACTTGAGTTGACGTGGGAAGCGACATACGTACAGCTTATCGGTATCTGTAACACAAGTCAGTGATTGGATCGTCTCTGGTATTGATTGAGCACTCACTTTTTCCCATGATGAATTGCGTCTCGTTTCTCTAGAAAGTCAAGTCCAACCAAAAGTTGCGACCGACCATGACGGTGGAACTTGATTTGACGCTAACCCGATTAGGATGTTTGCGCTTTACACGTCGGCCCCGATTGCTTCCTTCCTGATTTATCTCACACTCGTACCTCTTAAGCTGCTGTAAATCCTGCCATAACTCGTGTCACCTCCTCAACGTATCCAACGTTAGCATCGAGTCTCAAGCAATGAGGTCGAAGCAGGTTTTGACCTGCTTGTGCTCTGCCACCCCGTCTTCAACCTCCTATGCTACCACTAATCAATCAGTGGTATAAGAGCTCTACACCGGTGGACGACTTAACGGCCATCTTCAGCATGTGAATAGATCACGAGGTCGGAGCGGCTATAGCTGATACGACCCAGCGACTATGTCTACGCTGTCGCCTAGTAGCCTATGTTCTCTTTGCGCTGTCCGAGACTAATTCTTGCTGCTGCTGCTTGGTACCACCTCGACCTTGAATGACTACGCCTTCATAAACCGTGCCAGACCTTCGAGGTAGGTTTCATTTCTCTCTGACTACATCCAAGTCGAGCAATCCTGTCAACTATGTCAGTAAGATACGTCCCGCCCCATATCCGCAACAGACGCAGCTCAGATTACACGAGCTCTATCATGACGACAATCGAGATGCCTTTGAGCTTTAGCACCATAGTCTCGGTGAACAGTAACGAGGAGCCTCGTACCTACATCGGCCACAATCAAACACCTCGAGGTCTAGCTAGGAGTCGTTTTGCCCAGATGGAAGCCACGCCTAGTAGAGCAACCCCTACAGCACCTAGGGCCATGTCGAACATCCCTATCAGACCCCTGAATTCTTCCAGAGGACGGCCTCGCGAGGCAGGTCATGGCCATACCAGAGGCAAAAGGCCTATCAGGACCATCTCGCCCTCCGTCCGCCAAACACAGTTGCCTATCATGGGCCCGATGCTTCCTCTCCAGGACATGCTCTCCCTTGGGCACATGGGACCTATGTTGCCTGTAAGTCGTGTGCCTCCAGCGGCACCTAGGGCTTGCTACGCTCCTCACCCCCGCCACTCCTTCACGTCTTTGCCCTCCGCCTCGAGACGTACTGGTGTCTCTTATAGAGCTCCCGCGATGCCAACACCACCACGTACCCCGACTGACGCTCGCACATTGATCGGACCCGACTCAAATCTCGTGTCGCTTGAGGAAATTGCCGCACACTTTGGACTTGCTCATGACCAGATCAACCATACTCTCAACGCCTCAGCGGATCAGCCAGATAACCTCATGTTCGTCGTACTCTTCAAGAGTGCCTACAAGAACTGGTACCGTCATGGTATCGTCTACGCCAAGACAGATCTCCATCTATTACCAGGTTACGAGCTCCCCTATCCGCTTGAGGGCAATGATGAGTTGATGGAAGACTGTGGAGATGATGGCAGCGACAGCGACATGTATTCGGTCTCCGACCTAATCGATCTTCGCAGTCGAGCAGTCTCAGCAGCTTCGCTGAGAGTGGAACTGTCATCAAACTCCTCAAATCCCTCGACACCATCCACTTCTGAACATGCAGACAAAGAAGGAACATACAGGCTACCTTCATCCCACCCAGAAGTCTTTCCTCCCATCGCTCTGTTCTCTCAAGTCCTTCCACTTGACAGAGTTCATGGTTTCAAGTTCCTCGGCTGGCACGAGATCTCGGAGACAGAGTTCTTCGCACCTGATACCCCTGAACTGATTGACATGTTGCAACGCAAGGGAGACAGAATTGCTTGGGAAAGCGGCGTGGAGCGTTGCGAATGGGCCAAGATCAGGTTGATCAGGGATGAGGCAACTGAGAGGGAGAGGGGTCCATTGAGAATTGCGAGATTGGATTGAGTGTCAGGGGTTGAGGATAGTTCTGAAACAGTGTAATGGGATGCAATGTGTTATGACAGGGGCACATGGCGTTCTTGGGAGCGATTACTTCAAGTCTTCAACGAGATGTTGAAGACGGATATGTTGTTAGTTTATTGACATAGCTGGAGAGTAAGAAAATGTCTTGCTAAGACAACCATCTTTCTCAATCGTCTTGGGTTAGTCACAAGTCTCATCTCTTGTGAAGCTCTCTCCGACAAGTGGTGAGTTGCGAACCATGTACGCAGTACCTCAAGTAGGAGACGGCGCAAACAAATGGAAGAAAAAAGGATAAAAAATACCGCAGTGGAGGTGGGGTCTTGGCAAGCCGGATCGTCATGAGAGCGGTTGACTCATGGGAATTTTACGAATTTGATAATCCATCACAAAGTCACCGTCGCGTTTCCAGATCAGGTTATACAGCACCGCAGACAGACGTCGAATACCTCAAGCCGAGATCAATACCAATCTGTACTCGACGCGACACAATATCCCACGTCTCCAGGACGAAAGCAAACAAAGTCATCTGCGCGCGATAAAGTGAACGAAGGCCGGAAATACACAGTCGCCATGTCATCGACAGCAGGAGAGGCTGAGAAGGCCGTCAACACAACACCCGCACAAAACGGTTCTGCAGACAAGGCAGCAGCCGCACCCAAGAAGGACAAGACACAAAAGCCAGAGGCCGGCAAGAAGGACGAAGCTACAGCAGATGGAGACAATAAGAAAATATCTGGCGCAGAGCTGAAGAAACAGAAGCAGGCAGAGAAGGCGGCGCGACGTGAAAAGGAAAAGGCCGATCGTATGGCTCAGCTCGGGCAATCAGCAGCTACACCACAAACGCCAGCAAAGGGAGCAAAAGGTGGAGATGCAAAGAAGGGCGCTGAGGCTGCACAGAAGGGTGGCCCTGCTCAGGGTCAGGCACAGCACAAGAAGGGTCAATCTCAGGGTGGAAACCTGCCTCTGCGCGGTAAACCTGGTCCGGGAGGAGTCATCCCCATGACTCAACAGCAGCAACCACAGAGAAAGACAAAAGAGGTTGGTCTGTTCGGCCATCTCTACACTTCGGCTCCCAAGCGAAACACCATGGAGGGTGTGAGCAAGGAAGTACACCCTGCCGTGCTGGCATTGGGTCTGCAGATGAGCTCTTTCACCGTCTGTGGCAGCAATGCACGATGTGTCGCTATGCTGCTTGCATTCAAAAAGGTACGCTAAGTCAAGTCCTGTTTCTGTTCGTTGTCTAACTCGAGTTACAGGCCATCGAAGATTACCAAACACCACACAACACCTCTCTTGCACGCCATCTCACCTCGCATTACCTCTCTCCCCAAATCGACTACCTCAAATCACACCGTCCCATCTCTGTTTCCATGGGCAATGCCATTCGTTGGCTGAAAGACCTCATCATTAAGATCGACCCGGACACACCAGAAGCTGCCGCCAAAGAAGACATCTGCACTGCCATCGACACCTTCATCCGCGAACGCATCACAGTTGCCGACACTGCCATTGCCGCAACCGCCTGTGCAAAGATTCGTAACAACACAACCATCGTCACATATGCAAAGTCATCAATCGTCGAAAAGACGTTGCTTCGCGCCTGGGAATCTGGCACTCGCTTCAAGGTCATTGTTGTCGACTCGCGTCCTCTGTTTGAGGGCAGAAACCTGGTTCGAAGACTCGCAAATGCTGGCATTCCTGTGACCTACCTCATGGCCGCCGCCGCTGCCCATGCCCTCAAGGATGCTGACCTAGTCTTGCTGGGCGCTCACGCCATGATGGCAAACGGACGTCTGTACTCGCGTATCGGCACAGCTTCTGTAGCTATGTTGGCCCACTTCCGCGATATCCCTGTCATTGTGCTATGTGAGAGCATCAAGTTCACCGACCGTGTTGCCCTGGACAGTATTGTGCTCAACGAAGTCGCACCTGCCGAACAACTGATTCCTGCCTCGAAGTCTCTTCCTACTCCGCCCGCAGCCACCGATGCGAAGAAGGATGACAAAGATGAGGAAGCTAAGCTGGAGAATTGGCGCGACATGCCGAATTTGCAGCTGCTGAATATCCTGTACGACGTCACACCTGCCGAGTACGTCAACATGGTCATTACCGAGTACGGATCATTGCCGCCTAGTTCAGTGCCTGTCGTGCATCGCATCAGTACAGAGAGAGACGTGAGGCTGTAATAACGACCATGTGCAAAAAGAGATAGCAATACGAGATGAATGAAAAAGCATTAATACTCCCAACATCTGTTACGGTCGACCAGCTGTATCGCGGCGAACCTGTGTTCCTATGAATTCTGGCATTGTTCTGGTTTAACCCTTGCGGAAGTGGGAAAGTGGGACTCCAGGAGAACAATACTAAGCTTCGCCCCTTCCAAATCTGCCTCCACCGACCGCCATTTGGGCTTCCTCGAATCGCCGCTTTCAGTTCAAGTTCGAGATTTGAACTCAATTAGGACATTTGCTGCGTTTGTGTTATTAGTGTCGGTGCATTCTGATCACCTGGTCTGCCAATATCAGATTTCGCGCTTGACTTCGCTCACTCAACTCGCTGACAAAATCAGCAGCCAGAACCTCATGGTTCCTACTGCGTTCTGTCTACTTGAATCATATTGATCTCCCACAAACACGATGACCATACGCTGCCTGTCGCCGCTCTGGCCTGCCATGCCTTTGTGTATGCACAACAATATCAAGACCACCAACACAATGCCCACTCGGTAAAGATTGATAGAAAGCAATCTCCGTCTACTATTTCAGTCCATCTCTTCTTTGATCTCCTGCTCCTCTTCTTTATCTCCAAGAACAAATCACACGGACCAGAACACTTCAGACCAAGTCAACACGCTCCAACCCAGCCAACACGAACCGACTCCAACAAGCCCAACACATCAAAGACATCCATCCCCATTGTCTTACCACTCGATATAAATCACCCTCCTCGCAACCACCAAACCTCAGATCTTCCACTTTTCCAAGTACATAACAAACTTATACACTCATTAGTGAGCCTCCCCCCACCACCCTCACACACCCACAAAACTTTTTACAACCCAATTTACTTACACAGCTTTCTTCTCCCAGCTTTTCAAGTAACCAAACCTTTCCAAAAACTCTATCAACAATGGCCAACGTCACTTTCACCGCTACCGACGCTCCCGTCCTCACCTTCAGCACCAGCAGAATTTCGTACAAGCAAGCTGGCTGTATCCTCCAGGGTGGACGCCCCTTCATGTCTTCATGCACTCTGCAGGGTGGACGTCCCTTCATGTCATCATGCTCTCTTCAATACAACTAAATCACTTCTGCTACTCTTCCACTTCTTTTTTTGAAGCATGAGTAGTAGTAGTAGATTTTTGGTTTTGATGCAATGGGCGAAGGCATGGATTAGCTGACAGGGGCCTTTTTGCGTACCTTTGAGGCGTTTTTGACCCTATCTAGGGTCAAAATTCATTCTGTATATTTCTTCTTCTTCGTTTTTAACAATATGCGAATCCATCAACTTGATGGGCTTTTTTTTTTCTCGGGTGGGAAATGTTGATTGCCGCGGCTGATTTGATCATTGCTTGTTGGCGACGGCTTCGTTTATTCGAGAAAAAAAAGTCCATCTTGGGTTTTCTTTCTATCAAATATTACTTTGCTCGTTTTGTTGCAAATCACTTTTCTCTCTCTCTCATGCTTTCTGTGACGGTCTTTCATACTTTGTGTTCTTCTGTGATGTCTCTGTTGTTCACTGCTCGATGCAACTTCTCTCTTCGGAGTTCTCTTTCTTTCTCTATAGATATCCACATGGCTATTGCTATGCATACCAAGCGATCACCACAGGATCAGACCAAAGTTCTTGCGATATAAAAGATGTAGTAAACAACGACTACGATTCTCTCGAGGTAAACGAATGACTATGTGGGACTACTACTGCCACTCAGCTAAAAAAGAAAACGACCGACTTCGTTCATGAAAACCAGACCAAGAATGACAAAGACTGAGCAAAAGGCCCATCGACTGCCAACACATTCATCCACGAAGAGATAGCCAAGATGTCATGTGATGCGATACCAACATCCTATTTCATCAAAGCCAAACCTCTAGAAACTCCATCTAGACACGCAACTTCAGGGGGTTGTTGCCATTGTTCAGCGAAGTGCAGTTAGCAGCAGTAGACAAAGTAGAACAATCGATATGCGCACACGCATCTTCCAACCCAGGTGTAAAGTTGACTTGATCGGAAATACCATTATCAGTAGCAGAATCCAACCAAAGGATATTGGCATCGGGCAAAACATTGCAGCATCTGAAGTTGTTGATATCGTTGATGGCGTGATCGATCACATCGCTATCCATAGGCATCATGATGATGCTCCTAAGGTTATCGAGAACATGGGTGTCAAACACCATCATCAAATCCATGGCGGCACAGTTGAAGGCATCGGTGCCGCCGCCGACGAAATCGCTGTTGCTGATGAGGGTTTTGAGCTGGCAAGGTTCGTCTTGGGCGAATAGGAGGGTTTGCATGGTGGCGTTTTGGATCTCCATGCCGAGGGCGAGACCGCTGGCTTGGTTTAGGAAGGCGTTGACGGTGTTGACGTCGGTGTTCCATTGATCGATGGCGGCTTTGGCATCGGCTGAGGAGGGGTTGCTGGTGACGGAGTCGAGCATGCAGGGGTCGGCGGCTTGACGACGGTATTTGGCATTGGATCCTGCTGAGACAGAGGTGATCGAGGCAGCAAATGTCAGGATCGCGGTGGTGGTGGAGAAATGCATGTTGGTGATTGAAAAGTGTTCTTTTGGCTTTGGATGGAAGATAGAGTAGCAAGGTATTTGGGAGTCAGGCTGATGCTTTGCAGTATTGTGATGAGTTGATGCTGTGACAAATGATGCTGCAGTTAGAGAGGCTATATACCATGGCATACGAGAGTTGTATTCGTGGTGAACTGTAAGCAGAGTCGTCCAAGTCGCCGGATCTGCATTGCGTATATCGCATACGACTCTGCTCTGTTGTTGTTGGTAATCGCCAGCTCGGCAAGTACGAGGCTGACCATTCGTAACTGGGTCCAGTAATAGAAGGTAGTCGCGGCCTTTCCGAGTGGTTTCCGTGCGCTCTCTCGACTTGCGAGATGATTCCGTCGCTAGCTGAACTTGTGGACTCTATTTGCGATGGCTGTCATTCAAGCTTTCTGGAAGGATGCCAACAAGTAATAAGCTCAATGTACGACTCTACTCCTCTGTACGTACCTGTACAGTGTGGAGAGTCTGACAATATCTTCGGTGACAGTCAAGAATAGAGACGGACTGTGTCTCCGCCGAGGGTGCTCCTCATAGAAGCCGCGTGTTTCATCGGAATCTTCGAGTTCGCACGATGTTGGAGAAGTTGGACTGGATTGTTGACGTTTTCATGGTCGCACGGATAGTGCATGTTTGTTGTGGACCACCAACCATAGACACGGGGTCAGCCGTCTCAGTCTCTTACAGCTTGTATGACCACAAGTATCGGTGGATCCGTGCTCTCTTTTCGTCATAGCATCCGTGGCCGGCGTCGAATGGCCATTGTGAATGCAGTTGAGCATCCGGCTTTCCCAGGACTCTCCTGTCCAACCAACGCAGTGTCGCCAATGTGTGTTTCCCCGCCCGTAGTGAAGTGTGGTTCCGGACTGGTCGTTCTTGCCCCCAGAGCCAAGGCAGAAATCAGACTTGCTACACAGCTCCCAAACAAGACTTTGAATACGCGGGCACTTACAGAAGTTGTCAATATGGCATACTTTACTCTGACCGAAAGAACTCATCATATCTGACCAACCCTTTCGCTCCCGGTCCAAAATACTCCTCATCCGCCAAGGCTTTCCACAAAGCCTTCGAGCCATCGCCACCAGCAGGATCATCTCCCATATCGAATACCTTGTTACCGACTGTGCAGAGCGATCTTCCACTAACTTCCTCATCACAAAGCACGCGCATGACCGGTCCAACCACATCCTCGACTTGAGATACATTCACACCAGCTTTTGCAATATGGTCGACGAACGACTCAGTCATTTTGGTACGCACAAAGCAAGGTGCGATGAGCTGTGTGCGGAAGGGAAACCCAAAAGCGTCTTCCTGGTATCTGATGGACTTCCACAACCCTCGGACACCGAATTTTGCAGCCATGTATGTTGATGCGAGTGTGTCTTCGGCATATCCGGCCAACGAGCTCATGAGTATCAGATGCTTCTTGAAGTTGTCAGAGGGACTGTGTGTCTTCTTGAAGTAGTGGAGTGCAAGCACTGTTGTGTAGTATGTGCCAGTTAGATTGACATTGAGGTCTAGTGTCGAGGGCTGAGGCAGGTCGGCATTCTCATCCAGGTCTTTCGGGAATGCCTTTTCCAGGATGGAGCCTCCGGAAAGTCCAGCGTTGGCGATGACAATGTCCAGACTGTGGGTTGGCGAGTACTCGATAGCAGCCTTGAATGCCAATGTCAAAGACTCCCATGAAGTGATGTCTGCCTTGACAAAGTGGACGCTATAATGTCATCAGTGATTGCTTGAACGATTTTCAGTAACGAGCCATACTGATAGCCAGCTTCGGTCAGTTCGCTCTGGCGCTGCTGCCCGAGTGTTTCATTCATGTCTGCGATCGTGACATAAGCGCTGTATTTGTCAGCTCACACCACAGGCCAGATATTTCTCAAAGCAGTCTTACCCAGACTCAGCCACTGCTTTCGCAATACCATAGCCTAAGCCATCAGCACCTCCAGTAATCAACACGCTCCTGCCTTTAATCGCATCACGATCAACACGCTTCGAAAAGTCAACTGGATCAGCTCTCCAGACCATCGTGATTGATTTCGAATTGATTTAGGTTGGATACCTAGCCTTTCCAGAGCGAAGAGCCATTCATATTAATACTGTACAGTATCCCAAATCCTTCATGGCGTGCTGGTAGGCAGCAGAATAAATATTGATTGAATTCTTCGCGTACTTGGAGGGTTCTAACTTGAATCCAGTAACATGAGATGTAGCCATGCCATGGTCGTATGACAGAGTTTACTGATTACCATCTTGTTGATTGTTGTGAAGAGGTTGAGGGAAGGAGGCGGGTGCCGAAGGGCGGCCTTTCGGCTGCATATTCTTTGGTGGCATAATTTAATGCGCATATCGTACGGATCCGTTATGTATTCATAAAGCAAGCACATCTATGCATATCACGCGCATCCGACCATGTTGCGACAGAAGTCAGCAGGTAAGAAAATGATCAAATTCTTGAAATCTGTTGTTCACATAGAGTCTTGCGTTCCTTCGTATCTCTTCAACACTATATAAATCATGCAACATCTAAACCTGATCAAGGCGAATACTGGCCTGAGTGCCTTCCGTCCAAGGCTTGTAGTAAACACGAAACCCTTTCCCCCGCTTCTCGACAGTATCTGAATCGCTATGGGATTTCGGCAGATCGTACTGCTGACCTTGGAAGGCGAGCAAGAGATCTGATGTCAATCGCAAGCCGTCGATTATCCTGCCTCTGGGTGTGCGTAAGGATATCTCCGAATACCACGCCAGTCCTGCGGTCAGTGATGCAGCAATGCAGATAGTAAGAATCGAAGCGAAGGCGATGGCTGGGATGAAGGTTATGCGGTAGAGTTGTATTTTCATGGTGCCTTGCACAGTGGCGTTCTTGGCTCGTGTTGAGTTCCCGGCGGCGACTTCGTATACTGTTTTTTCGAGGGCGGCAGATGCTTCCAAGAAGTTTCTCGCAAAGTAGTCAAGGTCAGTGGAAGAAGCACCCTCTGGTGTTTCTAGATTGAAAGCCATAGCTGGGGCGATTCCAGGGCTCGATGCTCCAGGCGCACTCCAACCAAGAGCGACTTGCCAATCCGACATGAGATTACGGACTTGCTGTTTCTTGGAGTCGAAGAACGATGTATCCACTGTCCATTCGAGATTCAGTTCCGATCGCGTCAGATTCACGAGACCCGTTTGGCGTAATATGGTACAATTCAGACCCCATGAAGACATTATGACTTTAGTGCCATTGAACCCAGACAGTGTCATGTTCATTGCCCGTGGCGTCACTGCTCCGTAGGAAGAGTTGAAACGTTCAGTGGACATATTGAAACTGGCAAGATAGCCGAGGAAAACGTTCTTGGAACTGAAGTCGAAAGCCGTATACGCATAGTAGTCATTTGTTGCAGTTTGGAGCGATGAGATCCGGCCAGGATAGAAGCTTTGATATAGAACATTTGAGTCAGAAAAGCGAGGTGAGATCTGGGTCGAGTATGTGCCCAGCTGCTGAATCGCGAGCTGAGATGGTTGCAAAGCATTGCATTGCATTGTCAAACGATACGCCCCAACGTTGTGCAATTGACGCACAGAGGAGTCAAAGGCGAGTGAATCACTTGTTGCGTTGATGCCAACATATGATGGTGAGGTTTGTTGCGAACCGGCATTGTTGCGCACACTCATTGCAGTCAAAAGACCGGTGACTCGATCTGCAAAGCTCGCTGTTTGATTCGAATCGAACAGGTAAGGATCGTAGTCTTTCAACCCAATTGCCGTTGTTCCTTGGGGAAATGACATGGTCCTATGGATAGCGTCGTCGCTCAGACTCGTGAGATTGAAAGTACTGTTCTGCCGTTGATGGTCGTAAGCCTCGTAGGCAATAATGTTCGAGACGAAAGACTGAGCGAAGGCGACCACCAACGTGAGTATTCCAAGAGTCATGAATGGTGGCCTACCACTGCTCATGAAATTCTTAAATTTGAAAAGGTTGTAGCTCCCAGTCGAAGTGCTACTGGCTTCAACCAAGGCGCGCAGAGGTACGCCTTTCATTTTCGTGCCTTGGTTGATGGATATCGAGCTTCGCGCGCTCGAAAACCACAGAAAGCCCAGAGCCGCCAGTATGGACGGTGCGAGTAACGCACCAGCGATGAAGTCGATACCTTTCGCTTGCGCAAGTGTGAATTGCCCTCCTAAGGGCTGACTCTGCCACCACCTTCTTCGGTCTGAAGTCCGAACTGACATTACCATAAAAGCCACAAGAGCCATCAGCGAGATAGCTGCGATAATATATACAATATACAACTGCAGGGAATAAAGCCATTGCGATTGCTGTGTTTCATCTACACCTTCGGTCAAAGGCGCTTGAGAGGCATCGTCAGCGAGACCACGATCAGTGAGCATGTAAGAGTTATCGTCGCACTCTGTAGCCAGTGTAGCTATGCCGGTGGCCTTAGACTTGCTCAATTCGTCAGGAATGATGGGATGGACCCATCTCAAAACATCTCGACGCAGCCAAAGTCCGAGAGTAGCCACCATGAACTGGCGTACTCGAGGCTCAAGGCGTTGTGATTCCAGGTCGGGCCTAGGGGAGAACGCAAGACACCCAAGACAGTTTCTAAGATCCGCCGAAAGCCCTAGAGCACGACGAAGCAAGTAGTCTGCCGAGCCCTTGAGGTTATCGTTGGAGAGCTTCAGTGTCAGAGCCATACATGCGAGCATAAGTGGGTCTGATGATGGCATTGGCTGCTCGATCGTGATGGTGGATGTCTCGTCTTCTGGTCTGCTAGAACTTTAGCTTTAGTACAGCCAAGGATAAGACCGAAGACCGAAGTATGAGAGGAAGACGTACGAGTCGGTTTGGACATTACGCTTAAGGCATAGCAAAGCTTCGTCGATCCGGCCGATACAAAGGTATAGTACGATCTCTTGTAGGTCGAAATCCATGGCACTCGCATCTGGTGAGGCGTATGTCGCTGATGCCATATCGGGATGAAGATAATCTACGTGAAAAAGTCGATGTGACAAGTGTGAAGAACCAGACTACAGTCTTGACTTGGAGTCTCCGAAGGAGGGTCGGGGTATCTTATAAAGCAAGATAGCAGACAGGGCTACGCGATTGCTGAGGAATAATGTCTGCCTTGTAAGCGCGAGGCTCATATCCACATTGTGCTTTTCCCCAGAGGGCTGGTACAGCCATTTTGCTAAGCGCCCTCGAGCTTCCCGTGGCGCGCATGTCAAAGATACACCATGCTACAAGTTGTGTCCACGTCCGCGCGTTCTCATATGGTTTACACGCCACTTACTGACGGTGTTATTGATCTGCTGTATCGTTCGCATATTCAAGTGGGCGAGATCCTGATCTCGTGGCTGCGAAAACGTCTAGTGATACGATGATCTTGGTGCTCCAGAAAGTCGAACAGATCATTGAAGGCTGGAACCTCGAAGCTGAGATGTCAAGGCTGTGTCACCCCACTCACTCGACGTACATGTAGTGCTTACAGCTCGCATGGTGGCTGCAGATGGTATCGAACGCGTCGGTGAACGGGACGGATACACTGTCGATATTTACGATCCGTTGCTATTCCGAGAGGGAGTTGCCTTCCACATGTATGTAAATTTGCCAGACGCCATGCATGACTTGCCAGCTAGCTAGGTAAAAAAAAAGGACGGAAAATACCCTTGCTTGAGCTTTGGGAAGCGCGCGCCAGAATAAATGTCACTTCGTATCACAGTTTTGGCAGCCCGGCTTATACAGCCCCTTGTGCTCAACCGGGTGTTATTCCACAAACGTAACAGTTGTTCAGAACGTCATGAAATGGCCAGAGAGAATTAATTGATCCATGGCGTTTTTCTGTCAGTCTGTTTCCAAAGATTGATGGTGCTTTTACATGAAAGAGCAAAGCTGCGAATATTTCGGTGCACGCATTTTTGCGGGCCCTGGCCAATCATAACGCTCCGTGAAATGCAGATCTCTGTGAAATGCAGATGCTCCTCCTATCCGCTACACGGTATTTGCACCAGACGCACACCAGAGAGATCGTTTCACTACTGTGGGCGCTTATTATGGCGCAAGGCACAACTCACAGTGGCACATTTGCTTCCCAGCTCCATGATAGAGTGGGCATCTGTCGCGCTAGTACATTCATGAACCAAGAGGGGTAAACTGCATTACAGTGTTGACCTCACCTTGTGCCCTCAACCATACCAAGCGGCGAGCAATAGAAGTCATGGTCATCGGGTTGTTCGACAGGACTACCTAAACATGTGCGTCACTTGGGTCCCCCTTCTGCGATCATTTTTCGAGACATTCAAGCTGTAGAGATTCACAATGCCTTTGTTCTACTACCACCGGTCCAAAGAGATGAGCTGTCTGATACGCTCTCAGTGGATATAACGCTGCTTTGGAAATTATCGTGCATTCAGACAACATGCGTAACAGACTTTAGCACAGAAGAGGCACTGACAGCAGATATTCACATGCAAAGAGGAAGGCATGAAGGAGGCACAAGCAAAGACAGTACAACGAACAAGCTTTTTTTCCTTTCTGGCTTTCTAAACACCGAATTCTTAACATTATTATTCTCCAAACAGCATGGTAAACCCAAAGAAAACGACTCGCAAGATGATGATGTTGCAATGCGACCTTTCCAAATAACACAAACAAATGACTCCTCGCACAGTCTCTTGCCTCGCTAAAAAACCACTGGGAAATATGATGATGACCCAGTGGGAAAAGAGTTACAAGATAAAAACAAAATGCTCACACAATAATTCAAACAACAACCATGCTGTTACAAATGATCAATCCTCGTGAGTGGAGGTGCTCTTTTTTCGTGAAAGAAAAAGGCTACACTCGATAGGGAAAACTCACTTCTCCTGTACTTCGGCTTCAGTCATGTCCGGCTCAGAGTCCTCGGACTCCTCGTCGTCAGAGAAAGAAAAATCGTCATCGAAAACCATGTCGGGTTCGCATAGAGGAGTCGGGTGCACGTCGGGCCAACGCGCATCAAATTCCTGGATGCGACAGCGATAGAAATGTCTGGTTGACTCGGGCAGAGTCATTTCCCTCCATAGTTGTTCAATGTCGATGGTGTCGGTCCAGGCGGTGATGGGGCACTGGGTGTTCGTGGTGGCGTACTTTTCGGCAAGAGCGACGAGGGCGGTACAATGACGGCCCCAATGGAGAACGTCGCCGCTGTCGAGAGTACCTTGGTGCTGACGGAACTCGACGGTGGCAGCCGGTTCGTTGTTGGTGATGTCGCGACCGCAGTAGGAGAAGTTGACAATGCGGCCTTTGGTTGATCCCATGAGCTTGACAAATGCTTTGAGTGGGTCTTCGGCGGCATCGACGTCGTCGAACAGGGCCTTGCGGATCTCTGCGAGCGACTGGTAATTCCATATCACTTCTACAGATCCTTCGGTGATGGCGCCAGCTTCGTCGCAGATATAGGCGTGATGCGGCTCTGGGGCTGGGCATTCGGTTGCAAAATCGACACGGTTTGACGCCGTCTCGAAATCAGCACCACGGTTGCGAGGAATTGTCCAACGAGCAGCCTCGTGTTCGTATACAAGTACGAGGTAAGCCAGGTGCTGGAGAGTCTTCAGGCTGAATGGTGTACCATCTTCTTTACCGACGTGGATATGCATAGCGCATTCATCGTCCATGTGATAGTCGAGATGGTCGGAACACAGGGCGGTGGAGACTTTGGCGATCTCTTCGGAGGCTTCTTCAAGCGATGAGTGAGGGGCAGTCACGATCTCGCAGGCGATGAAGTCGGTGGTATTGGCCTCTTCAGGGGTGCATAGGCCTCTCGAGACCTTGGTGGCGTTGGTGAGGCCATTCAGACTGGTGTCGTTTGTGAGATGCAGGCGAGCGGACGAGAAGTCTTGCTGTTTGCTTGCACCCTGATATATTGTTGTACTGTGGTAGTCCGGAATGGCCTGCAGGCATCTCTGAACAATTTTGAGAGCTTCTGTGGTGTATCCACGAAAGTCGCATTGCTTTCCGGTGGTCTTGCTCACGAGTGTAGTGCTCTGTGGATGATTACCGGGGTCGCGGAAGGCAAAATTGAGGTAATCGTTCTGCAAATACTGGGGTCCGGCTTTGGACAGACGGACTCGACCAGGGTTGGTGACGACTTCGATATTGCTGGTCGTGGGATTGCTTCTGAGTTCTTGTTGGAGCTGCTCGGCGGTGACTCGGAGCTTGAACTCATACTCTAATCCAAAGGTCAGGTTCGAGGATGAAGTCGATCTGCCAGAGGTAGTAGTATTGTTGGTGATGGGCATGCTAGAGCAGCCAGAGGAAGTGGTAGTTGAAGCCATGCTGAAGATGGTAAAGAGGTAGAAGCAAAAGAATAAATTCTGATGCTGAGAGAGAGAGAGGTCTTGAGTTAAGAGCTTTTGTTGAGCGGTGCTTTTTGAAATGACACGTCTGCTGTAACTGGAAGATACAGAAGAAAGGAAGAGAGGGGAAATGGGAGGCAGCGGTGGCTATATAGGTATTGGTAGTCAAGCAGCCCGTGACCTACAAACTTGCGCACAACTGCCTCATGGAACCAAATGGTGGACACGGTGGCACTAATGACCCAAAAGTAGAGCAAGGTAGCGTGCGAAAAGTGAGGACTGCACGTGGATGGTTCCTGAATGATTAATGTCGACTTACGGAGATACAGGTTATGGGAAAGACTGAACAAAGTCACATGAGCATGCCTGAAGCCTTGAAACAAGGTGTTGTCATAATGCTCAGTCACTGCCCTCCGAAGGAGATGCAGCAGTGTTCGAAATCTTGTCCGATACTGTATCGTAAAGTCCGGTCGCCCATTCTTTGGCGCCGTCAAGTTTTCCCTTAACCCAGTCCCACCAGAGATTCGTGTCTTTACCATCCTTGTCTTCGTCTTCAGGACTGACATCGTCGTGGATGACGGGTCGCGATGGAGCAGCGGCCTCTGTGGTGGCAATGGCCGGTCGTGACGCTGGCGTCGAGGATGCGGCCACTTGCGTCACAGTCGTAGAAGAAGCCGCAGCGGAAGGGATTGTTTCGCTAGATTCGATAGAAGTAGAGGAAACATCTTCTGGCACGTCCTCGGGCATGTCTTCCGGGATCTCTGTAGGTGGCATGGAGTCATGCAAACCAATAGGCTTAAGCGGTAAGCGAAGCGTGCCATTGTTCGGCTTAGGGACAATGCCAACGGAGTCGCAGACAAGATTATAGACCTCAATATTCTGGAAGGGTTCAACTTTGCTTCCAGGCGTGTGAGGGAAAGCAGGTCCCCTAGCCACGAAAATGGCTCGCATGAGCGGATGTTCGTGGTCGTATCCGTGTACACCTCGAGGGTGGTAAACTTGGCCGGTCTTTTTAGCCTCTTTCACGTTAAATTCCTCCTTGACCACAATAGCCCATCCAGTCCTGGGTATTACCCACAGAGGCGCGATGCGGTCATTACGCGAGAAGTGATAACGTTCGGGCATGTCGCGATCTTTTAGATAGACATCGAATCCTTCCATTGCAGCTGCTTCCTGCTTGAGATGGTTGTACAAAGGCTCGATGTCGGAGTCGTTCTTCGGACGCAATCCGTACAATGGCCATCCATCGCTACGCTCAATAAGAGACATGTCGATGATGTCGTCGAGCTGGACTAAGCGAGAGGTTGAGGTCGTAGCCATACCATGGTCGGACACAATGACAATGTTGACGATATCGGTCAGGTTTCGCTGCTCTAGGCCAGAGAACAGCTCACCCAACATAGAGTCGACACTAGAGATGGTAGATCTGATTTCAGTGCCGTTTGGACCATACAAATGACCATCACGATCAACATCCGGCACATAGGCGGCTATCAATTGCGGTCGTGGACTTTCGGGTTTTGCATCCTTGTCGAGTGGCCCAGGAAGATCAAGCAGACCCAGAATACGATCAACCTTATTGCCAAGCAGCTCATGGCCTTTGTACTTGTCAACATAGGTAGGCTCAATGTCACCAATATGTGCTTCAGATCCAGGCCACATGTGAATGGCAGCGCGAACGTTTTGCTCTTCTGCAGTGACCCAAATAGGGTCTGCGTTCCACCATTTGGGTTGCATGCTTCTTGCGGGGTCAGTGTAGAAGAAATCCTCTTTCAAATGAGGGTCCCAGAAGCTGTTACCCACCACACCATGGGATTCTGGGTACAGGCCAGTAACAAGCGTCATGTGATTTGGGAATGTGATTGAAGGAAAGCTTGGATTGAGAAATTCGGGTGATACACCAGCTTGGACAAAGGCATTCAGAGATGGCGTGATGTTGCGATGAAGGAAGTCGGCGCGGAAGCCGTCTAGCGATATGAGGATGGTAGTGGGTGCGAAGACAGAGGTGCCATTGCTGAGGGCATTCGACAGAGGACGAGCTTTGTTGGTGTTGCGAGAAGCCAGATAGGCACCAAGTAAGAGGCCGAAGAAGGCGATTATTATAACGACATGGATGGCAGTCAGCTTCCAGACTCGTGGACCGCGACGACTGGGTTCTGGCAGCTCTTTCATTCTCAACCTGTCGACATCGGAGGAATTGGCCGACGAATCAGAGCTGTCTTTGTGGCCCTCTTCCATGTCATACATGAGCTCACTCTCTTCCTCCTCTTTGGGCTGTTTCTTTCCATTGCGCTTGGCCTCTCGCTGGAATCTTCTGCGCTCTTTCTTGCTGATCTTGACACCGCTGGATGGGCCATCCTTGCGAGCAAACAGTCCTTTGAGTCCTCGCTCTTTCTCTTTCTTGGTCAATAGCTCCTCTGCCTCCTCCTCTGTTTCGAGTATCTTCAGGTCCAGCTGTCTGATGTCGGTCGAGGTGCGGGGTCTGAGTTCGGCGCCGTCATGATCAGAGTCACTTCCAGAGTCGTCGGTGCTGTCAGCCGGCGGTGGGCGATGGAACCCCACTCTACCGTAGTTGGACATGGTTGTCGTGTATCAGCGCACTCTGGGCGCGTTCTAGGGGTGAATTGTCGCTCGAGGCGTATCGAAACGCTCACTGAACAATCATGGGTGATGTTCGCACAAGATTGGGTGTGCCTTGTGAGAGAATTTAACGATCGTATCAGAGTTGAGTATTGTGGCTCTGGTGGGCGCGAGATTACATGTCTGATGAAAGAGGAATGCGTTGGGTCGTTTCCTCGAACTCTCGAGGCTGGGCCAGCATGTCAGGGTGTCCGTGCGAACAATAGTTCCGACCTCGAAAATCAATCCCATGCACCTTGTGAGGTGCCAGTCATTAATTAGTCTGGCATATGAGTACTTGAAAATAGTTACAAAAGAACTATCACCATCTTAAAGTGTTCGGAACCATTGGCGGCCGCGAATTATTGGCATCCAGCACAATGTTCACACGTTGACCAAATTCACAGCTATGGCCAGCGTTTCCCAGACGTCCGTGTCAATGATTCGTGATATTCGTCTATATATATTTTGCAGACCTCTACTTGAATTTACCAGTACAGCCCGAACACCTGCAGAGGACATCATCGGCAGATTACTTCTAAAACCCAATCGCTAAACAAGCCTGATCCTCAGCAGCCTCTATGAAACCTGAAGTGCATCAAAGATATCGGCAATCTCTGTTGTGTTGTAGCCAACAGCAAGGGCGCACTGCAGCAGGATGCGAGCCTTCTGGGGGTCAAGGTTACCACTGGAGATAGCCCAGTCGTTGGACTGGGGCGAGACGAATCCATTCATAGTGCGAGTGGAGAAGACCATGGGGATACCAGTCTCGTTGTAGACAGCCTGGGCGACCTGTCTGCCCTTGGTAGTCCAGCCGCCAGCACCAGTACCGGCGAAAACGATGGCCTCAGCACCCGATTCAGCGGCGGCTCTGATAAGCTCTGGGTTACTGTCTTGGTGACCATAGAGAACATCGACGTGAGGCAATGAAGTCAGATTAAGGGGGGCGAGGTCGAAGAAAGGCTTTCCGGCCGGTGTTGCCGCAGAGTAGTAGAACTGAGGGATAGAGTCCAAGAAGAAACCGAGGTGGCCTTGCTCGATTGCCTTGAAGGTATCCAACGAGTTGGCATTGTTCTTTACCACATAGAAGGCACTGTCAATACGGTCGTTCAGGGTCACCATGGTGCCACGACTCTCAGCTTCAGGAGTAACAGCCAGTGTCACAGCCTGGTACAGGTTCAGAGGTCCATCTGCAGATGTAGCAGTAGAAGGACGCATTGCGCCAACAACCACGACAGGCTTCTTTGACTCGATAGTGAGGTCCAAGAAAAACGCTGTCTCTTCGAGGGTGTCGGTGCCATGAGTTATGACGGCGCCAGTAGAAGTATTTTTGGCCAATTCAGCTGTGATTTGGCGATTGAGTTCGAGCAGGACAGTTGCGTTAATGTTGCCCGAGTCCACATTCGCTACTTGAATGCCGTTGATATTTGAGATATTCAATAGCTCCGGCACAGCATCAATCAGAGTCTGGATAGCGACCGCTCCAGCGGTATAACCAGTTGTCTGAACGCCTGACCCGGCAGAGCCAGCAATAGTACCACCTGTAGACTGTTAGCGAGTCGTATCGATAGCTTTAAAAGGACATAAACGTACCGGTAGCGAAGATAGTGACGTTTCCTAGACTGGCATTGACGCTAGCTACAGATTGACGGACTTCAAGTTGAGGGAAGGTAGGGAGGGCAGCAGCATGACTGAGAGGGCCCAATGCAGCGAGAAGAGATAGAGTCCTGAGCATCTTGATAGATGGTTGTATGCTTCTTTCCAGGAATAACGAGGGAGAGAATTGAGCGATAGACAAGGGAACGAAAGTATGTTGGAAAGTGGTTGACTTTGTAATTGAGCAGCAGACTTACGAGAACTTCATGGTTTATATAGCCTCCAGGATGAAGCCATTTCATGCTGAGCCTACCCGATGATACCTCACGAAAACCTGCTGGCAGCACGGGATGGTCCACTATCGGCGAGGAGAGAGGCACGTTCTTTCACGCTATCGTACTGGACTGTGGCTCAGATCGCGGTGAGTAGGTAAGTTTGGTGAGTGATTTTGGCATGGCCGAGTTTTGGAGGGGTAATAGTTATTGGGCAAGGTTTCCGTCAGAGATTCTGTTACCCCTTCAAAAGTACAGATTCGGATAGATGCACGCCTATCGCAACACCGATGAAGTTGAGATCTTGGCTTTGGCACCGGCGGCCTTGGGGTCGACTGGGCACCCCAGGCCCCGGGTTACAATGCTGGTGGAGATGTTGGGTGGTGCAGCGATATCGCTTCCGAAAGCTGCCGATGGTGACTTGTGAGGAAGTGTTGACAAGGTGTCGATAAGATATTGATATGGATGTCAACGCGGGAGTTCGTAGGAAGGAAGGTCAAGCCGTCGGTGCACAGTGTTGTTGCGAGACAGAGCCCCAGGAAGACCCGCACGCCCACCCGTACCATCAGTCAAACCTTTAGCCGGCTAGATAGGCGTACATTGGGGCTGGTAGAGAAAAAGCAGAATGACTTTACAAGTTGGTTGATAGGGCGCGATAAGGGCTTGATATGGATGTAACATGACATCTCCGCCTGGGCGCGAAGACACTGGCGTACCAAGAGCGCGCCGCGATTGCAACATGGGCTATATTGCCCTCAACATATCATGCACGAAACATTACAATCACATTTGCACATCAGGGTTGAAATTGAAAAGACGTGAGTTTCGTGAGGCGGTTCATTGCAGCCTATGGATATCTGAGAGCACTGTATACCAGCGCCAGACGACAATGAATCCATTCCCAAACTTTTGTTGACCGTAGCATCTTCGAGTAAACGTCCCGCTTACTTGAGGGGAATGAAACGGGAAGAGTGGGTAGCACCAATACCGGGGCGACCGTGCTTGACGGGCTTGCTGGAGGGTTGTCAGAGAGCTGGTCGAGGCAGACCGAGTGCGCAGAGCAACTTACTATGAGATGGAGAATTCACCAAGGTAGTGACCGACCATCTCGGCCTTGACTTCGACCTGGTTGAACTCCTTACCGGAGTAGACACCGACGACGGAGCCGATCATCTCGGGGACGATGATCATGTCACGGAGGTGGGTCTTGACGAGGTCGGGCTTCTCGTTGGGCTTGGCCTCCTGCTTTGCCTTGCGGAGCTTCTTGATGAGACCCATGGGCTTGCGCTTAAGACCACGGTTGAAGCGTCTGCGGGCACGGGCGTGGACGACATCGCGGAGCTGCTCGGAAGAGAGGTCGAGGAGCTGGTCAAGGTCGATACCACGGTAGGTGAACTTCTTGAAGGATCTCTTGGCCTTGAGGGCTATTGCGACGACTCAGTCAGTCCATGTTCCATCTTCCTGCACCCCTTTCGTGGCCTGTCCACAGGGTTTTATTCCATTGCGCGGTGTCGCGAAGGGGTGCGGTGCGTTTAGAGTCATCTCATACCGGCAGCCTCCTCGGCGTTCTGTGAAATCAAAGTCAGCAATTGTTCAAGCGGCGCAGCAGTGTATAGCGAGAGAAGGGCGCAGACATACGTATTCAGAGTCGGCCATTGTGTCGTGTGTACTGGTCGAAGTTGTCGGGACGCAAGCTGGGTTCGAAAGCGCTGTGGGCAAATTCGAACAAAATCTTGTGCCTCTCGCTTCGCGTCCGTGCGTGGATCACATGACCTGCCAGCTCCTCCGCGACGGTGCCATTCATTAGTGAAAGGCACCTTGATAAATGGATCTTCACGGCTATGATAAATATGGTAATCATCAGTCAAGACTGCATAGTAGAATGTGAAAATTATTGGCATGATGGAGAGCGTGCTTTGATGTTGAAGAATCACCCCTGTTGCTTGCGTTAAAAGTGCAGGACTGCGGTATGCAGCAACTGGAGACAAGTAGACAAATTTCACATGTAAACGAGAATACGACAAGATTGTCATGGAGGAATTGCAGAGTTCTCCATTCGTGGCCCTGGCTACAAATAAAGCATTCAGAGTATGGCCGTGCCTTTTGCGGCTTTGACGTAGAGACCTTTTCCCATGCGCCCGACTGCTCCCACAAACAGAACCACCCTTGCACACCGGTTTTTTTCAACGGATGTTGCGAGACGCTTAGTCGAAGAGACCGAAGCCCATGTCGTCGTCGGACTCCTCCTTCTCCTCGGCCTTCTCCTCGGCGGGGGCAGCCTCGGCGGCGGCACCAGCAGCGGGAGCAGAGCCAGCGGCGGCACCAGCACCGCCGGAAGGAACGGAGGCGAGCTTGGCGGAACCCTCGGAGATCAGCTGTGGAAGGTGTAAGTAATGCGTTTGCGATGGAGAATTTGCGGTTTGGCGGGTTTATTCGTACCTCCTGGATGTTCTTGCCCTCGAGCTCGGAGATGAGCTTGTCGAGACGCTCGCCCTCAGCGTCGACACCGACGGAGGAGAGGACGGACTTGATGTCCTCGGCAGAGGGCTGCTCGTTGCCGGCGAGGTTGAGGAGGAGGTAGGCTGCGAGGTACTTCATTTTCTGGATGCGCGGAAAACCGTCAGTCAGCCGATGTTCGAAACGCGCGATGCGAAAATGCGATATTGGGTCGGTATCGTGCGAGAGAAAGACTCACGGTGGTTGTTGATAAGACAAGAGAATCAATCGATTTAACCGCGAGTTTGGGCGGAGACTGAGACTTATTTTGTCGTTGGAAGAGTCGTGATGCTGGTAGAGAATTTGTGAGTGCGAAAAGGCAGTCGGAAGTGCGGGCTCAGCCGAACGCGCACGGACCGCTCAGTCCGGGTTGGCTTGGCGGATGCTTGCAGTCATTGCTTTAAAGAGTCGCAACTTCCTCAGAGACATCAGTTCACTTCAACTGTCCATCGCCCGTCGTCAGTCGCACTTTCCTCACTTCGCGACTTCCCAGCGCTGGCTGCGATAATCACAGCATGCCTGGTTTTGGCCCGACAACAATTTGGTATCTCTGAAGACTACGGCAACCATGAGTGTGAGTTATCTGTGTGAGGTCTGACCGCCTACCTCTTCCTGGCTGACCCAACGTGCAGCTTCTTAATTCAATCCTCTCTTCCATCAACGGCGGCCAGTCCGCTGCTCCACGCCCACAATCACTTCCTTCCTCTACCAGATCGAATCCTCCGCCGCGTAACCCGACTCCTCAGCAGGCAGCGCCAAAACGGAAGGCCGAAGATGCTCCTGGAGACTCAAAGCCTAAGGTGGCAAGAACAGATATCAACACATCAAGATTCGAAAACAACGCCTCTTTAGCCCCGCCTCCCTCACGCAGTACGACCTCTTCGCCTGCGCAAAGGTCCGCTTTGCCACCACCCAAAGCTGCCATCCCCTATCGCGGCAGTGGTCCCTCTGCGAAGACACAATTACCCTCAAAAGCCGCTGCCGCTGCGGCCGCCCCTGCGAAGCCATCTACATCTTCTACCACTTCCTCAGCGCCTGCGTCAACGAAAGGAGGTTACCTAGCTATTCTGGAACGAGCCAAACAAAATGCTGAAGCCGCCAAACAAGCTGGCCAAATCAAGCACAAACCTGTCGAGAAACTCACCAAGAAGGATCGCCAACGTCTTATTGAAGAAGCCCGTGCCGCAGCAAAGGGCAAGCCTATAGTGAACAGAGATGCAAAGGTTGGCCTGAAACCCAGAGGCAAGAGTGCCGAACCCCTTGCCGACTCCAAAACAGGTGCATCGGCCAAGGACAAGCGAAAGCCTGTGGAAGTTGCGTATAAAGGTACCATGCGTGCAAATGCGCCTGCTGCTCCTGTCTATCGTGGTACAATGGGTGGACCAGGAGGTGCTGCCGCTCGCAAGCCAGTCGCCAAAGCTCAAACACATGGCAGGGCTGGTTACGGCGCCGGTCCTCGCTACGCTTCGTATTCCGATGAAGAGGAGGAAGAGGACGATGACGAACCAGAAGATGATTACGAGTCAGGATCAGATATGGAAGCTGGTGTTGACGAGATGTACGAAGAAGAAGAGGCATCTGCACGAATTGCAAAGCGCGAGGATGCGGTAGCTTTGGCCGAAGAGAACGAGCTCAAGCGCCAGAAACTCGAGCGCAAACGCAAACTGGAGGCACTCGCCTCAAAGTCGAAGAAACGCACCTACTAATCACTCGACCTACCTTCGGCGCACTTGGCCTATACATACCTCACCTGCTTTCTTTCGCCTTTCACAAACTGTCTTTTTGGAGTATTACTGATTTCATTGGGGGGCGTTGCCGTTGTTGTTCTTGCCTTTTTCGGATTCTGGGAGCCTGGGAGCGAAGGGGACTTTGCATTGGGCCGGACTCTTAGCAGTATTGCTACGAATTGCATGATATCAGTTTCACTGGGTTGCCTGAGGGCCAACCACTTTCTACATATCTCCCACCTTTCCTCCTCTGTTGCTTGACTCTGAAGCTTATACCTTTAGCCATACTACCAACATATAATGAGGCGTATCTCCCGTATCAGCCACGTCGAATGAATGTAGGATCGTCAACGTTCTCCGCTCCCATAGGCAGTTAACATGTGTTCGTGCCAAACGCTTCCAAGATCGCACGGAAGGCGTCCTGATTGGCTATTCCAGTCTGGCTGGTTCTAGAGTACATGTTTGAGGTCGAGGGATCAGTATTCTAAAGCCTAAAAGCTTCCAAATTGTATCCCCAGGGACAATTCATACGTAGGTCCACAGCAAGACTAGAGAACGAGATTTAAGAAGATCAAGCCTATAGGCGGTACTCGAGTAGTGACTGAGATGGTAATCAAGCTGTGGCAGACACGAACTTGATCAGATGCTCTGTCACATGCCAATATTGGTACTTTCCTCCATGAGTAGCACCGTCCAACAAACAAAGGGCCGTGTATAGAAAAAGTTTGATTTTCTCGTTGTCAGGTTTTGGTATCTAGATGTCAATACGCCGAACTCTCCGAATACGCCGAGCATCAATAGGGCGTCTAGCGAACGGGCGCCCTGTAAGAAATATGCATTGCTCATCTAACCAATCCAAATTTTTCTCTGTCCAAAAAAGTTTATTGTTTGCTGCAGGAACAATCTCGCCATCCTTGGTACCTGCCTAAAAAAACCGTGGAACCTGTGAGACTGCTTCCTTTCTGTTACAAATCCAACTTCGAGAAGCAACCCCCTCCGGACAAAGAAAGCGATTTATCTTGCGCAGGCGAAGGATTGCGTGATTCGACAACATAACAACGACTTTAAGTGAAGAGAAGGGATAACTTCTACATTCGACTTTCATCTTTTTGCCTCCATTTGCATCGCAATATCAAAAATTCACAACACTCTTCGGATCTTCGAGATGCAGCCTTCGGAACATGGACAACACGGCTTCGGCACGCTCGCCGTACACGCCGGATCGCCGCACGACCCTGTCACTGGCGCCGTAATTGAGCCCGTAAGTACTTTTGAACATCCTGGACCCGAACAGTGAAGCATTCTTCATCAGATAGTCACAAGAGCTATGTTTGATCTCGGAACGGTTGAAAATTTGAGTCGTCAACGATGGCTTCCGCTTCAAATCTCATAGATCCAGGGACTAGACCGTCTTTGAGAGATCACCTTGACTGACGAAAACATCAGATCTCTCTGTCAACCACATATGCTCAGACTGCTGTCGGTCAACCCGTCGGCGCATATGAGTACACTCGCAGCTCGAACCCCAACCGTGACAACTTCGAGAATTGCATCGCAGCACTGGAAAAGGCAAAGTACGCACTGGCATTCAGCTCTGGCTCTGCAACCACCGCCATCATCCTCCAGTCTCTGGCCACCGGCTCTCACGTAGTCAGTGTGTCTGATGTGTACGGAGGCACCCACCGTTACTTCACAAAGGTCGCAAAGGCCCATGGGATACATGTCACATTCACCCCTAGCATCGAGTTGGATGTCGAGGCACTGATTAAGCCCGAGACCAAGCTCGTCTGGATCGAGACTCCCTCAAACCCTACTCTTTCCCTGGTTGACATCTCAGCCGTCGCAGCAATTGCCCACAAGCATGGTATTCTCGTTGTCGTCGACAACACCTTCATGAGCCCTTACATCCAGAACCCTCTCGAGCACGGCGCAGATATCGTCGTTCACAGTGTTACCAAGTACATCAACGGCCACAGTGACGTCCTCATGGGTGTCGCAGCCTTCAACAGCGACGACCTCAAGGAGCGCCTCGGCTTCCTCCAAAACGCCATCGGTGCCGTTCCCGGAGCTTTCGACTGCTGGCTCGCTCACCGTGGTGTCAAGACCCTGCATCTCCGTGCCCGCGAGGCCAGCCGTAACGGCAAGATGGTCGCAGAAGCCTTGGCCGCCTCTCCTCTCGTCCGCGCCGTCAACTACCCTGGTTTGGATTCACACCCTCAACGCAAGATCGCACTCAAGCAGCACAGAGATGGTCTTGGTGGTGGTATGCTCTCTTTCCGCATTCAAGGTGGCAAGTCCGCTGCCGAGCGCTTCTGCGCAGCAACAAAGATTTTCACATTGGCTGAGAGTCTGGGTGGTGTCGAGAGTCTGGTCGAGCTGCCTGCTAGCATGACTCACATGGGCATTCCCAAGGAGCAAAGAGAGGCCGCCGGTGTCTTTGACGATTTGGTCAGAATCAGCTGTGGTGTTGAGGAGGGTGAGGACTTGGTCAGAGATGTCATGGCAGCTTTGAAGCAGGTTGCAGGAGAGACCAACGGTGTTAATGGTAATGGTCATGCTTAATCTGGATCTCGGATGGAATGTTCTTTTTTACACACTTTGAAGTCATCTAATGGTGCTTTGCTCTACTCAATTAGCTAAATAGATCTGCCAAGATACAGTGATTTTTCCTCTTCGTAAGCAGTCAATGTCGGGCTGGTACTCCCTCCCACTCAAGCCTCAGCCATGACTTCAGCCTTGAACATATGATCCTCGTCCTGCACTTCTACCGTGTCCAACTTCCTAGCCTTTTCGATCCTGTCTTTGTTCAACAGATACGCTGTAGGCAACCCTCCCTCGACAGCCTTCTCGATTGCCGTCCCGATGTCTTCTCCTGACACCATTGTAGCCAAACTCTTCCCGCACAACCAAGCATTAGGCATGCCATGGCCCGTGTATCCAGCAACAACAAAGACACCTTCCTTTTCTGGGACAGGACCGACCCATGGGAGGTTGTCGCGTGAAAAGCCCATGATGCCCGTCCACTCATGTGTGGCTTCCAATTCCCCCTGTTTCTCTCCTTCGCCAGGTATCAAGAGCTGAGGAACAGATGTACGGAGATAGGAAGCCACCTTCTCATCCACCTCTCCGTCATCACAGACACCCAGACTAGGACCAAAACTTCTGCCTCCGCCGAACATAAGGTGGGCTCCATACTCGTCAGGGCGCTGAACGAGATAGTCATCCATCTTGGGACCAATGAAGGCGAAACTGGTTGTAGTTCTGCTATCCCCTGAATATGCTTTCCCAGGGATGAGAGCAGACATTTGGCCTCGACAGGGGACGATCAGATCGGCCATCTCAGGAACGAGATGGGATGTGTAGGCGTTGGTGGCCAACACTACTTTCTTAGTCGACACTACTCCTCTTGGTGTTTCTACATCCCAGTCTCCAGATGAGGATGGTTGCAGTGATGTTACCGGTGTATGTGTCTGCAGGTTCAGCGATGAACTCAAAATCAGAGATTCCCAGATGGCAGCGATAAGCTTGTAGGGCCATAGTCTCGCCGCCACATCCGTGACTACCGCGCCTTTGGCTGCTGGAACGGAAAGTCCTAGTTTCTCCAATCCATCGGGAGAGTCGACCACTCTGACCATCTTGCCCAGAGTCGGATTGTTTTGGTTCAATGCATCGACGGCGTGGTGAGCAAGGGTCACTTCTTCGGAAGAGTAAAGCCCTCGGACACCAGGTTGGGTGTTCCATTCGCAGGGAATATTACGGTTGGAAATCAGATTCGAGAGAGCGAGGAAGTTGGCATATTCAAAATTGGAAATCGAGGGATCGTGAGGGTGTTCGTAGAACATTGGAAGGCAGTGTCCGCCATTTCTGTTGACACGGCATTAGTTTGTGATAACGACTGATTGATGGTCGGCTCCGAGTCTGTGGAAGATTCTGTGGACGTTGTTATCTGGTGAGATTCAGGTCCATTGGGCGTATTTGGTGCAGACGATTGAGCTTTCTAAGACATCGCTGCGCCTGCTGCGCTTGACACCAAGTCTGAGTCGCTGCTTCCTTATCGTGTCTGATTTTATCACGCGATAGTGAATTGGGCAGGCACGTCCAATGTTCTATGACGTGCCAATTAGGCGTGCCTACCATTTCACCGCAAACCACCCCAAGCGTCCATTCAAAAGACTGAGAACGAGGTATAGGTAGATATGCCCTCCCCAAACGCTGATCGCTGTTACATCGACTTTCCCGGCAGGCAGTGAAACAGCGAGCGAAATGGACAGTGCTTTTGGATAGGAGCACGTCTTCCATGGAGAACGACTACTTGAAGTTATCTCCATGGACCCAACTCCCAAACCGGAAACCATTGTGTATAGTGACAGCCGTACAGTTGACAGACTTTGGCACACAAGGGGAGTATGAATTGACGTAATAAGAAGCATTCGGATCTTACCTTCCAGTAGCACCCCAGCAGACCTCTCTAGCCTCCAGAACAAGCACGTTCTTTTCCTCCCCGTTTGAGCCTTCCAGTTCTTCAAGTAAATGGTATGCAACACTAGCTCCACTGATTCCACTCCCTACGACTACGACATCTGCTTCCCGAGGCAAACCTTCAGTAGTGCGGTAACCAAGTAGTTCGGCGGAGGGCTCTGTGTGCCAGAACGAGGCTGAAGAGTTTTGGGAAGGAAGATCGGCTGGTCTTGACATGCTGCGTGCGTGGTTGTGATATGTGAAGACAGAGAATAGGAAGCAAGGATTCAATATTGCATGAGATGATATGAGGTTGTCCGACTTCGGATGATAAGATAGGCGGAAATAGGCCGAACAGGGTTGCCCTTCGGACTTAAATATTTATTCAGCGTTCAGCGATGCCATCGATGGGCTCCGTAATGCATTTTCGGCTCATCTTGAAACTTGTGATGCTACACTGGAAATCAAGCAAAACCACACAATTCACAACGATCTCTTCACACTTATATCCGGATCGATTCACATCCAGCCAGTTCCCGAAATGAGATGACACCGATATCACCAGCGTCCCAGCTCTCGCCAGGATGTCACAAGGTCCGACCTTACACGATGTTCTCCAGCAAACCCATCTGTATACTCCAGACAAACTTGAGTCTCTCTCGCAAGTGTGCAGTACGACACCAGAATACCGAGGCAACCGAGCCGGCAATTGGCGGTTAATATCAAGCCCTTCCCCGCATGCACCCCACAACAATCGTGGGGTTGACAGATCCATCAGGGCAGAGCCGCGGCAACAAGAGCGTAGTGCAACCATGTCTTGGAGAGGAAGGCAAGATAGCAAGACGGGATAGATGTGCCGGGCTGAGTAGAAGGATCACGGGGGATGTTGTCAGCGGTCGAAGGACGTCGTAGCTCTTTTGTATCTTTCTCCTCTGCAAATTTCTTTCCGAACTATTACTCACAAACCTTGGGAACTTGACCATATACATCGACCTGTGAACGTTCTTCAACATGCCTTGGAAAAGTCGCTGGAATGTCGATATACCTCAGGTGTCACTGCCGACTTATGTTTTCGGATCACCGTCAGCTCCATTGCCGGAAACACCTCTGTTGCTCGACGCAGAGAAGTCGGAGAAATATCACTTGTCGGCCTCGGATCTCAGAGAATGGTGCAAGCGATTCGCCGCTGGTCTCCAGAAGGCTGGCTTGAAGCCCGGTGATCGCGTGCTGCTCTTCTCTGGAAACACACTCTTCTTCCCTGTGGTCTTCCTGGGCACCATTATGGCTGGAGGCGTGTTCACAGGTGCAAACCCTACGTATGTCGCTCGTGAGCTTACATACCAGCTACAAGATTCAGGAGCCAAGTTCTTGATCTGTGCCGAGGCCAGTCTGGATACTGGCATTGAGGCAGCTGATGCTGCAGGGCTTTCACACGACAATGTCTTTGTGTTTGATAGTGGGTATGCCACTTTCGATAATGCTGGCAAAGGACGCGAAGATGTAAGACATTGGAGCAAGCTGCTTTCGAGTTCTGCAGAGAGCCGCAACTTTGCGTGGGAAGAGTTGAGCTCCAGGGAAGAATTGGAGAGGACCATCTGTCTCAATTACAGTTCTGGAACGACAGGTGTGCCGAAAGGCGTGATGATCACTCATAACAACTATGTCAGTAACAATGAGGGCGTTGTTCGTGTCGCAAGGTCTGTTCCAGAGTACGATGAACTCAAGAAGTCAGCCCGATGGCTCTGCATGCTTCCAATGGTATGCATTCTTACTGTTTCCCAAGTTAGAGGTGCCATCTGTTGACAACTTCCAGTATCATGCGTATGGCCAGACATACTACTGCGTCGGAACCATCTCGAGGCAGATTCCAACGTATGTCATGCAAAAGTTCGACTTCCTCAAGATGTTGAGTTATGTCGAGAAATACAAGATCACTGATCTCAATCTCGTCCCACCAATCGCTGTGGCCATGGCCAAACATCCAGCTAGCAAGCAGCATGATCTAAGTTCGGTGAGATATATTGGCTCAGGCGCTGCACCACTCGGAAGCGAAGTGTCAAAGGAAGTCGAACAATTGTGGCCAAGTGGAACAAGGAATATGAAGCAAGGGTGGGGGATGACAGAGTAAGTGGTAAGGCAGTCGAGAGGGTTGAACTCGCTGACAATTACACAGGTTGACTTGCTCAGCGTGTAGTTGGGATCTGACCAAAACATCGAACTCGAACGCTGTTGGAGAGCTTAATCCTAATGTCGAAGCCATGATTGTAGACGTAGCTTCAGGATCCGAAGTACAAAGAGGCCAACGAGGCGAGCTCTGGATCCGAGGACCAACTGTGATGAAGGGCTATTGGGGCAAGTCAGATGCCACAAAGGAGACTATTACAAGCGACGGCTGGTTGAAGACTGGCGATGTGGCGTACCTTGACGAAGATGGTCATCTCTTCATCGTAGACCGCATCAAGGTAACTTATCAAGCATTTTCGGCTCGAAGGAGACGCAACAGCTGACCACCACACAGGAGTTGATCAAGGTCAAAGGTAACCAGGTCGCACCAGCCGAGCTGGAAGCACTATTGCTCGAACATCCAGCGGTAGCAGATGCAGGTGTGGTCGGAGTCACAATGTATGTTTACCAGCAACCAAAGCAGGCCAAGTACTTACGATTCGCAGAAAAGGAGAAGAGCTCCCACGAGCCTACCTCGTTCGACGTGCAGAGCAGAAGATTGATGCTCAGGACATTCAAGAGTTCATGAACAGCAAAGTCGCAAGGCACAAACGTCTGGCTGGTGGCGTTGTGTTTGTGGAAGCAATTCCAAAGAACCCTGTAAGTGTTTCTCGAGTTTCGTCGAGGACGTCAATTGACAAAAGAATAGTCAGGCAAGATTTTGCGCAAAGTGCTCCGCGAGCAGGCAAAGGCTGAGGTGGGAGACTCGGAGGCTAGAGCAGCACGCCTGTAGAACAGTACATAGTGATCTCACGGCGACCGAAGATGGAAATTATCACAAGAGTGAGCAGTGCTTGCGTTTCGCATGAGCAATCGTGAGTCAAACATTAAATTGTAGAATCAGAAGTGAAAAAAGGCTGGCGATGCGGAAGTTGACGATTTGTTGATGTTCACGGCTTCAGTGTTCGATCAGCGTGGCCAACTTCGCTGCTAATACGCCAAGACATGCTCATTTTTTCGCTTAATTTGTGCGCATATAGCAAAGCCCACAAATTCTTCTGATCTTTCACGCCCAACGACCCCGTCAACCACCGACAAGATGCCTTTCGTAAGTATCACCGCCTGCTTCTGAAGAGCCCTGTGGCCATCGCCTTGATGGCAGAGAGTCCCTGCAAGATGCTTCGGAAATGGTTCTGAAGCGCAAATTGCTGACTCGAGGATGTTTTTTTAGACCAAGCTGGTCAAGAACGACGCCTACTTCTCGTAAGTGCACACTGCTGAATCTACTGACACGACGCGCGCGCAATTCTAACGATTCTCTAGGCGCTACCAGGTCAAGTACCGCCGTAGACGCTCAGGAAAGACCGACTACTACGCCCGCAAGCGTCTCATCACCCAGGCCAAGAACAAGTACAACGCCCCCAAGTACCGCCTGGTCGTTCGCTTCACCAACCGCGACATCATCTGCCAGATCGTCTCCTCCGAGATCACTGGTGACAAGGTCTTCGTCGCTGCCTACGCCCACGAGCTCAAGGCTTACGGTGTTGAGCACGGTCTTACCAACTGGGCCGCCGCCTACTCTGTCGGTCTCTTGATCGCCCGTCGTGCCGTCCACAAGCTCGGCATCCAGGACTCCTTCACTGGTGTCGAGGAGGCTGATGGCGAGTACACCCTGACCGAGGCCGCTGAGGTCGATGGTGAGGAGCGCCGCCCCTTCAAGGTCTACCTAGATGTCGGTTTGACCCGCACCTCCACCGGTGCCCGTGTCTTCGCCGCCATGAAGGGTGCCTCCGACGGTGGTCTTTACGTCCCCCACTCCGAGAAGCGTTTCCCCGGTTTCGACATTGAGACCAAGGAGCTCGACGCCGAGACCCTCCGCAAGTACATCTTCGCCGGTCACGTCGCTGAGTACATGGAGACCCTCGCCGACGACGATGAGGAGCGCTACAAGTCCCAGTTCCAGGGCTACATCGACGACGACATTGAGGCCGACGGTCTTGAGGAGCTCTACCAGGATGCCCACAAGCAGATCCGTGAGGACCCCTTCAAGAAGGTCGAGGGTGAGGAGAAGAAGTCCAAGGACTTCTGGAAGGAGGAGTCCAAGAAGTTCCGTGACAACAAGCTCACCAAGGCTGAGCGTGAGGCCAAGATCCAGGAGAAGATCAAGGCTCTCTCCGCTTAAATGCATTTCAGTCAGCATCAAAAGGGGTTTGGGGTCGATTCTGGACGGGAACTCGTGACGCCTCGAGGGTTTCGTCCATGTTTATGACAGGAGCTTTCGGCGTCAATGGCCTTGCTTTAACGATATCATGGGTGGGACAATATGCTACGGCATTTGTGGTTGCTTTTATTCTGAATCAAAAAGTCTGCAAAGCAAGGTCATCAAACCTTTCTGTTTTCCTGTGAATATAATAATGTGATGTGGTGATTTCTCAAAATGCGTTCAATCCTGTCCAATGCCTCAAGTATCTTGCTTACGGTGCGCCTGCCTCGGCACGAATGTTTACCGTCCTGTACAAGTAGACGGCCACCTCACCGCTGTGTGCATTAACCGTGCAGTACCCAATCGCGGAAAGAGGACGAGCCGAAAGACGATTTTCAGGCCATCACTCCACCGAGTCCACCCAGCAGAAGCTCGCGTGCTCATAGCGGAGCCAAACACGTCATGGTAGACATTCATGATTGAGGAAACACCAAAAATATTCGCGGCAGTAGAGTAGTGTGTAATAAAAAGTTGATGTGTCTGTGTCCGCCGATTTGCGGAGCACATATTTTCGGAGGTGCGGTCGCGCTATTGCGACAGGCCTTGGTGTCTCAAGCAAAAAGTCCGAGGGAGAGCGTGGAGCCGAAGCTCTCAAGGCCGGGTTCGCGCAAACATGATGCGACAAACACACGAGGGCTGTTACATATGTACAGAGCCCTCATGCAACAGACGGTGAGACTTGAGCAGTCGAGCGGTTTCAACAGGACCAAGTCAGTGGCACTAAGATCACGCGTCCAAGTGAGGAGCGCGAGGGTCCCATGGCTATTGTACTAGTTACATGATCGTCTCCTCCACACCTGATTGATCATTGATCTGGACTCTTGAACCCATCGGCCCGCTACACCTAACTGAAATTAATAAGACCCCTCCCTCCCCCAAGCCAAGTCTTGTCGCATTTCGACCAATCGCTCTATACCGTCGCGCAACTTGCGACAGATCAAAGACAAGACACGAATTGAGAAAGAGCATGGCTTAACACAAACAATCCGACCAAGCAAGCACAATGGAATCCGTGCACGGCGTCGACGTCAGTTGGCTCCATCAGCCAAACAGAGACAGAGGTGCGTTCTTGCTTGCTGCTCGTCTTACAAGCTATACTCGAATACTCAGACTGCTGCAGAACACCCACAGCGTGAACCTCATGTCCATCGTGCTCCTGGCACCGTCAGCGATGCCGCCCCGCCCGTCTCAGCGCATACCCGTTCTCGCTCATCCTCGCCTGTAGAGTCAAAGAAAGCCCCTCCAGCACCGACGAAGCCACCATCTCCACCTCGGAACGCTACACCGACTCAGCCTCCACCGACACACTCTACAGACTCGCCCAATGCCTCCTCAAAGACCTCCTCTCGTCGACCCGGCATCCTCAGCCGCAGCTCTTCGCAAAGAGAAGGGTCCGATGGCACAAAGTCTTCGCGCCGGAACTCGTGGATCTCAAACATCAGCTCCAAATTCTCGTCGCAAACTCCTCCAGCTCCAACCGTGCCTCAGACGACCAAATCCCAGGCCAATGGCACGAATGCCGGTCCTTCGGCTCAGTCTGCGAGAGACAACTTAGTCACGAGCCCGACACAATCCACGCCGAACCGTGAGGCCGAAGAGCTTCAACCATACGTCCCTCAGAAACCGAAAGACTCCAACACCTCCTTCTTCTCTAACCTCACTCGTCGCCTGTCATCGGGTGCTCAGAATGGTGCTATTCCTCGTGGAGGCGAGAATGGCGGAGTGTGCCCTCGACGCGTATTGAACGTGAATCAGGGTCGTGAACGTTGCCTCCTACCAGAACTTGATTCTGCAAAATTGCGACGCGTTGCATTTTCCGTTGATGTTGAGATTGCTTCTGGTCCGCGATACAGAGATGACGACGGAGATGTTTCGAAACAAAAGAAAGTCAAGGACAAAAAGCTCAAGGATCGTGCAGAGGGTGAGGCCTTGAAGAACCCGCAAGCTGTTACAGAACGCAAAGAACAATCAGACGCCGCTGCTGCATCCACTGACGACGCCGTTGCTGCCAACAAGGTCCCATCGACCGAGAACAATCTCGATACGAACAACACGGCCACTATGTCCGAAGATGTCTCCCAATCGACAGCCGAGGATGAGGCGCGTAACGAACGCAAAGAGAAGAAGAGACAAAGGGCTGAAGCTAGTGGTTCAGTGCCTCGTGAACTGACAGGCGACGTCTCGCCTACACAAGGCGTTTCATCCAATCCAACACCCTCAGTATCAGGAACTACCACCCCCAAGGATCGACCAACAACGGATCCTGTACGAATCTACAGAAGATGTTGTCAACTCAGAGAATCACCCATCCTCAAGCGCATTACTGAACAGCTGATGTCCGAGGACTGCACATCGCCTGAGGATCCTGGAACTGTCACCCAACTCAATCTAACTGGATCTCGACTCCAGCTGGCCGACTTTGTGACTTTGAGCGATTGGCTCGCGATCGTCCCAGTCAAGCGTTTGCTGCTTGAGGATGCAGATCTCAGCGACGAGGGCTTACGTGTGATTCTTTCCGGTCTGCTTGCATCAAAGAAGCCTCAACCTACCAGACGCCGAAACGGTGCTCGCCAACCTCCTTCTAAGCCTACTGGAGGAATCGTCGAGAAGCTAACACTCAAGAACAACCCAAGAATATCTAGGAACGGTTGGAAGCACATATCCATCTTCCTTTACATGTGCCGATCCATCAAGGCTTTGGATGTCTCGATGCTACACTTCCCTCAAGACCTTCCACCAAGCGAGCCCGATGCCAATATCAAAGCGCCTAGTCAGATGCCGAGGACCACTGGAAAATCAGTCGACGCTGCGGAGACACTGTGTAAGGCACTGTCTGGCAGACTTGGTGGTTCCCGACTGGAAGAAATCACCATGGCAGAATGCGGGCTGGTCCCCTACCAAATCAGAAAAATTGTTGACGGAGCTACTGTTTGTGGCATTGCCAGACTCGGGTTCGCTGGCAACAAACTCGACGATGAAGGCTTTGAACACATTTTGCATTACGTGCGATCCGGAGTATGCCATGCCCTTGATCTGGGCAGCAATGACCTGCGGGGCAAGCTTGGTAAACTCGCAGAGGCCTTGAGACACAATCCTAATTGCCCAGTGTGGGGCCTCAGTCTTGCCGGATGCAGCTTAGACACAGGCTCCTTGAAAGAACTCCTGCCGACCCTGACAACACTCCAGAACTTCCGCTTCATCGACATTAGTCACAATAGAAGCTTGTTCGTAGGTGATGCATGTGCGCTCCAGCTACTTAGAAAGTACTTGCCTAAGCTGGACAACTTGAAGAGATTGCATCTCGTAGATGTTGGTCTCTCGGTGAAGCAGGCTATATCACTGGCTGAGGTAAGAACGGTCTCGCAATACATGTAAGCCATGATGCTGATCCTCACAGGTGTTACCCGAGGGAGTTTCGCTCGCTCATCTAACCATTCTGGAGAACCCTCAACTATCCGAACTGGCTCAAGCTACAGACGAGGACAGTCAGGAAGAGGCCTGCGCTCTGTATGCATCACTTTGTGCAGCTGCACGAGTCTCAAAATCACTCGTCTGTATCGACGTTGATGTAAGTCACCTGTCTCATGCATCTCCTCCAAACGTATTCTAATCTCTGTGATAAAGGTTCCTGGCTCCGGTCAAAGTGAGGTCGTCAAGGCTTTGGCAAAGCAGATTGTTGCATACTGTCTACGTAACATGGACATGACGATGGCTCAGTCGTCTCTATTGCCTGCAGCAACCATGTTGTCCAAGCAACACGGTGTCGAAGATGCCAGACAAGCACCTGTTCCGGATGTACTGGTCCATCTCGTAGGTCACCTGGATGACGATCAAATTTCCGATGCCAGCGACGACGAGACGGCACCCGATGACGACTATATCGTTGGTGGTAACGGCATCATCAAGGCGCTGGAGTACTTCCTTGGTGAAGACAGGTCAGATAGGCGCAACGGCAGCATTTCGCTTTCAGGAACCACCACGCCACTGGATATCGGAAATCCAGCTCAAAGTGAGGTCAAGAGGAGAGGAAAAGCCAAGGAAGTCAGCAGGAATCTGCTTGACAGTGCTCGCAAACTTCGTAATCGCCTGAAGCCAGCTTTGGCTAAGGAGTTTGCGGCTGGTGACGAGATGAATTACCGCCGCTTGCTCTTCCTGGACCAGACTTTGAGTGGTATGATTGAACGGTTCGAGGATGAATTTCCAGAAACTCGCCTCCATCTGGACATCCCGCCACACCAGCAGAATCTCTCACTGTCATCATCACTGGAGTCGACAGAATCTGGACCGTTATCGAACGAATTCATGGCCAGCTCAGCTACAACGTTCGGTACGGAGACATCAGCTCTCGAGTCAGATGTGGACCTGGACGAGGATCTACATGTTGGTGGGTCGATGAGAAGAAAGGCCAGCGATGTCAGTCTGGCGTCACGAGCTCTTTCGATCGAAGAAGGTCGCATTCACCGCCTTGGTCACAAGGTGCGACAAGACATAATCGACGTGCCCGTTGCTGTACAGACTTCAGGGTCAGATGCATCTGGCGAATGGGCACCGGGCTCTCACATGGCCGAAATCGCATCAAAGCTGGCAGACATCTCAGGACCCGAGCTTCGTGTGCTTGTAGACCAAGAAGGTGGTTGGGAAGGAGTGATGGAGAAGATGGGGGCAAATCTTGAAGAGCTGCAACAGTTGCAGATGAAAGATCCTCAGGGCTGGGAGCAGTTCAAGGAGAGTCAACTGAAAGCGCGAGCCAACCGTGGAGCACCGATATTCTTATAGTACGGAGGGTGACGATTGTACTCGACACGCTAATGATGGGTGGGATGACGGTCGTCTTATGGCCAGGCGTTGGATACTATCTTTATGGCGGTACGAGGCCAATTCTTGAATAACATAGCCACATTACTGCATACCACAAGCATGATATCTCACTCAACCTCGGCATACAAAGATGCAGACGATGGTGTTGCACAAAGTTTCCGAGATATGTTGTGTTGCACATAGAATGGAAGGATGATGTAGCGTCCCGAAGCAGAAGGATGTTTGGTACAGGGGCTCTGAATGTGGGGAAGGAGCTGGATGGCTTGTGCATGTGAATGTGAATGTGAATGTGGCAGCTTGAACACCTAATCGATAATTCGTCTGGTCAGGTACGCGACACACAACGCTGTTCTCTCTTATTCGTTATCTGCTACGTCCACAAGTCGGCGAGAGACAGATCGCTTTCCAGAGTTTCAAGACTGACGCTGAAAGAGTTGGCCAGCTTGCACCATCGACGTGACACGCATCCAGTATACCCTTTGCGCCGGCACGCGAGCCAACCCATGCAGCAAGCCGTCTGCTGAACCGATCATAGCCTCGACGTCGGGTACCTCCCAATCACACTATGTCTTATGCATTGCCTCGCACAGGCCCCGATGCCGGAAGATCACGGTTTCAATCTCAGGATGTTTCGACAGGCAGCGCAGGAGTGGCCGAGAAGATAGGAGGCATGTTTGGCGATAGAAGACCCTCATTACCAATGTACAAGGACAAGCCGTTCGCTGGCTCATCTCGCAGAGTCCCCTGGTTCAGACGGAAACGCACACTCGCCGCTCTGCTGCTTTCCTTCACCACCTTCTTGTACTGGATGGGCATGTTCGCTGGAGGCGCTCCTAGTGTCATCAGGTCAAAGAAAGTCGCAAACTGGGAAGACCGACGGGATCAAGTAAGAGATGCTTTCAAGCTGAGTTGGGCTGCATACGAACAACACGGCTGGGGCTACGATGAATTCAAGCCCGTCTCTCAGACAGGCCGCCACATGGTCAAGGGTGGCATGGGTTGGATCATAGTAGATGCTCTTGACACTCTCATGCTCATGAACCTCACTACCGAACTCTCGCACGCTAGAGACTGGGTCTCTACCACCCTGGAGTATGACATTGACCACGATGTAAACACCTTCGAAACAACCATTCGCATGCTTGGTGGTTTGCTATCCGCTCACTACATTTCCACCACCTTCCCCGACTACGCTCCTTTGACCACTCACTCTGCCACTGGTGCTAAAATCAGCGAGGATCTGTACTTGGAGAAGGCTGCCGATCTCGCCGATCGTCTTCTCGGCGCATACGACTCGAACTCTGGTGTTCCATACGCCAGCGTCAATCTTCACTCGGGAAAGGGTATTCCCTCTCATGATGATGGAGGTGCTTCTTCTACCGCCGAAGCAACCAGTCTCCAACTCGAGATGAAGTACCTAGCCAAGTTGACTGGAGAGGTGCATTACTGGGAAAAGGCCGAGAAGGTCATGCAAGTCGTTGACGACAATGGTATGGAGGATGGCCTCCTACCCATCTTCATCTATGCCCAGACCGGTAACTTCAGAGGAAACAACATTAGACTGGGTAGCCGTGGCGACTCTTACTACGAATACCTCATCAAGCAGTATCTGCAGACTTCAAAGCAGGAGCCTGTCTACGAAGAGATGTGGGATCAGTCTCTTGCTGGTATCCAGAAGCATCTGATCACTTACTCTCAAAAGGCCAATCTTACCATCCTCGGAGAACGTCCTCAAGGTCTTGACCAACCCATTTCTCCGAAAATGGATCATTTGGTCTGTTTCATGCCAGGAACCATCGCTTTGGGTGCAACTCAGGGTAAGACTTTGGCAGAAGCCAAGAAGTCGCCCACATGGGGCAAGAAGCAAGAAGGCGAGATTGAGCTCGCCAGACAACTCATGAAGACCTGCTGGGCCACATACAAGGTTACCGCTACCGGTCTTGCTGGAGAAATCACTCATTTCGAAATCCACGATCCTCCTGCCATGATGCCCGACGGCATTCTCTCATCGCCAGAGACTCTTCCCGAAGACGCGGACGCAGAGTGGAAGAAAGACCTGATCGTCAAGAGTGCCGATGCTCACAACCTCCAACGTCCAGAGACTGTCGAGAGTTTGTTCTACATGTGGCGCATTACCGGCGACGACATTTACAGAGAGTGGGGCTGGGAAATGTTCGAGTCTTTCGTCAAGCACACTGCTGTTGATCACAATGGCGGTTACACGAGTATCAACGATGTCAACGATGTTCCTACATCTGCAAGAGACAACATGGAAAGTTTCTGGCTGGTAAGCAATCACTCCTCCTGATAGAGCTCTTATCTCAGCGCCGTGAAGCACTCGAAGCAGGGCTGTTGACGTGCAAAAGATTCATCAAACTTCTTTGCACTTTCACAGCCCTTTCTAGATACCTTTCGCGACGATGAAAGCATAGCAATTCCTACCCTGTACCCCCTTCGAATATGGCTAACCCCTACAGGCCGAAACACTAAAATACTTCTACCTCCTCTTCGGCCCCAACGACGTCCTACCCCTAGACAAAGTAGTCTTCAACACAGAAGCCCACGCCTTCCCCACCTTCGAATTGGGCAAACTGTTCAAAACTGGCTGGAAGCGCAAGCCCAAAGACTCCAACGGTCAGATCGTGGAGACGGCCGCCGCTGCAGCACGTGACTCGATCACAGGCGATATCAAGGAAGGTGCCAAAGAAGTCGTCAAAGAAGCTGTGGCCAAGGTGAAGACGGTCATGGTGGAGGGAGCGACTAAGACGCCTTCCGTTGCTGAAAAGGTTGTCGAGGGGGTTGATAAGGTTGCGGCGTAGGGTGTGGATTGCGTGTTAGGCTTTTTGCAGTGGTTTGGATGTTTGAGTGCTGTGGGAGGGCGGTCTGCATAGCGTGTTCGTTGGAAAAAGCATTCATCCATTCATTTTCATTGTTCTGTTGGTTTGGTGGTGGTGTTTTGTTTGGGCGTGGGGTGGGTGCAATGTCACAGTACTGTATGTGTATGATCGGCATCGTTATACCTGCTGAATTTTGAGGCATGTGTGTGTGAGTCAAGGCTCTCCTTGATTGCTCTCAAACAACGTTTTACATCTTGATATATACGTGTTGAGCAGTGTCCGACGGGAAAGAGAGAGAGAAGGCCTGTTCTGTGTCCTTATTCATGTTCATGTCGATCTTGTTTACCGGGCCACCCTGTCGATGGATTGTGTGTCTCGTTTCCGGCCATTGAAGTAGTCAATACAAGCTAAACATCTCTCTTTCAGTCATGTTCGTACATATCTACTCTTGTCGTTCGAGCTAAATTGGCTCTCATATGTCCATGCCTGGTTTCTGCATGGGATTGTAACAGATGTTTTGGTTTCGAGCATTCGACATATTGTTCTCACACCATAAACTCTCGACTGGATATGATCAACTCTTCGACAAAACAAACACCCAAGGTATTGATGTAGAGAGGTCAATTCTTAGCAATCTTTCGCAACTCATTTAGAATATCTGGATCGTGAGCCTCTAATGTAGGTAACCATGGATGCAACCTTCTGTCAAGAAAGGAACGACTCAAGTGCTTGGCACATCCGTACTTTTTTCTATTCCAAGTACCCTCCATACCTCCCAGAGGTACCACAACTTCTTGCTTTCCCTCCCCTTCCACATCTCAAACATCACCCGCATCCTCCTTTCCCAAAACCCTCTTCGCAACAACCAACCCCTCCCCCCCTTCCTGCAACGCCTCCACCAATTCCTCCCCAGCCTTTTCCACATCCTCCCTCTTCATCGGTGCCAATGCATCCAATATGAACAACGCCGAAGTGGTCTCCTCTTTCAATTGCGTACGCACACATTGCCTCCAATTCCAATTCCTACACGTGACCCCCGCGTCATCGCACCAAACCACTTCCCCTACATCTGGATGTTCGATGCCGGTTTTGGTTTCGAACTCTTCTGTCCCCGAGGCACGGATGAGTTTTGGCGTTCCTGTATAGGCGTCTAGGTTTTCTCCTCCTAGGGGTAGGTTGTGCAAGACTGAGATGCCGTTGTAAATGTCTGTGAGCCGGTTCACTCTGGGTAGTCCTCCATTGGGTATGCGGCGGGTGAGTGCTTCGATCGAACTCTGGTATTTTTTGGGTTTGGCGCCGAAGGATTTATATGTGTCGCGCCAGGCTTTTACGGCGGGAATTTCTGTCACGACGGTGGTGGAAAGACGATCTTTGGCTGCGGCCTCTGCTGATTGGAGGAGGGACTCGGAAGTGGAATCGCTGGGGGATGGCGTTATGCCGTCAACTGCGATTAAAAGGGCGAGGTAGTCGGGGCGTAGGTCAAAGACATTGCGTGCTATGACGGCGCTGTCGACGATCTTTTGGAGTTCGGTGACTGAGCGCATGATTGCTGACTTTGTTGGTGAAATGACTTGGAATGTAGAAAAGAAGAATTGATCAAAAGACGAACAGATATTGGTTTCTGCTTTTGCTTCTTTGCAACGGATGTAGCTCCTTCGTCATATATCTAGCTATGGTTAGAAGCTCGGACCGTCTCACGCCCTGCAGGTGACAAGATGGAAACAACGACCAAGTACGACCAAAGAGGCAAAAGCGACCGTACTTTTACTTAATTGAAATGCTTACTCGTGCCCATCGAACACAATCGTTAGACATGGACTCTTATACTTTCACGTGTAATTGTCACACACATGGAATGACGTAAAGTGGTAGATCTAAAAGAGATCCCCTTTTTGTTCATTCCTATGATACGAGAGTAGACAAAAGGTGGACAGGCTAAGAAGGGGGTAAAAGTAGAATGCAACGCTTGCCAGTCAGCTCGAACGAATGTGTCGAACAGCAACAGCATGGTATAGAGAAGACATGAAAAACTAGCAACACGAAGATGCAAAATGAGGAAAATGGAGGTCTGGGAAAGAAGGGTAGAAGTGGAAGAAGAAAAGTAACAGACAAAAAAAGTCTTCATGTTCATCTCTCCTTTTCCCCCCAAAGATTGTGTAACGCCGTGAGAATGTCATAAAACAAAAGGCAAACCTCCCTTTCGAGTCGGGAGGGTTGTGTCGCGGTAAGGACGATCGTGTGCCATCAGCGCCTCGTAGAAGAGGGATGATAGGTCGTCGTTGAATATGTCTAATATTGTGCAGAAGATGAAGGGTGACAAATGAACTGGGTCGTTGCGAGTGGTTGTTGGAAACCATTCTATAGCACGTCGAAAATGTTTCGTGTGATGGGATTCAGGTTCTTCTGAGGCGGACTTCGAGGATCCTCCTTTCCATTGACAGCAGCAGCATTTGGCTTTTCGACCTCGGGTGACTCCGAGGGAATATTTGCAAAAGGGTTTTGTGTGAACTCGAAGGCGCGCGGTGAGGCCAAAGCATCCATGAAATCGGGCTCGTCATGTGTGAGCTCAGCCTCAAGCTTCGATTGCATGTTCTGCATCTCTCGCTGCTCGCTCAGGCTAGGCGCGCTGATCTTGGGTCGCAGCGTAAGACTCTTTGGCACTTTCTTTTGTGACTTGATAGTATCAGGAGAAAGACGCTGAGGTCTGACTGGTGCGAGTACTGCCGGGCCCATACCTAAAGACCCAAGCAACGATTCGCGGTCAAATGGAGACTGTGAAAACTCCGAAGCACGAGGAGACATCAAACCGAATTGATCGGCCGAGTCCATCTCTCTGGAGGGTCTGAGAGGCGCCATTGCGAATTCGGTAGCTCTTGGGGACATCATAGGAGTAATGTGTCTGCCTGAATCTTGTCTGATGTGGGATTCGAGGTTCAGTGATTTCGGTCTATCCTTTGGTTCTTTGGCAATTTTGGGCTCGAGGATGGGGTGGTCTTCAGATATCTGGACCACAGGTACCACACGGCCATTTGGATCAACAAACGCTGCTTCATTGCGAGTTGATTCTTCCGACTTCTTGGAGGCGGGCTCGTCATGATCCGATGGCCATGTGAGCCCAGAAGGTGCCGAAGAAGGACCAGGGCTAACCGCCAGGAGGTCCGGGTTGAGCAGAAGCTTGGATTGCGCTGTATCTGGTGGAAGAGGAGCAGTCTTTGGTGATTTAATTCCAGCAACACTGCTGCCATCGTACGAGGCTGGACGTCCCATCTCTGTGAAACCGAATGGAGGCGAATTGGGACTGAGAGCGCGTGTGTTACCGAATCTACTTTGGGGCCGTTGCAGAGTCGAGCGGAACTCCTGGAGTTGCATGATCAAGTTCATGTTGGGCCCGATCCATCTGCTTCGCTTCTTCACGTCATCGTATGCTTCTTGCACGCTCATCGAAGGATTCTTGTAAAGAACATAAGCCACAACCAGTGTCGCCGATCTGCTGACACCACATTGACAATGAATCAGAACGCGCTTTCCGAGTTGAACACGCTCATCAATAACCTTGACCAGGCGGATGAGATCAGGAACAATGTCTGTGTTGTGCTCCCATGGAATGTGAATGTATTCAGGCTCCGATTTAGAGGATTCTTTCGATTTGGGCGCAGAAGTGATATCCTTGAGAAATGGATTCGCCTTGGGGGTGGTTGGCGAAGATTCGTATACTGGGCTCAAGTTTTCCCGACCAAAGCTGTTTTGAGAAACCATATAATTACGCTTTGGTGCATACTGAATACCGCCTCCACCATCAAGGCGCAACTCAGGCCCAGATGGTTGAAATGTTGCGGAGTCGAAGGGATTTCTGACTTCACTGGCAACGTTCAAAATAACATCGTAGTTAGAGGCCTGCTCAGCAGTTGGCTCCAGATAGAGATCCAGATAACGACCATATACGCAGATCGGACCGTCAGGATAAGCTTCAGGCTTCTCCTCTTTCGATTGGGGAACGTCGAAGTTCTGGTCCGAGTCGTTGGTCTTAAGAGGTGTGCGCAAATGTGTAGGTAACGTAAACTCTTTCTGTCCTTGTTGTGCTTCTAATGATGGCTCCTCGCGGATCTCCTCGGTGATGTGGAGAGGTAGGGAGGGCGATGACTGGAAATGGCGAAGGACATTTGGTCGGGCAAACGATGGAGTAGGAGGAACTGCTGCGCGACCGTTCTGGGGCAGTGCTTTGGTGTTGGCAGGTGTCAAGATGGTCAAACCGAGCGTTTTACTCGAGCGTCTCTTGGTAAGACTGGGAGGCTTGGAAAACGACTGCCCAAGACTTTCTGAATTTGTTGTACCTTCAAGTGATGATGACATAGGCAGAGATGTGGTCGATGCGGCCCTAGACATGACGAAAGCACCCGAGGTATTGACAGCAAGGTTCTTGAGGTTTCTTCCTTTTCTTCCAGGTGTGGTAGATCGTTGCAATTCGAAGAAAGGCTGTGATGAATGCATCATGGCATTGTCAGAAGTATGCGGTCTGGTCATGGCGAACGAGGTAGGGTAAGGCTTCCCTAGAGGTGACTCTGGCGAAGAACCCGGAGACATCTCTGTGGCAGATGAGTCGTCGATGATGGATGCGGTTGTGGTAGGCGATGAGTCTGCTGATGTAGATGCGGACGTTGATATGCTCTCTTTATGCTGATGATACGACTCGAATGGTTTTTGCAAAGATGTGCCTGTTCGCGAGACATCACCGCCAGGTAGCGGTTTGCTCGTGCCGACAGGTCCGTGAAGATCGCCAATCATCGCGATCTCACAGACAATTTCCAAATCAGACTGAAGGGATTGACAAAGCTATGTTAGGCGATGTTTAAGAGAGGTCGAAGCCAAACGATCTATGTGGTGGTTAGATATGTGCGCTTCGTTTGTCATCAAATCGGGATCAATATCCGGGAATTGTGATGGAGAGATCGTACCAGAGGTGTCGGACCTTCACCGGGAAGGGCTCTGTAAGAACGACAGAGACAGCAAACGGTCGAGAGGTAAGTGTAGGGGCTGTAAAGGAGAGAAAGGTCGGCAGTGATGTTTCAGCGGACAAATGAGAGCAAATTATTAAAAAGCAAGATTGGCACTATAAAGCCATTGCTCGAAGCAGTAATCGGCAAGTCCTGGCAGGCGGCGAGTCAGTGGTATGGGTACCAGTGAACTTGAACAGAGGGTATGTCAAGATAGGATGAGTGAAAGCCTGGTTGGTCGGACAAGGTGTGTTAGCAGGGCGCTTCACAAAAACTACATGCGTGCTTGACCAATCATGTCATAAAGCGGCTTGTAGCCGCGCTGGGGTCATGCAGAAGCCGCATTGAGTGCAGTAGCGCCCGCAACTCATTGTGACAAAGAATAGAAGCCCTTGTGCGGGTCAAAGGGAATTGCTGATGGATATACATACCAGGTCTTGAGAGAGTCGAGTCGAGTCGAGTCAACACTGAAGAAGTATGATGCAAAAGAAAAGCTCTTTGCAGACGCAGGCTTGTTTTGGGCAACGTGTGGGATGTTGATCTTGTTCGACGTGAGTTGTATTATTAAGGGCTGCACAAGGGAGCAGTTTGGCGGCTGGAGGGTGGAAGGGAATCGTTGGTAGAAACGCGCCGGCAGTTGTCGTCTCTCGAGCGGAAGCTGCAATTTGATGCGAAACTGTACTGGCTAACGGCCGTCGTAGGGAGATAGGAGAGTTGAGATTGAAGCCTTGTCGAGGAAGGATCGAAGGTCGAACGCGTAGGGTGGGAGGAGGAGTCGAGAGCGGTCGAGGCAGGAGCGAACAAAGAAGGCAGGCTATTCCGGGCGCGGTGGACTGAGCTGTATGTCCTGTCGGAACTTTGTCGCGCGAGCAGCGTCAGGGTCGCTGCTGTTATCGGGGACGAGATATGGTGGGTGATATGATATTAGGAGCCCTTACAAGGAGAAGCAGGCAGAAAGGGACAAAGGGCAAAGAGAACAGAATCCGGCCAATACCGACCTGCGCGCGCTTGAGAGAGAGGAGAGAGATGGGACCAGACAGAAACGGTTGTGACGGTTCTCTGGAATGGACGCCAAGGGTGCTGTGGGAGTTGCTATTTTTAATCTCTAGCTCAGCAAGTTGACTTTTCTGTGCCGCTAAGTTTCATCTTGTCGAGGAGTCTTGCGAGGTCGTCAAGATGCTGAAACGCCGACGGCGCTGTTGCAATCTATCTCAATGACGACTGCCCCGATTGCCGCAAAGAACAAGTGTTTGCGCGTCGAGTGCTGTCTATCAGGAGCAATATAATGAGGATGTTCCCCAAGGCTGTCTCGCGTACCAACGTATCGAGTTTAGGCCAACGGCACCGTGGGTTTATTTCTAATTCGACACGAGGTGTGCAGACTGCAGGGCAAGTCGCCCGAGCCTCTTCTCGTGTGCTTATGATGCTGCCAACGGCATGCTGCTCACCTGGTGCAAACGGCTCGCAGATTGCTTTTGTCAACTTCAGTGAGCCATGTAGGCGGGGACTCCAGCCATGTTGCGACAGCAAACACAAGTGACACTTCTCGGCGTGTCAGCACACGAGGTCGGGACAAGGGCTGGGGCTAAGCGAGTTTGAGACTTCATAATGATTGTTGGACAATAGTGTGTTGCTATGGCAGAAGTTGGCCAAATCGAGTTTAAGCACGGGAGTCGAAGCAGCTTCATTGAGCTTTTGTGCCAGGGGTGGCTGGTAGCCTGTAGGCTGGTAGTTTGGCGGGTGAAGCCAAACCTGCGACACACGCCATCTCTCCCTACTGTTGCTGCTACTGCTGCTACTGCTGTTACTACTGCTGTCTACCACCGTCTCCGCCTGCATACCGCCTTCATCACGTCGTCGATTGCTACCGCACCATCATTGCCCCCCGAACCTCAGGCTGCTCGTCGATTGCGCGCGTCAAAAGTTTGCCTGGTCCGCTGGAAGAGCTTGCGCGCAAAGAGCAGGAAAGCAGGAAGGAAAACAAACACCCACTTAGGGCGCAGATTAGGCGTGCAACCTCCACAAAAAAGTGAAGTCGCGTAGAAGAATGCTCCTATGATCATCTCGTCTGGAAATGTCGACAAGCGATCATGACAGTGGAAGCCAAAGTAGGAGGGTAAGTGTGTCGAGGATGCGCCAGACGGCCAACCCCAGCGACGATCTGTTTCTGAGCCTCGCCTTGAACGATTCGGATCCCGCCAATGGAAAAGGTAAGACTAGTCTCCGCTGCTGCTCGCTCAATACACGCTCATGTCTTCCCAGTGCCGTTGCGCAAGCCATTGAATGTGCGAGAACGCGCTCCATCCAACGAGAGCCTCAATGCGAGTAGGCTGGCCGAGTTGCGCGCTCAGCACTCACCCAGCCCAGCCCAGACCTCAGACAACCTCCGGACCCCCTCGCTGCGTGCTTCTATGCGCAAACCTCGCTATGCCATTGGAACAACCACCTCGTCGTCCTTCGAGGCTGCTGCCCGCGAGTGGAACGCCTCTCCAGATGTGCTCAAGTTCCCCTCTAAGCGTGCCACTGGTCCAGTCTCCGAAGCCATACCAAGGCAACGCCGCATGTACCGTGTCGGCAAAGCATACGAACCCTTGGGCGGTGCCCGTAATCTCTCCAGTCTCTCCGAGCGACTTGCTCAAGGCCTGATCACTCCGACCATGTCACCCGCCCCAACCGCTCGAAAAGGCTCCAACGCAGAGAGTGAGTCGGTAGATTCTGTCAATGCTCCGTCTACCGTGTGGGATGAACTGGACGACCTCAAATCACGCATTCGTAGTCTCGAGATTGGTGGAAAGGCCTCGCCTTCCAGTGCAAATGCTACGAACCAATCATTCGAACGTCCCCGTACAGCGACCACTGCTCCGACTACTATATCATCCTCGCCCAAGCATGCTCGAAAACAAAGCAGTGTGCCGACTGACGTCAATACTCCCGGTCTCTCTACAGCTAACCTGCATCCTCTGTTGCACAGCGCTCTCGGAAAAGCAAAAAACGTGCTTAGCCCACAATTATATCGGTCTCTCGAAGTAACCGCTTCTGACGCTCTAGCGCTTGCTGCCATGACAGGTAGTGGTGGACCGCAAGGCACTGCCTTCACAGCTGCGTCCATGGTGAACGGTGGGACCGTCTCAGAAAGGCATATCAGAAGGAAGGCCGACAGCATGTGCAGAAACCTTACCGATCTTTGCATCGCTCTCTGCGAAGGCAAGTCAGATCTTGCAAGTCCGACTATCAAAGCCTCTCCTATGAATTCCTCTCATCTGCAAGGAGAAACACCATCATCGCGGTATGCTCGGAGAGCTAGTCTCGGCCCTCAAGACCTTCAATTGAGAACGGAGCCCACCAGATCCATGAGCCGTCTCGACAGCCGAAGAAGTAGTTTACTTGGCTTGGGATTGGGCAATACCATCACTACTAGCCCGCGCGAAGCAAACGACCAATACCTCAGCCAGGACTTGTCACCCAGTCATGACCAGACTGACTATGCCTCCCGTTACAATCGCCCGGGAACGAGTATGCAGCAGTCAAGATACTCTCAAGTCGAGGATGAAACGCAGCAGGACATTCCTTCACGGGCGCCTTCTCGTGCTATGACTGATCTCGGCCATATGAGACAGTCATCAGCACGCAGAACCGATTACAATCCTGGGGTTCAGCATTCACCTAGCCTGCGGGAGACTCTGGCAGCTAGACGTGCAAATGTACAAGGAGAAGGTAGCCAATACGGGTCAACGTCCTCTCATTCTGAAGCAGCGAGACGCATCTTGGAGCGCCGTGCTGCTGTGCAGCTCGAAGAGAGTCAGTACGTGCCTAAGAGGCGCCGCATCGCCAGCTTGACGCAGTATTCGCCTTTAAGTCCTCGGATTGGAAGTGAGCCCGTTCGTACGAGCAGTCTCTCAAGAAGACGCAATCTCGTTGTTGAATAACGATGTTCATGGCCTTTCCACGACCTTTTTTTCTTTTCTTGTTCTCTTCTAGATACAAACACATACATAGGGCTTGCACTGCTTTTCGCGCCAATAAGGCTGCATTTCTTGTCAAAACTGGCCTCGCAAAGATGGCATTTTTCCACCACAGTTCTTCCAGGCCTTGTTGCGCGTGAATACTTGCCGATCCACGTCTCATGTGTGCCACAATGGAGATCATGAGCGTCCAGCCCAGATTTCTGGGTGGCTGAGCGTGACGCACCCCCACGACCAACCCACGTCACTATGCAGGAAAGCGGCAGAGCATGTGAAAGAGTCGATAGCAGTTTCCTTGAGTGTGTGATCGATCTCTAAAGACTTGCTTCCCTTGTGATACAAAACAAAAAGCATTCCCGACTCTTGCTGTTCTCTCTGCTCTTCACTTGATTTTACCTGTCTCAACCTCTCGAACCAAAGTCTCAAAACCAACAACCACCTCATCCCCACAACAACACAAACATGGAGTGGTCAAAGAATCAGTACAACAAGCAGTACGAGAACTGGATGCCCTGGGTCGAGGACAACGTTCTCTACTATTTCACCAAGGACAACAAGGCCTCATACGCTACCAAGGGTGAGCTCGTCCTGTCATGTGCGCGTACTCAACTGTCATGCTGACTCCTCAAAAGACCAACTCAGCAAGACCAAGGTTACTGGCAACGAACAAGTCGACAACCTTCAAGATGGTGTGAACAACCTCGCTGCCGGACAGATCGGCCAGGGTGGTCTTCTACAGCCAGTCGGTGACCACGTCTCCAAGGAGGGCATCAACCGCACCGAGAGAGGCGGCAAGGACGACAGCGGCAGCTACGCCGGTGCCATGGGCTCCAGTGCTCAATCTGGCGCCAGCAAGGTCAGCGAGGGCGCAAAGGGTGCGGGCAGCTACGTTGGAAGCTTCTTCGGCGGCAAAAATGAGAAGAAGTGATCGCAGGCTCAGTGCTCTTGCTCGAGACTTGATTCTATCACGTCGGCCTTCAAGCACACACATTCTACCCTTTCACGAATAACATGATGGCTTCGGATGGTTCACTTTATTTTCTGGGTTTGGGTTTCGGGAGCGGTCAACGGTATACCATAATAGCTTTGCGAGAACCTTGCTTTTCTTCGACTTCATCTCTTGACTTTCCTCTCTTCCTCAACTTGTGTCTTTTTCAAATCAGCCACCCAAAGCCTTGTTTCTGTCCCGTATCTCTGGGGTGTCTCGTCTTGCCGTCCTCATCACTTCCAGGATCCTGGCACAAGCCACAGGATGATTTACGTCAGATGAAGATCAGGCAAGTATAACCGATACAGGCAGATCATATTGAAATCGGCCAATGCAACTCGTCCTCCATGCACAACGATCTCATTGGAAGTTGAGACCGCAGCGGGTTTGAGTTTAGTCTTCAAGGTAAGTGGACAAAAGGGCGTCAGCATGTCGTCGACGTGCCCGCTTGGTCTGCAGTAGTCTCTCTCGTCCTTCGCATCTACTTGTACCCTGTGAACTTACCCTTCGCTTTGCGACCTCAGACGAAAGACACTCCCCAGCATGGTTCACCTTGATACTCCCGGACCGGACACCGGTATCTTCACCACGGAAGAAGTGCGACCGCGATCGAAGCCTTGCAAGTCTACATCACGTATCGTTTCTCTGCCGCGCAACCACTACAAAGAGCCGCCGAACCTGGCAGCAGGCTTCCGATCACTCGACCTGTCATGCGAAGCACCAGTCAGAGCGAATCTAGTCGCAGACAAGATTACCACCGACGCGTTTCGGATAACTCTGGAAACCTGGGGCGAGAGGTCCATCCTCTACTCTGCGAGCGCGACCTGGATCGAGCACAAAGCCTACGCCAAAGACTGCCTGTTCGGTCAATTCGACACACATGACCTACCCGCAAATAATGGCGCAAGCAAGAAAGGAGCACAGCAAGAGAACTCGCGACACTTCACCTTTCCTCAAGCCTTCAAAGACGACTGCGATGTCGTCTGCTGGTTGAACCGGATAGACATGGCCAGCGGTGACAGAAACTACAGGATAAGAGCTTACGCTACCAACATCACTCGCACGGGTTTTACGGCGCACATCGATACCTGGGGAGACAGCCTGCTCTTTGGAGGAGCAATGTGCTGGATCGCTTTCCCAAAGCGCAAACGTTACGTACAGTTTGGCAGCTTCCAAACAGGAGACGTCAGGAGTTGGAGCAACCCGATACCAGAAACGACTTCGCAAGTCAAGTTCGACGATGGCGCATTCAAATCGCATAGACCTGCTCCAACGGTCTTGTGCGCTCTCAACATGATTGACATGGCGGGTAACGCAGACTTGCGGGTTTCTGTTGATGTGAACGATGTTGATACACAAGGATTCCGTTGGTCGCTGAAGACTTTTGAAGATAGTACGCTGTACGCAGCTGGTGCGAGTTGGATAGCTCTTGGGTTTGCATGAGCGGGGAAGGACGAGCTATGAATGTTTCGAGATGGTGAGAGCAGCTGCAAGGCGCTGAGAAAGAGTCGGACTTGGTGACATGGCGAGGGTAGAGGCTAAAGACTCGGCCGGTAATAAGGCTTGCACAACCACCTAATACTGTATAACTACGTTGTAAGTACTTGCTACAGTAGAACAGGACATAATTAATGAAAGCAGATTATCTCATTCGCAATACGGCCTTGATTTAACGTGTGCTTTGTAATGTTTCAAAGTTGTCCTTCACCCATGACATGGTCTTGGTCCACGGCTGTGTTGCTGGTGAGGTGACAGGCGTGGGGGAGGGGCCATGAGGTCGAATCAGGAACCGTGTAACAAACATGACAAGGCAGAAGCACACAAACAGTCATCCAGCTTGTGATGTTTCTTGCTTCATTCGCAGCCTCTCAGAAAAGTGATATCATCGGCCATAAACAAATGTGATTTGCTGACGTTGGTTCGGCTGGCCGGTCTAGAGCCAATGAATGAAACGACAGCCTTGGTGGTCGACGTCTACCTCTAAGTTGCGTCGACATTGCATTTTCCTGTCTCACTCGACTAGCAACTTTGAGTATTGTCGACTTATTCACAAAAAGCATATAATGCGCGCATCTGCTACGGATCCCTTCTTACCGCGATCCGCCTCCATTCGTTCTCTGAGCCTTTGATCATCAATCCATACAACATAGACCACGTCACGCCAACGCTGTCCATCACGCTTCCTACTTTAAAGGCAATGGCACCCAACATGGCCCTTCAACGTACGCGTTCGCCAAGCAGCGGCCGCCGCAGCAGACGCATCTCTCTACCAGCAATCCTCCAACACATTCAAGCACACAACACATCAAACACATCCATCAACGACTCCATCAACATGTCACCTTTCATCAACCTTACCGACCTCTCTGATGCTCTCGACATCCCTGTCTCATCAAGCAAGCACAAGGAATCTATCAAGGCTAGAGGTGTCCGATTCAACAGCAAAATCAGTGTCGTCGAAATCCCAGCACCTGAGCAGACACAGGCCCATCGCGTCAGCTTCAGCGACGAGATCATCGACATTGATACAGCAGAACTCAGCAGCTCATCACAGACATCAAGTCCTCCCAGAAAGCGCGTCCGCTTCGGTTGCATGAAGAACAGCGTGCGCAAACACTTCTCTCACACACCCATCTACAAGATGAAGAACTTTGACGCCATCAGCCCTCTCATGACAAGTAAGAAGAGAGTCCGTTTCGGCTGTATGAAGGGTGAGCCACCTACAGTCACTCACACCAGTGAAGAAGTGTCTGAGCTTTTGGCCGATGAGGCAGCAACCTTCAAGCGCGAGAAGAGAAGAGGATCGACTTCCACCTACGACAGCGAGATGTCGGAGCAAACCAACGACACTGAGGAACTGGAAGTGGATTGAGGCAGTGTTACAAGAAGTGACGACAAGGCGCTTGGATTGGAAGTCAGCAGCGACATTACACGAGCAGGAGAAAAGTGAGGCAGGGTGGCCATGGTCTTTGCATGCCGAGGGGAGGCAGTTTCAGCTGGAACGAATAAACGAATAATGAAGAAAGCATGGAAATGGGTATACCAAGCAAACACGGTCTAGAAAAGATGGGGTGCGGTGCGGAGGAAATTGGAGCTCTATTGCTGCATGCATGGCGTCACAAGAAACAAACAAAAGATGATGTTCCCACCAAGTTAGTTCCACATATGTGGTACTGTGCTTCCCATCTGGCCAGGAACAAAAGGTACTGTCTCGAAGTTGTGACTCCTCGTTAGCAGGCTTGAAATAGGATTTCTGTGTCGTCCATGACCAAGGATACTTCACTACTCACTTGTAGACACTCGTAGGCAGATATCATCCGTGTGCAGTCGGATGCGGAAGTTCGGAGATAAGGTCCGATGACATATCACTGCCGCATCCGGAGCGCTAGAACATTCGAAGGCCATGTCAACATGCGACCAGCGACGACACGACTGTCTTTCTGCAACTAGTTGCCCTTGTCCGGTGTGACCAGTCGGCCAATCTCCGACTGTGCCTCGTTCGAATCGCCAAAATGGCCCACCTCGCCGACAAACTAAAACAGGAAGGCAACGATCTATTCAAAGCCGGCGACTACATAGCAGCAGAAGAACGATACACGGCCGCAATTACAAAGTACTCTCGCAACCCTCTCATCTTTACCAACCGCGCACTCGCTCGCATCAGACTCCAAAGATGGCAAGGCGTACTGGAAGACTGCCTCAAGAGTCTCGAGTACACGCCTCGCGACGGCTTCAACTTCAAGTCCTACTTCTACCTCGCCCAAGCCCAACTCGCTCTCCACCACCCCAATGAAGCCCTCCACTCGGCCTTGACAGCCTACAACCAAGCCATGCATCCTCCTCAAGCCGAAGCTACCAAAGCAATCGCCGCACTCCCTTCCCTCTCCGAATTGGTCCTCAAATGCAAGAAAGAGAAGTTCGCAGCTAGGGAACGCGAACGCAGGCGCAAAAGAGGCGACATCCTCGCCGAATTGGAAGAAAATCTGGAAACGAACAAACGCAACGATCTCTCTGATACAGAAATCGCTTTGTCACAACAACGAATCGGTGTCATTGAAGCCCAAGAACGCCGCGCCGAGATTCTGGAAACACACCAAGGAAAACTGGATGAACTACACACTGTGTTTGCACTGGCGGATCCTCAGAATCACCAGGCCAGAGAGGTTCCTGATTACTTGGTGGACACGATAAGTTTTGAGATTATGCATGATCCGGTTATTACGAGGACGGGCCATTCGTATGAGAGAGCGACATTGCTGGAGTACTTGAAAAACAGTCCGGTGGATCCGTTGACGAGGGAGCCGTTGACGGTAAAGGACTTGAGGCCGAATGTTGCATTGAGACAGGTGCTCGAGGAGTTTTGGAAGACGGCGGGCAATTGGGCCATTGATTGGTGAGGGATGAAAGGTGCAGCGACCTTTCGTACTGTTCTCTCTCTTTGGATGCTGTGGTTGTGGCTGCAATTCTCTTCCGGTCGATCTGTTTTTCCCTTTCAAAGCATGGCGATGGCGTACAAGCATTGCATTATATTATACCTTTTTTCCCCTTTATACACTTCTCTGCTTACCTCTATTCTCTCTCTATTCAGAGCGCCTGGACCATTGGATCATCTTCTCTCGTTCTTCTTTGATCGTTCTTCCACTATTGATGGCTTACTACACCACGCGCAAGAGCAAAGTGGGCACACAATATATGCCTCTGTGCTATAACCAAGGCATATCTGTATCATATGAGTTACACTGTCTGACTATCAGGTGGTACAGACAAGATGAGTGAGGATAAGCAATACACAGCAGTCTGCACCACTCATTCACGGCGAAGGTGATATACATCTGAACGATATACATCAAACATGGTCTTGATAGACATCATCTTTTGACCCATGGTGACTTGAGATCGATCAGAGGACTTCCTCGACAATCGTAGGCCCTATCCTACTCGCTTTTGAAGAATACCGTAGACTCTAGCTTGGTGGACTAAAGAATCAAAGAAGGTATACAGGAGGTGAGGATTCTATATGTTTAGACTTCTCATCTCAAAGCAATAGCGGCTATGTTGTTTTATTCCTCCTGGGCCATACTTTCTGATCGCTTTTTCCTTACTTGCCATGTCGTTCTTTTCCCATCATATTTTACCTTGGTCGATCGCACCTTCTCAGTCTATCAAGTCACCCCTTCTCGATTCATTTCGATTACTGAGTATCTCCTTCTAATCGGAAACTCTTGTCCAACTTCTGAGCAAAACACTATCGTCAGGATATATGGCGTGGAACAAGACGACTGGCGAGTAGAAGGTAATGCCAGATCGACATGCAGCGTGGGAAGCACCACGTATCAAATTCGTCTGTTCGACAAAATGGCCGGTTACTGTATGTCGATATTCGATCAACCAGACGATCCGATTCGACATCTACGGGTCGGTATTGCGGGCTTTGTTTCCCCTGTCTCAACTGACAATGATGTAGTAACATAAGCTGTGTAGTCAATGAGATGCATCTTCGTTGGGGACCCCTGGATATAATTGTTGTTGTTGTTGTTGTTTCTGCAAAGGCCAAAAAGGAAAAATGTGAATCAAAGCATAGGATGATGAGTAATTAGAGGATGATACCCTGATGTATTCTCCAGGATGAGAAAGTGTACGGAGTGAGTTACAAAAGGGAAGAAACGAGTTGCACGTACGTACTTCTCGCTTCCACGGGAGAGAAATCGCGGAACTCCAAGCACTACTAGGCATACCAGCGAGGTCTGTCAACAAACAAAAATATCCGGATACATTCATGGTCACCAAGTACACATCAATCACGTGCGATGCTTCGGTCCCCATCTCCGAGGCCTTCCCTTCCCTCCCCCTTCCCTTCCGCTTCGATCTTCACGATTCATGATCACGATGCCGATTCCATGGTTCTTGTACATGAAGCTAGAGTATTCAACCGTATGCCGGTAGACAAACGGTACGCCCGTTTTGACCCCCTGAAACCGAAACAAGAAAAGATGGAAAAAGACCCCAAAGACCCGAGGACCTGTCATGCAACAAGAAAAGCTCGGTCTGGCCGTTTTATGGAGCCCGGAAAGACCGTTGTGGAATTCTCCCCCTTTATTCTCAAACAAGCATCCGAGGGAAAGCATTGACACTGCCAGAAGAATGTAGAAAGCAAATGCAAATGCAAATGCGAATGCGGACCGGAATACGTGGGTTCGAAACAGGAAGGTCGAGAGAGTTCAGAAAACGTGTTTGGAATTTTTGATAGAGGAACATTGATCCCAAGTCTAACCCTTCGGAGGAAACCCAGCCTTGCCGTGAGGGTGAAAGGGATAGGGTTCGGTCTCTTCTTTTTTGCAAGATAGCTACGAATACAACAAGAGCGCCTGACCAGTTCCCAGTGCGACCGAGTCCCACTTTCCTTCCATTCGAGTGGTGATCCTAACAAAAGAAAGAAGGTAAACAAGGAAACAAAACAAAGAAACAAATAGAAGCAAGAGGCGTCATCAGGATCCCTCAACCTTGTGTAAAAGAAGGCCACCCGAGTGTCGAAACGGATATGCATAACGTCTTCTTCCGTCCCCCTTTATCGTTCTTTCGAAGGGGGGCGGCGAGCGTTTGCTTTCGTCCGCTCGAATCGAGCGGTCCAACAGCTGTCGAGATCAAGATCGATATGCCAAATGCCAGCAGTGCTTTATGCACTAGAATAGAAGAAAAACAGATGATCGCGGGAACGACCGATGCGATGCTTTGGAAAGAAGAAAAAGTATGAGGAAAATATAAAGCAAAACACCAAATGGTAAGAAATTGGCTCTGGGTGAGCAATGCTTGAGAAGCAACGCAAACCATGAATTGACAGAAAGAAAAAAGAACAAGAGATATCTGGGGTATAACAAGAATCGAAGAAAGCGAAAGGTGATGAAAGCGAACAACTCCCCACCGAACCTAAAACATATCCGCCTGTTCCAAATGGTCCGACTCAAGGAAATCGCAAATATAGGAAATAAATTCAAAAGATTATCCGGCGAACACCAGTAGTAAGAGTCTCGAGCTCTCTACTCGCTCATGTAGTTCGTAGCCGATCTGCGGCTGTTCTTTTTTGCTGCCTTCCTCACCCATTCTAGGGTGGAATGCTCAGCCCCGCCAGCAGGCTGTAGTCTAAGAGACATGTGCGCTTAAAGACTGGCGGGATCGATGGTACCGTACTGCACAAAGCTTGACATGTCAATCTCCTCGCCATGTTGGTTTTGGTGATCGTTTGCACCCAAGCTAGGGCTGTGGTACACGTCGTGATTCTGAAGGTGGGAAGGGTGGTGAGCTGGTGTTGAGTATGCCGACTCGTGCATTGGTGATTGGTACATCTTGCTGTCATGGAACATACCAGTACCGTTAACTTTGGGTGTCTGGTAGAGGTTATGGCCATGGTCACCGTGGCCCATATGCGTAGGCGACTGGAAAGCAATAGCAGAATCTTGGTGCATAGCCATTTGAGCGGGGTTAGGCGACTGCTGGTGCATGGGAGTCTCGTTAGGCATGCGGAAAGGCAGGTTCATCTTGTTTGCAGGAATAGGCGAGTTGTAGTCGTAGTGAGCCTCTGAGAGCGACGAGTCGAAACCCATGTGCTCGTCAGGAAGAGGGCTGTGGAAACCCATACCCATCGACTTGTTGTAGACATCAGATGAAAGGCAGAGAGCATCGTCGTTCAAGCCGTTGTCACCTCCAGGAGTGCTGAAGATGTCGTCCGATTGGCTGCGGCCAAGACCGTTGAGAGGCGGTGATTGGTCTGCAATGACTGGATCACCACCGCTAAGGCATGAGACAGGAGTGTTGCTGGTACCGATCATAGCGGATGGATCGACCGAGAGGAAGGAACTCGAGTACGGGGTGTTGAGGTTGGAGTGAGCCATCATGTCGCTGGTAGGGCCAGGGTTGAAGAATCCAGGAGTACCAAAGTCGCTCGGAGAGTTGAGAGTGGTGGCAGACATTGGGCCGGCGAATTGTCTAAAGTCCATGCCATATCCAGCGGAGGTATCGATGCTAAGGCTGTTAGGACCCATGCCTGTGGAGAAACCGTGGTGGTGCTGAGGCTGAGGAGCAAAGATGGCAGTGTCTTGGAGAGGCTGAGCGGGTGTGTTGGGTTCGTGCTGAATGAGGAAAGAAGGCATTGGGTTGTTTCTGAGCATTGAGAGGTCAATAGCGGCAGGAACCGAACGACTACGCTGTCTCTTGTGGCCGCGAGGAGCAGGCGGGCCCATGAGACCCATGGCAGAGTCCTGGAAAACGCCCGAGTGAGGGTGTACTAAGTGGTTGGGCTGACTGGCGGGTCTGAAAGAAACAGGTGAGACAGGAGCTGACGCAGCAGCCATGGCAAAGTGGGTGGGGTCAAGCATGGTGTGGCGGTTCTGGAAAGAGTCAAGAGAGACGAGCTTGGCCAGTTGACCACTGAGAGCCTTGGAGGGGCCGCCGAGCTGGTGGACCATGATCTTGCTGGCCTGTTGGTCCTCTGTGAAATCACCACACTCGTAGAAGCCACCGCTGCCGGAGCTGTCCATGTAGAACTTGGGGGGACGAACCAATTCGACCACCAGAGCGCCCAATCTCTGAGAAGCGCCCTCAGCAGCGGTTGTGACCTCACCTTGGACAAGGTTTATGTTCTTAATCCAAGCGAAGGGGTATTCAATCTTGTAGCCAGCCGAGTCGTTGTTGATGTAGTATGTAACACAAGCCTTCTCGGGCGAGTAGAAGATAATCAGGTCCATCTGGCTTTGGCCGACTCTGCGCCAGGAACCGATCGAGAGGGAGCGACATGCAAAGTGTTGGATGACTACACAGGGGTTAGCTCGGGACATATGCGTAACAATACGATGTTAAAACTCACCAACTTTTCCGGTGCCTGCATCGGAGTTGAGGCTCATGGTGCCGGGAGTGTAGCCGTAGCCATTACCGCCGGGGCCCATGAGGTTAGGGAAGAAGCCCTTTCCAGACTCAAGCGCTTGCATTGCGAGATGGCGGCGCATCGACTCGGGAATGCTCTCGCAGTCCTCACCGTTCTCAATGCTCTTTCTTGCAATGTTCTTAATCTTGGCACGTCTGCAATGGTATTAGATACGCAACGTGGGTCGTCTCTGTACGAGGGGACTTACCTGTTCTGGAACCAGATTTGGACTGATCTCTCAGTCATGTTGATTTCATCGGCAATTCTCTCACGGACAGCGGCGGTAGGGGTGGGGTTCTTGTTGAACTCGACTTCCAAAGTGATGAGCTGGTCTTGAGTAGCACGTTGTCTCTTCTGGTTCTTTTGTTGTTGGGTAAGAGTGCTCTTGCGCGGTGGCCTCCTCGAGGAAGAGCCACTTGCGGTGAGAGGGGTCGCGGGGGAGGGAGTGCCTGGCGACGCCGAGTCCATTGGTCCCATGTCTTTGGAGTCCATGGTGTATATGTTGTTGATTATAGATGGCTAAAGGATGAGTTTGTTGTTCTTGATGATTATAAGCCGCCAATGGCAGTTGCAGCTGGGCAGTGTCAAAGAAGCAGGCAGTTCAGACCGAGGCTGAATCGAAGTTCGGAAGTCTTTGTCTGTGGGTCAATCCGTGTGCTCAATCGAGACAATGCCGAGAGCAACAGCTGAAGGAAGGCACGAGGATCAAAGGAGTCGAATTAGGAAGAAAGCAGGAAGCCTGTGTTGTTGTTGGAAGGAAGGTAGAGGTGACAGCCGGAAGGAGTGACGGTCTGCCGAACTGGCCAAAGCAGCGATACAGATAGGGTAAGCGTGTTGGATAGTCGTGGCTAATCAAAGAAGCAAAGAGAAGGATATGATGTGCGAAGGAATTAGACCGCAGCTTAAGGGAGTGATGAAGCGGCGCACAGGAGCAATAGAAAGGGAAAAGAGAGATGTTGCAAAGAGAAAGGCGAGGATAAAGTGCTTTGGGCAGGCGAAACACACACGAGAAGAGCGTGCCCTCCCCCCTTTGAGAGACACTGACGGCCACGGTCCACGCTCCACGGGTCCACGCTTCGACGAGCGAGTCGGAGCAAAGTCAAGCACAAGCGCCAAAAGCGCGAATCACGTTTGTGAAACGCACGAGGCAGGCACGACCCACATACCAGACCATGCCGCTTTCGGACGCTCCTCCACGGCCGCTCGTCTGTTTTCCACACAACCTTCCAATCGCCCGACCGATGTGATGCTCCTTGAACATTCTGGTGCCGTCATGGGCGTTTGTGCTGTTGTCTGTCGACCTCTTGTTCCCGCGTGCCCGCTCTTCTTCAGCCAGCTGTTGCTATCTCGCTATCGACGCTGTGCCCTGTGAGCCAACGTGCGTGTTTAGGCACACGAACTCCTCCTTCGATCCACCACTGTAAATAGCTGCTACTGCTGCCGCCGCCATCCGTCATCCTCCCTCCACCTCTCTACCAATACCAGTCGCAGATGTCGCGAGACGAATGCTGCCCTGCATGCAACCAATGCATCGTGCCGTAGGTTAACTTGTCTCCTCCGCGACTCGGACACGGATACCGCTGCCTTGGCGACCAACTCGCGCCTACAAACCCCGTGCCCTACTAGTTTACGAATAGCAGCCCACTATCATGTCTGTGTATTCCACTTCCGCTGCTCTCGACCGCGTGTACGGCACAACTAGGCCTATATCCCATAAAGAGACCATACTTATTTTGAGTACCTCCTGACAAGTAACTACTGCATCAACATACACACTGTCCAAACCGCCATCTAGACACAACGTCCACATGCAGCCCGTACGAATCTTTTGGTCGACTCTTTGTCAGACATGCTGCGTCGACGTTCGGCTATTTCTCTATCATGGTCGATGCCTCGATTCCTTATCGGCCGAGTCCCCCTTCTCGTCCTAGCTCGTACTGATTGTCCCCTCTCCCTGCACGCTGGACCGACGTCACGTCACAAAGCGCCGTGCGCTGCCGGTTGTTGGTGCCTCTCGACACTGGCTCGCTGACCTGATCGGCAAGTGTTTTGTCTTGGCCCCCTGACCCCTGTTCTCGTGGCTTGACGATCCGTGAAGAAAACGCAGGCACCATTCAGGAACACCCGCCGCCAGCAGCACGAGCCGTCAACGTCGGACCCACACAAGCTCGAGGATGCTAACGGTCGGGGCAAAACACTAGCGCGGTGAGCCGCAGAGACATCGGAGCTTTATCGTCCGGGACTCCGGGTGAACCCTTCTACCGCATCCTTGACGACCAGGGTTACTTGATCTGCACGCAATATATTATGTGTTGCTGCTCCCCCAGAGTGTCCTCCAAGCCAACCTTGCGTGATACAAGACGTGGTTGAATGCATGTTTGTGAGATCCTCCAAAAAAGTATTCGTACCTCTGCCAGAGGCGGGCTGAGAATTGAAATGAATCATGGACACGAATGTTGGTAGATTTTCTATTTTTGCTTCAGATACCCGTAGCGTCGCTTCTTGAACCTCACAAAATTCATCTCAAGTCTCAAGAGCTTCTGGAAAGAGTACCTCGAAGTATCTTTTTCGATCTGAATCTACTTCTCGATTTGTTATCCGATCTAAACCATAAGCAACAGTTGCGCCTGCTGTGTTTCGGCATACGATATGTCATCCCGTGTTAAAGATTGGTTTCGTATATTAGAAGGAGCGTTCGGCCGGGAGGATGAAACACCACACTCCCGGCCGGAGTAAACTTATACCAAGTGCACGAGCTTCACTATCCGATGCCCTCCTACGAAGCCAAGTCACTAGAAGGTAGCTACGCGGATACTCAGGGTCGGTAGCATCTAGTAGGAATCCGCCGAGGACTACTCGAGTAAGTTCTGAGTAAAGAATTCTAGCTTGGGACTAAGTCTGTATATGTCTTTATCTGCTTGCTAAAGAGGCGCGTATGTTGAATTGAAGCATGCATAAGCCGAACATGGAACCCTTTCCGTTTGTTATCAACGCTTGCCTTTGGGTGGTCAGGGCGACGCTAGAACATTCTTCCACCATTCTACTGCCAACTATTCAGCCTTGCCTAAGAGGCTGTCATCTCGATTCTGATACCCGGATCTTGCCCTTTCGTCGCACCTTCCCATCCATTACGAAGCCCCAAGGCTGAAAACGCCAGGTAGTGCTCCAAGTGTACGCTCTCGGAGCATCCGTTGCCTTCCAGAATGTGACTTTCTTGCCGTTTGTTCACCTGCTGACGGATGAGGCTTCCGGCTCTCCAGGAAGTTTCATGGGCCAACAGTCACAGCTTGTCGAGAAAAGCATCCTAAAATGATGGTGAAGCACAAAGCCTGCTACCAATGCGTCCTGGAAGGTGGAGATATCATTTAATAGCTTGAGAGCAGTTCACATCGACGTCATGGTATGAACAACTGAACAACCGGCGGCCCGCCCGAAGCGAGAGTACCTTGGCCTGTCAAACGACTCATCGGCTTACGAGTAATGCCTGAGCACTGCCACCATGAGGCATACATCTTCGATGGCTTCTAAAGAGTGAGTCAAGGTTTGTACTCTTGCTACGGCTTGACATGGAAGTGAAACGATTGTTGGTGTTCATGGCGGGCACAGTCTTGCACTGAGCGAAGGCGAACTTGATTGTCCCGACCGACCACTGAGAACGTTGCGATACCTCCATAAACTGTGTTGTGTACAGCAAGGATGTTGTGCTAGTAAATCAAGCGATGGTTGAGTGGCGTGTACTCGTGCTTTCTCTCGCTACAAAGGTTCTCAGACGTTGGTGATAGTGCTCGTATTGCCGAAGTCTATTGGTCTTCGGTATTGACTTCGTGCATGATTGCGAAGATCTGGTGGTTGGCATCTCGTTGCTTGCGGCATTGCAAGGCTTCACATTGCATCGTACGCAGTAGTGATAGAGCCGTATTGGATACCCGATATCGCCCGGGTGGTCCGAGTCTCGCGATGCTTCATGGTATCCTGCATGATACTTATGCCGAGCTTTCAAAGTGATTGATGACAGCAATTTGCCTCCCAGAGTGACTCCTAGAGAATCATTTCCTGGGCAAAGAAGATGCTTCATAATTCCGTCAAGCCACTTCTCATCAGGTGTTTATCATCTCCACGGGAGACGGAAGAGCCTGATCTAGTAGAAAGATTTTCTGTCTAGGCCAGTCAAGGCTTGGTAGTAGCACGACATCCAGTGTTGCAGCTACATGTTGCAACAGGGCCGAAGGCCATCTTTGCAGCCACCAAGTGTTCGACCTCAACCTCATGAGCGCTGCGTAGTGGGCCAAGACAACGAGAGAGATCGGATGACGGTCTGCGAGCATATCGAGGAAAAGCGAGCTCACGTTTATGGGCCACATTTGGACGTACATTGGGCCTGGGACTTCCTCTGGATGCGTTTCCATGATGGCCATGTAGAAGAACACCCTCTCAGCAGCCTGCAGACAAGCTGATGCTTCATCACCCTGGCAGTGCTGATTTATGGTATCTTGAAGATTCGAATATGCAGGGTAGGTCTCGCCTAGTGTTGCTATGAGCGCCGTATGGTCCGGGAGCACAGCGACCTTCTGGATTGATTCTTTCTCTCGGAGCACCTCCCATTTCTGCGTAAGAATGGTCTTGATTCCTCTTCCAAGATGAAACGAATTGAGCAGTTCTTCGACTGGATCACGTACCAGACCAAGGCCTCGTGGGTCATAAGCTGGCTCTGCCAGTGCAAAGATGGAAGTAATCGCGGCGAATCCTAATATCGGTTGGCTGTGCTCAGGTGACGATTCAATAATATGAGGTCGTACAAGGGCCAACGCAGCGTGCTGATGATTAGCTGCTCGAGACAAAAGTTCCAGTCGATGAGGCTGTTCGGAATACAGATGCAGCGCTGCCAAAGCCAAATTTGAATGCATCAGATAAGGAAAGCGAAGACCCATGGCACTTTCTTCCTTGTTTGGTTTGGCTTCTGGTGTGATGGTGTAGGCAGTACTCGTGATGGATTGATGAAGTAGCTCAAAATCCGCCATAGGTAGAGGCTGTTCCGGATCTCCATTGTGGTCGGCGATGTTGTGTGAAATTGCGTTGAACACCCGAGTGTTGACAGACACATCCGAAGCTGGGCTTCCAACTGTGGAAAAGCTACATTCAACTTTTCTCTTGGTACATCCTCCACACGATGGCTTTCCTTCGTCACACTGTCTTCACGTTAGCTATACGACCAGGCGTGACAGCTCAAGGCGGTTGGACCTTATAATGTCTCTTCTTGCATTGATCGCAACCACCGCGACTCTTCTTATGCGTTCGTCTCTGCCGTTCTCCAACAGGACCGCCTCTCATGATGCATGCCCAAATTTGGTTGAACGGGTTCAAAAGGGTCAAAGTTTTTGGAAGAGGAAATGTTCAAGCGAAGATCAAACGCCAGTGACAGCACCCCGTTAGCGACGCCCACGGTTTCTCCGGCCCCCCTCAGTATCGCGATTCATTCCATCACATACTCCAAGCAAGATTTATAAGAGGATCTGAAGATGAGAGAACACATCAAAGATAAACAAGCTTACGCGGCTTCTCATAAGCAATAAGAATCTCTTGTTATCCAAGATCTGAGCCACTGCAGCGTGCCTGAGAGGATACCGCTGAATTAAGGGTGTGACTACCTCGGCAACGATAGCCGGGATTGAGCCCTCTGTACCATACGCGCTCGAATACGCACTTCTTGAGATTTCCTCCAACACTTCATGCTATTTTCGATGCGATTGCGCATATCTCCAAGAGATATCTCAACGTTGTGGTTCGTCATTTTCATGATCGCCAGGTACAGCCACTATGTCCCCCGTATGGTACACGCGCAGAGGTAGATATAAGAAGGCGAATGCCTTTCCTCCAACTCGAGTGCTTCATTCGTTATTCTTGTGAAGCACCTCATATTCGCCTACCATTTGCAATCTTTCTTTGAGCAGAAGATTAATCTTTGGAACAAAAACTGGAAAAAGAAGATTCTGCCGAACCAGCACCTCACGTTCGACCATCATGGCTCTTGCTCCAAGCAATATCGATCCGGACCACCTTGTCCTCTATGCCTACAAACCCTCCGCTGTAGCAGCTGGCATCTTCATGGGAATTTTCGGAGTAGCCACTGTCGCCCACATATTCTATCTTCCCAAATTGCGCCAATGCTTTTTCATTCCTATGATCTTGGGCGGTATCAGTACGTCTTGACATGTTCTCTACATTCAGACGCATGTTACTAACATTCGTACAGTGGAAACAGGTGGTCTCTACGGTCGGTTCTGGGGACACAGCGATCAGAACAACTTTAAGGCCTATGTGTTACAGGCTTTGCTTCTTACACCAGCACCGATCTTCTTGGCAGCGACAATGTACATGACACTAGGCAGAGTTATTGTTGCTCTGGACTCCGACGAAGATCATACTCTTATTCGTCCCCGCTGGCTGTCGAAAATCTTTGTGATGTTCGACATCATATGTTTCCTGGTCCAGATAGGCGGAATCGGCATGCAGTGTTCTACATCAGCCTCACTACAGAAGACTGGCCGCACAGTGACAGTGATTGGCTTGGTACTCCAGCTCGTCATCTTCGCTTACTTTATCATTGTGGCTCTCGTTTTCCACAGACGCATCAACGCCCGACCCACACCTATCTCGGTCCATCATACTGTTCATTGGGTCAGACACCTGCGTGTCATGTACGTTACGAGTGTTCTCGTGCTGATCAGAAACATATTCCGTATTGCGGAATATGTTGAAGGCGCAGATGGTCCAACTGGTCATTCGGAGGTATATCTTTACATCTTCGATTCAGCGTTAATGGCCGGCCTCATGTGGGCGTTCGTCATCGTACATCCTGGCAGACTCCTCAGGGCTATCAAGAAGTTGAAGAACCGTTGCTCCCTAGAGAAGGCGGAAGGAGAATCGCTTGTGTCTCAACAGGGTGCACATGAACAGATGGGCGCGTAAACTTGACGACTTGGAGACGTCCGCCAAGCGGTTTGATGGACCTGGTTATGTTTTCCTTTGTTAAGGGTGGGTTAAATTGGTCCACTGTGGCTGGAGTTGGTGTGGAAGCTGTTGACGGTCTTATGTTTCGTTCCTACGTTTGCCTAGTAATCTAGAGCCTAACATGAATTACTTGCTTCGAGAGTCCGGTAAATCAACCCTCTAAAGACAATCGCATATATGCTGTGTTGTGATGTAACATGTCCGCAATAAACGTGACTGATGGTCGAGTAGTGAGTGTCCTTTCAGTGTATCTCGAGTCTAGCATGATGAGTGGTCACGTGAACGGCAGTATATCACTGCATTCCATCATGAAGACACATGTCATCAGAGATTGATCTTGCGCGTGTTAAAGAAAAGAACGTGATGCAGAGCACGAGGTCGAGAGTAGAAGGTCGAGTCGAGGTCGAAGCTTGGCTAGCACGCGCGAGGTCAGCATCATCCCAATCGGGCGGAAATGACACTCGAGACGCGACTTCCTCAGCAAACGCGGGGAGCAGCTCAGCACGCGTCGTCCTGAACGTTTGCCTGCCTTTCATCACAACCTCAATCACCACAAAGATGCCTGCCGCCAAAGTACAGGACGTACAGCCGAAGAAGCGTGTGCTCGTCGACGCACCCTCTTCCCGCCAGAACATCCAGAAAGACAGCCCCTCCAAGCGTAGGAAGCTCAATGGCCAACCCAAGAACTTCAAGACACCCGGCGGTCCCAACTCTAGTCAAGTCAAGAGCCAGTTCGAAGAGGAAGTCCTCGAGAAGTTGACACAAGATCTCGATCATCTCAAGCAACACAATGCCGAGAAAGACCAACAATGGGCTCGACCAAGCCTGGACGACTTCGACGAAACAAGAGACAGTTTGTGCTTCCAACAGATCGAAGCTGAAGAAGGCACTCTTCATGGCGGAAAGACGTGTATCAAGCTCTTTGGTGTCACCGAGGTAATCGACTCACTAATGGTACACATTCGTGATAGACACTGACAATACATCCCCTCTTAGACCGGCCATTCCGTCCTATTACACGTAACCGACTTCATGCATTACCTTTACGTAGCCGCACCTACTGCGTTCCAACAGAGCGACTGCGAGTCTTACAAGGCATACCTCGAGACTCATCTCGCTCAACATCAACCCGTCATCTACTCGGTACAAATGGTTCTCCGTGAGAATCTATACGGCTTTCAAGGAAACGTAAAGAGTCCTTATCTCAAGATCACTGTCACGGACCCAAAACACATCAACAAGCTGAGGACTTCGATCGAGAGTGGAGGTGCCAACTACAAAGGTCTCTGGAAGGGCGCCGATGGCGGTGTTCTTACCTTTGACAGCATCCAATATGTGCTCCGCTTCATGATTGATACAAAGGTATGTCTTTTCAACGCATGCGCTTTCTTCACCTTTGCTGACACAATTAGGTCTCGGGCATGTCCTGGGTCGAGACGCCTGCATCTAAGTACACTGTGATTCCCGCCCGCGACAGGCATTCCAACTGTCAGATCGAAGCCTTCTGTCACTACAGAGATCTCATCGCCCATCCCGCCGAGGGAGAATGGGCCAAGATGGCTCCTTTGAGAACTCTCTCATTCGATATCGAGTGCGCTGGTCGCAAAGGTATCTTCCCAGAAGCCAACGTGGATCCTGTTATCCAGATCGCGAACGTCGTCACAAGATACGGAGAGGAAAAGCCGTTCGTGCGCAATGTCTTCTGCTTGGACACGTGCAGTTTGATCGTCAATACACAAATTTTCGAGTTTGCAGATGAGGACAAGATGTTGATGGCCTGGCGAGACTTCCTGGAGAAGGTCGACCCAGATGTCATCATCGGCTACAACATCTCCAACTTCGATTTCCCCTATCTGCTGGACAGAGCGAAGCACCTGAAGTGTGGAAAGTTCCCATTCTGGTCAAGATTACGAAACGTCCAGTCTGTTGCAAAGGACACAAACTTCTCGAGCAAGCAGATGGGCAACAGAGATACAAAGGCAACCAACACCAACGGCCGTCTTCAACTCGATCTGCTTCAATTGATTCAGAGAGACCACCAGCTCAGAAGTTACACTCTCAATTCCGTCTGTGCACATTTCTTGAACGAACAGAAAGAAGACGTACATCACACTATGATTACTGAGCTGTTCAACGGTACCCCAGAGTCACGACGAAGATTGGCTGTTTACTGCCTGAAAGATGCTTACCTTCCACAACGTCTTATGGACAAGCTCTTGTGTCTCGTCAATTACACTGAGATGGCCAGAGTCACGGGTGTGCCATTCAATTACCTCCTCTCTCGTGGACAGCAAGTCAAGTTCATCAGTCAACTCTTCCGAAAGGCTTTGGAACAGCAACTTGTCATCCCCAATCTCCGCAGCGAAGGAACAGACGAACAGTACGAAGGTGCTACAGTCATCGAACCCACCAGAGGTTATTACGACGTTCCCATCGCCACTCTCGATTTTGCCTCGCTGTATCCAAGTATCATGCAGGCTCACAATCTGTGCTACACCACTCTGCTCAACAAGAATGCTGTCGACAAGTTGGGCTTCAAAAAGGATGAGGACTACATTGTCACGCCTAATGGTGATCTCTTCTGCACGGCAAAAATCCGAAAGGGTCTCCTCACNCAGATTCTGGAAGAACTTCTGGGTGCCAGAAAGCGTGCCAGAAAGGAGTTGGCTCAGGAAAAGGACCCATTCAAGAAAGCTGTCTTGAACGGTAGACAGCTGGCTCTGAAGATCAGTGCAAACAGTGTGTACGGTATCACGGGAGCTACAGTTGGAAAACTTCCCTGTCTTGCCATTGCCTCAAGTACGACTTCTTATGGTCGTCAAATGATTGAAAAGACCAGAGACGAGGTCCAAAAGCGCTACACCATCGCCAATGGATACAGCCATGATGCTGAAGTTATCTATGGTGACACCGATTCGGTCATGGTCAAATTTGGTCCTAATGATCTTGCGAAGGCTATGGAGCTGGGCGAGGAAGCGGCCAATTACGTTTCTTCCAAATTCATCAAGCCTATCAAGCTTGAATTCGAGAAGGTTTACTTCCCATATCTTCTCATCAACAAGAAGCGTTACGCCGGACTGTACTGGACCAATCCCAACAAGTGGGACAAGATGGACAGCAAAGGTATCGAGACTGTCAGAAGAGACAACTGTCGTCTTGTACAGACGGTCATCGAGACGAGTTTGCGCATGCTGTTGATCGATCGCGACGTCCAAGGCGCCCAAGAGTGAGTTTTATCTGCATTCGAATGCTTCGATTGAATACTGACTATTTGCAGCTTCGTCAAAGAGACTATCGCCGAACTGTTGCAAAACAAGGTCGACATGTCCAATTTGGTGATCACCAAAGCCCTGACCAAGAACGACTACGCTGCCAAACAGGCTCACGTGGAGCTCGCTGAGCGTATGAAGAAGCGTGACGCTGGTTCTGCTCCTGCACTTGGTGATCGTGTCGCATATGTCATGGTCAAAGGTGCAGCTGGCGCAAAGAACTACGAGAAGTCCGAAGACCCCATCTTCGTGTTGGAGAACAACCTTCCCATCGACACAAGATACTACCTCGACAACCAGCTCGCCAAGCCTCTAGGTCGTATCTTCGAGCCCATTTTGGGTGAGAAGAAGGCTGGTCAGCTTCTGACTGGTGAGCACACCCGATCCATCAGTGTTGCTGCTCCGACCATGGGTGGTCTGATGAAGTTCGCCAAGAAGACCGAGACCTGCATGGGTTGCAAGAAGCCTTTAACCGGCAAGGACGAGAAGGGTGGCGCTGTCTGCGAGAACGACCGTGACCGTCTCGGCGAGCTGTACCAGAAGACTCTGAGCAAGGTCGCTGAACTCGAGGTCCGCTTCGCCCGCCTCTGGACCCAGTGCCAGAGATGCCAGGGCAGTATGCACAACGAAGTCATCTGCTCCAGTAGAGATTGCCCCATCTTCTACATGCGCATGAAGGCCAAGAAAGATGTCGAGGACTCGGGCAAGGAGCTCGTCCGTTTCGACAATGACGGTGCTCTTTGGTAAGTTGCCTAGACGAGTTTCTTTTTTGCGCGGCGTTTGATGGCGAATATGGATTGGGCATGCATTAGATCATTATGAGGGAACATGGGAAGGATGAAACTTGCTCGATCAGCGTAATGGGGATTCCGGAACTCGGACAAGAACAGAAGACATGCATATGTATCGATATATGACTATACGAGCTTTGAATTAGCAAAAGACATGTTTTACAACCAACGCTGTACTGTGTGCTTTTTCTTGTGTCTGGCGTAAATGTACAAAATGCTTGATACATGCCTCTCTTTTAGTGTGCGGATCGTCCTTGACTTGATAACTTCACATGCAAGGAAAATCACCTTCCTTGCAGCTATATAAACTACGAACATCTTCCACCATACTCCTCTCACTAACAGTTACGTCCCAAGCTTTATTGTCGACGACCACTTCCTAGCCCATCTGGCTGTGTCTGCCTCCCGGCTTCCCGATCTCGCCGCAATTTCCCGCCTCGGGTCTGTGTATCGTACCTTTTGACACGCTCGCAGGTGCGACGTCGAGGNAGGGAAAAGATGCAAACAACAACAGACAGACCGCTACCCTTTCTTTACACCAACGCCTGCTCGACTGAACCAGAAAAGGAAAACCACGATGGTAAAACAAAGGGAAAGATCGAAAAATTCAATGCTTTCCAGAACCGACAAAAAAAAAACAGGACCGGTCTCCCCTGATACACATCTTTCTCCTACATCTCCCATGTATGCCCTCGACACCTCCCAGGTAAGACTTTCGAGCTCTATGCTGGTGCCTTGTTGATCTCGACACTCAGAGCCCTGCAGCAGCCAAGTGCTCCCCATTCTCAAGCCGAAGGAGAAAGACAAAAGAAAAGATTGAAGGAAATTTCTTTTTTACTCTTTTCCCGAGGCTTTCGAGATGGTTGAGGAAGGGTGAGAAAGCTGAAAAGGCGGTGAATGATGAGAATGACTCAAGCAAAGAAAGAAGAATGCGGAAGGATGCAAGTTTTTGCTTTGATAGAACAGAGTATCGAAAACAAGAGCGATAGCGTACTTCCAAAGACATCCCCATTTTTGTTGCTCAAAAGGTTCTCCGGGCCGGTGTAAGTATTATGTATGGAATGTATAACAGTAAAAAAGAGATACAAGGTGATGGGATTGCAGTTTTCTCGTCCGAGCGAAGCGATCGGACAGAGCAGTGCGAATGGTCCTTGTGGTGTTCCTTTCTCTTCTTTTGGTTTCCCCGTAGCGCTGCGTAAAAGTCGTAGAAGCGGCAGAGAGAGTAAAAGAGGTGAAAGATGTAGAAGAGAAGCGGGGGGAGGAGAGTGATGACGATGGGGAGCATAGACGGGCTCGCATGAATGCTCAGCGATGAGAGCTGGGTATCTAGCCACAGCACAGGACCTTGAAGAACTTTTGCATGCCTGAAGGCTTCTGTTCAGGCTGTTGTTGAGGCTGTTGGACGCGCTGTGCTTGGGCCGAGGGCTGAGTGGTGCTTTGCCTGCTTGGCTGGGTGTTTTGCAGGCGGCCAGGGAGGTTGCCAGAGCTGTTGGCAAATTGAGCGGCAGTAGAGCCTTCCGGCGGGGCAAGGTCACCGCCTTGGCTTGTCCTCTTCTGAGCGTAGTCTTGGCTGTAGTGGCGGTTGGTGCCCGACTGGCGTTGTGCTTGGGCGGGTGATCGGACAGCGCCGGGCTTGGGAAGCTCCTGCTCGAGGCGACCCGGAGGGATGGGAGTCTTACTGGCACGGTTGGCGTGGACGTCGCGGGCAGAAGTGTTGGCGACATTGTTGTGGTGGGCATGCAGGTGAGCCTGGCTGGGGTGTTGCTTCATGGCCTCCCAGCCCTTGCCGTTGTTCAACTTCATCCAATCGTACTCGCCGTCCTCAACCTCGCCACTGTTCTTCAGTGCCTGGGTGAAGAGGTCGCGCAGGTAGTCGTAGTCGGGTGTGTCCTCGAAGCCAAGGTTGCGAACGTACGAAAGGTACTTGTTGAATTCCTCTGTGAACGAGATATGTTAGCAACGATAATTTGAGAGTGCGTTGTTGGTTGCCTACCAGGGAAGCCCTCGCACAGATCCTTAATGGCAGTTGTCTGCTTCTTCTCTCCAATCTTCTCGTACTTTTGCTTGTTGGTAGCAGCCTTCAGGCCCTGCCAAGGCAGACCACCACGGAGGAAGTACATGAAGACGTGGCCCAAAGCCTCGAGATCATCTCTGCGACTCTGCTCACGGCCCAGGTGGGTGTTGATGGACATGTAACGGGCTGTTCCGCTGAGGGACTTGCGCTCGCGGTAGGGAATGTGCTGCTTCGTCTTTGGGTCACGGTATTGCTTGGCCATGCCGAAGTCGACGACGTGGATAACGTTGGCGGCTTTGGTGCCAGGGCGGCCGATGAGGAAGTTGTCGGGCTTGATGTCGCGGTATATCAGGTTCTTCTCGTGGATGGTCTGGACGCGCGACAGCATCTGCTTGGCGACCATGACGACAGTCTTGGTAGAGAAGCGACGGTTGCAGTGGTCGAACAGGTCTTCGAGGGAAGGGCCCAGTAGGTCAATGACGAGGATGTTGTGCAGACCCTCTTGACCGAAGTAGTAAACATTGGGGATACCAGCTGTACGTGGGGTTAGACGTGATAGGTTGGGGTAGCAAGAGGCAGGACTCACGGCATCCTACAAGGATCTTGTATGTACGGTACTCATCACGCAGCTGGGGAGCATCGCTCTTACGCGGTTCCTGCTCGGGTTAGGGCATGTTGGCAGGACAGAGGAGGAAAGAAGAGGTTGTTGTGGGCACGCACGAATTTGATGGCAACCTGAGTGTTGTTCAACAGGTTGGTGCCCTCGAAGATGACACCGAAGGAACCCTCGCCAATCTTTTTGCCGACGCGGTAATGCACGCCGACGACGTTGGATGATGAAGACGACATGGCGTAGGCTTGGTCGTGGGCGTGTCGGGCGTGTCAAACACCAGAGCCAGTTGTGGTGATGCTATTCCGACACTTGACAGGTCGATTGGGAGATGAAGAAATACGTGGACAGGTGGTCGACGGAAGCAGAGGGCGCCGACTCGGAAAACGGAGTTGTTGGCGATCGAGGGCAGATTGGAGCAAAAGAGGGAGGTTGGGTGTTTCGGCTTCCGACAGCGAAGGGCACGGGGGAGACACAACAGCCTTCTCGACGGGTGAACGGGCAGGCAGGACGGGGCGGGCACAGCGGGAGCGACGACAACAACAGACAAGAGACGCGCCGGACCTTGAGAGCGCTCAACGATGGTGGGAGCGAGGGTATGCGGTTATGAGATAATACGCTCAATAGGCCTCCAGGGAGCCTGATGAGATGCAGACGGCAGGTGTTGTTGACGCGAGAACTTCGGCTGATTCCGCCCGCCCCTGATAGACTTCGCCGTACGCGCTAGCGCCGACAAACATGGAAAGTCCACAATGCCCAGACCCACTTCCGCCGTGCCCATCTACAAAACCCGCCCAGCTATCACCTCATCCCTTGCCTTTGACACCTTGAGCAACAGGCAGGTCAAGAACCACTTATCATTCACGCTGCGCACCACTTTTCTTGCCTCCGACCCTTCAGATTTCGTCAAGCGGACACCCTGCACGGCGCCCGAACACGCTCAATCTATTTTCTTGTGCACGGAACTTTAGACAATCAAATTTCGCTTGTCGTCTGTGAACAAATCCCAAAAATTCCTTGTACTTTCGACCACCTGTCGAGCCATGCCCTATCATTTAACTAAACTCCCGCTTATGCCATTTGTACATCGCCGTCATCCTCCGTCTGTTGCTCTGACTCGGTAGCCTCATTGTTGTCGGCCATTGGTGCGTCTGTGTTCGTCTCCGCAACCACCGCCCCATCGTTTTCCGCTTCCTCCAACGTCTGTTTCAGTTGTTGAGCAGCTGCCTCCTCCTGCACATTTGCCGCGGCTTCTTCTTCCAGCTTCTTCTTGGCTTCTTCAAGACACACTGCATGCCAATGATCCGCATTTGATCTTTCAATCAGCGACTGTAGTTTCCTGTCCTGAATCAAATTGTCGTGCATGATCGGGTCACGAAGCTCTTCTTGTGGGAATCTGCTTTGAAGTTCCTCCGCAGTGCATCCTGCGCCCAGTGTCTCGCTAGGAGTCATCATGCGGATGCCTGAGCCTGGGTGGAACAATGCTGTGTCAAACGTCAGCCAAGTTCTCGTCTTTGGTCTTGTCAACTTACAAAGCTCCAGACCATGCATCATGGTCTGACATGCAAACGTGTCTCTGATGTGCCTCGAGATCAGCTTGTCTGTCCGCTTTCTTGTGTTGTTGATGAATTCCCAGTCATCTTGCAGGTAGCATCTCTTCCAAATCATGCGGAGATTTGTCTCAAATCTTCCCTCCTCCATTCTAGACTTGCCAGCCTCGAGCACCTGTAGGGCCATCAAGAACTGCTTGCCAATGATATTGGCTTCATTGTCTTCGCTGTCCTTGGTATCCATCAGTGTCAGAATGTCAATGACCTCCTCCACTGACAAGGCCTCATTCCTCAGCATGTGTTCGAACGATGCCTCGAGCAGTGCATACAACGCAGGAGTCTTCAACTGGAGGTACGCTGCGTAAGCATCACATGCCAGTTGAACCTCTGCCTCAATATCAACTGCTGCGTACAGAATATATTGCAGGTGCTGTCTGATAGCTTCTTGTGTGTTGACCACTGTCAAGTCTCCATTGAGCAGTTCCGCATTGCCTTTGCTTCCGGTCTCTTCAGCAGCAGCCAAAGATGTCAGCTTCGCAAGCGAGAGCTCAACTTTCTTGTTCCAGAATTTGACCTCTTGCTCTTGGGCTAGATTTGTCAGTGCTGTCGATGCTTCTTGGAAGTCGCCCTCTTGAAGTACATCATTGATCCAACATAGGCGACCACGAGCTTTCTCGGCTCTAAGGTAGCCTGTCAGAGGTTTTCGGAACTTCTCTGCCTCCACTAATAAGCCATAGCTACGGTAGTTGGACAGGTGGGTATCAAAAAAGGCGTTGGCCCATTCCTCGCCGAATGTCTTGAAGTAGCGTTGAACTCCGGCTTGCATCTTGTCCATCTTGACCTGGGTCTCTTCCCTATCGTGAGCTACAACTCCAGGGTCGTTCAGGACGGTGGACATGAATTGAGATTCGTTGATGACCAGCAGCACCAGTGTCTGCATGTCTTTGTAGTGCTCGGCAATACCGATGCCGGCGGCAGACTGACCGATCTTGTTGAGAGAGCGCAGGTGGTGCGAGCGTGCCTGCTCGAAAATCTTTGCGAGGTTTCTGGCTTGGGCCTGGCCGTTCTCATCGTGCACCTTTATGTACCCAATCCGTTCCCGGTAGCAGAGACAAAGAACATTGATCATATGAACATTCTCGTTAACGACCTTTTCGACGACCACGACATCCGAGTCTCCAGAAGTCTCGTCGAAGGCATCAATAGCAAGATCGCGTGAGATGTCAATAAATCTGTTCAGAGCCTTGAGAACCTCATTCTGCGAAGTCCAAGGCTCTATGAGGTCCTCATAGCCTTCTTCCAGCACGCCGTCACTGAACAATGTCGAATCCAAGCCATAAATTTCGACATTGTCGGTACGGAACTTGAAGACGGCATCATAAAGGCTGAACAAAACGTCGTTGGCTTCGCTGACAAAACGCATCAGGTTCTTACGCTTTCCGTCCTCATTTAGTGTGATGATGGACATCAGAATGTGGGTACGCAGCCTGTCGATGCCACTGACCTCGTTAACGAACCAATGCCTCATTGGATCGGCGCCGTCGTCCACGGATAATTGCTTGGGACGAGATCTGAAATATGCTTGGATGACGATAGGTAGTAAAGCAGATTTGGGTGAGTTCTCTTCGTATGTGGTCCAGATGGCTTGGGCAGCGGCTAATCTTTCTGCGTCGAGCAAGAGCTTCCACGATGTCGATTTGGATACAGGAGGGTAGTCGCTGCGGAGATGAAGGATCAAAGCACGAATCGCCTTGATGCGATTCTGGAGATGTGCTTCCATGGATGAGGCAAGGGGTGGAATGAATTGAGAAGTAGAGCGCAGAATCTCATCACTAATGAGTAGTGCAGCTGTTTCGGTCTCTTCGAGGTCGTAGCGATCGTAGGGTTTGCGGGAAAAGTCGAGAATATTATCTGACATGGTTCCGTAGAAAATGGCCTGCTCAATTTTGGTCTTGATCGATGGATGAGCAACATCAGTAGACGAAGCAGAGATACGAGCAAGTCCGTGACCCTTGATGAAGATGGCACAAGATGAGGTACCCTTGTTGTCGATCAAATCTTCTTCGCAAGCTCCCTCAATGGTGACATGCTTATCTGATCGTAGGCGGATAGCATCTTGGAAGGGACCCGAATTTGTGATGGAAGCGACAATGATCTCGTGTTCAAATATGATGAAAGCAGTGTGTCCAGGGTTGGGTAAAAGTAGGCGTGGACGAGAGGTGGCCGGAGAGTCCGGTGATACAGTGTTGATTGGGATGATACCGTCAAGACGAGCGTTCTCCTGCCCGTCCATGGTGACTTGGGCCATGGCATACAATGGGGATGAAGCAGGGCCAGCCTGGACGAGCAAGACCAATTGTAATGGAGCGTCGGCGGCCGAAGATGCAGGGGTAATGACCATGTCGAGCAGACTGATGTTATCCTCGCCCAACAAAGCTGCCAGCTCATTCTGCAAGAATTGGCGGAAATTAAAAGCGCCTCTGAAAGTGGGTTGGCCAGACCAAGCCAAATGCCAGGTGTAGACTTGGCCAGTCTCGGTGGCAGCAATTGCCTGAATCTCGCGTCTGGCAGGAAGCGGGCGAGTGCGCACCGAAACAATGTCGCGTTTCCAAGGGCCAACTCCGAGAGCGTTCTTGAGACTGCCGAACAGACCACTACTGCTGGCGGCCTCGGTTGACCGCAAGAAATGTGCCGAAACCTTTGGTCTGCCTTGGTCATCAATCAAGCTCATCTGAGCGATGCGACCCGAGCTGAGTGTGACGATAAATCCGGCATGATCGGCTGAGTCGAGATGGATGATAGTCTCACCGCCGGATAATGAGCCGATGTTTCCGTTCACGGCTGTATTTTGCTGATTGAACAAAGTCAAGGACTCGGCGGTGTCTATGTTTTGCCAGTAGGTGACATTGCCGGTGACTGCAGAGACAACCACTAGTCCGATATCTCTTGTAGGTGATGTAACGAGAGCGGCAAGAGGGAGAGGGTCGGTGGAGCGAGCTGGTCGTGGCACATCAAATGTCTTTGGGTGTGCGACGGGAATTGGGGAGGTGTAATCCCAGATGTAGGCGCGTTCACGAGTAACAGCTAGAGCGAGCGGCGGTGAGGAGAGAATGGATGCACGATAGTCTAGACTTTGGTCAGACGAGGCGAAAGCCTTGGTAGCGGACGTGGTATTCGTACCGCTGGCGCTGTTGCGCAGAATGTCTGGTGTGCTGGGAAGATGGCGCACACTGTACTGTTCTGTTTGTGCCTGCGAGACGTGTCCTGGTCAGCGGCTGCAGCTGGATAGAAGATTGGGTGGGTGCGATACCAAGAGGGTGCTGTTGTCGCTCTTTGGCGACCTCTTGTGACGCGCGCCGACGTCTCCCGTGCGGGAGAATGAGGCCGAGCTCTGGACAGCAAGCGCACTCAGTCCACTGCGTAGCGATTCTGTCGTGTCGGCAGGAAGCGATTGCGGTTCAGGGTCGTGCTTCTTGTTCAATCTGCGTATCTTTCGTTGCGGACCACTTGGGCTGTTTGATTCTTCGGGTTTCCGAGGTCGTCGTTTAGGATTGCGCACTGCGCTACGGCGCATACTGTCGCCGCCGTCTGTAGTGACCGACATGGACATGGTTGCGCGTTGTGAAGGAGTGGATGGAAGATGGGTTGATGTGGAGAAATAATTCTTGTTTTGATGATGATGGTCGGGTAGAGCTGCGCGAGCTTGGCCGGAGCAACGATACGACTTTCACTTGCTCTTAACTCCGCTACCTTTCTCGCAAACTGCATCTGCCTGTTTCACGCGAACACGACTTGACTCTGATTCTAATCTCTAGTTGAACGCGTATATGGCCCTATCTCCCAGTCCGGGTGCCGAACATTCTTCTTAAGTGGACTGCGACCGTAGGCCCTTAGGATAAAACACGCCATTGGCCTGCCTGCACTGCACGATCTTAGAGCACCAGATCGGACTCTCTGCTTCTCCATCTGGATCACTTTCTCCAACCTCACCGACCCTTGAAGACTCGAGTCTTGCCCTCTAATGGAAACATCTGCACAATTCCAACGTGCATATTCTCGTATTCAAGTTCCATTGAAATTTGGGGTCAACTTGGCGTGGGCGCGCCTCGAAATCAGTCGGCTTAAATATTGAGTATTACACGAGATTGCGCACGACACGTACTCTACTACCTTACAAGATTCCTGTAGGATATGTAGACAGATACTATGTATATATATATCAAGTTTTGAACTACCCTTTCTGTGTAAATACGTAGAAAATTAGACATTTGTTGCATTTTAGAAGTTGTGATGTTCTCATTTATTTACAGCGCAAAAAAAGAAGAAGAATTTATCGAATCCCTAAAGATGGCAAGAATTATTTGTTTACTTATAACTTCTTAATAACACATAGTCTAAAGCTGTTAGTAGTGTAGAAGAGACTTTAACATATAGCGCTTCTAATGGTATAGACTATACTATAGTAGCCTAACTATGGCCTAAGATGAAGCAAATTTGGTAGTATCCTAACTATAACTCTACTTATAGCCGATTTTGGGACTGTAAAACCCTATAGAGATACAATTTACATATTTACGCTCTTAAACAAGCAAAAATCAGCTTACTAGCCTAATATTCCGTCGAGTTATGTCCAAATGTTCTTCGAAGCATAGTCAAAAACGCGTCGGCGGCCATCACAAACCCCGCGACGAAATTTCAATGGAACTTGAATACGAGAATAATGCAAGCTTAATATTATGAAATAAAGTCTCCAGATCACCCCCGCATTATACCCGCACGGGCCGAATCGTTTGACCATCATGGTCTGGTGACGATGTGGGAGACAACTCGAGATTGTGGCAGGAAGATATCATCCGCGTAGAACATTACTCAGTTTTTATCAATCGAGGCATTGGCTATCCTGTAGTAAGCAGAAGGCTTTCTACTCCTAAGACATCCATGTCTTCCATCCAATCCGCTGGAGGAATGGATGTACAAATATCTTGTAGCATACAGAAGTATCCGGCCATAGCTCCTTGACCCCCGCATCCGATCTGCAATGCTCACCACTAGAAGTCCCGATGGCGTGAGTATTGGTCTCCCTCGCCTTCGTTCGGGAAGAAGGATCCAGAAACATACACAGCATGAGAGGTGCCTGATGGGATAGATGGCAGTAGCATTGACCTCCAGATGGTCATTCGAATCAGGCAAAATCGGTGTAGCTCAAAACTGCTATGGTCGGCAGTTGTTGACGCTTTTGTACAATGACAAGCTTCACGGCTCCGAGGAGTGCTGTCACGCGAGCAACGTAACTGTCGAGCTCTGATGGTTCCTTTATATTAAGCTTTCCTTGCTTCCAACCTCAGCTTCTCTCCTTCTTCCATCTTCCTGATCGCAATTCCACACGACACATCTGTACAACTTCAACCACTATCCAATTCTTCTTCAAACATCATCGACCTTACTCAAAACTCCTATCTACGACCAGTGAGTCTTCCAATTCGACCGAGCCATATCAACATAGACGCGCCTTCTCAATCTCCTTCTGAAGCTTCTCGAACTTGCACGCGACCACACTTCGAGGCTGACAAGTGACTCTCATAGTGACCCGTTCTCACAAAGTCAACGACCGTGACCACGTTGGTCTCGCCAACGGCACTGCTTCTCCCGAAGAGCATCTCCCTCGCTACTTTGCCAAGTCCGGTTTCAGTGCCAATGACAACCCCAACAGAATCAAGAAGTCTGGTAACGGCAAGGGCAACTGGTATGTAACTCAAGACTATCCCTTTCGGGGTCCTAACACAAGTTTCATAGGGGCCGCCAAGGTGAAGAGCTCGAAGACATGGACGACATGTACCGCCCGAGCAAGCCCCGCCGCCGCAGCAATGCCTCTGCCCAACTTCTCGACGCCATGACTTCCAAGTTTGAAGTCGTCGAGGCCGAGCCTATGTTCAAGGAGAATGTCCATGGTGCTTCTGCTCACGACTATGCTGTCCTGGAGAAGACCATGTCTATGGAGTCTGCCCCCAGTGAGGCTGGAACTACTACTTCTTCAGAGGGTGATGAGGGAATGGCCAAGTAGAGGTAAGAGGGTGATAGACTGTAAGAATTGGGCATGGGACACCGCTGGCGTTTGTCTTGTGGTATCTACCATTCACCTAGAAGCGATATTGGTAAGGTGGGTGGCAGGGCTCGATGTCCTGCACATCGATACCGATTGAAAGCTTTCTAGCATGTATTACGAAATGACACGAATTTATTGAAGCTGAATTATTGGTCACAACAAGTTGATCAAGAAACGATAATACACAGCAATGAAGCTTTGATTTGAGACATGATATAATCGAGATCTAGCACTGGCAGCTTCTGTATCAGTAAACGATATATCTTCTGCTCAGCCCACGGAAAAACAGGCTCTATAGAATCAGCGGTCACTCCATTGCCCACTAATAGTTGTTGTTGCAGCAGGAACAGTGATAAATCGTCTTACGATCAATGCCAGCCGGGTGACCCTGCCATTAAAGGCTCCGCGGAAGCTCGGAGGCAGCAGCAGCTCCTCAGCCAAATCTCAATCCTTCGCGTCTCTCGCGACACAGGCAACACTGATCACAGTCCAAGTATGACGTGCAGCATGGGTCTCCAGCTTCAACAGTCCTGGGGAGCTATAAGACCACGTCCATCGTGGTCCGCAGTGAGACAAGGAGCGTACCTCACTCGCCATGACCTCCGGCCCACCACTTCAACTCCCGCCGACGTCAGTCGGTACTCTGTCGCATGCATACACTAGTCACATCGGCGACTGTGCTCGCACAAGTGTATACTACCTCTGTTCCTCGAGTTTCTCAGCCACGACTCTCGCGTCGCTGTGCGATTCTCTGACGACATCCTACGTGCGCGATGTTCTAGGAGACGAGTCGGTGGAGGACTATCAACGGTTCCTCACGCCCATCTGTACTCCCTTCGCCCGTGTTCAAGATTGTATCAAACACCACTTCGAGACTCTGGACAAGTGGATCCTCGAACACCAGGTCCCGAACGAAGACACAGGCATCTATCCATTCAGCATTGTTGTCTTTGAGGAAAATGAGAAAGAGGCGCTGCTCGTACACCTCGACTACATAAGTAAGCGATGGCATATAGGCTCCATCCGCTTGCCCGCGACAGATCTCGCTCTGGACCTGAGCAGCCTCATGATGGGCGACGAGTGGTTCGGAGATCTGTGCTACAAGTACGGTGTCAGTGTTCCCCAGAACGATCCCACGATTGATGAAAACTGGAAGGATCACGAAAAAGATGAGACTGGCGCGTGGAAGAATAACGCCCCGAGATTTGCTGTCTTCTCAACTGGTATGAGCCATGCATTGCCCGTAAAGAGTATGCTAGACGATGCACACGATGATGCACCATTTGGTCATCAAGATGTCGAGCTCTTTGGTCTGACTGGTGGACGCTATCTCGGTGACAAAGACCAGCTCAGAGCTCAATTTCTCGTCTACGTGGCAGCCGATCAGAGGGGTGAGAAGAGACACGAAGGAAAAGGGCCATGTCTCTCCTGCAAGCCTTTGCACAAAAGCATCTTCATCGAAGTCGATGATCCTGATCCAAGGACCAACGGTGTCTTGGTGTCTAGGATGAAATGGAGCCAGGACACAGAAGGAAAAACCGACGATCAGCTGACTGAGATTGGAAAGAAGGCAGAGATCACGACAAAAAGAGTAGGCGTCGCGTTCGCAGTAGCTGCTGCAAAGGCCATGGCTATGGATGACTTGACTTTGCAACCCGAAATATGGAAGAAGACGATATAAATGATGCTTCGTCTCATATCATCGCTGACGCACAACGTAGCTAGTGAGGGTATACCATGAAATCGATTGCCCTCACTATTTTCCTTGACACAGAGTTGTCGCCATCTGAGTTGACGCGAACCGTCTTATCTCCCTCCAGACAGCGCCTTTGTGAGGTTCAGAAGCCCGAGTCTGATAATGGCGAATAGCAACCGCATCGGGAGATCTGTGTAGTCCTGGTGACTCCAACAATTACCTCAAACCTCGCAATTCTACCATAACATCAGTCTTCGACTCATCAATCGTCAAACTATACAAAGCATGTCTATCTTGTCATATCTCCTTCTAATTACCATAATTTCCTCGCCCCAAACCAACCCGCTTGGAAAAGACAGCTCGCATTCTCTATACCAAAACTCCCCATCTCGCATCTCTGACCCATCGAAATTACAACCATGAATTCCCTCACCAACGACCCCTCAATCTTCGACGGCGTCCACGAGATCCTCGCATGCCACAACCACCCTTTCATCCTCGTCGGCCCCAGAGCTGTCCGCTGGATGGGAATCAACGCACCCCTCGATCCAGCCTGCGACATTGTGCTGCGCAAGAACCAATTCATTCGCATCGTCACCCACCTCGCCAACCACAAAGACTGGAAAATCACAGATATGCGTCACGAAGACCCAAATCTAGGATACAGCTTCCGCCACGATCCCATTTTCGCCGAAGCAGATGCACTTCTCGAGCGCAAGTGTTGGACTGACGACGGTGTCAATGCCAGATATTTGCGCATCTGGTCTGATGAGACGTTACATCTGAACATAAGGTCTAGATCCCAACTCGTGAGGGTTCCTGATATTCACACACGCAAACCAGTGCTTGTGGAAATGGATCATCATCCTTGCAGACATAGGGATGATGATGTTTGGTTTGGTCCCGATACGATGAATATGGCCATGGAATCATCGCCATTGCCTTTCAATTTGCCACGACGCGGACTACCTTATCGCAACTATAGGGTCTATATCCCCACTATACCGGCTTATTGGGATGCCCTGGTTGCTCAGAAAGAGCAGGATGATAAGAGAGGACTCAGAAAATCGGCATCGAGACAGATGAATTTGCTGTTTAGGTATCTCTTGCGCGATCTTTGGAACGCCATGAAAGAAGCAGAGAGCGATCAGGAGGTTTCCGGCGAAGAATCGGCAAAAGTGGCGGTCTGACGTTTGAGATGTCTAGATATGTCGTGGATGGAAAGGATGTTTGAGGAAGTCTGAATGTAGCATCATGAGTTGCCACAACCGTATTCGAATAGCATGTAGTAACGTCGACGTAGCTGCAGAGGAATTGGACCGGTACTAAACTCATGCTCCACTTCGAGGGTCCCAAAGTAGCTGTAGAAAGACAGGATGCTTCCAGTGATCAGTCATGTATCCGCTGGGAGCGATACTTTTCTGCGGTCTCTTTGGATTGTCATATCAGAATGAGTTTCTTTAATGCATACTAACGCGCTTCACTAAGCCGAGAGCTCGATTATGATGCGATTCCTGTGCCCCTATGTCCATGTTACTTGATATCGGATCAAGTAAATATGTGCATCAATGTCTCAACAGGACAATACAGACGTCTTCGAAACACATTCTTCTTCGTCGATTAGATCGAGCACCCTGCTCTTCGGCCATTCGAGATATTCTAGCCACTCATCTCCCAAGACCTCTTCCACCCGTTGCAAAAGCTTCGAAGGCCATTCATGCAAAGGCCACATGGTGTCAGATCTCAACCTCATAAGTACAGAATAATACCCAAGAATCAACAATGCAATCGGCTTGCGTGCAATGAGCATATCGAAGAACCGCTTCTTGATCTCTATCGGCCAGATCTGGACCAACCGTGCGTCGGGATGAAGATTCGGACACTCTTCCAGAAGTGTGACGAAAGAAAAGATCTTTCGTGTTGCATCGAGACAAACTAGAATGTCTTCTTCGATTGTGCAGTGTATGTTGATCAGGTCTCGCAAGACAGGATAAGGCGGATATTTAGACATGAGATCCTGCTGCCATGGATCTTCATCGTCCAAGGCGGGGCCGGCATCTGGATCGAACTCCACTTGCTCAATCTGCCATTGGCGTTCTAGAACAGTCCTTATGCCTCTTGTCATGTGAAAGGAGATAAGCATGTCATCGATAGGATCGTTTCGCCGGCTGACCCGATATGGCTGTTGGTATAGCGGCTGAGCGAGAGCAACGACCGAGGTGATGGCACTGAATTTGACCACTGCTTCGACATTGCATTTGTTGATATCGAGAAGGTGCGGCCGCACTAAAGCGAGTGCCGGATTCTGATGCGCGCAGGCCCGATCCAGCAATTCCGTTCTGGATGGCTGTTCTGAGAAGAGTTGCAGTGCCGACAAGCTCAAGATGCTGTGCAGCACATATGGGAAGGCGAAGCCGATCTGAATATCACCACCATCACGTCCAATGGCTTGGTTGTGACGCATCTGTTTATACAGTAGCTCCAGATCCGCAATCGGCAACGGTTGCAGATGTGGAGGACTCAAGGGTGCCGGGATACTGACACAAGACGATTTGAACCCCTCGCCATGCCGTGTTCGAAAGCTCAGGCCCGCGTGATTGAAGGCCGGAGAAGCATTGCTAGGGAGTGTGAATCCCTCACCGGGTTTAGCGGTGGTAGATTCTGCTGTATCGCTTGCGAGACTACACATCTTCTTGACCTTTTTGCAAAGACCACATGTCGGTTGTTGCTCGTCGCACTGTACCAGCATGTTAGACCAGATAGGAAAGATCCAGACGTGAGATGCTATACCTTGACATGCCGCTTCTTACAATACTGGCAACCGTTTGTTGACTTTCTATGGGCTCGTCGCTGCCTGCCACCAGCCGCAAGTGCTTCTGCTGCCATCAGTCCAACGTGTAGCAATGCGTATACAAGCAGTTGTAGTTGACGGCGTATGAGTAGTTCACGGAAACAGTCAAGATCAAGTGACGAATGGAAAGCGTATCCAGCTATCACTGAAGAACCACATATTTGCTACTGCACAAAACGAGGTGCTCCTGGTCAGAGCCATGCGTATCCGCAGAAAGGAAGCAATTTCGGGATGCGTATTCTCCACAGGTTTATCTCCAGAATGCATCGGCCGTTCACCGGTCCTTCCTTTGGCATCAGAGCGATGTCGAATTCAGCTTGTGAGTTGGGAACACGAGTGAGGGCAGGAATCTGGAAGGAAGGAGGCTTTCGGCAGATGGATGCCGCACGCGATCAGCTCCTCGTGTCCAACCTCAAGCCTTGCTCCTCCGCAATTGCTACATCTCACTGTCTTTGCTACGTTCGTGCTTGCCTAAAGAATGCCTTTGTAGCAGACAGGCTTTTCGGTGCAAGAAATCTCACGGATGGCGATTTTGCGCAGTCATGTCGCGTGCTTCTTCGACGCCATGAGGTAATCACAGTAGACCATGTACCCTTGTCCGCCAGTCGTCAGGACATCTGCACATAGGTAACAAGCATCAGCACGCCTGAGAATGACGATCAATCTTCGCTCAGGAGACGGCGATAACAGTTTCAAGGGTCGCATCGACTCGGCAGCGTTTGTCGGCTTTGTCGCGCCCGTCGTCGTCACACTGCCAATCCTTGTTTCCCGTGGGTCGCTTCCACTTCGAATAAATAAGAATCGATCACCACGTCAAGGCAGGTTTGTTTCGTAGTCCCGTCACTCCTTTCCCAGTCCTGCTTCAATCTACCACGCAGTCTCCAGTCCCTCTAACCACCCACTCAACACAACACAACCATGGCCAGCCGTCAATTCGTCGACCCGGTTCAACTCCTCCGAATCACGCCTCTCATCGCAGCGACCTTGACCCTCGATCATGCCTTCGACAGCAACCTCTTCCTCTCAGCCCTCAACCAGCCCGAAACGCGCTCGAAAAGCAATGCCGCTCTCTCCACCTACTTCCCCGTCGTCTCTCACGCAGGCTTCTACCGCCGCTTGACTTCCGTCTCTTTGACCCTCGTCACCGCCGTCGCCAACTTGTACTCCCGCGGCAGCCCGGCAAGAGCTTGGTACCGCGCCGGTGCGATATTCGCAGTGGCACACTTCATCTTCATGCCCTTCATGATTGGCTCCAAGGAAGCCATTCGTACAAATCATCCTGCAAGAAATGCGAATATTGCTTTGGACGAGTGGCTTTGGTTCAACAGATTGAGAGGTCTGACTGTTGACTTGGGTGCTTTCCTCGCTCTGGGTGTCGCTGTTGTCAAGAGTTTGGGCAATTGAAAACATACACATCAGTGAGAAGACGGAAGTTGCTGGGCAAAATTCGTGAGGACGAGCAATAGTTTGACGTGAGGATTGCTGGCGTGCACCCCTGCGGCACCTATCTGTCCATCGCGCTGCCCCTACACGAGCCATCCATCATGGCTCGACTCGGCGTGCATAAGTCCCGAGTTGAAGGAGATTTTGACATAAGTCAGGGTCACGTATCAGTGACGCGAAGTGATGGGAGACCAGATCAAAGCTACGGCATGAGAATGGATGTGTGCTAGAAGTGGTGTGAACATTGCAAGTCTTGCATTGTTCCATGAAATACTATATAACTTAGAGGGTATCACAGAGTGACGACATATCGTCGAAAATATAAAGCAGAAGTGTAGTGCCTGTCAGCCTACAATGACAAAGGAAAGTGAAACCTCGGTCCTGTCGAGTCCAGTCCGTCGGTCTTGTATTATGTGGTTCCGAACACCTGCAGCGTATGCCTCCTAGTAGCGACCCCAGACCTTTGTGTTGAGACCCATGTTGTTAGTGGGTTTACGCAACGGCGCCTCATCGCTGTCTGAAGTGTGTCGTCTGGAGTCGAAATTCTCGCCCTGCCCATCCGTCTTTCCAGAGCGTTCCGAAGGTGCGCTTTCGACTTCCACGGTTACTTCATCATGTCTGTGGACGACGAAACCTGTCTCATCTTCATGGTCATGGTGCATTGATTCCTCCTCCTCGATGATGCCAAAGTGGTTGTGCATGGCTTCGACAGACTGGGGTCTGATGTTACCGAGCTCAACGTCGCCGGCCGGTACGGGCGTTTTCTGGATTGAGTCGCGTTTGCTTTGGCTGGTTGCCGTGTTGAAGGTATAGCCTTTGCCGCCGAGGGTGCCGTTTGATGAGCTCTCAGGGTTGTTGAAGCGTACAGGTCCATTGTCTTGGTTTCGAGCGACATGGGCGATAAGTTCAGCCATGGACATTTCGATCTTCAGCTTTACAACGTAGGCTAAAGGATGGAACTATTGTTTGGTTAGCTAGTTGCTAATAAAATTGTCGTACAAGAAGATTACTAACCATGAGATATACGAGAGGGTTCTTCAACGACAACATGCCTGCACGATACGTTAGCTGATTGCAACTTTAAATACGGTTGCACTAGTCACTTACCGATAATCAAACAGTCCATGGCCAGCGAGAGTATGATCATCCAAAGGTTGAAGCGTACAAGCGGGCGATACTTGGTAAGACCAGGCTTGATGAGTTGCTTTTGGACGACGCGGATGAAGTAATAGTTCAAAGCAGCATCAACAAGCAAGATGATGACCTTTTCGATACGATCCCACACCACGTTCAGACGTTCGTATGTTTTGTTGACTTCCATTTTGGCAGGGATCCAGATGCAAAATACTGAAATGTTGACGGCGAGTATGACGATAGCAGTGCCATATTTGAGCTGTTTAGCCCGTGATCGGTTGACCATCAAAATTGACACGCGGTTGATGATGATCTGGAAAAGACAATGGACTTGGATGACCCAGAGTGATAGGATGACGAACAGACTCCAAAGTCTGGTTTTGGTTAGTTGTTGCAGCGTCGTTTTTGCAATCGATAGACTCACTCAAGAGTAACAGGTCCTTGCAAAACCAGCCAACAGATGACGCTAAGTCCAAGAGAAGACAGCAGCTCGGCCCAGACCATCCAGATGTATGGGTGATTGAGATGGCCATTCCTTCTCTTCCACATGTGTCTCGTCTGCTTCATTGCGGTCCATGTCGTCAGGAAACCAAATCCGAGTGTGAAGCCCCAGGTAATGGAGATGATGGCGAGGTCCGTCTCGCTGGAAATCTCGTTCCTCTTCTCCATGAGACTTCTAATAGCAAGAACTGATGCCATGACAGGCAATATCCGAGTCCGGGACAGGTGAAGAGCAAAGAACGTATGTGGTCAGCGGGTAGTGACAGCTCGAGCGGATGGGTTGTTCTACAGTTATGAAGTACACCAACACTTTGACCAGTTCTCCAACTGAAGCATAATGAAAAGAAAGATGGCCGCCAATGTAGCACGTGCTTCCAGAGTTCGGACATTGACTCGAGAGCCTTGATACGACTCGCTTGTGACTTTAGGCCCTAGACCCCAAAAGCAATTGACAGACCGCGGAAGGTTGAGGTTGAATCATAATTTCCAATTCTCGGCGAATTCTGCTAATGATGATGAGACCCATAGACAGTATTTCCAGTGCACAAAGTTTTGTCGGGAATACTGTATGTACCTACATCCAGGGTCCGAAGGTACTGCCATATGTCAAATTGGAAGCTGTATTCGGACCTCGAAATGCAGTCCTGGAGCATGTTGTGCTGTGATGTGTATCCACAAGCTGTAGGGCACAGTATTGGCCCTCAGCCTCGAGCTGCGTCTCGACCACTCGTATGTGATGCTCTGATCAATGAATGACTCTGGATGAAACACAGGGCGGCTGGTTCAACGGTTGAAGTTCAGGTCGTGAGAGCAAGGAAGGAAGATCTCCCCAGAGCGATCTACCGGCCCCAAGCGCCCCAACTCCGGTCTTGCGTGTGTGGCTGGCACGTGCGTAAACACCCGTGCTCACTCTTGTAACATCAGCTCGCTGTGCTTGCCTCTTCTCAGATCGCTGTGTCATCATGCCCTCGAGAATTGCATCTCGACCAAGATTCTTTTGTGCCCTCGCTTATTCTCAAAAGTCCATGAAATGTTGCGGTTGAATTGTATTCACTTGGAAATGTTTGAAAACTCTTCGAAGCCAAACACGACTCGCGGGCCCCGATTTAGACTTCTCACAAGTATCTAGGGTACGACCGAATCGCTTTCTCAGCACCATTGCCACGGTCATGGGTGGCCAAGAAGATACGCCATCAGATCCTCCCTTCCCAAAACCAGTCTCCTGGGAATTACTCGTAAGCGTTGACCCCACATCCCGATCACGGACGGAGCATTTTCCTCTATCGGAAAACAAGAGATTGGTGATCCTACAATCAGTACATTCGGGCGACAGGATCTCTTGGTTGTACCTCTGATCTTCTGTCAAGACTTTGTCTACGGCAAACGAAACAACCGGCGCTCTTCGGGAACCGTCATTGAGAACTTAGCGGACACACAGCAACCACTTGTCTTCGTCAACTATGTCCTATTCACGCCCCGGATTTGGGTATTTCAGGCCGGACCGAACCCAAGCAACTTGGCGGACTACCAATCATCACTATTGCTTAATATCGTGGCGTTCTTCGAGACTTTTCAGAACACTTGGATGCTCTGATGTCTTCTAAGTCTTTGCCAAAAGTACGTCGGCATTCAAAGGCAACTCATGGCCTTTGAAGGCATGCGGCCGTTGAGAGAGGGTCTAAATTATGATTTGACCACGTTGAATTGAGTTCCTGTACTACTCGGGGTAATTCCCGTACGTGTTTGGGTAGGGTCTCTGCGGTTCTGCCTTCGAGCACTGCTTCCACGCAGAACATTCCGTGCATGAGTTGAAACGGATAATGTCACAGTAAAGAACTGTCACAGAGCTCAACTCCACGGCATAGGGCAAACTCGTGGTTGCTTAAGCTTTTTGGGAGACGTCTAGCAGTAAGTATCTAAGCAAATAGCTGACCTATAGGTACACGTAGCTCCATGAATCGCAACCCGGACTGTTCAGACTCACCGACTCAGATCGACGAAATCCTTCAAGTCATGGCAGCACCCTTTGTGCAGATCTGTTCACATGAAAGATGGCGCAACGGTCCTTCTCCAATCTTGGAGTGATCCTCCGAGACACATTACCACTCCGAGTACCAAGATCTTCGGACGGGATCCAAACAGGGACTTCAGATACGCATACCCAGAAAAGGCAGTCTTAGACACGACCTTTGCATTCGCCACTTGCGCAGCCAGCTCCTCGGGACGACTCATGTAACAACATGTCAATGTCTTCCTTGGACGGTATGATCAATACTGAATGTTTGCTGACTACATTCACAACGGCGAGCCTTGCTCAACACGGAAAAGGGGCGTATATCTTCGTGACAGTCATCTTGCAGAAGCAGATCAAGCAGGGAGCAAATCCAGACAACCAAACTATCATCGAACGAGGTTTCAACCACACGAGACACATTTTTCTCGTCCATGTTTCGGGGATGCTCATCACTTCTGCTGCAGAGATTCTAATCACTTAGCTTTCGCCACCGGCAAGGATATGCATAGATCGGTGTAGGAATCTCACCACAACCGAGCTCTTAGCTTGATGAGACACCTTGCCAAACAATCTGCCAAAAGGCATGGTGTGTTTCGTCCTAATCAATTGTCTAAAGAGATCATAGGCAAGTGCCGCTCTTAGTGAAGAAGAAGCTTATCGTCAAAAACGAGCTTGGAGACATAGTCCTTTAACCACTATATAACCTAACCACCACTTTCTAGCTTCTATACCATCCAAGCAGGCGTCGACGTGCGCATGACTGTTACCAAGCATCAATCTCATATATTACGGCTGGATGCGGCTGGTTGTTTGACCTTTCTGTGAACACGTATCAGACTTCGAGTATCAGGTCGTCGACGGCGTAGCTCTCCGAAAGGATCCGACTACGGCGATCGAGTATGATCAAGATACGAAACCAGTGCACGAGTGCCCTATAAAGCGGAGGAAAGAATAGAGAGAGAGACACACAGAGAGAGACACACAGAGAGAGACACACAGAGAGAGACACACAGAGAGAGNAGAGAGAGACACACAGAGAGAGACACACAGAGAGAGACACACAGAGAGAGACACACAGAGAGAGCAATTTTGGGGTATGGAATTGAATATCGAGAATCAGGTCACCGAAAGCATGACTCTCCCTAAAGTCTCCCTCCACTTGTTAACGATACATCCCTACCCTGAAGTCTCGGCTGTTTGCGATCAATGTTCAATCGCGTACGGAAACACCGCACAAGTGGTGCTGTATACAAGGGGAGGAGGGAGAGCAATATTTCCAGGTTGATGACCTGATATCATTGTTCGCTACGGCACGAGATCGTTTTTGATCTCTTGCATCTGTTGCTTGCCGAACACCGTCTTGTGAAAATGCATGATGACCATAAGCCTCAGGTGATTGCCCATAGAAAACAGCTGCGGTGTTGCGAATGTCGAGTTGGCTTGAGCAGTGGTTCTCGATGATCAAAAAAATGAAGGAACCATGTATGCAAGAAAAAGGGGAAGGAATCATCAAGGTTGAAGCATACTCGCTTCCAAAAAAGGGTATCTACATTTGTCTTTGTTCTTGCTCTCCAGCGATCATTTATTGCGGAGGAGCGTTGAAAACGAGGGACACGCTATCATCACCGGCAGTAACGATAGCTCTACCACCACCACCCTGGACAAAACCCATAACACCGCCACCCTCACCACCTCCTCTGTGACCTCTCCATTCACCGCTCAATCCGCCATTGGCGGCGGCAGTGCCACCTCTGACGTCCCACCTCCTCACCACACCGTCGTTGCCGCAAGATGTGAGCATCCAGTTGTTTCCATTTTGTCCCGCATTGACGAATTCCACTTTGATGACTGCTTCCTCCTCGTGTGCGTCTCTGATGTGTCTGCGGATGGCGAAGTTGTGGGCGACGTCGAAGAGAGCGATACTGCCGTCTACACTTCCTGCTGCCAGCAATGTCAATGGCGGTTGGGCGAATGACAAGGTCTCGATGCCGTCGGATTGGGCGGCGAGTGCTGCGAGAATGACACCGGATTGGCCTGATGCGGCGGTTGATTGGCCTCCACGGGGACCGCCGGATTGCTTGCCGCCGCCGGCTTTACCACGGGCACCTGCGCCCTTTGCGCCGGAGGTGACGGATTGGCCTCCGGGGATGGAAAGGCGAGGGAGACCGACTACGCGGATTTGACCTTCGGCTCCTCCTACTGCGACGAGAGCACCGCCGGGAGAGACAGCTACACTGTAAAGACCACCTTCGATCAGGAAACGCTCGTCGTCGCCGGTAAGACCGACAACGGCCTGGTCCGAGGGGTTTGCGAGTCCGGCTGCTGCGGCATCACCAAAGACGTCCCAGACGTATAAGCTCGAGTCTTCGGATACTGTGCACAACATCTTGCCATCGGGTGTCCATGCACCAGCTGTGCATGAAGCTTGGTGGAGGTAGAATGCTTGTACGATAGTGAGAGGAGTTGCGTCCTGCTCGTTGACTGTGTAGACCCAGACACTGCCGTCGTTGGCGCCGAGGGCGAATGTGTTGGGATATGTAGGGTTGGGGCATGGCAACAGCCAGTTGATCTCCTCGACCTCGGCGGCCGAAGCGAATGCCTTGGCAGGCTCAGCCTGTGGTTGTTGCGGAGTGCGATAGACATTGAGTCTGCCGTCCAGACCAGCAGTAGCGACAAAGTTGCCATCGGGCAGCGAGAAAGCAATGGCGTTGACCGAGTCCGTGTGGCCCTCGAGCTTGACGTAAGCTTCCTGGCTGTGGCGTTCGACGGGTTGGGGGTTGCTCTCGTACGAGGCGGGCAGGACGGGAGCTTGCGGCGGAGTGCAGTCGAAGAGGTAAGCGACGTCGTCGCCGCCGCCGGTTGCGACGAGTTGTGGGTGTGTGGGGTGTTGGGCGATGCAGAAAATGCTGTCCTTGTGTCCGTCGAAGTGTGCGATGCTGTCGTTTTGCAGCATGATCTCCTCCATGGCTCCTCCTTCTTCATCGTCCGACATGGGCATGTCCTCGCCCTCGCCCTCGAATTCTTCCTCCATGTCCTCGGGGTTGAACATCTCGTCGTCGTCTTCCGGGACGTTGCTGTCCTCATCATGTGGTTCGTGAGCAGACATGTCGTGTATAGTTTCGTGATAATTCGGGTGTGAAATGTGAGAAGGTCAAAACGGCAATGCGATGCCTCGCATCTTTGATGCAATAATTTTTGGTCGCTGATAAATCGAGTTTGCTCTGTTTGCTTCGCATGACGCAAAGCCACGCATGTGAAGTCCGCCCTCTCACTATCGACTAGGTCTTCGTGACACGGAATTTTGCAGAGGAGACAGAAATAAGGGGCTTTTGCTCCTATCGTCTTGCTATGTGACTAGCGCGACATGATTTGTGCAACCGTCCTGCTATGTGGCTGGTCGGAGAATCATCCTTGACCCCTCCATGCAATCGCCAACGATGCCCAGATTCGCTATACCCCAGGAAGTCATCAACAAACGCCCATGCAAAATGCTGCACCTCGAGTCGCTCCAGAAACGCCTCCGGGTACCCTGTATCATGCTGCCCATCTTGTCGAGAAGACAAAAGACCTCAGTCGTCATCCATATCATCATCGTCAGAGTCGTCAAGAGCTTCCATGGCTTCTTTGATGTATTGAGACGCCTGCTAATTGTTAGTGGAAAGCCTTTCGATATCATGCTGCTCGTTGCGTACCTTTGCATCAAGATTGAGCGCTGTAGTAAAGGTTCGCACACTGTCTGCTCGCCTTCCAAGTCCTTTGAAACACTTTCCGAGCAAGAAGAAGACATTGGCTTCCTCTGGTGCTAGATTCTTGAGCACTTCAAGCTCTACAAGGGCATCGGCATAGAGTCTCAGGCTCATCAAGACTCGGGCCTTCTTGAATCGTGCGAGTGCCGAATTTGGTGCCAGGTTCAATGCAAGCGTGTATTGTGACAAAGCCTTCTGCGGTTGATGGAGTTTTTCCATGATCTGTCATCGTCAGTCATTTGTCATGTCAAGATCCGAGAACCTGTCAAACTCACCACTCCTATACAGACCGCTAGCACAGGATTGCTAGGGTTGATGCCGAAAGCAATTCGGTAATGTCGTTGCGCTTCATCCCATTTGCCCATTCTCTCATAGCACTTGCCCAAGCCATACCATGCTCCAAATCCGCGCCTCTCGCTTCCGACTCCTTTACGGAATGATGCTAGCGCTGCGTCAAACTCTTCATTGGTCAACAGCTCGTGACCCATGAGTGTCCAGGCATAGCTGAACTCAGGATCGACTTGTGTTGCACGTTTGAAACAAGCAATGGCTTGCTCATGCTCTCTGCTCAGAGAAAATGCGTTTCCGACTGCACACCAAGTCTGTGGAGAATTGAAATCCAAATCTCTCAGATTGTGTGCCAGGAACGCCAACTGTACTGGCTTTTTCAGCTGCCATAGGACTGTCGAGTATACTTCCATGTCTTCGATTCTCGTAGGTTGGAGCTTGAGTATTTTAGCAAAGCAAATTTCTGCTGAAGAATACTCCGCTGCCTCATAGTACGCTTTGCCAAGCTGTGCAAGTACCCATGGTGTCTCCCGATGCGCCGAAGGTAGAGCTTTGAAAGCATTGATTGCTGACGACACCTGGTATCGACTCAGAAGGTAGTAAGCCGCTCCTAATGATCTGAAGGTGGACAAAAGCGACTCCGTCGATGCCATCTCGATAGCCGCTGTAGACTCAAGAGCCTGCTTTTGTGTGGGCATTGGCGGCGCCGCGCTGCTCCGACTAGGTGCACGAGTGTCTTTGGCTTCTCCTGGATTCGGTGGCATGACTTTGCGGTTGCCACTTACAACACGACCAACTTGTGCAGGACCTCTCCCTTTCGTCCCGGTAGCCTTGGCCTTTTTCACCTCGTCGCGCTTAGCCGCTGTCAGAGAATTGCTGTCGGCAGGCATGCGACTTGTCGTTTTTGATCCGGTAATCTGACTGAATAAGCGATTGCTTCTCCTTGGAGCAGAAGTTATTGTTTCGGCATCTGTGACTTGTGCGCTGTGTCCGGAAATTGTCCTCTTGTGCTGCGTCCGCCTGCTCTGCGCAGCATTTGTCGCATCATCGGCATCCACCACTTCTGAGCTAGGCTTCACCTGACCTCTTATCGTTCCGGAGCGCGCCTTCTGGCTGTCTTTTCCGGCGTCCAAACCTAGCCTTTGAAGAGCAGTCCTTGACCTCCGTGTTGGTGCAGCTGGTGCTGATGGTTCTTCCGCTACGGCAGTCTCTTGTGGTACACCTCCCATTTCGACATCCTCATCTCCAGACATGCCATTAGCCGTGGGTGTCTCCCACGTCGGCTGGTTGGTAGGTTTGGACATGTTATTGCCGAATATGCCTTTTGATTTGATCTTGGGTAACAGGAAGTTACTCTGAGCTTGCGCGACCAAGTCTCCGCCATTCTTCGAAGGGTTGAAGGGATCGTTGGTTGGTGTGAGATTATGAATGTTATTGATATTGTTCGAGTTCGAGGGGGCTGAGTTGTTTGGAGGTTCGTCCTTGACAACTTCTTGATGTGGTATCGTCGCCGATGCGCTAGATATGGCAGAGGCAAGGTCCGGGGTCATTCTGAAAGAGCTTGACATGTCGATGTCGGCACCTGTTTCAGTCAGCATTTTTGGAAGCGGGCGCAATGATTGTGGTCATACCCAAGTCACACAGTCCCTGGAAGACCTCCCACGTGAACGGATTGCTCTTATGTGCCTCGATGTAGCAGTCGCCGGCCCTTCTCGAATCACCGTGACCTCGCCACAACTTTCCAAGCAATGTGTTTACAGCAGCGGCATCCGGTGTATGTCTGGTTGAGGATTCCGTATGCTTGCCTGTTGATCTCGGTCAGCACGCCTGGTTGCGCATGAAAAAGTACGAGCCAACAAACCCCAATGATTGCGACCCTGCCACAGGCTCCTGGCCTTTTCCAAAGCAGAAATTCCTTCATTATGTTTCCCAAGCTCTTGACAGGCTAAAGCCAGTACGTAGGCGCATCCAAGATGTCGCCCACTAGCGCCATTTTTCTGACTGCAATCATAGGCCGCTTTGAAGCGTCGTAACCGGTAGTTTGTGAGGGCCAGGAGATGTGAAGAGTCTGGGTTCCGAGGATCAATTGCAATCAAGCGGCCAGCGAGGAAGTTCGCATTGTCGGGTGATTCATTATCCAGATGATAGTAAATGAGCTGCTTGAGTTGAGTAACAGCCAGAGTAGAGTTATGTGACATGATTTATGGGAGTGGTTGATCCGAGAAATAAGTGGGTTAGGAATTAGTTCGAGGCGGCGGGGATAAAGGTAATCGGACGGATCGAAAAGATGAATGTCTGGTGGAGATACATGGGCGACGTGTGAGAAACGGCACGAGGTAGGAGCGACTGCGACAAAGCGATCGAAAGGCCGAAAAAGAGGTTGGCGACAGCAATGCTTCAATGGGGAATTTGTTGTGTCCACGGCGTGGCTTCCTCAAAACAGCTTGTCCATGCGGGACGCAAGGAAGTAAGGCGGGATCGAGTCGCGTCGAGATGGTGGGGCGAAACAGGAAGTAGCTGTGCTTGATAATACCACAGCTAGGTTCAAAGAGTCGATCCTTTCGAGCCGATGGGTTCGTAGGCAAAGATGATGGTTATAGGAAGGTAGGCGCGTTGACTTGGCCGTGTTTATTGACGCTTTTGGAGAAGCAACCTGACTGAGAAACTGCGCACGGCCCCCTCGGGTCATCGTCACCGACCGGCAGCTCCTTCCCCGCGACGTGTGAGGTGCATCTGGCCAGCTCGCGTGTCGTTCAACTCTTGCTCTGCCTTTCTTCAGCTTCGACAAGACCCCAGCACTCGCATACCGCGAAATCTTTCCAAACTGAGGATTCTCCCAAAATGGCCAGGGTCAGTGTTCAAAACACACATTGACTTTCTTCCATCTTCTAAACGACTGTAACAGCAAGCTCTCAAGACTCAAGCATCCCGCAATGCCGCCATCCTCCAGCGCACCCACATGATCGCATTGGGTGTCCATGGCTTCCACCTCCTCCTACGCTTCACCTTTGTGCGCCGTTCTTTCTGGGCGTATCTTCTGTTGTCCTTTCCATCCCTGCTCATCCAGTTCTGGTTCGAGCGCGTCGGTCGTCCTACCTATGTCGATGGTGTCAATGGCAAGGAATTGAAAAGAGCCGGAGAGGATCTCGAGGCCAAGGGTCTTACAGAATGGATGTGGGACGTTGTCTACTGGTCTTGGGGATGTATTGTCCTGACCACTCTGTTGGGCGACTGGGCATGGTGGTTTTTCGTAAGTCACTTTCTGTACTCTCCCCGTATTCTTCCCTTTGCTGATCTGCCTTGTAGGCCGTCATTCCTCTCTATTCAGCCTGGTTGGCATACACGACCTTCACCGGCGCTCGTCAAGGACTCATGGGCGGCGGTGGCGCTATGCCTGCCGAGGGTGCTTCCAGCGGTGCGCAAAGCAAGCGTCAACAAAAAATGGAGAAGAGAGGCGGTCAGAAGATGCAATACAGATAGTGTGCATACAATTTACACAATAGACCAACATAAATTCGTCTCGGAAACACCTCCGTCAATGCACCTCGTTAAGGTCATGACAAGTTGTACACACTTTTTCTTTTTGGCTGTCTTTTTACAGACGTCCATGTTCACAAGCGCAGTTTTGATATACATCGAATGACTCGCTTAGAAACAGAAGACCTGGTCCTCGAGCTTGCTGACGGGTCTGGCCTTTTGGTAGCCAAGACTCTCGGCAGCCTTCTTCATGGCAGAAACCATGGGAGGAGGACCGCAGATGAGCATCTTCATGTCGGGCGAAGGAGCGGGGCAATTTTCCTGTGTGAATTAGATAACTGAGTCTCTAGATGGGGTTTAGAGGCACTGATCATCCTTACCTTGATCATCTCAGGAGTGACGAAGCCAACACCACCAGTCCAGCCAGAAGGAGGATTGTTGAGAACGTAGTGGACTCTGAAGCCACTGTCCTCACGGGCCATGCTGTCAAGTTCGTCCTTCATAAGGATGTCCTCGGGGTTGACGTTGGCGAAGATCAGGTCAACCTGGGTTCTGTCGCCAGAGGCACGACCACGGAGAATAGCCTTGGAAATCTGGTACATGGGGGTAATACCTGTACCACCAGCGATCATGGCGAAACGGCTGACCATGTTGGGCTGGTAGGCCATGGCACCCTTGGGACCCTTGACCTTGATGGTGTCACCAATCTTCATCTCAGCGAGGTGTCTGCTGATGTTGCCAGTGGGGTAGCTCTTGACGAGAACATCGAAGTGGCCGGACGTAGTGTCATCGGTGATGGGGGTGTAGGAACGCAGAATCTCCTTGTTGGAGGTGACGTCGGTCTTAGGGTCCTTGACGGGCAGAGTTGCAGCGAGTGAAATGTGCTGGCCAATGGGCAGACCAAGGATAGAATTGGGGCTGGGGAGACCAAAGCGGTAGATGGCAGTGTTGTGCGACAGGACAGTCTTCTCGGTCAAGGGGAATTGCTGGAAAGTGGTGGGATCAAGGACCTTCTTGACCTCTAATTCATACAGTTAGAGACTGTACGCAATGCAAGAGAGCAGCAGGGAAACGCACGGTTGTTGAAGTACTGGTAACCAGCCAGAGCAGCGGCAATGGCAATAGCAACAGGCACCAAGGTCTTGTTAACCAGGGCGGCTCCGACGATCAAGATTGCCGAAGGAGCATAGACGCCCTGGATGTATTGAGGAGCAAAAGGCCCTGTGGGCTTGTAAGTGTGCTTCGACGACATGACAAGTGTTGAATGAGACGAAATGGAGAGGAAGGCGGCGTCGAGATGACGGTCGACATGTAAGAACACGCGACTTCCGAAGCTTTCGTGTGCCCGGGCAGATCAGGGTCGCCGATGGTGGGGTTGCCGTCTCGCAACTTGGGGCTGGTCCATCACCCTGCCGAATTGGGTTATTTATTCCGGTACCGCCCAAGGCTGCCTGTGCTACTTTCTCTCGTGCGCATGCTCGAGCGACCAGGTTCCGCCACACCCATCATGGCCACAGATACGACAGATCTCGGTGCCTTTCCGCTGACGGCAATTGACCGCGAAATCATCGCTATGAACGATGAGGACTTCCCCTTGGTCAAATGGGATGAGCTCACAGAGATCATCTGTACGTATTGATCCTTCTTCTGTGATCGGTATTGGGTCTGTTTACTGAAGGATCAGCTGCGAACCGTCTTGAAAAGTTGAAACGTCGTCCTTCCGACCTTCGCCGCTATATTCGTTGGTCCAACGAGACCAAGGCAGAGTATGGCTCCATTCCCAACTTTGTCGTTCAGGAACGCCTAAAGTGGACCCCATTGCCTTCTTCAATTCCTGGGGAGCCCCCCAAGTTTGAGTTTCTTGATTCTGTTCCTTTCAAGAACCAAAACGACTTCAAAATCCTCAAGAATGATTGGCCCTATGGACTGGACACCGGCATCGTTCACATATGCGTTTGGCTCAAGACACCCATCGAGACCGACTCGAGCACTGGTGATGTCACCGACCACTCCAGATCTCTTATCAAAAAGTTCGTGGACGACACTTTTTCATCCAAGCTGGACACTGCTTTTGGCCCCGGGAAAGGCATGGACCATGTCCTCTGGTTCAAGAACTGGGTTGCATTGCAAAGCGTCCGTGGTGTCGATCACATCCATGTCCTTGTTCGTGACGCTCCTCAAGACATGCTGGAAGACTGGACTAGACAGTAGGAGCATCAAAGGCTGGAGACAGCTTCCTTTGACGATTGATTTATCTAGTCTCTTCTCAGTTCTCTTGATGCCCATACAGTACACAGCCTACAGCACCAATAGACACAGAAGAAAACATCTCTTGCACGTCAATATTCCATACAGGCATCATTCAAGCATTCAGTGGTAAGTATCCTTCACCAAACTGTCATGTTCGTCTAATTCGATACATCATGTCTGCCTCGATCTTTGAGCATCATCTAATGGACGACAGTGGTGACCATGATCAGTTTCACTCCTATCCGGCGCCCTGTCATGTATGGCTATAGCATGAGTCTTGGTTGATGCAAAAACCTTTCGAGCCATGTATAATCTCATTCACCGAAAATCACCGTTCAACAACACCTGATAGGCAAGAGTCCTGATTAGCACGACGGGAACGCTGTTTTAGGCAGCAAAATTAGCATACCGCTAGTGCAGTCGAGCTGGAGCTTTTCTAAGCAGCACGAGGATGACGGGATACCGTCGAGTACCAGTTCACTACCGTGATTTACCTTAGGTTGCCACTTTGAATAGACGGAATACGTATCTTCGGACGAATTCGATATCTTCTGCTTGCAGTATTGGGACGCAGCTCGCTCTCGCGACCTGGAGAAAACCGGTGCTGATCCGTCGCAGTTCTGCCACTCTCTAGCCTCGACACTCGCTTCTTGGTCGTCCCAAGTTTTCTTGTGGATGGCCATGTGTTCTGTCAAGACATGATATCGAACGATACTCAAGGGTGCCTGAGATGCTTAAGGCTGCAGGCGTGCTTCGAGCGGGTTTCAGCGCAAAATCGCTCAATCTTGGCTCGGTTTGCTGTTGTCTTCGAGTTCTCGGGCTTCGAAAGTTCGAGCTTCGGATCAATCACCTACTCTACCGTACTGCACACGCAGCACACACAGCACACACAACCCACCATCGGCTTTTGTCTGGAATTCATTCGTCGCAATAATGTCAGATCCACTCAGCTTTCTCGCCGCCTTCTCGAGCGAAGAAGTGATGGATCATGTTCTTCCACAAGCAACGACATTCTTCTCTCTGCCTCTGGAGCTACGTACTCAAATTTATCGTTTGTGTCTTGCGCCCAAGCAAGAGAACACACAGACGCGCAGACAAGCGGTTACCGTCAAAACCCACATGAAGTCTCGAGTCGGTCTGAACCTACTACTCGGTTGCAAAGAGATATATGTGGAGGCGGTGCAATACGCTTACGAGTATCGATGGTGGCAAATAGGCAACGTGCCTGTTCAGAGTCCTCAGCGACCGCTAGATGGTAGTACGCCTATCTTCGATGGTCCTGCACTCATGGCTTCCATCAACAGTCAGACGATGGCCAAGATCAAAAATCTCAGTTTCAGAATACCGATTACAATGCACGGCGGGTTCGCAGCCTCCCCAGTCGTGCTGGGCGCTCTTGACAGCATGGAAGGGTTGTCAAATGTTAGGGCTTGTCTTTACTTTCGGGACAGCAGCTGGGGTTATGCTACGAAACTCGCAGACTCACCATTACTGATCGGACTAATGATACAAGTCCTTACCCAGGTGCCCGAGCATGTCATGTTGTCTTTCGAAGTGCGAATGCTCAAGCCATCTGCGCGTCGTGGTGTGTATCCTTACTCTCATAGCGATACGGCATTGGAAGCAATCCGGACCCTGGTGACGGATTATGCATCACTCCAAGGACGCAACTGTGGCCCTCCAAAGCCTCTCAGCTCCCTCAAGTCCGATTCTCCAGCTTGTGCCACCATCTTGAGAGGCTCAGTATCTGGCAATGAATCGCAGGCAGTCAGAATATCAATGAAGTCAATACCATCGAAGAGCACCGATTTCGAGCTGATTTGACCGGTCCTGGTAACGATCTACGGTTTCCTCAGACCTCCCCGTGTGCTTAACTTTGTCGCTGTCGCTGCTGTGGAAATGCACGATAGTTTTCAGGAGTGGAGCTACGTCCAAAGAGAAGACCTCCAAGTATTGCTCTCTGCGGACGACACATACTTTTGCTTGATGTCATCGTGTATACTAATGCATTGATTGATGCGCATCGCTGTGGCTTGAGAGTCGATGTGAGAAAATTCAGCACACGAGGAGGGAACGAAGTGGTTCTTCCCCCTGATAGGTTGTACCTCGATCCGCCCCATTGTCACACGCACTTCCGGAAAGCGGAAGCCTTACAGCCAACTATACTACCTCAATCAAGCTCTCCTTCCGCACACCAATTCTACCTTGATATACTGGAATATTATGTCCTCCTTTAACAAGCAAAAAGCCGTGGTAGTGTAGTGGTCTAACACACCCGTGGTCTTAACACGTGCGCAGTCATTCGTTGTTACTCAACGCCGTGTCAGTCTAGATCCGAGGAGGTCGCGGGTTCGATTCCTGCTCATGGTGCTTATTCTTTTTTTGTCTGACCTTAGTCTATACTGGTCCTGCCGTTTTAATTCTTTTTGGTGAACGGTAAGTCGCAGAGTTTGAACTCGGCTCTATTGTGGCATGTATTCCTTATGCCTTCTCTGACACATTTTATTTTCTATAGTCTTCTATCACGACTATCGCCCTGGTCATTGCTGCTGTCGCTTTTTCTTTTATTGCATCAATCTATGCGAAATTTCTTCATTCACGACGTCGATACTTTGTTCTCATCGTATATAATCGAAACCACTGCACCTTTGGAACTACCTGATCTAATCGGAGTTACATGGATGATATAGTCTCGTGATACACAGTGCTCACGGTAGATTTAACTCGCTCAATGAGTGACCTTCAGATTCCGTGACTCACGCCGATAGGTTTTTCTACTTGACCCCCCCAGGCATCCGCCCTTCTCAGACCTGCTTGTGTTCGACTCGTCTAGAAATCGCAACTCTCATATTCAACATTTTCTAGACTCGGCTTCCGAACATGGCGACTCACATCGAAGGCATCGCGTCTTCGCATTCCATTTTCGGAGGAAGCTTCGGGCAATACACAGTGTCCAATAGAGATGACACATGCACTCTCGTCGACTCTACAGAAGTCGTACAAATTCAGGACATGAAGTCACTGGACGACAAATCTACTTTGGGTCAACACGAGAAGGACTCACTCCTTCCAACATCCACAACCGAGACAGAATCCGCAACCACACAACCAGAAAAGGAGCTCATCACATTCATGACCCTCCCCATCGAACTCCGCACAACAATCTACAAACTCGCCCTCATCACACAAGACAAAACCATTACCCTCGCCGCCCCCCTGACCACGAATCTATCTCTGTGTCAACACACCTCACCAGTACCGGTACATCCTGCAGTCGCAAAACCCATCCTCAACGTCAACCTCCTCCGCGCCTCCCCTCAAATCTACATCGAAGCATCCCAATACGCCTTCAAAAACCGCATCTTCAAATTCTCCAAACAATGCACGAGATGCCTAACCCACCTTTCCCTAAACGACTCTTTATATCTCAAAACACTGAATCAGCACACCCTGTCCCGCATTGAGAAATTGGAAATCCCAATTTCTGTGGACTGCTCGATTGAAAAACCAGCAAGGTCGTTTAGAGCTGTGAAGTGTTCGAAATCTGGGATGGGTATCGTGCTCACTACTACCGCAGCGATGCCCTCGCTCACTTCTCTTACTGTGATCGTGCATTTTCACAAGCACTATTGCTGGGATGTTGACCAATTCAAGCGGTTACTCGACCAGCTCGATTTGGATGAACTGTTTACACAAGTGTATCGGCAAATCGACAGCAGAGTGGAAGTGGTGTGGAAAGCGGAAATTGAGCGATCGATATCGGTGCAGTTCTCTGAGGACGAGGATGGGGTTGCTGAGCAGGCGACGGAGATTTTGAGGGGTATGGCCGGGGTGTTTAAGGTGTTGCATGGGATGGGAGGGAATGCCAGGGTGGGAAAGGGCAAGAGGAGGAGGAGGGTGCGTGTGTGAGGGGATATGGCATGGTATTGTAGGAGCGGAGATTGCACAAGTAGATGGAGAGGGAATACTTGGTGTCATAGCATCCGAGGCATAGCATTTTTTAAGGCAGAAACCATGTATACGAGAACTCAGCTACTATCCTAACTCATCAACATATCTATCAGTACCTGGTACAGTAGGCATGAAAGGAGCGACCAACGCCACATCTCCCAGATCGCTCTCGTTTACAAGCCCTGCATGTCCTTCAAACCCCGTCCAACATTCTCTCGGTTCTTTCTCCAAAAACCATAACAGCACAATCCTCTGATCTCCAGTTTCGAGCTTCTCAGGTAGCCGTGGTGATTTGATCATCTCGGGAAGATCAGCATGTGTAAAGATCAAACACATAGTCATAGCAGGGCTCTGGTTGATCTTGAGGGGTACAAAGGTCTCCTTCAACCAGCCTATCAGCTGGGGTCGCGTCTCTACAGATCGTGCATCGATGATCTCCAACACCACTCCTTCGAACGGGTAGTCCAAGGCATGAATATCCAGTGGTCCTTCCGCAGCGGAGTCGCTATACACAACACCTTGATAAGGCGTAATAGCAGTATAGATATGTCGTCGAAAAATCGCATCTCCATACATTCTGCCCTTGCCTCCCAACTCTTGCAACGTCTTACTCAGAGCAGTGTTGACTTCGTCCACCAAGTGTGCAGCGAACAAATTGGTATGCAGGTAACAGCCATAATCTCTCATGTCTTCGGTGTTGGCATATCGAAGCTGACGGAGCGCTTTGGTGGCTACCCAGCGACGGCCGGCGAAGATGCCTGGGAGACACATGCCGCCGGAGTAGAAGTGATCGTTCGCATACCAGCGGTTGAAAGATCTCTCGTGGCCTGGTGAAGGCTCGATCATGCTGATCCAGGCGGCGCCAATGTGGACGTCTTGATAATGACAGTCTGCCATTGTTGAACGGGTTTTTGCTTGTGCAGAGGATATATGTCTTGAATGAGGGATCGATATTCACTATTCATTAGAAAAAGGATATGCTTTTATGTTATGGATGGTCATGGCGGGGTCGTGAAAGTCAGTTCTGAGGTCAGCTTATGGAAAGTCAGAAGGTGGCTTCGCATCCGGAGCGAGATGGTAGTGGTAAAAGCAAGAAATTTGAAATTCTAGATGGGGGTATTCCAAACAGCAAAAGTAAGGTGAGAAGAGTCAGTATATCGACATCCGACGTGGAAGAAGAAGAAACGCCGAGGAAATGCAACAGGTCATGATATTGCAACAAGACACCCAATCATCATACTGGCACAGACGTTTTCGGGTCGTCGTCAGATTCTGACATTGTTTCGGGGCTCGCTTTTGTGTCTTCCCATGCTTCGTCGACCTCCGGCTCGCGTCTCATTTGCAAAGCGCCACCTTTTCTGCCGAAGAAGTCGTCGGTGTGAAGACCTCTGACATCTTGGGCCTTGACGCCCTTCATGTTTGCACCGCGGGCTTTGGCTTCGCGGATATACTCTCTGACGGGAACCATGGCAGCGTCTCTGCAGGCTTCTTTGATATCACTACCAGACATGCCAGCGCTGATCTTGACCAAGACTCCGAAATCGAAGTGGGGAGAAAGACGAGTGTTTTTCAAGGTCAAGGAGAAGATGGAACGGCGTTGCGAAGCCGAGGGAAGGGAAACAGGGAACTTCTTAGGAAGGCGACGGAGGATGGCTTCATCGATGTCTTGAATGCGGTTTGTGGCTCCTAGTACGCAGATGCGTTGGGATTCGCCGAGAGAGTTCGAGGATGTGAGGCCGTCCCATTGCGTCATGAATCTATCGAAAAGAGGTTAACAGCAGTCCTTGTACAGCATGATAAGGAAGACGTACTCGGCCTTGACCATTCCACTGGCCTCGTGTTCTCCACTACGTCTTTGACCTAGGACAGCATCAATCTCATCGATGAAGACGATACTTGGCTGGAGTTTCCTGGCGAGACTGAAGACAGCCGAGACGAGCTTGTTGCTATCGCCGTACCATTTTTCGGTCAAGGTAGAGATGTGCAGATTGATAAAGCAGGCACCACTCTCGTGAGCAAGAGCCTTTGCGAGCATAGTCTTTCCGCAGCCAGGAGGACCGTAAAGAAGGACACCAGAAGGAGCTGAGAGAAGAGAGCTGGTTGCAGAGTAAAGGTGAGGCATAGTAAGCGGGTAGATGACGGCTTCGCGCAGTTCTTCGATAATGTCGTCCAGACCACCAATGTCGTCGAACGAGACAGGAATCTCCCAGGGAGCGACGACTTCCATGGCGATAGTTTGTTCGTAGGGTGTGAGGACCAGGTTTTCCTTGCGCTTTTCCCATTCCATCTTCTGTTCATAATCGTCATCGTCCTCATCCAAGTCATGGTCGGGGGAGCTGGCGAAGATGGACGATAGTCGGGCAGAGGCAGCTGAAGCCTTCTTTTCGGCTTCCGACTTGGTCGCAGCTTCCGGGTCCATTCGTGCCAGTAGATTCCGCATGATAAAGAAGGCCATGATAGGCTGTCGCATCTTGTCGTCAGTCGTGGTTGCTTTGGTGAATCATGGTGGGGTATAACATACAGCGGCCGCAGCAATAGCGATCTCCTGGAGGATGGTCGCCCATCGCCTGTCTCCCGCCATGATTGCTGTGAATTAGAGTATGAAGCGGTACAGAATGCGATCGAGATTGAACATTCGACAGCGATGAAATGGCTTTCACATGCGCAATTCCATCATCAGCGCACGGACGTCCATCTCGCTCGGCCCCTCGAATCAATTTACGCGGCAACTGCGCGGGTCGCGTCTTCCCGATTCATCATTGTTGTTTCTTTTCGTCCTGTACCTTCCCGATTCCACACACATAGCACACAATACAGAATGTCTCCTACAGCAACAACAGAACTCGGCCCTGCCAGCGGGCCTGATGCCACTCTCAAGCCAGAGGAAACTCCCACTCACAAGGCTCCTCGCCAGCACCCATCACACGAAGAGTACCAATATCTCGACCTGATCCGCGACATTCTCGAATCAGGAGAACATCGTCCTGACAGGTAACAGTTTCTGCACAACCCCTTTTTGACACCTCCCTAACCTTCTTGCAGGACTGGCACTGGCACTTTTTCCATCTTCGCCCCCAACCAACTACGCTTCAGACTCTCCGACAAGAACACTGGAAAGCTGATCCTCCCTCTGCTCACCACAAAACGCGTCTTCCTTCGCGCCGTCATCGCCGAACTGCTCTGGTTTGTCGCCGGTACTACAACGTCAGACCCCTTGACCGAGCAAGGCATCAAAATCTGGGATGGTAACGGTTCACGCGAGTACCTCGACTCAGTCGGTCTCTCACACCGTGAAGTTGGTGACCTCGGCCCCGTCTATGGTTTCCAATGGCGTCACTTTGGTGCAGAATATAAAGATGCAAAGACAGATTACACAGGCCAAGGCGTTGACCAACTTGCCGAAGTCGTGCACAAGTTGAAGCACAACCCATACGACCGCCGCATCATCCTTTCCGCCTGGAACCCTGCAGATCTGAAGAAGATGGCTCTACCGCCATGCCACATGTTCGCCCAATTCTACGTCTCGTTCCCCAAGGATGCACCTACCAAGGCAGATGGCTCGAAGCAAGGAACTCTACACTCTATCTTGTACCAAAGGTCTTGCGACATGGGTCTAGGTGTACCTTTCAACATCGCAAGTTACGCCTTGCTCACACACATGTTGGCAAAGGTGTGCGACTTGATCCCCGGCACATTTACGCATACCATGGGCGATGCACACGTCTACTGCGATCACGTCGATGCACTGAAATTGCAAATTGAGCGTGTGCCTAAGGACTTCCCCGAGCTCGTCATTGAGAAGCCCGACACCGATATTTCAATTGACGGGTGGAAGGTGGAAGACTTCAAGGTTTTGGGCTATGAACCCCACAAGGGCATTGCTATGAAGATGTCTGTATAATGAATCTGTCGTTTTGGGATGGACAAGGAGGGAACACACATCTGGCGTTTCCGAATGCAAGAGCCAAATTACTGTAACATATTTGTTTCAACATCACTCCCGAATCGTGCTATTCGTGATCTTTTTCGCGTGCTGTACTCGCGTTTTTGTAAAGTCTTTTTCCCCCGTGATTTAGGCGAGGAATCGACAACAACTGTATATTATAAGTTTTACAACGGATAGTTTTTTACAAAGCGTCGATAGATCTAGACATTAAGATACGCTCTATCTTACTAGCTAATAAAAAAATATGGTTATCCTCCAAGTTCGCGAGTTATTCTACTCTAGAAGTAAGCACTATTTGCGGAGGAATCGCGGAATTTTGGCCGGAATTTCAATAATAGATCTCTGTCTTTAAAGCTTTCAAGCAAAGGAACTAGTTAATGAATCAAAAAACTTTCAGTGACAAAGTTGTAGATAAATACCTTAAGAATCTTAGTATGAAAGAAAAAAAGCTATTTGTTCAATTGGTTGTTGTAATAATTGAGCGAAAAGAATTTCGTTAATAAATTCCCCACCAACAAATAGGGCAAAAGACTTTTTGAAAGGGCGAGTACCCTCTACAATCATCGAACATCTACCGTTATGATCGACGCGACCGGCAGTACTTACACCATTACACATGTGAGGCATACCCGCTTGCTTCCACGTACAATTAGTTATAACTCATGAAACGCAAAACGATCTGTATGTATCTATACAGCAGTAGAACAACCACTCCGATGTCTTGATAGTGTTATATTACGCTATGACAATGGCAAGGAAGCCAAAACGATGTCAAGACCGTTCACACAGCGAGACATGAAAATCACCATGTCGCGGCCACGACGCGTGCACGATAACCTTGGAAAAGAGGACAATGAACAAGGTATACATCAGAACAGAAAAACCAGCTAGCTCCGCGAGCGAAATACCAAATGCGCAATTGAAAGTACTTTGACACGACCGAGAGCCACACGAGTTATTTTCCAGGAGAGAAATCGCGTTTGCCGGATGCGATCGATAAACGCTTGTGCTCGTTGAGTGTAGTCAAAACTCCGTGGCCAAACATGACGCTCGTTATCAACAATGGACACGATGGTCGGTAGGGGTAGGTATGAGAGAACTGAACAAGCCGAGCCTTGCGTAGAAGATGTGTGGGAGCAACGTTCGAGCAAGATCATGATATCATCACTTTTGTGTGTAGATGAGATAGATGAAGCATCGTGACGACTCGGTCGTGGCAACGGAGATGGTATCGCCCAAGCAAAATATCGATATTGACCGTTCCGAAGATGGACTGATTTCTTCTGCGTGATGCACGATGTAAGAACGCCAGGATGAGTTCGGAACCGAGAAAGTCAGAAAGCGCGAGCAATGTGTGAACAAGGCATCAACGACTATGTAACACTGGAAGGAAGAACAGACACTTGGCCATACAAATCCCATCCCAGAGCAAAATCAGCTGCAAAAAGAGTATTAGATCAAACGAAGCAGACACACAGTAACAACAATATAGCAAAAAAAAGGGCAAAAAGTTTATGATACACGGTATTGTTTTTGAAATAGAAATACATCCACGCCAAACCCAGCACCGAGTATCATAATTACCGTGAGCGGGACTCGAATCCGCGATCTCCTGGTTACTCACCAGGTGTGTTGCCGCTACACCACCACAGCTTGCTTGTTGGAAAGGACATAAAGCGGACAGTATATAAGGGTTGAGAGCGTATGCTGGGCGGCGGCGAGTGTGGTTGCGGGAGAAGAGCTTTGATGAGGGAGTTTGGTTGGTGGGTATGACTCTGAGAAAATTTCGAGGTCATGGGGCCAGATTGCTGTGATCTGGCTCGCCCGGTGTGGCTGCCAGTTGTGGCTTGTTAATCGGTGTGGAGTCTCATCGGGAGCGTGATCTCGGCCGCGTGAAGTCCATTGTGATGTCGATATTGTTCCGACGTAGAAGTTTTGGTCAAGGATCCTCCTACATGAGTGATATTAGACCCTGACCTCTCAAGCGACATCTCCTCCTTGTCATTGTCGCGGTCTCCAGATCAAGTCAATATTCGGCAAAACCTTCGGCGAAGAATGGGCAGTATTTGATAGGCCAAGCAGTCTGGACAGATTTCTCTTGCTGATGAATGTCAAGGATATCGATATATTAACAATTGATCTGCCCTGACCATGTAGACAAATAGAGCCGGATGTGGTCGAAGACGACGTAAGATTAGACCCTCAGCCGCCATGATTGAATCATTCGTTGTTATATCCGAATGATATGGTTTTTGATGGCCCGCATTCGTGACATGCAGGTATTGCTGTGGCAGAAGAAGTTCAAAATTTGACGTCCCTGAATTGATGACATGCTACAGTTGATCCAGATCACCGGTGAGTGCGACGCTGTCTCTCTGTCAGTGTTATCAATATCTGGTTGGCCGAGTCGAGGCGCTGTAGCGTAGATCTCTTCTCGCGTTGTCTGCTACCCAGAGGTGTGATCGGTGGCGCAAGACTGTCCAGTCGACGACGGTCGCAGCGGCTGGGTGCTGGATCGTTGCTGTGCGCGAGCTTTGTATTTCCAGCTTCCATCGTCGCAGCCAGAAGCAAATAATTTTCGTCACGGATAGAAGGAAAGAAGGAAGGAAGGACAGAGAAGTTGCTGCGGTGGAGAAACGCCGGAAGTGTGCCTGGCGACCGTGGGCCGTACGGATACAACCCTTAAAACGATTGTTGGGGCACTAGTGTGTAGGGCAAATTAGCTCAAAATCTCTAAATTTGCGACTCGCAGAGGACTCGCAGTGGACTCGCTAAAGTAAATAACGCTATTAGGGTATCTTAAAGGCAATTAAAGCAATTAACTCCTCCGTAGCAACTATAACTCTAGTAATAGCATTTAAACCTTATCCTCGGGCTTAGGGAAGCGGCTAGGGTTACGAGTTCTATAGGCATCGAACTTAGCTACCTCTACGTCGATACGCTAACGAAGGGTATAGTTCTCCTATTTAAGCATAGTATAGCCGCGCTTAAGGCTAGTAAGGCGGTTAAGGATTATAGCAAGGACGGGGTACTAAGCGTTAGCATTAGTATAGCTAGCATCGAAGATCTAAGTAACTGCTAACTAAATAGCATCGGTAGCCTTACGAGTAACGAGAGCATTAGTACTAGCTTAAGTAGAGTAGAGGCCGGCCTCTTAAGAGAGTGCCTTAGTAGTATTTATACGCTCTAACTAGACAATAGAGAGCTACTTAAGTTTATTAACGGCCTCGGTAGCATTAGAGGCCTAACTAGTAGACTTAGAGAAGAAGTCGCGAGCAATCTTAGTACTACTAGTAGTAGCCTTTATAGAAGCTCTAGCGCTCTTAGTAGCAGTTTTGGCAGCCTTAAGGGAGTCCTTTATCTCCTAAACGGCTTCGTTAATATCGGCTTTATCCTCTAAGTCCTAGAGAGGATGGTAGATAGAGGTAGCGGCGGAGGGAAAGTCGACACTACTATTAGGGTTAGCCTATAAACCGTATTAGTTTACGAGTCCTTTACGAGTCTATTACAAGTTATCCTATAAGCTAACTCGTAGTAGACTTGTAAGTTAACTCGTAAGTTAACTCGTAGATTATAAGTTATACGGTTTATAAGTTAATTTGCGAGTCTACTACGAGTCGGTTTATAAGTCTACTACGAGTTAGTTACAAGTTAAATTTACTTACTTTAATAGCATTATACTTAGGGTAGTAGAGGCACTTATAGAAGGTATAGCCGCTACCGTTACTCTTATCGATCTATACGTAGTACTTAAGACCCTTCTTCTTATAGGTATCGTATAGAATACTAGTATCCTCTCCCTCCTCGTCGTCTTCTATACGCTTAGCCTTAAGAGCGTCGAGGATGCTTACCTTTACCTTCTTAAGAGTAGCCTTATTACTATTAGTATAGGCATTACTAGCGTCGACAAGCAAGGTTCTCTACTTAATAAGGCTAATACTATAGTAGTAATTACTGGAAGGGCGGACTAGTCTATAAAGGTCCTTAGGTAAATCGCTATTAAAATTAGTAAGAGAAATAGTAGTAGAACTAATAGGTCTTACTTATTAGAAGGAGTAGTAGGGATGCTAGAGATATAAGTATCTTTATCCTCTATCTTGTTATCTTCGTCCTTGTCCTTATCCTCGTCCTTAGTAGCTTCCTTCTCGTAAAGTAGAGCGTTTCTCTTAGTACGCTTATAGCTTCTAGCCTAGCTAGTAGTCTCTCTCTTAGAGCTACTAGCCTTCTTTAGGGCGGTCTTAACGCGAAGGGCGGCCTTATTAGCCTTTATAGTAGCCTTAGCCTTCTTCTTAGTAATAGCTTTCTTAGTAGTAGAGGGGGTAGTAGTAGCTATATCGACGTCGAGGGTAGTCTTATTCTTATAGGTAGAGCAGCGAGGGAAGGAAACGTTAGGAATAGAGTCGGCCTCTATAAAGTCTTCGTTGTCGATAGGTAAGGTAGTCGTGTTAGCAGTAGTTATATTATTAATGTTGTTGTCGGTAACGCTAGCTAGGTAGTTACTATAGCGGAGGCTCTCGTTACGGTTATAAGCGGCGCGTATAGCGGTATTATAGTTAGAGTCGATTATTATAAGTAGGTAAAGGAGCGATAATAGTAGAAGAGTAATAGTAGAAGGAAGCGTAAGAGTAATGTTATATATATAAAAGTTAGTTAAAATTTTTGAGAAGTAAACAAATAAACAAGCAAATTTGCCAGTGCGACGACTCGTAACTAACTCGCTAACTAACTTGTAGAGCGTAAAATCGTACTCTAGAAGAGACTCGATACTATTATTATGCTTAATCTCCCTAGTTTAATGTACGAGTCGTATTACGAGTTACACTATAAGTCGTAAGGGGGGGGGGTATTAGTAGCTAGCTTCGGCTACTTTATATTTCCTAGAGTAATGCTACCTAATGTACGCTTTCTCTTTCTTAAAACTACTATATTACCTTCGATAGAAGGTTAAATACGCGTAGAGTAACGTTTAATTAGTGTTAGAGAGTCGGAAGCAAGACGAATAACTAGAGGAGGCTTATCTAGATTAAAAGGCTATAGTTGTTAGTATACGAGTCTATATTATAAGGCAGCTACGAGTTACCTTCTAAGACTAAGTAAGTTGTTCTTCTTTAACCTTTATGCTAGTAAGAGTATTAGCACTAGTAGTAGCATTAGTAGTAGCATTAGTAGTAGCATCTATAGTAGTAAGAGTGCTAGTAGCATTGCTAGGGGTAGGTAAGGCGGCCCTTAGCTTAACTAATTCTGTTTTAAAACAAAGATCTATAGAGTAAGTTCCAACCTTTAGCTAACGGTAAGGGCGTAGGACCTCTTATAGACTATCATATATAAGAGTGCGTTTGCTATACTAGATTAGCTCGTTCTCCTTCTAGAAGCCATTAATAAAGCTATAGCCCTAGGCCGAGTTCTTATTAATATCGTCCTAAGGGCAGTAGCAGATGAATAGACTAGCTAGATAGTTTAATCTACCGAGGTCATCGATAGGTAAGTCCTTCTTATATTCGGTATTAGATAGCGACTCTACCTACTAGCCTATACGGCGTAGTAGCTCCTACTCCTTATAGTTATTATTAGGGTCCCTATACGACACAATTTCGTATATGGTTAACTTAAACTTATAGTTCCTCTCTTATAGCTATGCCTTCTATAGACTTCTAAGGGATAGAGTAATAGATCTAGCCTCCGTACGTAGCTTTTCTTAATTAAGACGGATCTTCTTATTTGCTTAGTTACGTTTGCTTTTAGTAGTAGTAGGTGCTAGAAAGACCTTTTAAGCGCGAGACGAAGGTATAGGCGACGACGGAGCAGTAGTTACCCTTCGTGTTAGCACGCTACTAGTAGCTTAAGTGTTAATAACTAGTCTATCCTTAGGTTCGAGTAGATTATGACGAGCACACTTAGAGTAGAAGTTATAAGTAGTAAATGGCTTATATAATTCGCTGTTAAATAAGTAGTAGGTCCCCCATTTAGGACGCTTAGCTAGTAGTGTATCTTCGTCTATATTAGAGGGGTTAGAAAGGAAGAGGAAGGTAAGAGAATATTATTCGGTAAGTAAGTTTTATCCCTATAAGATCTACGAGTTAGTAAGCGAGGCTATAGCGAGTCTAAAATTACATCGACTTAGGCCTATATAGCACCGTTTACAAGTTAACTACGAGTCTATTACGAGTCTATTACGAGTCCATTATAAGCTAGAATCTATATAAAAGTTTAGGTCCGTATAAGACAATTTGCAAGTCTACTACGAGTCTATAGCGAGTTAACTACGAGTTAACTACGAGTTAACTACGAGTCTAGATCTAAGCGCCTATCTCCCTCCTTACTATTCTATCTACCTCTTATAACGCATCGAACTTAAATAAGGGACTAAGTATGTCTCTATTAGTAGCATTAAACGCTTCTACTACATTTAAATGCGCCTACTAATTACGAGCTCCTCGTAGCTTTTTAGACTCTACTATAAGAGGTTCTTCTCCTAAGAGGACGTATTCTATAATCCTATTACGAAGGTGTTTATATATAAGGTAGTGCGCGCGGTTAGCACTATCTAGCCTAATTATGCTTCCTCGTATGTTACTATTACTATTAAAAGTACGAGGGTAAAGATCTAAGGGAAATGCCTAATAGAGCTCTTCTCTATACTATATAATAACGCTTTCTAGTAGGTATTCGTTTAGATTATAGCCTTCTAGATACTGCTTAAAAGGCTGGAGAAGGCTTAGGTTAACAGCAATGCCTTAGTTAGCCCCTCTAATACCCTTATGCTAAGGATAGTTATAGTTTAGCTTCGGTAGCCTAGGAACTTTGCCCTCTTACTTCCGAACTAAGTAGTTATTCTACCGATGCGCGAAGCTTATTACGTTCTAGCGTATAATCGGTATATAGATAGTAAGGAGAGCGATACGGTTAATAGTAGAGTCCCTAGCAAAGAGTTGTTCTAAGATAAGGCGTTTAAAGTATGTCCTCTACTAGGTAAGAATTGCTAATAATGCGAGTTAGCATTACGAGTCTATAGCGAGTTAAATAGTACGAGTTAACATTATAAGTCTATTACGAGTCAGATAACTTACATTTTGTAACTTGCCCCTACTAAGACTCGATCCTCTAGTTCTATTTACTAGTCCTAAACTTAAAGTAGTTAGAGAACGGTATGTTGCCTTATACTAACCGTATAAGGTAGTAGTAAGCATCCGTAGCTATAGTTGTCTCCGCTCCTCGGTTAGTCCGTATAAACTAAGGCATAAAACTAGTAGTTTTAACCGTAGTAATATACTGTTCTAGTATAGAGATAGCGGTACGAGCTAAGATGCTAACGTAGATCTATATAATGTTTCTTAAGAAGTGATCAATAGCAGCATAGATCTTAATTCCCTAGTACTCTAGCTTATAGTAAGCGTCTATTAACTACGTCTAGTTTAGCCCTAGGCTCTTATATGCTATACGACGTACAAACTATTTCTTAAGTCAGCGTTTAAAGCCTTCTAGTACAATCGATCGAGCGATATAGTAAATTCGTTCCCTATAAACATTAAAAAGAATTAGCTACGAGTTAACCTATAAGTCCGTAGCAAGTTAAATGTTACGAGTTACTCTATAAGTTACTCTACGAGTCTAGCTTACCGCCTAATAATATAATATTGTCGATATTTCTTACGTAGATATCCGTATAGGTAGCCCTTACCGTAGTCCTCTACCTCTCTATTAAGATACTCTTATATAATATACGCTTAGATAGTAGCCTCGATCTCTTTCTCTAACTCTACTAGTAATCTCTTATAAAGGCACATCTTTAGTCTTCTACTTTTAACGGTGTATTAACTAATGTTAAAGCTATCGATTATAAGGATCTCTACTATCTACTTATTAGTAAGCACGTGTAAGTAGAATAGGTCTATAATAGCTATAGTAAGGGGCCCTTTATCTTTAGATGTTAGCCTTTTATAGTACGTAGTAATATTCTAGTCCTAAAGCCTTCTTTCGAGCGTTACCTTTAATATACGTAGACTATAGTTATAGCGAAGGTTATTAAGTACGCCTTATACTCTAACACCGTCTTAGATCTACTAGCGAATAAGGTCGTAGTATTAGTCGATGTTAAGAGCTTAAGGCGGCATTGTTTGTTTGTTTTAGGAAAGAGTTTTCACCGAGTTTGCGAGTCTTACTACGAGTCGCTAGGCGAGTCGGAAAAGACGGAAATTTAACCCCGCACGGCCGGTGCTCGGAGCGTCAAATTTGCGTTATAAGGGTTGTATCCATACGGCCCACGGTCCTGGCACCTGCGGGGCAACCTCACTTGTTCCAGCTGCTCCTTCTTTTCTGAAATCTCAACAATCAGGTCATCAAAATGCAAGCAACATCTCACCTTGAGGGACTGAGAGGTATTTGCCAAGAGGCAAGAAGGTTTTTGAAACAAGAAAATGTCCAAAGAGAGGCCGTCGAGCTTGACAAACTATCCACAGAAGTCTTGAACTGGATTAACCCATTCTTCCGACGTCTAAGTCATGTTCTCTGCGTTTAAAGAACCTCTCACGCTCGAGGAAGATTCGAGATCTTAGTCTGGACACATCATCCTCCGTGAGGACTCCACCGAGTCCGAAGTGGACTTCGACAAATTTCGAGAAACCTCATGGGATATGAAACGACTCCAACGAATATGGAGAGGACTTTAGAAAATCCTCTCCTAGCGAGGTTAGGTATCCATCGTGAGAACTTCGACGAAGATCAAAGGGGTCTCGACCAATCACGGTCTGGCGACATCATTTGTCGTGGGAACTTCAACGAATTCGAAAGGCATCGACGAAACACGTCTGGCGACATCATCAGTCGTGAGAACTTCGACGAACTAGAAGGGCCGTCCACGAACAACGTCTGGCGATATCCTTAGTCGTGAGAACTTCGACGAACTTCGACGGACTGCTAAGAGAGTCTGGCTTGACCTTGCATTCACGATCCAAGACAGATCATTTGCGTTCGCTGTCGTATATTGTCGCGTTGCATCGCAACACTTCTCACACTTCTCTTCTGATCTAGTCTTTCATCTCGAAAGTCTTCCTTTGGCTAGCTCAATCTGCTGCGTCAACACCTAAGACACGTCGATTGTGTCCATATTTGTGCATCCTGGTACCTTGTCGCAAACACTTCTCACACTTCGCTTTCGATAAAAGCTCTCCTCTGGACCGACTCTCAGTCTTCTCGCCTGCTTACATCATCTGACAACACCTTTCTGAGCACCTCAAACTCGGATTAGCTTTCGTTGAAATCAACAAGAACATTATGGTCGCCCTTCTCACACTTCCGACGGAGATCCTCTGTGGCATCGCCAACCATGCAGACGACGAAGCTCTTCTCAACATGCGTCTCAGCTGCAAGTCGCTTTGTGAGGCCTCCGCCAGACCTTTCGGAACCACCTACCTCACCAACCGCCACCATGTTCCCTCCGAACACAGTATCCAGGCCCTAGTCGACATTGTCATGCACCCTATCTTTGGCTCGTACGTCAAATCCATTACCATCACCGCGATGTATCTTCTCCCAGAAAAGATTCACGGCGACGCAGCATCGCAGTACCTAGCGCACTCCAACGGTTTCAGAGTACCAGGGATTGGCATCGACAAAGCCTTCATCAACTCACGCGAGTACATCCGTATGATGAAGCAAATCTTCAACAAGATTCGCAAACTTCAGAACCCAGTCCATATCAAGATCTGCGATGACACCGAGTATGGCTTTGGTTGGACCCAGATGGTCGACGATCCGCCTCGTATGTATGACCATTGCTACGCTGAGGTACTTGACCGCACTCTGGTTGCTGCGATTCGAGCCGATTGCGACGTCCGTTCTCTTGAGTTGAGCATGCACCACTACGATTTTGAGAGCCTCCACGACATTCTGGAGGACCTCCTGAGCCCCACCCGTCAGTCTCTCAAGCTGACCATCCATTGCGACCGCAAGCATTCTCGCAAGCTCTACAGTCCCTACACATGCATCTATGATCAGGCAGAGGGATCTTTGGAGCTTATCGGTTGTGATGTGTACGAGCTTGCCAGAGCCAAGGAAGACTCCACCATCAAGCGCACGCTGGCTTTTCTCTTGAAGCAGAATGTCACCAAGCTCGTCTTGATGAACTGTCATCTCTGCTCAGCCAAGCGTTTCCGCGTGCTCCTCTCTTGGGGTATCGGAACCCTCAAGACCGTTTGCATGACAAGCTTCCGTCCCTGCCGTACGCCCGCCGATGCAAGAGAGCACTGGAGTGGTATCATCAACGTTCTTTCGGGACATAGTGGTCTGGAGTCTGTCGTTATCGAGGACTTGCTCGCTCCTCGTTACTGGAGCCTCTTTCACCTGCCTCGTGACACCCAGAGGTATGAGGTCAGTGGCCACCATGTCGCTGAGCAGTTGAGAACCCTGGCTACCATCATGGCTACAGAGCCTGTGGGGTCCCAGATCTAGGCTGAAGGCAAGGATTTGATCATGATGGACGGCACAATATCAATTCAGCCCCGCCCCTTCGCTCTTTGATTTCGCTAATGGGGGTAACCAAAATGCGTAGCTCATAATACTTGCTTTCTTCCCCTTGCCCCTTCGTTTCTATAGCTATCGCAATGCACAATGTTTTGCGAATACAGGGTCGTGTCGAGTGAGAGCGTGAGAAGAGGCTACATTGAAACCAAAAGAAATGGCATCTCAGCTCCACGGGAGACCTGAGTAAAACAGCAGTCAAAATGCAAGATGATGTTTAAAGACAGCGATTTGTCCAGTGAGAGCAGTCAACTTTCGGGCTCTCTTTGGACGAACACTCCAATCCCAATATCTTCTTGCCTTTTGATAGGCGTGAATTTTGCAGTGCTGCGGAGGGGAGAGTGTGCTTCGAGCAGAAGGGGCGCACGATTTGCACTAGAACAGAGAGATCTCTCAGCCTGTCGAGGCGTGTCTCTCGACAGCGCGTCAAAATGCAAGGTGCCTTTTCATGATGTGTTTATGTCCGCTGCAGAAGCTGACTTTGACGCTTTCATTCAATACATTACTAATGTGAGCGCTGACCATCTGTGTTGGTGTTGAATGAAAGAAAGTCAGTCAAAGACTTCCATCGCAGATTGACGAGAATCCGTCGGACATCCTCACATGACTGATCATGTCACAAGAGTGTGTTTTCAACTCTTTTTCCTTGGGCCACCAGAAACGTTCTGTTTGCTTGTTTTCGTCTTTTAGCCTTGGGTTCTTCCTGGGTCTTCTCATCTCGGTGCTTCCATTCATTCAGTATGTCGATTATCAGACGACTCTTTGCTTCATCGAAAGCATTATTACTCTCGAGACACGGATCGGCCCCTCGTTCAAGTAAGATCTTGACAACTTCTCCTGGTCCATTGAGGAATGGAGAAATTACTGCAGAGCATAGCGGTGTTCGATGTTGGAGCATTGGCTCGTGGCGGCCTTGGTATACCTTGTTGACGTCTAATCCAACCTCGCCGACGAGATAAGTGACCATCTCGGGTCTACCACGCCACGCAGCATTGTGGAGAGTTGACTCGCTGATCGGTGCACCATGTTCCAGTAGAATTCTGCATGTATCGATGCTTCCGAACGAGGCAACATCTGCAAGTAAGGTCTCATCTGACTCTTCGATGGTGGCTCCTTTATCCAGACACCAACGAACCATTTCCTCGTCTCTACAGACAAGTTGAATCAATTTCTTGTTGAATTCATTCGACGCCGGTGAATGATATGTGCCTCTTGTCGGTTGGATCTGATTGATGTCCCAACCACGGGAGACGAGCATCGCGGCAAGATCCTTCGGAGACGAATCGCCAAACGACGAAGCGACTGATGCTGGACCTATTTTGTTCATGTCGATGTGACCCTCGTCCAGCAGGTATTCTAGTCGATCGACTTTGTTATTCAGTGTCGCATTCACACGAGCAGAATCCACACAAATTTCGTATGCTTTCTCTGACTCCTCAAAGGCAGAGAGTAGTGCGAGGTCGACGTCCCCGACCGTGCCGTGGCGGTTGGCCTCAACGACCATCTCCCACGAATATGGCATATCTTTCTTCTTGGATGGCATGATGCTTGAGATGTTCCTCCATCGAACATCAAAATTCTTGAAGGACGTCTCAGGAGATGTCGTGATTGAAAGGTGAAGCCGGCTCCAAAAGCGATGACGAAAGTGGGATGTTCTTGGCGCTAGGTACACTACTCTCTTGTCAACAATCGATGTCCCAATAACTTTTGAGCATACCATTTTTACCAAGTTTCTCAAGATGCATATTCTAGTATGCTTCTGAAGGCGAACCTACCAGCAAAGGCTAACTATTTGCAGGTGACCAATGATGACGGCCCGCCGTCGAACGAGTCCTCGCCCTACATCCTCGCCTTCGTACGCACTCTGGAAGAAGCTGGACACGAAGTCTCGGTCATTTTGCCCAGCGAGCAGCGCTCCTGGATTGGCAAGGCTCACATAATTGGAAAAGACGTCAGGAGATCCACACTACTGCCCCTCTTCAAAACAAAACACTGACACAACAAAGGTCCAAGCAACATACTACTGGCCCGAGACTGAAGAGCACGGTTCTCCCAAATCACAAGAGGCAAAGCAAGGGAAACCGTGGGTATTGGTCAACTCTACTCCAGCGACTTGCTCCCAGCTTGGATTGGCGCATTGCTTCAAAGACAGAAACCCGATCGATCTGGTCGTGTCAGGACCAAACTACGGACGCAACACAACAGCCATCTTTGCCCTATCCTCAGGAACCCTGGGTGCTGCTCTTGAGGCGGCTGTCTGTGGAGCAAAGGCAATCGCCATCTCTTTCGCCTTCTTCGATCGCATTAACGATCCCAAGATCGTCGCACAAAGCTGCAGACAGGGCGTGCGTGTGATTGACTATCTGGCCAAGAACGAGCAGTGGGATGCTGGTCGCGTCTATACGATCAACGTACCCGTCAAGGATGGTGTAGAGAAGCAGCCCATAGTATGGACGGAGATGTTGCAGAACCAGTGGTCATCAAGCTCCTGCTTCGACGAGGCGCCTAACGGTGTTGATGATGCAGACACAGAAGAGACCAAGCTGAGGAAGCAAGAAAGCAGAGGGGGCGAGGCACCCAAGCAGGGACAGAACGAGGTGGAAGATAACAAGTGGGCACCTCGACACTATAGATGGGCACCCAAGTTCAAGGATGTATATGAGAGCGTCGAGAAGGCTGGACCTGGTAACGATGGCTGGGCCGTGCAGCAGGGTCAAACAAGTGTAACAGCACTCAAGGCAAACTTTGCTCACATCCCAGGATTCAAGGGTGAGATCAAGTTTTAGATGAGATAGAAAGATAGCAGATATCACAAATGATCACTGTTGGATGGCTGATCAGAAGTGGAAGCACTTTAAGGATGACGCGCAGCATGGAAATGGCGCTAGTGACGGCGATAGGAATTAAGGAAACTCGAGGCTCTGGAGTCTGGCCGAGTGAAATTATTGCCCTGGTGGCTGCCACATCATCGCATTAACACACGACATCATGGCCGACTTCATTGGTATGACCATCAGTGTCACCCTGCAGCAACCTCCCGGCGCCGTCTTGATAGGCCGAGTCGCGCACGTAATTGCTGGTCAGACGCTGGCACTGGAACACGTCTTCTTCCCGCATTCTGGCAACCATGTGCCCTCCTATAATGTACCCGCCAACCTGATTCTGGACCTGCACGTCGTCGAGACCAACTTCGAGGCCAGCTCCAAGCCTCACACTCCTGCCGCGAACATCTCTGCCTCCCGTGGTTCCTCTCAATTCCCTCCTCCTGCCCCTGCTCACGAGGCGCGCATCGAGAGTCCTCTGGCCAAGAAGACTCCCTCCTTCGTCGACCCAGCCATCCTCAGCTTCTCAAAGTCCCCTGCTCCTGCTGCTCGTATCCAACCCCCACCTCTTCCGCAGCAACCTTCCGCGCCTGTCACACCCAGCAAGAAAGCTCTGTCGGCTGCCACTGCTGCTATCCCGCCCACCGTCACCTCTCCATTCGTCGCCCATGCCGCAGAGCCATCTACACTCCAGGAACAAGAATACGCCGATGACAATCCCACTCAATCGGGCAAAAAGACGAGACGCGGAAGAAGAGGTCCGAGACCAACACAGATCCCCCTGGCTGCTGCCACCGAAGCACAGACAGTCAAGGAAACCCTCTCTCCCAATGTGTCGCGTAACGGAAACGACATGACTGTCACTCCCAGTACCAACAAGAAGGGTTGGCGATCGACTCCCCTGCTCAAGGAACCCACATCAGCTGCCTCTGCATCCTCGAAGACCAAGAAGAAGTCGAAGCGCACCCTGAATGGACTCGGAGATCAGAATGGCTGGGCCACCGAGGAAGCTACCGACATTCATGATATGGGCGACTTTGACTTCGAAGCCAATCTGTCCAAGTTCGATAAGAGAACCGTCTTTGACCAGATCCGTAACGAGGACACGACCGCAGACGAGGACAGACTGGTTTCGCACAACAGACTTGCAAGACCTGGCACATATGGAGGCAAGAACCTGCATCCGACAGAGAATGTGCTATCTCCGACTCTGAAGCCCAAACATCACGCGAGCGATCTCGAGTCTTCATCCGACGCAGACACGGAACTCAACTTTGGCAGCGGTCCCAACTCGAGACGTGCTCCTTCGCGCACATCGAACAAGCGCCCCTCGCGCATGAGCACAAGTGGTCTGCCCGAAGACATCCTCCACCCTCTTGCTACATCACTTGCTTCGACTGCTCTCAATCGATCTATGAGTTCATTGAGAGGTTCCTCGGTCGTCGCATCCTCTCCTAACCCCAACCGAGCTCGCTCTCCTCCCTCTATCCAATCTCCTCTCCACTCTCTCGATCAGCTCAGCCTCGCACAACAAGCAGCTGCAGCCCCTCGTCCTCACTTCAAGACACCAAAGTCCAAATACCCCTGCTCCTTGTACCACCCCGACCGCCTACGACAAGCCGAAGCCGATGCAATTTCGAACATCGGCATCAGCGCCGATGCCATCACTGAAAATGCCGCTCGTGGAATCGCAGAAAGCGTTATAACCTCCACATTAAAACCAGGCGCATCACGTCGCAACTCCAAGATCGCTTCCAACCTCCCCAACTCGAACTCAAAACCCGTAGTCGTAATTCTCGCAGGCAACCACGTTACCGGCGCCCGCGCTATCGCCAGCGCACGCCATCTTTATTCCCGCGGCTTCAAAGTCCTCATCTCCGTCCTCGATTTCAGCAACCCCAGCGTATGGCATCCCCAACTCGCCAAACATATCCACTCTCTCCAAATGCTGGGCAGAAAAGCAGCACGTATAGAAGGCTGGCGAAGCACCTCTGGCCAAATCAAGAAACTCGAAGGCCCTCCCGTCATCATCGTCGACGCGCTTCTAGATGGCCAGCGTCACGCCGACATTCGTGACGAAGATCTCCGCACCGAAGCCCGCGAAATGATCGATTGGGCGAATCGCTCAAGAGCTGGTGTTGTGTCTATCAACATACCCTCTGGCTTTGATGCAGTGGATGGAAGTTCTAGTGTCGTAGATGGAGAGCCACTTGCTATTAGGCCTGAAGCTGTGCTTTCTCTCGGCGTACCGATATTAGGATTGTTGGAAGCGATCAGAGAGGGTGAAGGTTCTGCTTGGGTTCTGACGGCTGTAGACACCGGTGTTAATGTTGTACTCAGTGATAGGGAAAAAGTGCAATTCGGAGCTGATTGGAGTGTCAGTTTCAGGTTTGTGTCTGGTGAGGTACAAACCTAAAAGGCCCCTATCAGTCCTATTGTCATTGTTTGTTTTATCGCTCTTGTGGTTGCGTTTGTATAAAAGGGTGGTTTTGCTGGGTTCAATGGCGTTTGTAATTCTGGTCCGAACGACCAAGGTGGCAAGGTAAAGAAAGAGAAAAGTTGCATGCAAAGAAGTAAAAGCGGGAAAGCGATGGTTGCTAATGGTTTCGTTTATGCGGATTCCCCTGGTGCTCTCAAGGAGGGAAGGAAGGTCTTTTCTGTTTTCCATCATGCTCAAGAAAAGCTTTTGTATTATATCACTTATCAAAAATTGCATTCCATACTACCGTTTAGAACCATTGTGATATGTGATACGTGGTACGTGATACGTGAGAGTGCATCGATTGAACGCTTAGGGTAACAAGTAATTTTACTCAAACGAATAGGAAAAAGGAGAGGTATATATAGGTAGCTATATCATGCTTGGACTAGCTTGTAGTAGCGACAGTATCTTTGTAATCCCACCAGTCCGCCTCGGTTAAAAACAAGCAGCATAACCCAGCTTCAACTCACCCCTATCTCGCCGAAGCTTTGGGGAATCTCCTGAACAAATCACCCAACCTATCAACAGGCGCCGTCATAAGTCCAAACGCCGTCTCAAAAGGCCCACCAGTATTAGGCGAATTAGGATGACTCCTACTCGGAACAAACCCCTTGGTTCTCCCAAAATCGGTCGACAAATTCGCAGACTCGATTTCAGGGGTATGTTTTTCCAACAGAGGCAAATCTTTGTTTTCTTCTTCTTTGATGTGGTATTCGAGGTCGTTCCAGAGGGTGTGGAGGGTGGGTTCGAATTCGTTATCGGCGGGGCGAAGTTTTTGGAATTTGTAGAGGAGGTCTTTCACCTAGTGAGAGAAGGAGGGGGTGGTTAGGTGGGGTTGGTGGAAGGGGTAAAGGTGGTTATGGGCTTACTCTTTGGTGCTCGGTTCGGTCTCTATCGGCTAGATCCTTGCCGCCTGGACTGTTTGAAGTGTCAGTAGAGACATCTAAGCCGTGTATGGGTATAGCCGTACATGTTCTTCTCCATGGCCGGATAGACGACCAGCTCTTCGGCGACACTGTGACGAGCCAGCTCCCAGATGAATTGGTTCTGCCAACGGACTTTTTCGTCGGCATCCTTGCCTTTGAGGATGTTGTTCTTGTAAATTCTCAGTTCGGCATGGTCGTGCTTGATGAGCTCAGAGACACGTTGCATGACGCCTGAGGAAGAAGCGAAACTGCGAGAAATTGGCATTGCAGTGGGCTGGAGAGACAGTGCCGAAGCACGAGACAGGATCTTTGTGGTCTGCATTGCGTTGATGGAGAGTGCGATATCGCTTTTGCTCAATCGATCGATAGAAGGGTGAAAGGTGACACAAGATCCGAGAAACGGTAGTTGAATGGGAAACAGGGAACTAGTGGATGTGTTTTTGGCAAGAAAGAGCTTTGCGAGTTCCTTCCAGTCTTATAGCTTACTGTTGGCTTCGCCAATTGGTCATACTTCGTCAACTTGGAATCATCTCTACGTGAGTTGCATCCAGGTACAGCAAGAGGAAGCGCACTGATCTGGCCAATGAAACCAAGGATACTGGTCACATCCCGCCTAGGGCCAGCATGAATTGCGAAAGCGCATAGTCATGACACTCACGACATTATGACTGCTCTCGGTATTTGCTGTTACGTATTTTCTTTTCGTTCATGCACGCGATAGCGAATATCATAAACCTGTCACATCACTGCCCATCATAAAGCCGCATTTGACCATAGACTAACGATGGAGTCCGATAATCAGTGTCGTTCTCAACTATGGACGTTCTAGAGTCGTGGGTGTCTGTCTTGAATCAGGGTCTAAATTTAGGAGGAGCTCACAGGAAGAACCTCGGCAGAATTCGGGACATTTTGGAGCGCGTCCGCATCGATTATCTTGTGTTACCTCTCTTGCATCTTGCAATCTTCCACCTTCTTCACTACACGCTTTACACAATGCTTTCCCTTCTTCGAAACGGCACGTTTGATCCAATCAGATCACTGGTTCTCGAGAACCATACTTCACGCCTGTTTTCTTGCGGCCGGATTCATTGCCAGACTAAAGACGCCTATCGCCAATGGTACAAACAAAAAGGACTAGAAGACCCCGAATGGCGAAGACGTCGATCGGAGTTCTCTAGTGAATGGGTTAAGAAGAAGAGGGCCACAGACGAGGAATATCGTTTGAAGCACATGCAAGGCCTACGAGACATGCAACTGGACGAGCTATATGTTGAACGTAATCGCCAGCGGTCAAAATTCTATGGTTGGGTTACAAAGTATAGGTGGATCCGCGAGCACCTCCCTTGGAAGTCTCATATACCTGTTATCTACCCGCAGCGGGTTGAGCATCATTGCACCAGCTGTGAATTCACAAGGGTCAGAGGTGCCCGACTATGGTTTCGCTCTAAGCCTCCGAAAACTCACAACACGGAGGAGTACCTCTGTTACAAATGCTACACGAGCAATGGGTGGGCAGCGTCCATGCCTCAGGGTTATGAAGACGTTAGGACACTGAAGGATCTAGTCGCACGAAAGAAGCAGCTCGATGGCGTTGATCCATTGGATCTGCCCAAATGAAGGTAGCAAGTACTATGGAGTGAGAGGCGTGCTGAAAAATCAGACCTTCAGACCTCCCTTGTACCGTTCAGAGCAAGGTTGCATTCTCACGACTTCCAGAAAGATCGAGCTAACCTTCGACAACTATTACGCCTGGAAGCGCAATACTCGAGCCCGAAATTGGGAGGACCACCCTCCCCATGTGCTAAATTTTGTCACTCTTAGCCATCTCTAGTGACCGCAACCAAGACCATCCGGGCTGTAACAATGCACAATGCTTTTCAGACCAGTGCATCCCTTCGCTAGGAAGCGCTGACAATCACACTCTTAGTTGAGTGTTACACTAATCTTGGAAACATGGTGCATTTCTACAGCATGCGCGTGACAAAGTTCTGCACACGGGGAGGACAGGTCTCTTGTCATCAATCAAGGTGGTCGAGCAGTCTTGTTCTCGTACCGGAATCCTGTTCTTGGTGATCTTCTTTTTCGGCCGAAAACACGAAGCTCATTACCCCAACAACAGAGCTTGACCCCGAGAGATAGGCACGGTTGACCTATCTCGCCGAGATGACTGATCACACTCGACTTTCTAGTGTCTTCTCCCGGACTCTTGACACATAGCTCTGATACCAATACTGCTTCTCGTTGTCGGAGTCCGACTTTGAAGATAAAAACAGTGGGTTCGCTCAGATATCCAGAGAACCGATACCGGCTGCTCGACGATGTTGGAAGCTTGCGGGTAGAGACAGGATGAACCCACGATATATAATGACCGGGGACTGCCTACAGTTTTCTGCATTCCGTTTAGCACCCAGGAAATCGCCATGTTTCGTGTCGGGGCATTGCTGTTCCTGTTTGCCTTTGGCTCTCAAGCTCTTGTCGACCGTGGCAAGGTAGTCGCACTTAACAACGTCAATTATTACGTCGGCGGAACACCCGTCTCCAGACTGGATATCTCGCGTACGGACTCCTTCCAGGCAGCCGTTATCCCAGACTCTGACATCTTCCCTTTGACTGTCATCAACCTGGGCACGTCGACTTTCGCTGGAACGCAATTCAGGACTCACGTCGCCAACTTCTCCTCATCCGATGATGTCTTCCAGCCAGAGTTTCTCCGAACCATATATCTACAGAACGAAAGAAATGTCACTTCTTCAGTAGACCTTGCGAGCTGCTCTCCTTTGCTGAAGCAGTCCGGCAACCACCTTCTGATGACTGCCAAGTCTATCACTTCTCGACTCGGTGGCGTTGTACAGACCACTTTGACTGAGTGCTTGCCTCATGGTCCTTACTTCGTCTCAGCCAAGACAGGTGACATCTTCAAGGCTTATCGACTGTATCACGATGAGAATCTTGCCTTCATTCAAGGGACCGTTGATGATGGTGCAAACGGCTTCATGTCACTACCTGCCGTCACCGAGGATGTCATAGCCAGAAGCATTGCAGTACCTTCGAGACTGTACTACACCGTTACTGACGATCAGCCACTGGCTGGATTGCGATTTGGTCTTAAGGATATCTATCATGTTAAAGGCCTGCGAACTAGTGCCGGCAGCCGATCATACTTCTATACCTACGGACCGCAGAATACCACAGCCCCCTCAGTACAGCAGTTGCTGGATCAAGGAGCTGTCCTCGTTGGCAAAATGGGAACCGTACAATTTGCAAATGCAGGATCTCCTACAGCAGATTGGGTTGATCTGCACTGTCCATTTAACCCTCGAGGTGATGGTTATCAAGACCCTAGTGGTTCGTCGACCGGGCCCGGTGCCGGTATCGCTTCGTATGACTGGCTCGACTTTTCGGTCGGCAGCGACACTGGCGGCTCTATGCGTGGTCCTGCAGGCTCTCAGGGAGTCTACGGCAATCGGCCATCTACCGGAGCCATCTCGATGGATCACGTTGTACCCCTTTCTAATGCTCTCGACACTGCCGGTGCATTTGCTAGGGATGCCGATATCTATGCCCGCGTCGTTCAACATTGGTACACGAACACCAACGCGGATTACCGGGACTACCCAAAGAGGCTCGAATGGGTGCCGCAAGGTTCGGGGTACTTCTCCCCTTCGTCACTATCTTCTGAAGCCTCTACGGCCATTGAAAACTTCTTGCATGGTTTGGAGAGCTTCCTCGGAACCAATCGCACTATAGTCAATGTGACTCAACAATGGGCCGAGACTCGCCCTAGCAACACGACCGCAGATATCAACGAGCTTTTCAACACCACTTATGCCGTTCTTACGACTGTCGACCAATGGAACCTAGTAGGCAAGCCGCTGTTCGCGGATTACGCTGCTGCTCACGACGGTCGTACTCCCTTCATCAATCCCAATCCATTGGCGAGATGGCAGTGGGGTCAGGAGACGAACTCCAACAGCAGTTACGGTGCAGCTCTGCACAACATGACCATGTTTCGTGACTGGTGGCAAACTTCTGGCTTCGGCGCACCCGACAACACGACTTGCTCTGAGTCTATCTTCGCATACATCTGGGACATTGGAGTGCCTTCTTACAGAAACAGATACTTCATCTCGACCAACAGCCCTCCACTTGGTTTTGATTATTGGGCTATTGCTGGCTATGCGGGTGCTGGCGAGGTCATTGTTCCGGTGGGTGAATCACCTTACAACAGTACTATTAGTGGGAAGACGGAGTATTTGCCTGTTTCGGTGGCGTTGCAGGCGGCTAGAGGATGTGATCATATGCTTGCTGGTTTGGTGCGTGATCTCCAGGCTAGTGGAGTGCTCAAGGCGGTCAATACTGGATCACGCCTATGGTCTTGAGATTGATTGAGGCTCAATGCACGTAAGACAACTATTGTAGCTTGGGCCATTCTAGTACGATAAAGAGATAGAGTCCTATTAAGCACTAGAATTGGATTCCATCTTTCCGAGCAATTGGCTTACGGCAGATGGCCATGGCCGTAATTAGCCTCTGAAAATCTTTGCTCCCACAACGGAGGCTTTGGTGTTGACTGTATTATCTCTTGTCAGATCATGGGCTTGCCGACGAGTGGTGACTTTGGTCTGAATACAAGCTGCTCCGATAATGCCGGTGTGGTTGCGGCATGCAAATCTGATGGCGCGGCTTGTTCTTGGCCGAAAACCGATGTTTGGGTGGAAGCGTCTCTAGTGGTCTTAGTGGTCTCGGTGTTGTCAGCGGTGGTCAAGGTGGATCCAGCAGAGTCCCAATCGTCCCATGGCCCTGGTTGCCCTAGCATTGCCTCCGGACACACCGGTCTCGTCCCGGCTGCCATGGCCGCTTCCACTTCTGCCCATTCCCTTAACAGCTGTTGTATTTCGGCTTCACGTCGATCGAGACCCTCCTTACGCTTAGTTGGAGTCCAAGTCGGATCCAAATCGGTAGGACATGTTACAGGACCGTCTCTCTCAAGGTCCCAGGTGAAGTGCCTTCGATTCTTGTTGCGGGGGTGGTCGTTATCCAGATAGTTATCGGGCTGAGCCCTTGCCTTGAGATGGAGTTCATGCAGACGCTTTTCTCTCAGCTCCGCCCTTTTCTGGGCTTTGAGCGACAGGCCGTAGCTGAGGCGCTCATCGCCCAACAGACGTGTGTTGTCTTGCAGTGGATCATCTGGTCTGTCAAGCCCTTGCTCGCTGTAGCCCGTCTCGTAGTGGTAGTCGGGGTTCTCGTCAACATCTCCATCCAGCCAATCGGGCTTTTCCCCAGCCTCGTAGAACCGGAGGAGTTTTCGATCAGGGTCTTCAAGCTGGCCCATCAGACAGTACCCCCAGTAAGAATCTATGATGTCGTCTACAAAAGCGCGAGGTTGGATCTCCATTGTGGCTGACTGGAGCATGATGGCGCATTCTTCGACCTTGTCAGGAGCTTTAGGAAGTGCTCGAAGCCAATAACCGCCCATGGGCAAAGATCTGTCGATAGACATGTCGTGCTTCAGCCGTACGTAGTACTCAGCGGTTAAAGCGATATGTAGGCACGATTTGTTATTCGTTCTGTCGGTGAAATTCGTGGGTGCGTGTATGCAGAATCAAGAAAAACATGAAGAGGTACTCCAGAAATTTTCAGAGGTTCAGACTAATAGACTCTTCAGTATGACTCTTGTGGCATGGCCTCGGAGGAGTCGAGCGACAATAAAAGCGTGAAAGCGCAAATTTCAGCTTCAATCGATCCAAGACCGGTGAGAATTATCATGACGGCCAAAATCTTCGCGGTCCGCTGCTCGAGAAAGGGAGCCGAACTTATGGCGGAGATGTTGTTCAGGTTTTATGATGACATAACATCAAACAACAAGGATAAAATATCATATTTGCGCCTCGATGGTCGTACTGAACCTCACGTATGATTCTGGAGGTTTCAGTCGAAGGACTTTTGAGAAAAGGGGGTATTCCCTCCACCCCGCAGGGCTCTTTAAATCTCTGTACAAATTCGGAATGGAGTTTGAAGAGGTACAAAGGTCCAGTGAGAGCATGAGAACATCGAGGTATCAGTGGAGACCCGCTCAAATTCGGTAACCTTCGTGCATCTTGATACTTGTCAAAAGCAGGCGCTGGACGCTGGAGAGCAGCGAGTGTACAGCGTCTACCGAGGCAAAACATGTTCTCGTTGGGCGAGCAGATAGAGTGTTCCAGGATATAGTGGCATATAGGTTCTCCAGATTGGCCTTGTTTCGGTGGAACACGACTTCGCTATCGACTGTTGCTTACCATGTGGCCTTAATATCAGCTCAAAGTTTTGTGACAGCTACTTTCAGTCTTACCCTTTCGATGGTATCCTTTACCTAACACTCACGGTTGGTGCGACGTAGTGAGCTGCAGGGTTCAACAGATCCAGTCTTGTCCCAGACGTTTGGGATCATTGTTTGTTGTTGTCACGTGTACCCTGCATGCCGGGCATCTCGAACCTTTTTCTTCCAACAGTTGCAGATGAGCAACTCAAATCCAAAGACGTCAGTTATACACAACAATTTCGTGTTCAGAGGGCTGATACAGTCGACATGAATCTCCTCATGGCGGGTTCCGCGAGGACCTACCGAGTTACCGACGCCGTGCTGAAGACAGTTGATATAACCGACGAGCTTCCTCTCCTCGAACACAACATCAAAGCCATGCGCATTGAAGCCAGCGTGTATACTATCCTAGGAAAACACCCTCGAATTGCGGAAACTCTGTATATCGGTGGACAGAAAGAGCTCATCTTGCTCAAATATTATCGCCATGGCAATCTGAAAGACCATATCGCAAAACAACCAAACATCACTTCAGCCGAACGCAACAGATGGGCGCGTCAAATGATCGAGGGCGTTGCAGAGATTCATCGAAACGGCATCCGGCATTCAGATATCAGATTGGATCAATGGCTTCTGGATGACGATTACAATGCTCGTCTTTGCGATTTCAACGGGTCTGATTTCGATACGAACGAAAGGCTCGGTCTGGAAGGTATCGTGTCAGACCGTCTCGAGAATCCCAGTCATTTCATGCCTCGTGATCCGATGGAGGACAGCACTGTGCTTTCCGACCTTTTCGCGCTGGGCTCAACACTGTATGAACTTGACACCGGCAAGGAGCCTTTTGCTGGCATATTCAACGAAGAGCACGAAGAGGAGATTACCGCGCTGTTTGAAGCGGGAAACTATCCGGAAGTGAGCGTATTGTCCTTGGGCGCTCTGATATTTGGATGTTGGAAGGGGGAGTACGAGACTGCATTGGATCTGCTCAGTGCTGGCGAAAAGAGCTGCGGTCTCTAAGTTCGTATTGAATCGGATGTCCATGGTCGCTGCAAAAATGTTGCCCAGAGCCTGTATCTCCGTAGCAAAAAGAAACGCAAAACGTACAGCAGCAGGGATTCCCACGTGGTCACCCACCGTAGTACTAATCTGCCGTTCAACTGCTTATGTATGGCAGAGCGGACGGGATGCCCAGTTTTCAGCTGACTGTGGCCGTACGTGCTCGTTTCCCCAGATGGTAGCAATAAGTATGTGTGAGTTATTGGACGATGGCATCCTGACAGCAGCCGTTGGAGTGACTTGAAGGACGGTGGATAGATATTATGGTGTGACTGCTGGCAGGAATGCTCGGGAAGATGTTGTTGCGAGAGCAAGCGTTGAAAGGTAGGAAGGAGCGGTGGACGCCAGTTTGACAGTACCTAATTGATGCTCGTGGCATGATGGCATCCAGGTTACGAAGATCGCGAGATTAAGTTTCACGTCCAAAGAAGTAAGTCTTGCGATGCAAGAAGGCTACAGACTCGGCTGCCCTGACAAAGATCGAGGGCAGCTGTCAAAGCGTTGATGCTAAGCATGTGAAATACGTGCGTATACGGGCAATTGAGGCGAAGTCACCAAGTGCAAGGAGGGCAGGGAGTTCAGGAGGTGTTTTATCATGCAGTGCTTCGAAGTCTTGGCGCGTCACATGCAAGCTTTCACGTGGGAATGATGATGGAATGGCGCGGGAAATCGTATGACAGCGACCAATGGCCGCCCGACCTGAAAGTCTTTCCATAGCCTCGGTGCCTGCTCTTTCCCTGTCGTGTGACATACAGATTTTTGATGCTTTATAGAGGGGAGTATACAAATACATTTACAGCATCAAAAACAGAGGAAGGCTCCTTCACATCACTTTGGGACTTTGGCTTTACTCAGCCCAACGCTCGCGGATTCAGGGCTGAAACCATCGTAGCCTGCCTCAAACACGGAGTGACTCGAGACGTACATATACACAAGGACAAGGACAAGAGCAAGAGGAGGACTACTCTCAACATGGCCGTCAACATGAACACAAGTCAATTCCTAGGACTGGATGTCGACAGAAGAGCAACATCGCCGACGCCCGGCACATCGCTACCCGAGGACGACGGCATGCGCTCACTACGACTGAAGATGCATGAGATCCGGAATCTGGCTGCCTCGACTGAAGAGAAGGCACGAGCAATGCACCTGCTCATGACCAAGGACTACATCACCATGAACCACCCCGACCACGACATGCCAGATCTATTTGCCCAAGGCCCGCTTTGTCACCCTGTCCGATCCAATGACAACCCCTACAACATTACACCACAAGACCTCGAACCCAGCTACTGTTCCGACCACATCAATGACGAAGGGACTGGGCTCGGCTGCGCACATTACAGCAGAAATGTCAAGGTGCAATGTTTCGACTGCAACCAATGGCACCCATGTCGACACTGCCACGACGCTTCACCACATCTACCATTTCCTCACGGGCTCAACCGTAAAATGACACGCAACATGCTTTGTATGCTCTGCAAAACACCACAACCTGCCGGTCCCACATGCACAAACTGCGGTGTAGATTCTGCCTATTACTACTGTTCAAAATGCAAGCTCTGGGACAACGACAGCACAAAAAGCATCTACCACTGCGACGACTGCGGTATCTGTCGTCGGGGCGAGGGCTTGGGCAAAGATTACGTACATTGCAAACGCTGCAACGTCTGCATATCAATATCCACCAGCAGCACACATCCATGCGTAGAACGAGCAACAGATTGCGATTGTCCTCTATGCCTGGATTACCTCTTTTCCTCCTCCCTGCCCGTAGTGAGTCTAGCATGTGGTCACTACATGCACGGATCCTGCTACAAAGACCTGATGCACGTAACCTACCGCTGTCCAGTCTGCAATAAATCCGCCGTAAACATGGAACTACAATGGCGCAAACTCGACGATGAAATACGTCTACAACCCATGCCCGAAGACGAATTCGAAGACTCGGCTGCTGCAAAAGTGAACCCCACTCATCGACGCATACCGCGAAAAGTCTTTGTCGGCTGTAATGACTGTGGAGGAAGAGGCTGGTCCAATTTCCACTGGCTGGGTCTGAAATGCCCCCATTGCGACGGCTACAATACATCGCAAACCGCACCCCTCGGGTCCGAAACCCCCGGCGCCAGGCCAATCGTCCGCCGTCATGAATTCGCAGGTGTCAACGCACTACCAGCTGTGGTCACCGGCGACGACGAAAGAGCAGATAGCGCATACGGCCGCCCCTCCTCACCAGCTCAAATCCCCATCCCTACCCAACAACATCTCCCCGTGCAACAGCACGCCACATTCGCACCCCACTCCCCCACCGGCCGAAGTTATTTCCTCCAAGCCGAGTATGAAGAATCACTGCGAAATACCGAACGTGCGCTTTCCGCCGGCGACGCGTTTAGAAACTTACCATACGATATCTTGCAGAGGTTTAGCAGGAGTCTGTCGCCTATGAGATATTATCTGGAAGGACTGGATGTCAGTGGCAGTGCTGCTGCTTCTGGACATACACTTGACGATACCTCTTCTACACCAAAAGACGAACAACGACGACCGCAAACCGCAGAGTCCAGAGAAAGTAGTTTCTGGGGTGAAGGGAACGCCGGGGTCTTCTTTGGCGATGTTTCAGAATCGGATGAGGAAGAGGAAGAAGACGGGGATGGAGAAGATGAAGATGAAGAGGAGAGTGAAGATGACGAGGACGATGAGGATAGTGATGATGAAGATGACGACGGCGTGGGAAGTGATTTCGGAGGAGACAGAGATGCTTTCCATGTGGAAGAGGATGATTTGAGATTACCGGGGCATATGTGAGTTTGAGCTAGGATACTCGAAAGAAAGGAAAAGGCATATTTACTGCAGGTCAAAGGAAAATGCATAGCGCTTGTGGTTTGTTATGAACTTCGATCTCACTCATCTTCGTATTCGCAAGCAATTGGCGCATCAATTATTTTCCATGGATTACAATATTTACCCATGGCCCAGCAGTTTTGTGCAAAGTAGCCTCCTCGTCTGTTTGAGGCTTTACGGTACCATCGCATCATCTCACTCACCCTCCCTATGCTCATATATCAAATCAACATGTTTGACCGGATGCAAAAGCATACCAGGCAAACACATCCTTCCCTCCCCTTCCACCTCCTCCATCTCACCTCCATCCCCATCAACTTTATACCCCAACCACCTCTTCCAAAGATTGCCTGGGAAGCCAGCATGATAATACCAACTCGTGCCTAGGAAATTGTGCTGACGTTCATCACTGAAAACGCTTGTTCTTGCGCCGCCAGAGGCACCGTGGAGGCCATTGTTGAAGACGGCGGCGAGGTAGGAGGTAGGCCAGCGGCGATCGATGTAGACGGGATGGGGTGCGTAGACGGCTTTTAGTCCGTGGTGGAGGGCGCAGGAGCCGGGCCACATTTCTGAAAACATGGAGTGGCGCATCAGAGCGGTTTCTCTGTGCATGGTTTCTAGTAGACGATGAGAGAGGCGGGAGGCAGTGATGATGGCAGTACGTCGAGGAGGGAAACCAGCAGAGGTGTTGTAGCCAGTGACATCCTCCGCGAGGATCCAATTAGTGGCGTGAGGATCGAAGAGGGGGTTGAAGGTTATGAAGTCGGCTTGTTCGCCCACGCCCCAGGAGTAGTTGTCTTTGTCTGGTGTGGTAGGTGGTTGAGGGTCGTTTTCGGTTTCGATCCTGTCGCCTTCGCCGGTTGGGGGTTGAGGGCCCCAGATTGGCGGTTGCGAGCGGACTTGAGTGTTGTCGTTGCCTGAAATCTTCTCGTACATGCCTGATTTGTGGGCTGTGCCGTGTTCGGTTTGCACGCGCACCATGTGCTTGAAATCATCCCAGGAACCATGCTCGGAAGGGATGTAGAATCTGCCGTTGCGCTCCCATAGGCCCTTTCGCGGTTGTTGGTCAGCCCATTTGCCGACCTTGTCGAACAGGTGGTAGAAGTGGCCGGTGTAGCGAATGTCCATTTCCCAGTGCCAGAAGAAGTCGTACTCGGGGTGCATGTGTGCGAAGTAGGATAGGGGCATGTTCGTTGATCTGTATGCGCCGTGGATGGGCAGGCCGCGGTAGTTTGTTTCTGCAATGCCTCCGTAGATCAGGCTCATCTGTCTCTCTGACCAAAGTGTACCCATACCCCTGAACTCCAGAGGTAGCGAGTCATTCAAGACGCGCTGGTAGGTAAAGTCATCGCTCCAGATGGGCAGATCGTTGTCCTTCACATGAACCAAGAAGTGGACATTGTATTCGCCGCCAGACTGCAAGGATAGTTCGTTGACCAAAGCGCGCAGATAGAACATGTCTTCATCGTCATACTGGAAGTCTTGCCAGGTTCTGATAACCACAGCCTGTCTGGCTAGCAGCTTCTTCTCTTGCTTCTCCTCCCTCTTAGGCTTGTCCTCCGGACCTCCGACCGGCATATCAGTAAAGAAATGGTTGCGACCCTTGAGTAGAGGCTTGAAACGATTCTTATTCTTCTGAGCGCACTTCTGTTGAGCTTGGGCCCAGTTGACTTCGCGATAGTCAATCTCGGTCTTGCCGCCCCAGACCTGGTCAGCACCTTCGCGCTCACCGTCCATACCAGCACCGCTACCACCCCATCTCTTGCTGTATCCTAGACCGTAGGGACCAAGTCTGCCGAAACGATCGAAACATACGTCGCCGTTGAGTCCGAAGATGTCGTATGAGCCCATAACAGGGTCAGGGAAGCCCTTCGGTACGCCTGAATATGCCAAAAGTTGTGGAACGTTGCTCTTCTTCTCCTCGTTTAGGAAGCACTCGATGATACCGTCCTGCTTTACGGGATTGAATCTCTGACCTTGTGGTATATCTCTCTTCTGGAAACCCTTGTCTTCCGATGGAGCGGTTTGCTTCTCTTGGTCTTTCTGAACAGTGGATTCGAGGGTGTTGTTCTCGGGATCAGGAAATTCAGGCTTGTTCTCGGCGCGAGAAACTAGTGTTCGGATGCCACCATGGTAGCGCTTGAGGAAGGGGAAGCTCTCCCAGGTGGGCGGTGGTGGAGGAGGTTTTGAGAGGCCGGATCGTAATGAAGCTTCGGATAGAGCGCTCAATCGAGCCAGTGTGAGACCAAGTCCGACCAGTATCAAGACAATGATCAAGGTAAAGTATCGTGTGAAGCGACGGCGCGGTAGTGGGTACGAGGTGGCTTCGCGGGCACCAGAGGCTCGTCGCAACATGGGAGTCGCATTGCCGGATTCTGAGGCGTCATCGTCGTCGGATAGTCGCTCCTTGTCGCCATCGACCCACCTTCCATCAAGGGCAGTGTATCCTGCGCCTTTGTCTTTGCGCTTCGGTATGCGAAAAGGCATCGTTTAGGCCATACGAGGTGGGTACGATAATACAATCCGGAGGTACTTAAACAGACGCACAGACCTTGTCGAATGTCAAGATGGTTGATCTGGAGTGTTTGGACTGCGACGAGTTTCCTGCCCAGGTTGATGTGTATAGACGAAAGTTACGAAGACAAAGAGTTAGTAGGAGTTGTTCGATGTGCGGCACGAGTAATTCGGCATGGTCGTGTTGACATGTTGTTTAGCGACCGCCATGGTGCTCCTTCAGTGTCTTGGCTGCTGCTGTGGACACTGGACAGTCGCCGAGGGAACTTTGATGAGGCGTCGAGATTCTCCACCTTCTTTTCTTGCACCACCACCGCATTCGATCAATCGTCTTCATGCTACCTTGAAAATCTGCATCTTGTGAATACATGCAAGAGCTTCAAGACTGATATCGAGGTTGCACCTGCCGAGGATTAAGTCTTCATGGATGCTTAGCAGCCATCAGTGATAAAATGTAGGTCATCGAGTTGCCATCCATGCCTCAACTCACCATGTGATGACATGCTTCACGAGAATGGAAGTTGCAACCTCTTGCTCCTTCTCTTACATCCTTCTTCTCGGAAGCAGCGTGTGTGACATCACACTTCATGAGAAGAGAAGGAACGCTGCACTTCAGCTCCCCAGTCTGCTCGAACATCCTTTGGCGTCAACCACTTCCTCTTCTCACCACACCTTCATCAGTTCCATTGCACCTACGCCAGGCTGTCCCGTTGGTTCCATTGCACCTACGCCAGGCTGTCCTGTTGGTTCCATTGCACCTACACCAGGCCGCTCTACCAGTTCCACCGCACCTACGCCAGGCTGTCTTGTGGGTTCCACTGCACCCGCACTTGATTCATCCATCGGTAATCGTCCAGCTCTCATTGACATACCTCGAATGTTGCTAACAGAACACAGGCTCATGGATCGCTATGTCCAAGACCCCGACAAGTGGGAACAGTACACACGTCGCAAGGGAAGGACCCGCCTCTCATGGCGTCGTACTCTGGAACGCATGCACGATCCCAAGAAAGAGTGTAACATGTCCCGCAAATACAGAATCTCGATGCAAGTCGACAACTCGTGGGACCTGGAACGTGACGAGAACTTCGCCATGAGAACCCTCATGTCGGCCACCATTGAGCTTCTTGCGTTCAAGGAAGTACCCAGCCTCGAACAACTGTTGACCCTCAAGTGGTTCGACACCGTGTGGCCAGGTATCTACATGTGTATCGGTATCAGATACGACAAGGATGGCAACATTGTGGATGTTATCATCAAGATCGGATGTGCGTGGAGACACAAGGGAGGACTCAAGGCCAGGAAGGCAAACCACCTCAACGACAATGACTCCAAGTATTAGTAAGTTCCCAGACCGAGTTTTGTGTATCATGCCATGTTCTAACGCACCTACAGTGCAGATACTGGTAGCGGCTTTCACAAGTGGATCCAAGCTTGCAAATCAGATGGAGCCAAATACGAGTTGCATTGGTCGATACTCGCAATCGGCGACCCGTTCTGGCGTTTGACTGTTCATGACGAGTACCTGGCCGCCAGGTACTATCAACTGGAAGCTATGTTGGCCTCGGCTCTGGGTTCGTGTGGCGATCAGCCAAGGATTTCCAACTTCTCTCCGTCAAGGGATCCCAACTTCTCTCTTCTACGATTCTGGCCTTGGGAAAGTCCCAATTTCCAGGCACAATGGAGAGGCATCGATACCCACTCGGCACTCACAGATATCTGGTGCAATCCATCAGGAATCACCGAGGAAGAGAAGCTCGAGAGAGTGGTCCTGAGTCGAACAAGACGTTTGGCCGATAACAGGGAACACGACCTCTACCTGTGCGATTACGATCCAGACTGCAACAAAGCCCAGCCTGGCCAGGGTTTCGCGCTAGCCAAGGACCTCGCTCGCCATATCGGGATTCACATAAGCAATGAGGTCCTACACCCATGTACCCACCAGGACTGCCCAAGATCCGGTGACAATGGCTTCGAGATTGCCGCGGCACTCACGCAGCACCTCAACTGGCATGAGTACCGAGTCGTGCTCGAGTGTGATGACCCTAGGTGCACATACTCAACCGGCGGACAAGAACGCTACCAAAAGCACCTGAACTCTCACGCGAACGGCTGGTTAGCATGTAGAGCATGTGGACTCATGTTCGTCCGTTGGAAGTACGCAGACCAGCATGCGGAACATCACTGTTTGGCTGAGAATTCCTGGGTCCTTCACCAAGCCTTCAAGGCATCGCATGAGACCAAGACAGGTCGAACCTGCACTGATGATAGGTGCGGTGCGTACCTCCCTTATAATTACGTGGACATGGACGTTCTTTTCGACAGACACATGGAGGCACACACCACAGGCAGGTTCCATTGCAAGATCTGTGGTATCCGCTATGGTGACGGTCCAGGTATTCGGAGACACAGAGAAAAGTTCCACGGCTTCACATACCCAAAGGTCGAACCTGAGAACGAGCCAGTCGTGAGTACCCCGGACCCCAAGATTGCGAGAGAGACATCCAGACTCTCACGCGAGGAGAGAGCACTGAAGCGTGCACGCAAGGAATGAGGCCAATATCAGGGCCCCCCATGACCGAGACCAAGTACTGGTATTTACTATTTTGCATGGATACGAGATAGACGATAGGTCTCTCGAGAGCTAATGCTGGCGCGAATAATGGTAGCTTATGTTGTCTACATACATACTCAAATATCTCAAGGTCCTCTCCACAAGATGTTCAAGGTGTTCTGGCATGCACGTGAACAGTTCCATTATTTACAGACATGATGTTGCTCATGATGGCAGTATTTCTCGTTTGCTCGCGTTGCTACAGATCCAAGAGATGGTCTGGCCTGGCATGGGCTCAGAGGTCATTTTTGAACTCTACTCCAAGCACGATGAGTGGTTTGTTCGAATTCTGTGGAGTGGACAAGTATTGAAGAGCTCGAGTCCTGCTCTTGGTCATGAAGTTGACATGGTGCCTCTAGATAGTGTTCTGGCATACTTTGATGGCTTGGTTGGTCGTGGTGCTTTGTTGATTCTTGGTCTTTGTAACCAAAGTTAGAGGCTGTTTTGCAACATGGGAGTGGCAACTTCGACAAGGCTGCCCGTAATGGATTTATCGCGAACTCGAGTTACCTCCAACAACCTTCAGTGATGAGATGTTGTTGTGCACGAGCTCTGTGCTTCTACGCCTGCCGCAGCACCGCGGTTCAGCGTTGGCGGTTTTGCAAGCACCGTCATTCATGATAGCAGGGAGACCCTGTCTACATATTCTTACCCACCTAAAACTGCTTGAATCACTTCTTTCTTCGAAGCATCACATGGATTGTAGCAGTTGGCTTCTAGAAACTATGTATCGATTGATGTAGAGTCGAGGCATCAGAAAGTCGCTAACGCACTCCATGCTTGAATGTTTAGTCCGCTCGAACGATCTAACATTCTGTGTTGCTTTATCCCCGCAGGCAATGTCGTACCAACACATTGAAGCATGTGACCCAATTTCAAGACGGAGATGTTCATAGCTGCCGTTCAGCCTTACGTGGTTCACTCATAACCGTACGTGATTCACTCCTGACTGAAGACTTGTTGAAACACCATGCAAGGAAGTGCTTTGCAGAGCATCCGGTACCCGACTTGTAGCCGAGAATTCCTACATTTCGAGACGGCTTAAATTCCTCCTTTCATTCACCTTGCAACCTGCGCCCATCTACGGTCGCTCTGCGGCATAATGCCCTTACCAGGGCGCTGAGATGAGATCGCACGCAGAGTGACAACTAACGCGTCCTTGATGACTTCCGACGAAACGACTCGCGCGATCATGCGACGTGTCGAGGGATTGACAACAGCGCGTCGACTCTGGCCGAATTGAGCAATCATAAGGCGATTGACCACGAAAGCGTGAGGACGATGCCACTGCCGAATAAGGAAAGGACGACCCCGACTCTTGCGTACATAGCATTCGGAAAGAATTGCTCGAGCGCTGGAAGTAGCGGTCGGACGAGATTGCCGTCTTCAAGCAAAGGAGCAAGTTTCGGCAAGCCAACGTTCAACCGTCAGGTTCATCACCCCTCGCTCCAACAAGTCCAATCTGGGGTTGGAAACAACATCCCCCGCCCTTATGATCCCCAGGGTGGAGATAAGAATGGTGGGGCAGATGACGGACTAACCTCTGTGAGTGCTTGGCGTAGGCTGAGATTGTTCGAACCTCCCGCTCGAAGTTACTACGATGGGAGGAAGCATATCCGGTCGGAGCACTCGTATCTATGAGACATCGAGGCAGAGGTAAGTATATATGAAGCCTTTGCTCCCTCTTCTTCTGAAACCATCCAAACAATCACAACCTTGCATTCTGTCGTGATTTAACCTTTCCAAGATGTATGGGTTACTCTTTGGTACATTCTTTGCGAGTCTCTTCTTTCTCATATCAAAATGGATCTTCGACTACTTCAAAGACCCCAAGGGATTGAGGAAATATCCTAATATGCACATCCTCTCTGGAGTCACAAACATCCCTTACATGCTCCTATCGGAGAAAGGCTTCAGATCAAAGAAGCTCTTCGAGCTGCATTCCTCTGGCATGCCTGTCATCAGAACTGGCCCCAACTCTCTGTCGTACGGTGATACCAGAGCCATCAAGGACATCTATGGCCACAACACCAAGTGCAGCAAGGATGGAAACTATGTTGTGACCGCAGGTACTCATTACCACATGGCCGATGTCATCGATAAGAACGAACACCGGCGTAAGCGTAGAGTTCTCTCCTCGGCCTACGCCCTGAAAAATCTGGAAGAGTGGGAATTCAAAGTCGCCGACAAGACCGTTCGCCTCATCAACCAGATAGACAAACGCTGTAGCGACTACGGACACGACGAAGTTGTTGACTACAAACCCTGGCTTAACTACTTCACCCTCGACGCCATCGCCGATATTGGATTGAGCCATCGCCTCGGCTTCCTCGATCAAGCCAGCGATCGCACGAAATCCCTGCGACCTGACGGAACCACTTTCGAGTCCAACTATCGCGAATGTCTTTATGCAAACTCACAAGCAAATTCTGTCATCGGCTACTGCTACGATTATTACAAGTCCTTGGTCAAGCTCAGTAAACTATTCCCCCACTACAACCGCCTCTGGAAGCTCAATGAGGGTTGGGAAGGCATTGTCCTCAATCTCACCACCGAACGACTGAAGCGCTATCAAGCAGGGGAACAACTCGAAGACTTTTTTCAGGCGCTGATGCAAGACAAGAACGGCGTAGCCAACAACCTCGAATTCGGCGAAATCGCTGCCGAAATCTCAATCATGATGAACGCCGGCTCCACAACAACTGCAATCGCAATGACAAATGTCATGTATATGCTGCTCAAAAACCCGAAGTGTATGCTGAAACTCCGCGAAGAAGTCGACAATGTGCTGGATGAAGATGATATCGTCGCGCCTTACAGAAAGGTCAAATACCTTCCCTATCTTCGTGCTTGTCTGGACGAATCCATGCGTATCTTTCCGCCAACATCTCATGGACTGACTCGCGCTACTCCGCCCGAAGGCCTCATCATTGCTGGCGAATTTGTCCCTGGTGATACGACCGTTTCTATCTCCGCATTCGTTGCCCACCGCGACCCCACCATCTTTCCAGAGCCCGAAAAATACACACCGGAGCGTTGGTTAGGTGATGCAGGCAAAGAGCTAGGCTCGTACTTCCTTGCCTTCTCAACTGGTGCTAGAGGATGCATTGGACGCAATATCTCTTACCTAGAGCAGACGGTTGTGTTGGCTAGTATGTTGCACAGATATGAGTTCGAGCTTGCGGATTCAAACTTTGAGCCTGAGAGGCACGAGTTTATGAACCTGCATCCTTCGGCGCTGCCGGTGAGATTCAAGAGGAGGAACAACGAAGTTGTGGCGGAGAAGGTCTGAGACCTTTCGACTTTGGAAAACTTTTTTCTGGCGGTCGAAAAGAGGTCTTTTAATGGATATAATGCAAGAACGTCAATTTTCCCTTTCTCGTCTTACCCGCCTTGCAATCTTGATTGTGGAATCTTGGATCACATTTTGTTGAGTCAATTTCAGTTTCTATCGACGACTACTAGATTCCCGTCGAGACCTCCCCGTGTGCTAAATTCTGTCACTTCTAGCCATCTCCTGCGGCCACGTCTAGAGCCGTCTAGCCTGTCAAAATGCACAATGTTTTTTTTAGATCGGTATAGTCGTCCGCAGAGAGGCGCTAAGTATTGCACTCTTAGTGGAGGGCTGCACTGATCTTAAAAACATTGTGCATTTCTACAGCATGCGCGTGACAAAGTTCTGCACACGGAGAGGAGGTGATGCCTACTACAAAAAGTAACGACATGCGTCTTGAAGAAAGAAGAAAACCTCGTATGTACATTCAAAGCAAAGGTCTGCCCTCATGCGATGCCAATTTGTCGAACTCATGTGTACGATGCATGCGGAACAGAAATCGTCACTACTCCGCAGCATCCAAATGCTTCCATTGCTCCTTGAGCATGTTAACAGTATTCGACGTCCTCCACCCCGTGACATCTTCCGACCATGTCAGGAAGTTTATCGCAGCTTCCCGTTGAGCAGGGTGCTTGAGACAATATCCACACATGTACAATAAATGATGGGTTTCGAATGTTGCGTTTTCGAGCTCGCCGTTGGATGCTGATAATCCGATTGCTTGTGAAAGATGGTGTATCACGTTTTTCTGAGGATGGCAAATGTGTCAGTGTTCGCTTTTGTGACAAGAGGTGTAGTTGAGCGTACCTCGACTTCTTGTCTGATTTTTGCTGCGTGGAAGCCGGATATTTAGATGAGGAAGTTTGGTTGGTGGGTATGACTTTGATACGATTCAAATGCTTATGATAATTGTGAATCGTGATACCTGCGTAGTAGATAGAAAAAAAAATCCCATTTCGTATGGGTCAATACAATGAAGTAAGAACCCCCTTCCTTCTGTGTCCGGATGATATCAAAATGCAATGTGTACGAATACAATCCTTCTGGGTTCCCATTGAGATGAGATCGAGCCTTCAAGGCTGAGTCTTGATGATGTGGAACCTAGTACTTGTCCATACGGACCTTGCACTTAGGAAAGTCGCCAGCCTCAGCGAGGTTCTCGCAGGCACGAGCGACAGTGCCACTGAGAGCACGACCGCCTCTAGAGACAGCGAGGTCGAAGAATCTCTTTTGAGATATGAGCACCTCCATCAGAGCCTGGTTCTCCGCGAACAGATTGTTGGGGGGCTTGGTGGGGTAGTCCTTCCAGGTTCCGTCATCGCGCATTGTCTGGAAGTTTTCAAGGATGCGGTTCTTGATCTTGGTACCTTGGCGTGTCTTTCTCTTTAGGAGCACTTGAGCAGGAGTCGTGCGACGTGCGTTGGAGACGGGCTGTGCAGCTACAGGAACCTGCGCGATGACAGCGGGACCCTGCGCGATGCCAGTGGGAACATGGGCGACGGCCACAGGACCTTGCGCGATGACAGTAGGAACCTGGGCGACAGTCACAACTGGGCCGATGTCCTCCTCATTGGGTTCCTCGCCCTCGAACTCTTCATCCAAAAACTCCTCATCGTTGTCTCCCATGTCATCCTCCTCGTTGTGCACGAGAGTGAAGGCACCGGGCCTGTCGGTGAACTCCAGGTAGTTCTCGTTTTCAGCAAGGCTGTCGTCGTTTTCATCGTCGGTGGAGTCCTCCATATCTTCTTCGAGAGTGTAGTGAAGGCGGAGCGCGTTTCCAGCCATGGCTGGGTTCTCGGCGGCGGTGTCGTGATCGGTGAAGGTGGTCATTTTTGCGTTCTGAGTGAATGTTAGCACCCATCAACTATGCTGAAGTAATGGTATGAGGCTTACGGTCAGGTTCTCGGCGGCNGTGAAGGTGGTCATTTTTGCGTTCTGAGTGAATGTTAGCACCCATCAACTATGCTGAAGTAATGGTATGAGGCTTACGGTCAGGTTCTCGGCGGCGGTGTCGTGATCAGTGAAGGTGGTCATTTTTGCGTTCTGAGTGAATGTTAGCACCCATCAACTATGCTGAAATGATGGTATGAGGCTTACGGTGAGGCTCTCAGCGGCGGTGTTGTGAGTCACTGGAACTTGAGCAGTGAACAGATCTGGTAAATAAGTGAGGGATTGTTGAAAGTCGAAGGTGATTGGGGGACGTCTATCGTGTTAGAACGATGCGAGTTGGATTCCGGAAGTTGGATGTATGTATGATCTGGGTCGACCCTTAGCTCGTCTCCGTATGGCTGTTGTTCAGATGTCGTTCCAGCTTGCAGGGTATCACTTGCAATATCTTCATCGTGATCTTCCAGTATAGTGGTGAGAGCAGTCCTACTGGCGTCCTCGTTGACAGCTATAGTGCTATCTCCAGCCAACTCAGTTGCGTCCCATTCAATCCCATTAACGACATCCTCGATGATAAATTTGCCTATCCCACATTCAGCTCAAGTTGTTGAAGATCAACCTTGTAATGGAAAACTCACAAGGTTGATTCGTAGACACCCAAACCTGATCTTCCTCAAAGCTCAACTCCACTCGTGTTTTTTCCGACAACTTTTGCAACCTCTTCCTGGTCGCATTATTTTAATGTCGCAGGTTGCACGTATCGAGAGAAGTTCTCCGGGGAGGCAGGTGGGGGGCGGGGTGAGTTGCGGCTGAGAGCGACCCCGCGGCATCGCTCGCTTTGTAGAAAGAAGGCCCGGATGGAAAATTGCCCTTTTTGGCAAGGACGATTTATACAGAAGATGTAGAGATGCAGACTTCAGAGATGCTCCATAAATGCTGGATAACACTTGGATTCAAATTTGCATAATTGTCTAGAATTCGTAGCACATGAAAAAGGTCTATCAAAAACCATGGGTAAAGGCTCCTAACTCCTCTAGCCCTAAACGTCCTACTGCTATCTCTTAAATCTCTTCTACTTATTAGGGTGCGTTCGGTTCGCGAGTTTGAGGGCCTTTAAAAGCGTTAAGAAGTCGTCAAAAGTGCTAAAATCAACTTAGATCTGTTAAATAGTTAAAATTAACTGTGTCGTTTATGTCGTAGAGGTAATTTTAAGAGAGATATAGTCGGCAGGTTAAAAAAAAAGCGATATATGCTTTTCTAGCGGTTTTTAGTGCTAAAAAGGCCTAAATGTACTATTATTATTTCTACTAGTCCTAAGTAGTATATCTCCTTTAGAACTTAGTCTAAGTATAGTAGGACTTTGATAGATAACTTTAATAACTATAACTAGTATGCCTTACGGACCTACCTTACTATATATAGCGTTAGTAACATTATCGAGGGTTATAGTAATAGTGTACATATAGTATATATAGATAATAGTAAAGGTATAAGGTAGACCTAGTAACTATGTAAGGTTGCTACTAATAGGAGGATCTTTAACTTTATACGCTTAAGAGGTTATATCTTTAAGGCTCTACTTAAGAGGCTTATAGTAAGAGGTTATCTTAAGGATAGTAGGAAGTTTAGTAAGGACTTAGATTAGCATTAATTTACTACTACTAAGAAGTTAGTAATCTTCCTCTATATAGTTATAATAGGTCTATCTTACTAGTAGCTATAAGAAGCCTTCTAATACTCTATAGCGACTATCTCTACTACTATATATAAGGTTATAGTTAGCCTTCTTAAATTATATGTCGATATAGTTAAACATCTAGACTAGAATATACCTACCTTAGAGGAGGTTTAAAGAGCTAAGTTCTAGCTATTCTTTAAAGACTATATTAGTGCGCTTAATAGTAGTTATGTTCTAGCGTACGTAACTAGGCCTAAGATTAAGTCGTATTAGAATAGATATAGATATCTATCGTAAAACATCCTAGTAGCCTATAACTTTAAGGGTTAGTTTATCTATATCTACCTAGGTTAGAAAGGTAGCGCCTATAATATATATATCTTCGAGGCTACGAAGAGGGATTAGGACTTACCTTTAACGTATCTAAATAGGAAACACTACCTTATTAATGCTAGATACTTAAATAGTAATATAACCCTTGTACCGTATAGAGGTATACGCTATTATCTACGCGAATAGGAGTTAGTAAGTAAGAGGCTAGAGAGTAAGGAAGAACTATTTAACTTATACTATTCGTCGCTAAGGAACTATATTAAGAGGTCGTTTAGGGTATTTAAGATGCGCTAGTAGATCTTTAATAAATAGTATAGGTATTTACTTAAGTTCTAAGCGTAACTAGTGCTCGCGCTAACTACTATAAATAACTTAATCGTAGAAATTAGAGGCGTAGGCAACGGTGTCGTATTTATTAATAATAGAGACTTTAAAAACGATGGTAAGAATAACTTTAAAGGTAGAGCTAGTATTAATAAGTAGAGGGCGTAGTTGCTAATAGCTTAGAGGAGAGAGGCTATTACTATAGTAATATAGAACGATTATAAAGGTCACTTAGAGGCCCTTAGACTTAGAGATAGATAGACTAACTAGCCTTAGCAATAAATCTAATATTTTAAGTCTTTAACCAAATAATAATAAATTCTAAACTACTTACTCTATTACCTACGTATTAACCTTCTAGCTACCCTTTTACTACTAGATGCTTAATCTTTAGCCTAGACTTAATAAACATTATTATATTACCTACTAATGTTAATAGCGCGTAGAGCACCTTAACCTAGTCCTTACTAGGTATATCCTTCTAAAAGTTATCCTTATTACTAGCACCCTCGGCATAGAGCTTATTAAACTTTATAATGGTAGCCCTAATAGGGTTAGCCTTAGCGAGCTTCTACTATATAATGTCGTTTACTCGCTTAAGTTTACTAGTAAGTCTAGTTATCTCTTTCGCATTTATCCTCTACCTCTTAGGCCCTATTAGATTAATACTAAACTAAGATAGGACCTCCTTCTTAATACGCGCATTACTAGCTAGATTATTAGTAGTGTCCTAGGTAGCATCTCTAGTTATGTTAATCTCCTTAATCTTATTACTTTCCCTTAGGGGAATTATAATGTTAGTAGTAGCGATAGGTTAAGACCTCTTTAAAGATGCCTTTATACTACTAGCTCGCTTACTAGTCGTAGTATTGCCTTAATAAAGCGTATATAGCTTATCTTAGAATAGTAGGACCTTAGACCTAAAGTTACGAGCTTCCTTATAAGCATTAAAGTAAGTATTTATAACTACCTCGTCGTTCTCTAGTAACCCTAGCTTATTTATCCTCTAGCTAGACTACTTAATTAGGACGTCCTATATCCTCTACGACTTCGTAAAGGTAGCAAACTTAGACTTTAACCTTATAGTAGTTAGTAAGTAATATATTAATGTAGGGGTATAGGGTTTAATAGCCTTGGCGATAGTTAGCTAATAAGTAATCTTTATCCTAGTCCCTATCTTATTTCCTAGATCCTTTTACGCTAATAAACTATTAAGTAAGGCCTCTTCTATCTTAAAGCTCTAGACTATATAAGAAGCTAGCTCGATCTTATTACCCTTAAGTTATTAGGTCGCCTACGATATAGGAGGGATCTAAAAGCTAGAAGACTAAGACTAAGGTTAAGATAATGCTTAGGGTTAATAAGTTTAAGAGGGTATTAGTAACTAAGGAAGCTAACTATCCTTATTAATAGTAGCACTAATAGTAGCATTAATAACTACGTTAACGATAGTCTTAGAGGGCTAGTCTTAAAAAGACATAGTAAGTTTAGACTATTTAAGTTAAGGTGTTCTATAGCATAAACTAATAGTATATTTCTATAGTACTAGTAACTAAACCTATACTATAAAACACTACGAACACTACTACTAGCCTAATTAAATAACCTCTTTACCCTCTTATAACGACGTATAAACTAAACGCCTATATTAACTCGAGCTCGGCTCGTATATAGCTAACTAGCTTAGAAGGCCTTAGCGCTAAGCGACTACTAAGCGGCTATTCTATTAAGAGGAAAAAATGAACTAAACGCGCCCTTAGTAAACTCCTTAAGCTAATCCTTACTCTAACCCTATCTCTTAGGCCCTACCTACTTCGGCAAATTTAAGCTAATATATAGATAGAGATTAGCGATGTTTTATATAGCTATATTTATATACTGCTCGCGCCTACTTCGGAGTATAAAACTAGCGTATTTAGGTATATATTAGCTAATTCTATACTTAATACTAGGATTCTTTATCTTTACCTACTTTAGTATTTAAATGTCCTTAGGTATTATCGGATAGCTATTAAATAAGGCCTTAGCATGCTTTTTAAGTAGTATTTAGCCCGTATTAGCTTACGTATATTATGTTTAGGAGGGAGGGGGTGTTTTTTAAACGTATAAGACTACCTAATCTAAAGCCTTATAATAATAGTAATAATAATGCTAGTTAATCTAAGGTACGTTACTATAGCGGCATATACTATTCTCTACTTTAATATAGCTAGCCTTATTATTCTCTTAGAGGCTATAAAGGACTAGTAACCTAGTAAAAGGATAGGACTCTCTATCTAAGGAAATTTAAAGGGCTAGTAAGGATAAACGACCTATATAATCTTAGTCCTTCTAAGTATTATAACTTACTACGAATAGAATAGTAGAACTTCTAAGGGCTCGTCGAGTTACTTATATAGTATAGTCTAGTTAATAAATAATTAGTCTTAGGAAGGGAATAAGTAGCAATATTCCTATATATCTACGCCTAAGACTTAAACTAGAGGTTAGCAACTAACTACTTCTAATACTCCTATTAGACTATTAGGAAAAGTATAAGGGTATAGAATAATAACGTATAATGCGCTTTAATATAGTAGTAAGACTAATTATTAGCCTTCTATACGATAGGTCTTAGCTTCGTAGATATAGGTAGCTAGAATAGAATAATAAAGTCCTAATAATAGGCCTCCTAGGGGTCCCCTAGGAGCGCTCTATTATAACTGCCTCCCTTCCTAAGAGGCTTTACCCTAAGGCCTCTTATAGAACGTTTTAATACTATAGCGGTAGTATTAGGCTACTATAGTTAGAAGAGGTTTTTTACTTCCCTTACTTACTATAAGAACTTATATAAAGGGGTCGCTTAACTACTATTCTACGTCTATTCCTCTATTACTAAGCTACTATTCTAGTTACTTTTAGCTTCGTAGAAGGTATAAAAGTATACCCTTACTCTACGTAATAGTCGCTACATATACTTATATATTACGTTCTACCTTTAGATAAGTAAACTTCTCTTAAGAACACCTTTTACTCGTTTTTAGGGTCTAATTCTAATACGCTTAGGGTCT